AAAAAGCAAAAAAATACGAATACAAACCCCAAACCATCCCGAAAATAAAAAAAAGCAAAAAAATACGAATACAAACCCCAAACCATCCCGAAAAAAAAAAAAAGCAAAAAAATACGAATACAAACCCCAAACCATCCCGAAAAAAGAAAAAAAAGCAAAAAAATACGAATACAAACCCCAAACCATCCCGAAAAAAGAAAAAAAGCAAAAAAATACGAATACAAACCCCAAACCATCCCGAAAATAAAAAAAAAGCAAAAAAATACGAATACAAACCCCAAACCATCCCGAAAAAAGAAAAAAAAGCAAAAAAATACGAATACAAACCCCAAACCATCCCGAAAATAAAAAAAAGCAAAAAAATACGAATACAAACCCCAAACCATCCCGAAAATAAAAAAAAGCAAAAAAATACGAATACAAACCCCAAACCATCCCGAAAAAAGAAAAAAAGCAAAAAAATACGAATACAAACCCCAAACCATCCCGAAAATAAAAAAAGCAAAAAAATACGAATACAAACCCCAAACCATCCCGAAAATAAAAAAAAAGCAAAAAAATACGAATACAAACCCCAAACCATCCCGAAAAAAGAAAAAAAAGCAAAAAAATACGAATACAAACCCCAAACCATCCCGAAAATAAAAAAAAGCAAAAAAATACGAATACAAACCCCAAACCATCCCGAAAAAAAAAAAAAGCAAAAAAATACGAATACAAACCCCAAACCATCCCGAAAAAAGAAAAAAAGCAAAAAATACGAATACAAACCCCAAACCATCCCGAAAATAAAAAAAGCAAAAAAATACGAATACAAACCCCAAACCATCCCGAAAAAAGAAAAAAAAGCAAAAAAATACGAATACAAACCCCAAACCATCCCGAAAATAAAAAAAGCAAAAAAATACGAATACAAACCCCAAACCATCCCGAAAATAAAAAAAAAAAGCAAAAAAATACGAATACAAACCCCAAACCATCCCGAAAAAAGAAAAAAAGCAAAAAAATACGAATACAAACCCCAAACCATCCCGAAAAAAAAAAAAAAGCAAAAAAATACGAATACAAACCCCAAACCATCCCGAAAAAAGAAAAAAAAGCAAAAAAATACGAATACAAACCCCAAACCATCCCGAAAAAAGAAAAAAAGCAAAAAAATACGAATACAAACCCCAAACCATCCCGAAAAAAAGAAAAAAAAGCAAAAAAATACGAATACAAACCCCAAACCATCCCGAAAAAAAGAAAAAAAAGCAAAAAAATACGAATACAAACCCCAAACCATCCCGAAAAAAGAAAAAAAGCAAAAAAATACGAATACAAACCCCAAACCATCCCGAAAATAAAAAAAAAAAGCAAAAAAATACGAATACAAACCCCAAACCATCCCGAAAATAAAAAAAAAGCAAAAAAATACGAATACAAACCCCAAACCATCCCGAAAATAAAAAAAAAGCAAAAAATACGAATACAAACCCCAAACCATCCCGAAAATAAAAAAAGCAAAAAAATACGAATACAAACCCCAAACCATCCCGAAAATAAAAAAAAAGCAAAAAAATACGAATACAAACCCCAAACCATCCCGAAAATAAAAAAAAAGCAAAAAATACGAATACAAACCCCAAACCATCCCGAAAATAAAAAAAGCAAAAAAATACGAATACACATCCCAAACCATCCCGAAAAAAGAAAAAAAGCAAAAAAATACGAATACAAACCCCAAACCATCCCAAAAAAGAACAAAAAGCCCCAAAAACTTCACAAACTGACAAAACAACGCTCCGACCTTCGCCAAACCTCAAAATTCAAAAATTTGGCGCAATTCGCAGTGGGGCGCATTTGCTTGTTTTTGTGCATGTTCACGTCGCCGTGTTGGCACACACTTATAAGCCATTGTGCCCGGAAGCCTCTACTCTTTTCTCACACTCTCTTGTGTGTCTCTATTTCTCTCGCGTCTCTTCACAACTCCACACACTCTCGCTAAAACTGGCTTTTCGTTGAAATCCGCGATTTAAAATCTGGAAACTTGGAATTTTGAAAAAGTATGAGGATGATTAGAAAGAGGAAGAGTCGTAGAACGCAGAGATATACAATTCACCCAGAAAATTTTCGAAAATGCTGTTAAAAACCGAGATTGAAAAAAAGTGAATTTCTATTTTTCAGTTTTTTCCATCCAAAAAATACATTTTTCTGAAATGTTTTCTTGAGACTTTGTAGAGAAGGTTAAGATGCTTATAATCCAATATCAAAATCTTAAGTATAATTGTTACTTCATGCAATGACCGCACTCAAAGTTTCATACATCGTCAAAGTTTGACTGAAAACCATGTGTTCAAATGAACATTGTTTGAGATTGTATTGTAACAACAATGTAATATAAGTCTTCATCTTTCAAATTATGTAGAAAACATTAGCTTTTTGGAAATAATTCAATGAGAAAATCCAGATTTAGTTTCAGAAGTTTTTCCCCTGAAAAAAAACAATGGCGGAGATTTTTTGTACTGGCCGAACTAATCGTAAACTCGGCCATTGATGCTCAGGGCACAGTGGCGCTTATAAAAGCAACTGTATTTTAAAATTGGTCAGTGACCTATATCCAATATTTAATTTTCATTGATTTTTTAGAACATCTTCGTGAGTGTAGTTGGAGAGAAATCTCAGGGTTCCCAACTTTTATACTTTTGATGTGAGTTCGTTTTTTATAAGGGGAGGATTTTTATTCGCGAATTTTTTATGTTTTTTTAAATTCATATTTATCTCTTTTTTAGGACAAGTAACATGATTTTAGTTAAATTCCGATAGTTTTATACTAAAACTGGTGCTCAAAACGTATTTCTTTGAAAAATGTACAATCTTGATTTTTTCTTCAGTTTGGAGTACTTATTTAGATTTCACTCATTTCTATTTTACAGGGAAATCGTCACCGAAATGGTGGAAATATCAAAACAATTGATGAGTCGAATTTTGGTTTGAACGACTTTGAATCATGAAGAAAACTGGATACGTGAGTTAATTTTCGGTCCTGGGAAATTCAAGAAACCACTCATTTTTTTAAATTTCGGAATTTTACCAAAACTATTTTACAAATTGTCTCCGAAGTTTCTCAAAATTGTTCCAACTTTTTCTTATCATTCATGATTTTTCACTCTTCCATACGTTTTCCAATCAACATTTGATCTTCTCTCTTCAACGACAGTCTTTATGTTTATTATTTCCGAAAAAATAATCAAAAACATCAATTAATCATTATCATCACAATGTTGTAACAATCAATGAAAAGGGATTCCCCCAAAAATGTTTTTTGTTTTCAAAAATGGAACTGTTGAAAAAAAGCACAAAAAACAATTGATGTTTGTGGGAGTTGAAGTGATGTAAAGTTCAAAAAATAGATTATGCAAGTATGAGTGAGTTGTGAGAAAACTGCTCTTTTTTTGCTCCATATGTGACAAATCATTTCACCTTTGTCTATGCCACCAAACATTAATGAATAACTTATATTTTCATCGGTTATAATAAAAGGAAGAACACGGGTTTGACTCCTCCTTCGCCCTAAACATGGTGGCACACGGAGCCACGCCCATTTTTTGCTTGCTCATTTCCCTCTTCCCCCTTTTTGCCCCCTTTTTTTTGAAGAGAAACAATTGCATTTATTTCAGCTGTTTGCACTTTTTCTAATTTATTTTGAAAAGATTAGAAGTTGAGATTTGTTAGAATTTTTAATATGAAAATAGCAATGGAAAATGTAGAAAATAGTAGTAGTATAATAATTGAATAAGAAATTTTCTATTTATTTCATTTTTGCTAATCTTGCGCAACCCAATCTACCTATGCCAGATTAAACCCCTTTTTGCTGCCTTTTCTAATTTCTCGCCTTGTGCATTGCATTATTTATTTGTGTGGCAATTTTCAAGAATTCCTATTTTTTGAAAGGCAAGGTATTTGAAAAGCCTAGTTTCCAGATGTTTTTTTATAACTTTCAGTAAAATAGGTAGGTCTTTCAATCTAGGTTGAATAAGGTTATTTCGAAATATTTTAAACACATTGTTTTCCGAAAAGGTTTGCTCTGAGTTTCAAAAGTTTCAAGTTTCAAATTTTGTTGAGAGATCAAAAAACTTTTTGAGTACATTTGTTGAGTTTGGAATTTTCGCTGCTGTATTGGAAAATTATTTGGGATTAATTTTCTTTCAGTATTTCAAGCACCCAGTCGCTCGTTCATAAAAATTAACAACAAAACTGTTAATTGAGAGATTAATAGTGAAATTTCGAGATTTGTTTGATATTTTTAATCTGCCAGAAAAAGTGTTGTAAAGTTCAAGCTTTAAAGATTTGAGGTAGTAACACACTGTGTTATTTTCCTAAATATAACCCCTCAAACATCATCTCATCAACACTTTTTTTCATCGCCCTCATATTCCATCCAAATTAGAATTTAAAAATTCCCTGGCCCAATCATAAATCATCATTGTTCCAGCCCATTTGCTATCCCAATTTCTTTTTCTTCTTCCCTATTTGTTTATTTATTTATGAATCCAATAACCCTCAAAAGGTTAAATCCCAATACTTTTATTAGTTTATCCATATATCCGTTCATCTAGCCAATTATCGCCACCCTTCTTCGTTCTTCATTTCTCGTTCTTTTCATTCATTTATTCCTTTTTCCTTCTTTCCTTCCATGGCTCCAAAAATACAATTATAACAATCTTCTTCTTCTTCATCTATTTTTTCTACTCGAAGAATAAGACATCTGCGCATTACGTGTCATCATACTCTATAATCATTGCATAATTCACCGCTTTCCTGTTTTTTATTGGAAGGTGGAATAAATTGAATTTATTTAGTTAGTTTGTTGTAATGGATATGGATGTAAGGTTTCGACTTTGCTTTTCCGTTCGTTCATTCGTTTTGTTTGAAATTTGATATTTTCATCGTCGTCTCTTTCTAATATTTTAACTTTTAACTTTTACTTTTTTCCAGAACCTCGATGAATTGAATTGAATATGAAACTATTATTTTTACTACTTTTATCAGTAGTACCTTGTTTAAATTTACCTATTAAAAACAATTTAATAACTCCACGAACACCGAATGCAAATTCTCAAGCATATATTGAAACTTCAAATGTGACTAGTCAATTTACAATTCATGCCGCAAATATTTCAAGTTGCCGATTTCGCACTGCAGTTATTCCTTGTGAATGTTTTCTGTTTGTTGGAACAGGATATCGATTAGAAGAAAATGACAAAATTGTGAGTTTTGAATTGGTAAAATGACAATGAAACTTGATTTCAAATGATCAGACCTGATTATTTGATTGAAATGTCATTCCACAAAATTTTATATTTCATTCTGCGTTCTGAACTTCTATGTATTTGCTTTAAACTTTTTATAATTTTTGTTTTTAGATATCAAATTTTGCCGTTGGTCCTCCTGATGTAAAAATCTTCATCCCAAGCACACATGAAATGCTCAACGAACTATCGGTGCACATTGAGCCTAAATTATGTCGACCAGACCCATCGAAAGTGCTGCTGGAATATCGATCATTCCAGGTTGAATATTTTTCCTCAAAGTATTAATTCATCTGATAATTTTTCTAGGTATTTCCCGGTGAAGAGGAGACAAGCTGGAAAACCATTGCAAGCATTTCAAAAATATTGAAAGATTCAAAAACGAGCCTAATGTTTGGTTGTAAACATTTCGCTGACCCCGGTTATTATCGTGTGTCAATTCACCTTTCCTTGGTCAATTATACGGTTCAGGTTAGCTTGATTTATTGGGCGTGAAAAACAGACAAAATATATGTCATGATATATCAAAACATATATGTATGTAGTTCTAGAATAGAATTCTCTATGAGCATTTTTTCTATTGTTGAGAGGATTAATAATTAATCTTTTTTTGGTGTCAGATAGATGAGAAAAAGCGCTAGCTTGAAAAAATATACACATTTCCGGAATGAACCTTTTCTCATTTCCTCTGATGTTTTTTTGTGTATGTGTGGGAATAAATAAACAAACATCTTATCTGATGTGAGTGCTTTTTTGTGCTGAAATATTCAATATACCACACAGCGCCAGAAACAAAAAAGAGGATGAGCATGAGCCAACCAAAAATGAGGACATTTTCATCACCTTTAATGGAGGGCGCCGCCCGGCGCCGCGACTCATGAGATAAAAAACTTAATTTAAAATTTTCTCTCGTTTTTCATCATACTGGTTGACGAGGGGTTGAAATGTATATGATCAAATTTTTTTCATTTTTTGAACCAAAAAAACCAATAAAATAAATTCACCTAATTTCCGTTCACTTAAAATGAGAAGAAAAAAGAAAAAACTCGAGGTCTACCCATAAAAAGAATAGAAACGTGCACTAATAAATATGAGCAATTTTATGGGAAAAATGAGAAAAGGAACGAAAAAAATTGGTTATAAGTATAAGTATAAGTAATTTTCAGGCTGATCGATGGATTGTTGTAAATCGTACAAATCAAAACACCTTGCAAATGCGTGAAGACAGCATTTTTCCACATTGCACTTCAGATTATAGTATTTCTTGGAATCTTGCACAATGTTCAATGGATCATTTACATTATCGTTTACGAATTCTTTCAGTTCCAGAAGATGCGAAAAATCGAGAGGAGGAAGCACAATATATTGGTACTTTTTTTTGAAACAATCTAATTAATTTAGTCATATTCCCAAAAGAGTTGTATCCTATTGTTTTCAATGAGGGTTCGTAAAACATCATTTTCTGGTGAAATGTGCCAGATTTAACAGATGAGTTAGGCTAAAATGAATAAAAGAGGGAGAGAATGAGGGAAAGAGTGAATTATGACGATGGGAATTGGAACATTAACTTGTGGCAAACTCATTAACCCGATATGGGATTAATTGTTTCAACATTGAAATGTATATAGTTGTAGGGGTAGAATAGAGACTAGAACTAGAAAAAATTTTTGATATTCTAGTTTTGTCAAGAAAAACTTTGAATCGTGTGAAATTCAAAGTATATTTATATTGTGAATGTTCATTTTCATTTGGAGTTTTCTGAAAATTAACAGTTCCTTTTTGAAAAAAAAATCTGAAAATAAAATTCAAATAATAATTGTGATCCTTTTCTTTTTTGATTTTTGAAATGATAATATATTTGAATTCGTTTTGCCCCGATGTTCATTTTCAAAAATCCCACAAAATCTTTCAATTTTTCCAGAAGAAATCGGAATCACCCGATCGCAAAACTCAATAAAACTGAGCTGTTCCCAATTCGACATCATCAACGAAAAATATTGTTTCGAGCTCGTATCTGTCAACAAGAATTCATCAATTTCACATACATGGCAGAGTATTTGTGTCAGTACAGAACCAGGTGCGTTTATCCTCCTTCATTTTGCGCCAAATATCAGAATAAACAAACAAATGTCTCATTTTCGACTAATTTGCATACATATTTTTAGTTATGACATATGGCAAGGTAGAAAATTCTGGGGGAAGAGGCAGGTGACATTGAGACCTCTTACAAACTTCCGGTGGTAAAAGAAAATTATTTTCATTTTTCCTGCTCATTCTTATTAGCTCAAAGAGAAATAATTTTGAGTTGGGGGTAAATTGAATCGAGTCGGAAGACCCTTCAGATCGTTTGTAATTGTATTAGTTGCGTTGAGCGTGAAAATTTCTTATTATTATTTTTATTATTTGTGACTTTTTTCAATTGAGATTTCTGGGGACCAAAAAAATACAACCATATGTTTATGTACAGTATGAGTGTGAATATTCAAGTGCTTGTCATTCTTTTTTGTGCTCATGCTCATCTGCCTAATTATCGACAGCCGTTCATTTTACCTGTGCTATTTTTCTATTCATGGTTGTTGTGAAGCAGATGGGATCCCTCCCGCTGAGGGTCAAGCATCATAACAAAATTATATATACTTTGAGATCATCATTTTTTCTTTCATTTTCAGAACATTTTTCAGAAATAATAGTTTTTCAAAGAAAACACTTATAGGTTTTAGAGCGATTAATTGATGAAAAACAACAATTATTTTTGTGCCAGTGCCATCCTTTTAGAACCATAGATAATTACCGCTTTTTAGCAGCACACAATATGGTTCGACAATTAGAAAATCGTTTCTGCTTTATAAAATGAGTGAATAAAAGAAATCAGAACAATAACAAGAAAACAACATATGAGGAGGCTTTTAACTCAACTCGAATGAATTAATTATACATATGTAAACATTTTGCAACAAAAGTGCTATTAATCATTCATATTGTTATTATGTACATCCTGAATTTTCTAAAACTATGGCAATTTTTGAGGGACAAAATGTATAATTATTACGTTTTGCAAAAGTGCGCTAATTTTTTTCAAGTGCTGCTGTATAGTAGAGTCATTAAAGTTAGGTACAAGCTTGGAAGGAGCAGGGGAACAAAAACACAGACATCCAAAAAACTTGTAAGGAAAATATATATTTTTTCAGTTGATCGAAAAATTGGTGGATGGTCAAGTTGGTCGGAATGGAGTGCTTGTTCGGAAACTTGTGGATCTGGAAGACAACGCAGAGTACGGTATTGTAATGAGCCTGTTCCAAAACGATCGAAATATTGTGATGGTCCGTTGATTGAAACACAAGAATGTGCGCTTTCAAAATGCCCGGAAGCCATGATGACTCAAAGTTTGGCGACGAATTGCACTTGTGGTTGTCATCTTGATCCAGAACCACGATCATTTTTTGCTTCTTCAAGGCATAGTCGAGTTTGTGAAGGAAATCAAACTTGGACTCTTCCCAAACTATATGGAACCAAGATTGCTGATTTTACTGTGAAGAAACAAGGAGATGCAAAAGGGAAATTGTTTTTCTTTTTGAGAGCGCCATATCAGGTTGGTTTTTTTGTATGTAGGAAAGGTGTTTCAAGTTTTCTAAATAGTGTTGTGAAAAATATGAGATTAATTTTCGAAGTCTTAGAAAATTTGTGCTCAGTTTTTTTTCATCAAATCTCGACAACCTATTTTTAAGCGATTTTTTGTTCAAAAACGTGTCATTTTCTCAGTTTGAATTCATCAACTCATCATTCCAGGAACTCGTCTGGTCCTCTGATTCCCATCAAGATTATCAATTCTCCCTTCCGATGTCTGCTTCAATTCATATCGTATTATGGAACAAAGAAAACGAAACCTATCGTTTTTCTCAAATCGAAGACGGCTTCACTGTCTCATATTCAATTCGAGGTCAGTATTTTTGCTAATCAAAAATTCTCACTAAAAAACTAACATGCCAAAAAAATAATTATTTTTTTATAAACCAAATTCAAACCAATCCATCAAAACATCTGACATTTTTAGTTATGAATATAGTCATGTCAGATATAGACATGCTCAAAAATGTGCAGGCAAGAGCAATTGACATGTATGAAATTGGAAGACGAGTAAAAAGCAGAAGAAACACAAGTGTATGCGTGTGGATGTGTGGTAGTAGTAGGGGTTTTCTAATTAAAATGCAACAACAAAAATTCATCCTTTTTCCCTTTTTTGAGCAGAACTTTGTTCCGGATGAAATTGAAAATAGGGACGCTTTTTTTGCAGATTCTGATGGTTCTCCAACTGTTGCAAAGATTGATTCTTGCCAACCATTTTGCCCAGAAACAATGGCGATCGCGTTTATGGCAATTATTTTTATCTGTATAATTTTTGTTCCTCCTATTGTTTGTGCAGCAATCACGGCATCAATGCGACGGAATTCAACACCGGAAGTTCCATTAATGGATAATAAATATGATTCAGAAATGATTAGAAGTGGAAATACAGAAACAACACATGTTAGTTCACGGAATTATGTGGCGAAACGAAGTATTGGTATACAACTCAGTGTTCAAAGTACGCCAAGGTAAGTAATGACAAAAAAAAACAAACAGGAAGAATGGAATAACGGAAATATTTTTGAAAAAATTGATATTTCAATTTATGCCGGTGTTATTTTAGAAAAAACAGGAACTGAATATTTTCCATTAAAAAAAACAAAACATGGAGAAATTCAAAAAATTCACAAAGTTCTCCAATGCTTTCCAAAAACAAATTTTCTAGAACTGCTCGAGCTTGTCACTCGCAAGAATCTCCAGTTCCACCTCGCGGTCATTCTTCTCTCAGCGAATGTGAAGAACTTGAATACGACTATTATGATGGTACAACATTCCCAGGAAGTTTATTAGCTCCAGTACAAGATGTTATGCACTCACAAATTGATATTGATCAGGTATGTATGTACACATAAAGCTATAAAATGTGGTATTTTCACACTTAAATATTTATCAAAAATAACTTTAACTTTCAAACAAAAGTACAATTTTATGGACATATTTTTATATTTACAGATAATCGGCCAGTCGGAATTATTTATCAACAGTTCTGAAAAAGCAGATGTTCACACACAAATTTAACGATTCTAACTTTATGTTTTTTGTACCCGGTGCCTTTTTTTCATGTCACAAATTATTATTTCAAAAGTTCAATTATATTTTTTCAAAAATTTATTTATCATATCATTGCGGGATTGTTTCTTCATATTTTTCTGTCTGTTTCTGGCAAAGAGCTTCAGGTTTTTCTTTCCAAATAAACTTTTTCTCTATAAGTTTTATATCATATAAATGAATGTGCAAAGTTTTGAGATCAAAGAGATGGAGAACAAATAATAGGAGGGATATTTGCAAGAAAAAAGTGTGATTTTCAAAGTCGCTGGACTTTTGACTTTTATCACTTTTTCTTCGAACTATTTTCTGGTTTACGATCTTTTAGGGAAGATAGGTTGTGTTGTTTTGTGCTATGTATTGCAAAAATTCATTGGATTCTCGGAGCAATAAATCAAGGTTCAAAACTTCACTATCACTCACGAGTTTCGAGTTCATATTGGTTCGAAAACCCTAGTCTTATCAATTTTCTCATAAATATTTCCGGCACAATTATTTTCTATGACATTCATATGTTTTTTCCAGAAAAAGTTCCCATAAACAGTGATATTTGTTCACTTTTTTTCATATTTGTTGTTTCGTTGTGTTCATGACCGGTCAAAAAAGGTTCGCTTTCTGAAAGAGTTTTATTTTTTTATTATTTTTTTTTTAGAAAAAAAATGAATTGATGGCATGTGAGTCAGAAATAAATAAAAAATTTTCTCATCAAACCCTCATTTGTATATTCAGTTGTGCTTTATTTTTTTCATTGTTCTTTTAGTTCTTTCTGATTTTTTTGTAAAATTAAATTATTTCAAAATATTTTTTTCAGAAAAAAATGCTATTTTCCTTTATGATTTTATTTTTGCTCTTTCAAGTTTCAATTTCGTTGCCAATTGTCGCTGATCAAAAATGTAAGGTTAAAAGTTATTATCTTCTCCAAAGTCCACTTAAAAACTTCTCAACTAATAAAATCAATAATTTTTCAGCATGGATTGACGATCGTCTTTGCGTCTTGAAAATGGGATCAACATGTCCAAGCGGATTTGAAGAGGATAACATCAAACTGTCTGTTCAAACTGATGTTAATCCCAGGGTTTGTAATTTTCAAATCAAATTAAATAGAGAAAAAATACTTCTGAAAAAAGAGATTAGTATGAATCACCAAAAAGCTTTTTTGAATGGCTTCATTTTTCGAAAACTAAAACTTGAGTGAGTGGTTTTTTGCTCTCTCTTATTCTCATGATTCTTCTAACAATAAACATGTAGAACAAGAAAAACTTTGTTATCATAAATAATCCAATAATTCTGCTCACTGATAAAAACAATTTTTAATCATTTTCATTATCCTAATTTTAATTTTTTCAGGACACTGACATTAATGGAGATCGATTGATAAAAATGGGGAAAGCTGGAGAAACATCATTGACTCGAGATACTTATGATTCGGTTTATACACTTACCTTAGTAACGTGTTGTAAATAACTGACAATTAAATTTGTAAGGTGTTTTTTTTTCTATAATTTATATTGGAAGTTTATGTGTATTTATCTATTTCTCGGGTTTTTTGGATAACAAATGAATAAAGATTAATCGATGGTTTATTATACATAAATGACGTTTAAAAATGATTACACGTGTTTTTAAAATTAGAGAGTTTGGTTTTGAGATACAAATGAGCATAAATAGGGTATATAATATTAGTATGTCAGGGAATTCGAATGTGAGAATTATTTTTAAAAAATGTCAGGAAAATTATCAAAGTGAAATCGTGACAGTACAATTTTTAGGTCAGAATCAAAAACGTATTTCCCTGGTTCCTTGCACTTTAACTTTATTTCAAGAGTTCCTCATATCCAAAATAAAAACCTAATTTCAATTTCCTGTCCTCATAAAAATTCCCCGGCACACCTCTATTACATATCCAAAAAAAATCCAATTTCAAACATAATTAGTTTGTGCTTGACGTACTTCAAATTTCTGAATATCTGTAAAATATCGAAAACAACCACAAACAGCTCGAAGTGCCCACGTTTGAATTCCAAGTTGACAACAGAGTCCAACCAATGATATTAACGCAGATTTGGCTGAAAATAAACAGTGAATTTGAAATGGAGATGAGAGAGCTGAGAGCTTACTGTATTCTGTATGGTCTAATGTGATATCAACAAAATATTGTAGCACACATAAAGTGTTACAAGCCACTGATAGAAGAATTATTGGTATGAGCACAGCAATTGAAAACACCAAGAAGATCTGAAGCAAATCGTTTTTCAAAGTGAATAATTTTTCAATATTACCTGCAATGTGATAAATGCGAATAAAAGTTGCGCTTTTTGCTGAAGAATTCCAACAAACATATATAAAAGAGCCAAAATTACAACAATCATTGGAATCGCGTAAAGTTTCATATTCGGTTTTCGTTGCTGAAAAACAATTTGTGAAATTAAATTTTTCTTCAAAAACTTCTCTTGCCTCTTGAGATATGAAAACGCAATACATTAATGATAAACATACTCCGAGAAGTGCAAAAAATCCAATGAAACATGTAGCAATCTGATGTGAAAATCAAATTTTGTATTTTGAAAAAAATCACAATTCGAAGAAAAATGTTACCTTAACATGCATACATCCAAAACAGGTCTGATATGAATCGTGATTATGATTGAATATTCGAATACTTTGTGTGCTTTTTTGACTTCGCATTGATCGCAAAGATTTTTGACTTTTTATTGATCTCAAACTTTTCATCGAATTTGCATGTGATAACACTTTGGGGGTTTTAGGCGAATCCATTTTCACTACTGAAAAAAGTTTCAAGTGAAAAATTAAAATATGATGGTGATTTGGAATGAAAAATCTTTGGACTTGAGGAGCAAAAACAAAAAAAAGAAAAAAAAAACAAGAAAATCCAGTCAGTCAGTCAGAACATTTGAATTATTCATGAATCATAATTATCCTGTTTCTTCACTTTTCACTCTCAAACAGTTCAATTTCAGTCAGAAAGAAAATTGGGAAAAAAATTTTGGCGAAAAAAATGAAATAAAAAATCAATCTGAAAGCTGACAGCGGATTACAAGATTAGGCAAACATGAATATCTATTTATTTTATATATAAATTGAGGCACGAATTCTTTTTTTTCTCTTTTCTAACAAATGTTTTTCAACGATAGATTTAGAGGATAATAATAATTAGCTTAATCATTGACGTACATTTTTTCCATTTTCGAAAAGTGCAACTATTACGTGTGTGTTATATGTGTGTATTAATATATTTAATATGAAAATGGATAAATAGCAAGCAAACAAACTATAATTTCCTGATATGCGAATATTTCCGGATAATCACGAGATTTTTCATTCAGCAAATAAAAAAACACAAACCCACATAAACACAACAACGTCATTTAATGACTGGAACTTTTCTAAAAAAAACTCATTTAGAAAACAAACTAGAGTTTGCGTTTCTTGATTATTTCAATTTAAAAAACAAGATGATGTTTACATCAAGTTTTATGGATAAAAAGGATAATTCGGATTTTGTTCAAAATGTCATGCGATGGGATTTTATATTGTTTATTTGCTGAAAATCACGAAGGAGGGGGAATCGTGAAAAACCATTCATTCACAAGAAAAATTCACGTTTTGGATTTTCAAAATGTTTTCGAAATTCTGGAAAGATTTCGCTGATTATTTATTTTCAAATTATCTACCACACTTTCTTTTCAAAGTCACAGTTCTTTGAAAAAATTCATTACAAAAAATGACTCAACACAGAATTGAATAAATTTCGAAAATGAAATTATTGTTGTTCATTTTTCTTGAACTATTGTTAGAGAAACTATAAATACAAACCAAAATAATTGAATTTGTAAAAATGAATTCAATATTTTATCTACTGGTTTTATTTTCTGTTGTAACGAGATCTATAATATTAAAGCATTCAAACAATTCTACATTATCACATTATTGTAGAGTACATTCAGAAGTTCATTCACACGAAGGAGTTATTAATGTTCGAGTGAGCGAAATTTAAAAAAAAACAAAGTTGGCATTTGACGTTCCTAGAAAAAAGTAGCAGCTAACTTCTCTGAAATGCTTACAAGAAAAAAAGAAAGAGAAAACTTGAGTCCAAGAAATGAAAAATTCATGTATCAAAGGAAGTGATGAAAACAAAGTTTTTACGTCTATTTTCTTTTTGATCCTGAGAATGAAAATTGAATTCAGAATTTTTCAGAGAATTACGTCTGAAAATAAATATACAATCATTGTTTCAGGAGGTCAAATCATACAACTCGAAAGATAACTGCTATCAACTAAACAAAACCTTCTCATCCAAAGGTTTATTTTTCACATGTTCTACAAATCAATGCGGAAAACAACATTTTCTAGAGATTCCTTGTAAAGAATATGATAATTCTAAATGCCTCAAAACCTAATGATTTAAAATTTTGTATTTGTATCATAAAAACTATGAATTTTTTTAGAATTTTCATCTGAAAGTTTATCTGGAAGTTTGATAAAATCTTTAAAAAAACCGTGGCATTCAGGAATGACGTAGTTTTCTTTGTCGAGTTGAGAATGTTCTTGAAAAACCACTATAAAGTTGATTCAATTACCTTCCAATATAATCTTTGGATTTATTGTGCACTACTCATGAATTACGTCACCCACGTTCAGTTTTAAACATTTATTATGTTGAATTCATTTATCTTTCATTTTCTTATGTATAACGACGTTTCATTTTAAAATTGAAGAATATTACAGAACTTTTTTCTGGATTATTGAAATAAATTTGAACAACATCAGATTACTGAAAATTGAAAATATAACTTGAAAAAAAGCCCCTATAAAAAATTATGCACAAAAATCAAGGCAATTATCACAGTATAAATTGGTCCATGCAAAAAATAAACATAGAATAGAACCTAATCATCATCGGTATCATAATCACTGTTTGCAACACTCTCACAATCTGACGACTCCATAATTTCTCGCACAAGTTTTGCTACACTTTGATCATACTTGAGACGAGCTCGTGTTAATGCATTTGTGAATACTTCCTGGAAATTTTATTGTAAGAAGAAACTGAAACTAACAATTTTTAATCACTTACTATGTCATGGTTTGATAAATCAACATATCTTGGTGAAACATTATTTGTTGAATTTCTTTCCAATGTATTATGCACTTGTTCGAGTGTTCTGATCCAGTTTCTCTGAAATTTGGTTTTGAAAAATTATAATTTAGTGAGAGGAATTACCAAGTTCCAATAAATCTGCCAATGTGTAGCGGTTGCATAAACAAATCTTTGAATTTCTGCATTTGTTTCATGAATTTGAGTCAGCATTTGCTATAAATTTTTGCATTTTTCAATAAAAAAATTCAAAAGTTCTTACCTCCATAACTAAATATCAATATAACATTCAAAAAGAAATGAAGCACTACCCGTCGAAAAGAAAAAAGCAAAAAAAATCTATAATATAATGTTTGTCGAGATTATTAATACAGACATTATAATTAAGGAGAAAAGGAGGGAGCCCCAAAGCAGGAGAGCAGGTGCAATTAGAGATTAGAAATGAGAAGGTTATCTACCTATTTTAATTAAATGGGTAGCTAGCAACCTCGATTCTGTGCATTTTTAATGTTTTTTTCGGAAAAGAGAAAACAAAATGCTCAAAGATTATGTGAGAAAAAAAGATTGGAATGATATTGCAAATTATTTTTCATATGAATTGCGTTAAATATAAAGAAGGAAAAATGTTGTACTTTTTTCTTAGAAAATTGGCATTTCTGATAATTTTGTAGATTTATGTTTGATAAAAAATTGAATCATTGTTCGAGATGAGTAAAATTTGAAAATTTTTATTTTATTATTAACGTTGATTCGCTAATTGAGCTTCTTCTGTTACGCTACCTAAACAGATTTTCTTGAAAATCGTGATTTATAACCTAAATTGAATTTTTCCACGTCATTCATATTCATATTAGAGCTTTTTGACAGCAGTATTCAAACTAGAAACATAAGTTTAATATAATCACTAGTTGTTTTTTCTTCTGTAGTTGTGCAAACTCTTTTCATCCTAACACTGATATCATAGTTTTTTTGTCATTCTCGATTTTTTTCTAGAAAAAATCTACTTGTAAATGTCAAATAGCTTGTTAAAAAAATATAAAAATAGAAAAAACTACGCACAAACTATCTTTCGATGTGACATGAGATATATATATATTTTTGACTCCGGAAATCTTCTTTTTCCTTAATCTGATCCCAAAACATCAAAAATTATAATGTTTCCCACGTGTCGAGACTCGATAAGAATGTGGCAAAAAGTGTTGATATTTTTGACAAATAAATATTTTCTCACAACGTGTGAAACTGTATATAAGAACAGCGTTGAATATTTCTCGACAGAAAAATGAAATTCATTTTTTGTGTTGGTTTCTTCATTCCACTTCTCTTCGCTTTTCCCGCTCCGGAAAACGAAGACAAAACTGTAATTCTCGCTTCCAATCAAACATCCAACTATTTCAGAAGATGTGTAACTCGTTATTCGAGTTCCTCGATTAATGGTGTATCTGAAATCAAAGTAAGATATGCCACTGACAAGTTTTGATTTTCAAAATCAATTTCAGGAAAGGAAAATTGTTGAAATCAACGAGAATTGCGATGAATATTCGAAAATTTCTTCAAAGTCACCAAATTCTACAGAACTTGTCTTCACTTGTACCCATAAGAAATGCAATGATAAAGGAGAAGGCAAAACAATCGACTGCAAACAATTTGAAAGCATTGAATGTCTATAAATTTTCATAAATCATGGTTCATCAATATGTGTTTTATTTTTCATAATTAGCCAATGGAAACGAAATAATATTGCAACAATGAAAAAAATCAAATACAGAAAAATCAAAAAGGCTGAAAGAATTGAAAAATTGAAAGAATGTTTCCGACAAGCTCAAAGTTCAACCAAGAGCTAAAAATGTTCCTCTCTAATACGTTTCTAACAATCGTCATAATCACTTTCGACATCACTTTCACAATCCGAAGAGTTAGTCAATTCGTACATATCTCTGACAATAGATGTATTGAGTTGTCTAGCATTCATATTGTAAAGTTCATCGACAAAACTCTGAAATTATTTGTTTCAACTTCCTAACAAAAGTTCATCTTACAATATCAAAATGGACCGGATCGAAGCTACCTCGTACCACTGAACGAACAATTCTTCGGAAGACTGCTACGAGACCGCGACATTGTTCGAGCTGCAAGAATAGTATTTTTTATAACAACATTTGGTTGTAGAAAATATTACAATTCTCCGATAATGTTGCATTGGAGTTTCTCTTGGATTGGTGACATTAGGGAAACTTTCCAATAACTGAAGAGTCAAGGTGTACCAGTCCTGGAAAATAAAATATTTTTGGATACTCTTTTTTCAACGTTTGATTTTTCGGAATTCATCTTTTTTTGTAACGTTTCACGAAAAAATGTTTTCAAAGTGTTTATCAAGTTTCAATCAAAACTATACCTCGTTATGCATTATTCCGAGTGGATGAGCCATACTTTTTGCTCGCGCGATCCTTGGAAAAACCTGAAAATGTTTTAAAATAAAATCTCTAGAATTTGATAAAATACTCAAAAAGCAACAATAAATTTGATATAAAATAGTTATTTCACGTGAGGATGATAAAAGATAATTATAGGTTATAAGATATTTTATATTTTTAATGAAAGTGCAAAGCTATCGTAGTTAATGAAAGTGCAGAGCTATCGTATTGTAGAGCTTTTACAACTTTTTTTGTGAATTTTTGGTGTGTGTTATTCTTCCAGCAACTGCTATTTGTTTTTTTCTTAGAACATTTTAATTATTTTCACACTGGCTAACCAAAACATATAGTCTAGCATTATGGAACACTCGGTAACATTTATGCAGGGTCTGCAGCGAGTTGAAGATTCAGAAGGCTCTAACAGAGCGTGAAAGAGGTAAACGCGCTGGTTTTAGAGTCACAATTTTTAAGATTTGTATTTTTGCTCAAACCTCTTTAGAGTATTGTTATTTTCCGTTTCATAATTGAATTAACTAGATAATTCATAATTTCAAAACTTTTTGAGTTTCATCGATCAGAAAAAAACGAATAGGAGATCTAACATGAAAAAAATACACGTGAAAAAGTTATATTCTTTCTAATAATCACTTTCATAATCACTTTCAACATCGGTTTCACCATCTGAAGAGTTAATCAATTCGTAAATTGCTTTGGCAATGGGTTCATTGACTTGATCCACTGTTCTATTGTACAGAAGATCGACAGTTTCCTGAAAGTTTTAGTTTTACTTCCTCAAACAAACTTGACTCACCATTTCAAAATATTCCGGTTCGAAGTGCCCTCGTAACATTGAACAAAAAATTCTTCGGAATACAGTCAAGAGACCGCGACATTGCTCAACCTGAAATGAAATTTCAATTTGAATAAATTATTGTTTGAAAAAGATTCGTACAATTCTGTGATAGTATTGCATTGGGGTTTCTATCGAACTGTTGAAATTGCATGAATTTCGGTTTAATGTGAGAGCCAAGGTGAGCCAATCCTGAAAAAATAATATTTTTCTGGATATGCTCTATTTTCAAAAAGTTATTTTCAATAAGCATTTTCAGATTGTAATTTCTTACAAAACTATACCTCGTCCTCCCGAACTCCGTTCGAATCTGACATCCCTGAAAAACTTTATGTATAGAAAGAATTTGGATAAATCTCGAAAAAGTAACATTATTTTCATATAAATTAGTTAGTTCACGTGAGGATGATAAACAATAATTACAGGTTAGAGGATACTTTATACTTTTAATTAAAAAGTACATAGTATAGAAAAAGCTTTTCATGTTTTTGACGTATAATATTTTTCTAGATAGTGATAAATTGCTAATCAGAAGGCTCAGTTAGACATTTTGGTACATCTTTTAGGTAAATGTAATCTGAACCTCAGATAGTTGAAATTTGGAATTTGAAATATTCCGTTTTATCACGTTGATTTTATTTTACGAATATTAGTCTATTAAAATAAAATTCCATATGAAAAAGTAAAAAAACTTCTAAAAATAAAAAAATTTAAAAGAAATTTGTGAGAAAGATAGCAAAAAATGTTATGTTTTGAAAAGGAACAACGTTTTTTAAATGATTGCTCTCTTTTAATTGATTTGCGAGACACACTGTAATGTTTTTAGAAGACTTCTACTAATAATGAGCGTTTTGAAATCATTAGCCATATACAATTCAGATATTGTTTTTTTCAGACGCTTTCAATATAGTTTTGCAAAAAAAAACTTCTCAGAGCTCACATTCAGGAATTTAAAGTGACGTAACGGTTTCCTTGGGTTTTCTTTTTTCTTAAATGTATGAAAATAAGTAAGTGAGGATTATAATCACTCCAGACCTTCTTGATCCTGATTCAAATCACATCCGGGCCGCGTTTTTCCCACTGACGACTAGATGAATCTGAAGAGCAAGCATTGGGAATTGAGCCAGTAACCCTTAAATCCCTTTTCTATCACTTATAAAACAAAATCAACAAATTTTCAACAAATTTTTTTTGTTCATTTGTTATGTCTTTGATGCACCTGAAACTGTTATACACAAAACTATTTTTTGCGAAAAGTTGGTTTTTCTCAAAATGTTTTTCTCCAAACACCATTTTTTCCATATTCATTGAAGAATGAATGAGGAAATCGACAAAAATTATGAGGCAATTCTTTAAAATTAAATTAGAAAATCGTTAAAAATCGTCGATTCACAAAAACTATATATGTATGTTTCGCCAAAAAACAAAGAAGATTTTTTGTATTTATCACTCGGTTAATAAGTACATTTCCCCCTTTTTCCAGGCGAAATATTTTTTCGTAATATTCAAAATCCAAATGAGTACTCATTATTTATTATAATCACTTTTGTTATTATTTTTCTTTTTACTTTTGATACTTTATCCAGTCATATGATAATGAATTTGCGTGCTTACAATTTCATTATTTTTTCTAGCAACCAATTAAAACACATACCTTATTTTTATTTTTTCGTTATCACGCAAGAAATTTCCGAAAATTCATTTTTTTTCTGAATCAAAAAAAATATTTTTCAAGAATCTAGAGAAAGTAAAAAAAAATGTTTTATCGTGAAAAATAGTGTCTTTTATTGTTCCAATCCGTTGTTGCTTGTTTTCACGTTAACCTTTCAAAATATTTTTTTTTTCAGAAAAGTCTAGTAAACAGTTTTCATTCAATAATTTCGTCATGACAAGATGCCCAAGAATTATCGAACCGCTTCTTCGTCGACGCAGAGAAGAGGTCAGCAATATTCTGAAAAATTATAAAATAGTTGATTGTCTTCCAGGAAAAAGTCAAAAGAGCTATGCGCCTTTTAAGATATAAAAGACGTCATCCAACTGCGCCAACTCCAGACACTTCTGATGAAGAATTTGGGGTATGTGCTTTTCAAATCACACAATTGTTTAAAAAAACAAACATCTATTTGAATGTTTCAGGCAAGTGAAGAAGATGAAGAACTTGAACATTCTGATGATGAATCAGATGTTGAAGATGAACAAGAAATGGAAGAAGAAAATGATAATTATGTAGATGATGAAGAAGAACACGTAGAATATGAGAATGTGAACCAAGAGATCGAACTTCCAGATTGCAGCTCAGAAAGTAGCTATTCTCCAAGATCAGATGAAAGCGGAAACGAGAGCGATGACTCAATAAAATCTGATGAAAACGACAAGGAAGAGGAGAAACCACAAATTTATATTGATAATAAAAATGTTAAATAGTGTATTTTTGCATGAATTCGCCATTTTATGAATAAAGCTTCATTATTCAGATTAGAAATATCATTTGAAATTCCAGCTGATATTTTTGTCATTTTACAAAAAAAATAAGATCATCAATTTTAGATTTATTTTGCCATATATTTTCTCCTCAAATTGTTTGAACACGTTTGTTATTGTCAGAAAGACCTTTTTTGTTTATGTAGTTTTAAACAAAAGAAACAAACGAAAACAAGGAACGCGCCGTTTATGTTTTTTATCTTGAGTTTAAAAAATCTAATTTTTTAAAGGAATCTTATTTTTCTACTTTCACTTTTTCATATTTGCTCATTGCAAGTTCAAAATTTTCCACGTCAATTAGTTAGTCATTTTTTCGGCACCGTATTTGAAAAGAAAGATGGAAGAGGTTAGTTTTCGTAAAACAGAAATTTGAACTGAATAACTTCGATTTTTAGGCACAAAGAAGAGAAGAGGAATTGAAGCAAAAGAAAATAATCAAAATGGAGACATTGAAAAAATCAAGCAAGGTACAAATTTTCAGTAAAAACTATGCTTGAAACAAATATGGATGTTTTTACAGAATCTGCATAAAGTGGATGAGCAATGTTTTTCTGACACATCTAGCGAAGTCGAGTTTGATGAAGATGATCATAAAATAATGCCGATTCCAGAAAAGTGGTGTTGTGTTGAAACGAAAAAGATCAATGTTGTTGCAAAAAATTTTGATTCTACAAATTACCCAGCTTCCAAAAATTGACTTTCAATTTATATTTTTTTTAATTTTTGTATAAATTTTATGGAGATATTTCTTTCCTATGTTTGTAATATGTGATTTTTCTGTAATTGCATTTCTCAAATTCCGTCCTTAAAAAGGTATTGTTTCCGTGTTTCTTATTTTCAAATTTTTCCCATGTTCCAAATTTTCGCACCTTGAAAATTTGGGGAATATTCATCAACACGCGCCAGTTTACCATTTTTCACACCTCGTGTTTCCCAAATCCAAAAATGTGTCAAAATTAACATCTGTTATTCGATCATCAATGTCCCGCCTCTAAATTGTTTCAGATACTTTGAGCCCCGCCCTTTTTGAATCATATAAAAGGAGCCACCAAGACTGGATTATCATTCAGTTTTCAAAACTGAATATTCTAGCTCAACTATCTTTTCTAAGCAGAGTTTAGATATTACCCTGTGATATTTGAAAGAGGTATACATGCTCGGCTTAGAGAAGGTGGTTTGGAGCTATCTTAACTTGCTCATCCGCCATCTCCTAACGTTCATTTCTAATACCTGGTAGTTGAAAAGGTATGAAATGATCCGTTTGGAAGTGGTGGCTTTTTGAGCTCACTTTTTTATTCACCTAGTTTTTATTTTTGCTCATTTACCATTTTCCTGATGTAGTTTATATACCTGAAGTTTGATATGGTATAAAGCATATACCAGGAACGTGGAATTTGGGATGATTTTTTATGTTCAGGTCAACATGTTTTCCAGACTTTTCCTGCGAGTTGCTCCAAACGCACCTCAAATGAGACAAATTGCTAAACACTCGAGCGGCTTGCCCCAATCTCGCCCGAATTGCCGCCGGCCAGTTTTGAAAAAAATGCAAAAGAAATATTCTGAAATAATCGACCAATTACAATCATAGAAATTATATAGTGTTCCTTATGGTGAAAATTAGAGAAAAAGACAGTTCGATGTCCCTGTGAACCAAATATGTGGTTAGTGATAACACGCAAGGAATTGGTTTTGTGATTAGAAAATTTAGTGCCTTTTTTGTAAAAGTGCAAAAAAGACGAATATGACACCAAAACAGGAAATAAACACTAAAAAAAATATTTCGAAACTTTCCCAAAATTTCGAATTGTTCATTGAAGCATAATAACACTAAATTTTTATTTTTTACATTTTACTATTTACTATGAGTGACTATGATACTTCGAGCATTTCAAGTGAAGAAGATGTTGAGAATAAAGAAGAAACATGTAAGCAAAACATTTCAAAAATAAAAAATAATACTGTCCGTTTGCCAGCAAAAGAAAACGCGCCCCGTCGCACTTTTTTCCTGCTGCCCCGACTTTTTTTTTGTTTTGAAAGTACCGAAATTTTCTTTTTTTTGTGATTTCGAGTTGTTTTAGAATAAAAAAAAGTTCATATTTGAATCGCCGCGCAACCTCCGCTGACGAACGGAAAAATACATTTTTTCAGCGCAACAATGGGTTTATCGACATCTCGTTCAATTTACAAATTGCGAAGATATTTCTGCAAAAACACTGGTAAGTTTATATACATTTCCAATTTTTTCCAAAAATTTTTCAGGTTGATGGAGATTGCTCTCCTCTCATTCAATTGTTAACGGATATGACTCAAACGAAAACTTTATTTATAACTGTAACTAAACCAGTGCAAGCAGATTTGTCGACTGTGAGTTTTGTATCAAAAACATTTGTAGATTCTGATTATAATCATTTTCAGACAGTTGTCGAACCCCCACCGGCACCCGTAGTTCTTCCACCGAAAAAAGTGAAGAGTCAGAAAAAATTGAAAAAGCCAAAAAGACGAAAAAAGAGAAAATTGAAGAAGAAGGGTAAAGAGGATAAGAAGGGTAAAAAATCGAAGAAGGACAAGAAAAACGACGTGCCTTTGATTCCTGAGCCAGTTTTGATAACCATGGATAATGTGCCAGATATGATTTTTGAATGGATATCAGAACAGGAAATCCCAAATGCAGATCAATTTCTATTTTTTATTCCAAAAAGCAAGGTTCCAAATACTGAAGCTAGTTTGGATGAGTTATATCATGTTGGATATATTAGAAATCAACGACATCTGAAGGTATATGCACAGTTTTTTTTATTTGTGTAAATCTTTCTCTTCAGGCAGCATTGAAATGCTTGGAAAAAGTTTTTCGAGAAAAGTTAACCTATGCCATGAAAATTTATCTTCTCTTGCAAATCAATGGCATCGATGATTTGAAAATTCCAAAAGATTTGGTTTTTGAGAAGTTTGTGATTTTATTTGATACTCGATGACGAAATCCTCAATTTGTTTTATTCAGGTTCATAATTGACAATATTTCGAGAAATTATAACATTGATGGGCGAATCAGAAATATCGAATCTGATGCAAGATCAATAACATTGATTCTTTCTCAAACACTTCAAGCATTTTGCAATTTACCAGATTCAACAGATCGTGCTCGTTTACTCATACAACTTTCATTCTATGACATTGAATTTCTCAGCGAATTTCCTGAAATACATGTTACATGTAGGTTTTACTTTAGATTTTTATTTGTCATATCAAAGCATTTTTCAGCTGCAAGATTCGAACAAGCACTCGATCATATGTCCCTTCTCCAATTTTTATACAAAGAAGAAGTGACAGAATGGAATCGAAAAACCTACTTATATCTTTTGGACCTGTTCTCAACAATATTGGCACATGAAATCACAAGAAAATCAAATTTTATGACAAACTATGCTCCGGAGAAAAAAGTCGGACCAATATGTGCAAGTTTCAAGAAAGTTGTACAAAAGTTTGTGTCGTAAGTTTATTTCATAAAAAAAAGACAAAAAAACAGAATGGTTATAGTAATAAGAAGTGAACCGGGAAAATTTTCGAGGAAATAACTAACAGGAATGTTACTATGGAGGGAAGTTGTGGAAAATGAGGGTTTATCTATTTAAAATTCACTTTTTCTTGAAAACTCCTAGGAAAACAACATCGTCATCGTTGTCTTCGATTTTAATTTCTTCTGCAACATCATCATTTCCAACAACGTCCACGATCTCACTATCTCTCTAGAATCCAAAATTTTTTAATTGAAATACAAAAATTATCTTACCTGATCGTTTGAAAAGGGATCAACAGGTGGCTCTTCTTCAACTGTATACATTGTTTGATATGGAAGTTGGCAGAAAAAGTTATTGGGAACGGGGTTGTGATGTGGTGGAACTGGAGCTAGAGGCATTGGGTAATTCTGAAATATATTTTTTGAGAAGAAACCTCAAAGATTCAAAATTTCGCTATTAATTCAGTCTATTTTTTCCCCAGATTTTTTAACAACTTCCACTCTTAAAATCCTTTCTCACCATGCTTGATAGTAACATGTTGAACAGAGCCATATTCAAATTTGCTTTGATCTGATTTTGTTGAGAATAATAATTATATGACTGGAAAGTTCCATTCAAAATGTTTTCAATACTGAATAAATGTCCCCCGTTCATGTTAGCATTGGCAGTTTGATATTGTGGCTCTAATACAGGACTGACTGGTGCCACGAGTGGCGAATCTCTCAATAAAAGTTGTTCGAAAGGTCTTTGCGCATTGGTTTCATCATCTTCATAACTTGGAGATGTGTTGCTATTGTTGTTTTCACCACTCATTATCTAAAAACAAAACTTATTTTATTATTTTACAGGGTATGTCGAGAAATATTCGAAACACAAGAAGATTGGGCAGCAACAAATAAAGTATCCTTCTCATTTTATATTGTTGGAATATTAGAGGAAGAAATTGACGTGAGTGTGTTTTAAATTTTTTTCCTCATAATCAAACTATTTTGAAATTTTTTAATCGATATTTTGTTAAGAAAAATTTAAGAATAGAAATCTTGAATGCTTTCCAGCTTCTAGAACTCACAAACTTAAGAGGTGAAAAAAAACTAAAATTATTCTCAAACAGAAAGAAAAAATGTGACTAAAATAGAAAGAGCTTGATTTGGACTGCTGAAACCACAAATTTTGTTATTTATTTGTATATAAACGACATATTTTTGTAGTTTTAGAGGGGTGATTATTGGATATCTCTGCATATTTTTTAATTAAAAAATTTGCATAAAAAATGAGAAGGGATTATACGAAACAAGTTTCGAGAAATTACTTTTGGAATTTCGAATAATTGTACAAATTTGATTGTTTATAGAACGTAATTTTACACCAATGAAAGTGGAGTCTGAGATGGAAATAGTTTAGGATATTTAAAATGAGCAACAACATTTTTAGAACCCGGTAAATAGTGAAACACCGTTTAAAACGTCTTTTCTTGAATTTTTGCGTGTTCATGTGGCTTTTCATAACCTGGAAACATACATTTGAATTCGAATTTGTTCCTAGATAGCGATATTCCACTCACAGTCAGTCTCTACCTATTTTTTAAATTTTTAAATTTATTTTATAATGTTTTAGTAACTCCCTGTAGAAAACCTGTAGGGAATATTTTGATACAAACATAAAATACTTTTCTCCGAAAAGTGATTCCACTACCAATCTACATAATTTCAGAGTATAATCGAAAAAGTGGAAGAAATGAACAGCGAATCTCGAGACATGAGTCTGGATCGTAGTGCTATTCACGCGACAAAAGTTATTCTTTCTGAGCTAGATGTTTATTTACAAGAGGTATGTTTTCTCCAAAAATGGTATGCAAAAACAAAAATTGTGAGAAGCGATACAATTTTGCTTCTTTTCTTTTGTTTTTGCACAAATAAGATGTGATTTTATGTTAATCTGATTATGTTAATTTTTTTGTAGAAATGTCTCGAATCTGCAGTCGAAAGTGGAAATTTGGAATCTTTGCGAAGTTTAGCAGCAACAATCGTCAAACATAATCGTCGACTTGAACGAGTTGTAGCCCTCTATTAACCCAATCTTTGTGTTTTTTTTCTATGTAAATTAATTTGTTCAAATTTTCTCTTCTTAGAACAGAAAAAAATGTCGAATTGCAGACTTCGGTTTCCAATTAGTGAGCGCCAATGAAGAAAAAAAGGAGAAAGAATCGCAAGAAAAAAAAGAGTAGAACGAAGACAAAACCCACTAAAATTGAATTGAAATCAGTTAATGAAGCACTTCTTGAACCCTTTCCCCCACGTCACGTTTTGTTTCTGTTTAACTGGTTGGCATCATCTTGTCTCAGAAAAAAGAGAGAAAAGAAGTGTATGATTATATTAAATGCGTATTTTATATATATACATTTATATAAATATATATATTTTTATTTTTTATTCTCACTAACTAATGACACATTTTTTGGAGTGTGTATGTGTGTTTGAATGTTTCCCCAAAATTTACTAACTGACTGACTGACTGAAAATAGATTAAAAATGCAGAAAAAGATTGAGATGAATGCTAATTTTTCTATCATTATTTCTGAAAATGATTCTCACTTTTCTTTTTTGGATTCTGACTATTTATTTTAGCTTGAATGTGACTTATGAATTACAAATTTAGATATTTCAGAAAACGATATGTTTCAAGATGAAAGAATATCAAGGACATTTCCAACTATTCCACCACTTCAACTTCAACTGGATCAGGTAAATATAATATTCAAATGAATTTCATCTCGTTTTTCAAGTCCAATTCAAGTAGTAAACTCGAAAAGCACTCATTCACTCACTCACTCATTAAATAAAAAAATGTTGCGATATATATCATTTTTTGAATATATTAGTCGCTATTTCTAAACGGTCACGATGATGATGATAGATTCTATATAATTCTCAAAGTTTATTTTTTCTCGAAACTTTTTTACGTCAGACAAATCATTTGTATTCACATTTTTTGTTATCTTGAAATTTAAAGTGATGTGGGTTTCATATTTTATGAAATGTCAGTTTTGCAAAGACCTAGGTGTGTATAATTTTAAGCATCATCGCGGTCGATTAGATTACGGGTTTGATCCCTGGTGTCTACTCTCGGCAATCTACCTAATAGTAGTCCCTACGCAAGCTAAACACCTTTAACAACTCTTGTCACCCTACTTTCAAGCATCATCATTTTCATCTCACTGTCTATGATATTTCCACATTTTTTCCAAAACGAAAATCATAATTTTTGTGGGTGGTAACAACTAATTTTCATTTCCGTCTCAAATTTTTGGAATGATCAATTTTTTTTGTTCTTTTTCATTTTTTTTCTAGCTTTTTGAATATTTAGAAATCTCGCAAAAAAAAAAGATATCGTAGAGTGAGCAAGAAAAAACTAATTAGAAATAACAAAAAAAAACATAGAATCAAAAAGGTCAAAAATAGGCATTGATTTGTTTGGTGCTATCAAATGATTAATTGTGGAGAACACATGAGTTAGTTATGATAAATATTTTTGTAACAGTTTGTAACTATATAGTTTATATGCCTACTCGTGTTAGGAGGTTCGTGATTATGTCTAGAAATTAAAAAATAATTGAAACTGGCTGATGTGAGAACATCATTCATCAAAACTTGAATATAAGTTGAGTTTACAGCATTTTTCTAACATGCCAATTTCATAAGTTCGATCTTTAGGAAAACTAGTAATTAAATTCTGATATAATTTTTTCAGTAAAATTTTGAAATTTGAAACAACCGCTTTTATACCTAACAAAAAATATATGTTTTGATTTTTGCTACTTTTCAATTTTTTCCTAGAATAATTCAACAAAATTGCAAGATGAAAGAAGTAAGATTTTTGAGAAATCATCACTATCAGTAGTGAACCTTTTATGGATAACATATCCTGAAAAATCAATAACATTTTCTATACAGAAAGATGTTCATCAAAACAAGGTAGCCAAAAAAATAATAAGACTAAATTGAATATGTAAGCCGATTTATAGAGCTCCAAAAATGAACATCGACCAACGAATTTTTTTGGAAAATCAAATTTTTTTCAATTCGAAATATTCTTGATTTGCAAATCAATGATTTGACGCTATTTTGAACATTGGAAAATGATTTACATTTTTTTGGTGTTTGGTTTTTTGGAAAGCTATCAGGGTGGCCTTTATGAGGTCAACATTTACTGAAAATTTCGTTTTCTTGATGTTGAGAATAATAACATTTTCTAGCTAATGATTTTCTACTTTGAGATATTTACAAGTTCAGCTATGTCTTTTTTTTTCACTTTCACATTCACAAATATTTCTTTCGCTGAAATAATCGTACGATGATTCGGGAAAAAGTTTCCACTATCAGGAAGGACTGAAAAAAATGTAATGTTAACGAAAATTGATGGATTAGACCTACTTCAAAAAGAAGAAAAGTTTTCCCTTTCAAAATTTCCAGTTTCAAATATGAAATCTTATCAATAAAAAAAAGTAAAACGAATGCTGGAGACCAGAAAAAATGAGGAATCGAGAAAAATCATTCCGGAAAAACATTAAACAAAAAATGTGAAAAATAAAAATATCAGAAATGAAAACGGTTTTGATATTTTGAGACAGACAAAAATATGAGAACATCTGTGCAAGTTTTTCATTTGCTGCCTATTTCTCTATGTCTCTATAGTTTAAACTGTTTTCTCCTTCTTGATTTTTTTGCGCCGTCTTTGGCGAAAAAAAACAATAGGACAATGTTCGAATCGTGCCTTCTTCATCATCATCTTCATCATCTAATACACAAAAACATCGGAAAATTTTCAGCGATTTCAGCGAGGGAACAATTTATGGATAGTCTAAAAAGTGTTTCCCATGGAGATATACTAATCTTTTTTAACTACAATAATATGTAGTTTCGAGATTCTTGAAAAACATTATTTTTCTTGTTGAAACACACACATTCAGCGTGTTTTCCCGCATTTTCTTATTCACATTCAGAATTTGCTGGTTGCTAAGATGAGACATCTCTTCCGGTTGTCTAAATCCAATTTCATTTATTTTTATTTCATCTTTTTTCCAGTTAACAACTGGAAATATAAATGTCTGCACCAATTTTTTTTTCAGTTGATTTTTAGTTACTCACAATCACGTCATGAAATTTATTTATATTTTCCTTTTCAAGATTCAGGAAACATTTTTTATTCATTTTTTCTCTTCCTCATTTTAACTTATTCACAGATTTTGTGGTTTTCTATTTTTGTTTGAACATTCAAACATAGGTGTTCACTTTTTTTGATGAATGGTGAATCGGCTTTTAATCATAGTGCACTTTTTTTCTTATTCAACATTTAGCGGCTTGTTTAATTATATGTTACCTGGATTTTTGTTATAAAGATCCGCCCACTTTTTTCGGAGAATTGGGAATTTCATTTTGCTCACATTCGGCTCCGAAATTCTGAAATTTTGTATTTTCTCCGATTGAGAGAAAAAACTTCACAATATTAGTATACTTTTATTTTTTTTAAGATTTTTGAACATTTTTTCCTGCTAAAGATGTATGAAGTTGATAAATATCGAGTTCAATAACAACTTGAATAATTTCTCAACTTTAGAGATCACATTCTGAAATGAATTTCGATATACGATCCCCTAAAAAGTAATGTTTCTCTCTGTTATCTTGCTAGTTCATAGAACATTTCTGGCTCGTTTATAAAGAGATAATCACTACAAAGTTGCCAAAAAACAAATTTGTTTTTCTGGACCTAAACTGCTAACATTTTCAATAATCCCAAATGACGGAGTAGAAGCCTGCGCCTGAAAAGTCTATTAGTAAAAAAAAATCAAAATTCCACAGTGCTTTGTCATGGATGATACCAGAGTTCGAAGTCTCCATTGGGTTGATTGTTTTTTTGCAGCACAAAACTGGGGATCCCTTTTCCAATTATTATTATGAGATTCTGAAAATCATTTTTTATGGGTGTTCTAGACCTAGACACTTGAGCACAAAAATAATGCTTCGATAATTTTTGTCACGCAGTTCTCAGACATCTGATTTCACATACCAGAAAACCAACAAAAAAGTTGTTATTCAAAAAGGGTTTGTATTTTTTCTCATACATTCTATAATTTCCGAAAGTTCAAATTCGTCATTCACCGATTTCATCTCGCTCTTCTTTCTTTCATTCCTCTCCATATATCCATATTTCATTTCAGAATTGTATGAGTGTCTCAAATACATCAGCCCACCAATTATTCGCACCACGTCCTTTGAGACGTTGCCGTAGTGCATCGCCAGTTCCGCCACTTCGTCCACCAATAATGTCGACTGAACGACAAAATTTATTGAAGTACGTTTTTTATGTTGTTTATTTATTGGATTTTCCCGTTTTTTTTTCAGAAAATCATGGAGCCGTATTCCTCGTCAACAATTCGGAAAGTCCGTGCTTCAAGCGTTTATTCAATCATCGGGAATTGATAGAAGTCTTTTCGTAGATACAGATACCGAACAAAGACATATCAAACATTTTATTGATTTGGTTCATTCTTGCATTGAGAATTTGTCTGATCTCGAAACCGCTTTGAAACCATGGTTGGATACGATTGGAAGAGGACATGTTGGATTCAAGATTACGTACGTAAGGAGGAACAAATCGGAAGTAGTGGATCAAAAATTACATACATATATGGTGTAAAAATATTACAAAACCTTGATAAGTAAAAAACTTTAAAAAAAATAGAATATTTTCCGGAAATCGACTTCTTTTCTAACAACATTCTATCATGGATCAAGAGACAAAATAACAATTTTTTCATAAATTCAAAAAAAAAGGGGGAAAATCGCCAAAGATGATTGATGACTTGGCAAACTTTATACTTATCAGGAACCGACCTTCTCAAAAAAACTGTTCTTGATAATTTTTGGAACCGGGTTTAATTTTGTGGATGGTTGGAAACGATAGGGTTTGGTATTTAGGAAGAAAGTTTTTTGGAAAATAGTTGGGGAATCGAGATTGACTTTTTTTCGAGAGAAAAACAAGTTATTTTCTGCACTAGAAGGTTCGATCTCCATGTTGACTGCAACTTTGAAAAAAAAATCAATTTCAACAGAGGGTGACGGCAACTAACTTCATAGATTTATTGCTCAAAATATTAATCTAGAACATAGAATGTAATGTACAGTTTCTCAAAATTTTCAAATCTCTTTGGGGGTAGATCAATAATATTTTTCAATTACATTTTGTGTTGAACACAACAAATAACAATTTCTATCCTTCTGTAGTTCTAACAATAATCCATCGTTTCCTATAATTCAAAATTACCAAGAATTGTTTTCCCGACTTTTCAGTTCTTTTTTTCCAAAATTGATAATTCTAATTGATCCAATTTTCCCATAATATTTCAATTTCCAGCGCAAAACATTGGGAAAAGTTTGGTGAGAGCGTTTTGTCAACAATGTCTGAATGGATTGGACCTGGAAGAAACCACAAGGAAACTATCAAAGCTTGGATGGTACAAGAACATTTTTCATACATACAGACAAAAAACCTCCATTTTCAGGTGCTCTCATCATTTCTTGCTGATCGCTTAAGTGCAGCGTCTCGAATTGCTGCTCATTCACCAATGCTCACTCCACGTGTTCAGCTCTTGACGTATGTTAACCAAAAAATTCACATTTCAAAATTATACATATCTTTCAGTGGTAAATCACAATTTGAATGGAATTGAAATGATCGGACTGCTTTTCTAAATCTACATATACATATATTTTTCTGAAATCTATAAACACGTTTGCTTCTTCCCCCGAAATGATATACATATTTTTTGCTTTTCTGTATAATCAAATAAAGATAATTTTCATTTTTTTTCTTATAAAAACAAAGAAAATTGCACAAATTTAATAATTTGATAATCGGCTAAATCAATAATTTTGTAAAAAAAATTTCAAAAGAAATACACGTTGGCAAATAGAATAACAAGAATAAAAAAATAAAAAATAAAAAAGGGGAGAAAGAAAAATGGTAATTCAAAAATCTAGAAATTATATTGCACAAAATTTCAGAAAATTTTAAAGCATGACAAAAATGAAAAAGAAATTAAGAAAGAAAAACAATTTGGTATAGTTTTTATTCTTCAAAAACTAGTCGTCTCGGGTTTTTGCACAGTAAAAATGGAACATAAAACATTTTGGAGTGAAGAAGAACTGAAGATGCATTGCGAAGATCTGGAAGCCATTCAAGAATTTGTCCAAGTCTTGTTTGCTCTTCAGGTTGGAGCAAATGAATTTGAAGTGTTTTTACGAAATGATCCTGGAGTACGGTAACTTTTCGAACAACGGATTCATCCAATGTTGAACCTGAAATAACGCATATTTCTATTTTTCCTGATTCAAAAAAGACTCACCTGTGCTCAAGTGGAGCAGCGTTATAGCTTTGATACAAACATAAACTTCTGGAGAAACTTTAAGTTTCGAAAATGATTGAAGAAGTGATGTGAATCTGATAACCAGTGGACCAGCCTCTCTGAAAATATGACATTGGGAATAACTCTATTATGTGAAACTCGGATATTATGTGAAACTCACTTAATAACATGTTCCAATGAAATATTTTTTCCTAGAACTGCTGAAAGACGGTTTTGCAATAATTTAAGGTTGACGATCGGGTTGGAAAATGAGATCTGAAAAGAGGGAACTGTGAAAAGGGTTTTCGAATTTCTAGTGAAGTGAATAGTAGTATGAATATAAATTCTGATCTATATTAAGACAAATTCAACTACAGTAACCTATGATAAAAATTGTTCACACGCTTCAATTTTCATTCATGATATTTTTCAAACTATATACAAATTATTCTTTCAAGCTCCGTAAAATTACTAATTTTCTAAAACCATGATTCTAAAAAATGGATTTCTGAAATTAAAACACAGTTTCCAACAAATATATAAACTTTTTAACTTATTGTAAGATAACATTTCAAGCACCTCCAACATACCTCATCACTATCCGTAATCATTGAAGTTGTATCCGGAGAATCCGGTGTAAAAGCACTACACGCATAATAACACGCTGATAACAATACCAATTCTGCCCAACGTTGAGTTAACAAATGAGTATGTGCTTCAACTGGAAGTTCCTCGAAAAACGGCAAAGTTTTCGTCCATTCAACGAGTTGCTCAACAATTTCATCACCAATTCTTGTTAATCGACTACAAGCTGGCGAAATATCACAATTTGCTGATGGCGCAATTCGCAAGCCTTTCAAATTTATTAATCTATCCAAACAATCCATATCGATGAGATCCTAAAACAATCCTGGTTTTAGGAAAACCTTCGTGAAACAAGATAATCTCACTTGAATTAAATTTTTTCCCGTTGGTAAAGTTCTAACAATACGACGATCCAATAAATCGGAACTATGAGTTTTGCACTGAAAAAGTTCATAATTTCATATAGACATTTGGGAGAAAAGCAACATACCTTATATGATACACTATTTCGACCACCTGGAGTTCTATCTTCCCGAACAGCCTCTAATACCATGCCCTGGCGAAGGCACTTTTGGAATCGACAATATTGGCACCGATTTCGATGTTTTTTATCGATCACACAGTGTCCGGCACGAACAACACACTCGTAGACACGCTTGTTTTGGACTGTTCGTTTGAAAAATCCTTTGCACCTGGAAAAAATAATTATTTTGAGCAGGAACAAAGGAGTTTTGAGTAGAAGGGAGATAAATGGGAAATTTGTTGATATAGTAAAACCCTTGAAGAATCTTTATTCTAAAAACATCTAGAGCCTGAGTTGGTATCAAACTTCCAGGCTCGACCTTTTGAGTTCAAGTTTTTGAATTGGTTTGGGTGACCTTTAGAGTTCCTAAAATTTCATAGAAGTATACGAATCATTTTCACAGATTTTTTTTAAATTAACTATAACTTATACACACAAGATAAATAGGTTCTCTCCAACTCTAGGTCTAATTCAGTTCAAAAAATCAAATATTTATCGTATGTTTCACGACAAAAACCCTTCTTCTATAAGACTCCAAATTTAAATTCACTAAAAATTTCTCAATAATTTAAGCACAAACAATAAACAAAAAGTTTTTTTGCAAGAATAAGAAAAAAAGACCCAGAAAATGTTGAAAATGATAGTAAAATAAATGGGCGCCTCTGTCGAATAGAGACATTTCGGGGGTGGTGACCTTGTTCTTGTTCTTCACTTGAATTTTTTGACGTTTTTTTATTTAGGTTGGTTTTTATTGAAAAATAGCAAAATTAACCAAAATGTTGCCTTATTTAAAATTGATAACCTTCAACTTTTTTGATATTTTTTCTTAACTAAAAAAGTTATTAACGTCAAAAAATATGAAGCATTCTATGAAGTTTTTCCTCTTCGAAAAAAAGAGAAAAACTATACCAAAAAAACCGAAAAAGAAAAAAAAATGCAACAAGTGATGAGAAAATTCACAGGTTTATATAACTAAAGTGGTGTAAACTGTGTGATGGGGTCAAAAATTGGGTCGCGGTCATCAAGAAAAAATTGAGAAAGAGAGAAATAAAGAGAGGCAAAAAAGGTCGACGCAAAAACGGAGACGAAAAAGATGGCACCAGTTGAACCGACCTTGTCCGAGAAACCCGAAGCGATCGCCACCTCTCACCGATGTTATTCCTTCGTTCCTAGAAGGCCATCCGGACGGATCGAGCGCGGAAATACTGGATGGATAGATGTGTGTATGTATGGGACAGGCAGATGTGGAACACATGCAAAAATGACGGACGACCGACAAAGATAAATCGAGGATAGTATGGAATTCAAGGTCGTTAACGATATTTTAAATGAAATAATAATAAAATTGATTTATGCCTCGAATTCAAGACAGATAAGATAACATATTGCATAAAACTTTTGCAAGTTGAAATAACTCTGGTTCAAACTTGGTGCAATTTTTTAAAAATAATGGTAGTGATAATCTTGAAGAGCTCAGGGTGTCAACTTTTTCAAAACGTGTTTGTGGTCCCTATATGTACGATAGAGCAAACTTGATTGCCCAACTCCTATGTTTAAACTTTTTCGAATTATTTTTTTCAAAAAATATCTATCGGTTTAGCACATTGTCAATGTTGAACTGTAGATCCAAGAACTTTTAATTACTGATAATCTTTCTTTGAATCACATCTGTATTCCTTCCCATTTTTTAAAAAACCTGAAATTTCAAACCTCTTGTTTTAGTAGTTCTAATCATTGATGTCTGGTTTTTTCATCAGTTAAAATCTAATGTTCACAAAAATAATGTATTATTTGTGTTCTGAACTTTCATTGATAAAGTTATAGAATCAATTTTTTCTGGCATTAACAATTTAAATATTTTCAAGATATCAATCTTGAATTCAACAAAACTATCAACCTGCTTGCCCTTTTTCACCACCATTTCCACCCGTCAACCACACACCCACCAGAAAAAAACTGATTAATGTGAGGTCATTCGGAATTCAACACATTTTAATCAACCTCCAACATTTTCAAAAAAAAAAGTTCATTCAAAGGCCGTCCGGCGGCGCGGAAAAAATCAACTTGGTTCGTGTTGAAAATTTGTTCGTGCTGTTGTTTCAATCAAAAACCGATTAACCTCGCTCTCGCCCCAAAAATGATACAACCGACAGGCGAAAAAAATAGTTCATGACCAATGAGAAAAAAGGAGTGTGTATGAGTATGTGTTTGGTGGCGACAGTCAGAACCAGTTGGGAAACAACTAAAGTGCAATTTTGAAATGCGCTGCCGAAAAAGTGCGATGTTGTTTCTCGCAACAACCATCCATTTTCGCAACATTTATGGTCATTCCATTTCATTTCGTTCCTTGTTTCAAATGACCCCCATACATATATGTATTATGATGGTTTTTCCATTTCTTTCCATTTATCTCTACTCATCCGACACGGTCATTTACTGAGAAATGAATGAGATGAGAAAAGGAAAAACACAATATTTTCATTTTGTTGCAATATTAATCTTCGTGTGAGGTTTGACTTTCAAATAATATTGAAACTATCGGTTTTTTTTTTTGAAATGATAAAAAATGTTACAAAATTATCTCGACACATGTGACAGAAATAATTGAAAGAAATGAAATTGAAAAGAAAACAAAGAGCGCCGAAAAACAACCGTGAATTTCGATTTTTCTGAAATTGTTAGTCTTTGAGAATGAAGAAGAAGAAGGAGAAGTGGAACAAAATTCAAAAAAAAAAAAAGAAAATATGTGAGCTAGAGTATTTTCTTCAAGTTGAAGCTTATATTGGAAACTGATCGACACTGTGTGTTTTTTAGTGATCGGGGAGAGAACAGAAAACAATTTCTCCACATGTGATAGAACTTTCTGAGGTCCCATTCAGGCTGAACGTATTTTATGGTATACAGTTCCAGAAATCAGATCCCTGGCTCGAATTTGAAGAAAGTAAGCTAGACTATTCACAAATTAGTTTTTTCAAACCTGTTAGTTGTTTTGGTCCCTATAAATTATAAAAAAACCACGCACCTATGCTATAAGAAATGAAACCTGACTCGCTGTATTTTTCACAAAAAAATGGTTTTCCAGATGGTTGGATTTTTTTCAGTGCATGAAAACCTCTCCCAACAAGAACTAACCCTTCACAAGTGTGTATTCCGTAATGAAGTCCACTAGCTTTATCTCCACAAATACCGCAATCTTTTTGTTGTAACGAATTCATTTGTTCGAAAAAAGCCATAGCCGGTTCGATATCCCTTGTTGTCGCCGTCGCCGTCGATGTGTGTGTTACTGGCATTTGGGCAGATCTATAACAACAACAATAACAACAATTGAATAAGGATCTATCTCGATTATCGCCCAAACTAGTTAGTTTTTGTTGTTTTGATGCTTTGGTTGACAATGAAAATTACCGTAAGTTAGATATGTCAAAAAAGAAAAAAATTGCCTAGAAAAAAATATATCGAAAAATATTACAAACCTCGTTATATGTGGCATAAATGTTGTGCGGTATACATCGATTGAAGTGAGATACGCCTAGAATTTTTCGGTTATTTTTTCAGATTATTTTTTTTTCTTTTTTTCAAGGTTCGTACCTCTATAATCGATGAATCGATTTTCAATGGCAATTGAACTGCTAAAGATGTTGTGCTCGAAATTTCCGTGGATGAATCGACCAAGTCCATTTTATAACTATAAAGAACGTGATAAATAATATTATATTGAGAAGAAAAAAATATGACGTTTTGTTGTTTTTTACACAAAGTAAATTTGAAAAAAAATAAGAGATGAAAAAATTGAAGGCAAAGGGGGAAAAGAAACAATTTTTGAAGAAAAAAAAGGAGGGTGAACTTTTAATTCAACAAAGAAAATATCCTTGAAAATGGGACCTTGGAAAAAATAAAACCTTGGTTTATCTACGCAACATATATTTTTAGTTTGGGAATTAGTTCCATCTGAAAAAAAATACTTAAAAGACTCTGATACTCCAGTGGCCTATAATGGCCTATAATGATAGGGTATTAAGGGAAAAAGTGCCACCACTATCAGTTTGTGCCCAACAAGATATCTGAACATAAAAAGGTAACCTATAATATGTGGGGCCTATATTGAAATTATCATTCTACGATTTTTTTTTCGATTTTGAATTCTAGAAAAATCGATATAAAATTCGATAACTACTGAAACATTGGTTTAGATGAAAAAAAATTTGTAATGATAACGAGCGAAAAAATGAAAAAGAAACACCGACCGGAAAAGAAAACATTTTTAATGAGGCTTTTTGTACAAAAAATAATTGGATGGAAAACTCTCGAAGAGTCAAAAGGTCAAAACTAAAAAAAAATTACAAAGAAGAAAAGAAAAAGGGAAAATGAAAACAAAACAAGGATCAAAAATAATATCAAAAGGAATAAGCGAAACTTTTTTAGTGGGTCGAATTGAGACCTTGAAAAGCAAGCGCGATCGGTTGATGGGTCAAACGAGAGTGACAGTATTCAATAGTAGTGTAGGGAAAAGAGAAATGAATAAAAATGAAAAAAGAAAAGGAGAAGCAGCAACAGCAGCAGCAGAGGTGACCACCGCCGGCTACTATTACTTTTCTCTTTTTTATGCATCTCTTCAAAGGCTGACCTCATCTAATCGCGCCTCCGGGATCAAATTCTCTCTTTTCACTTTTCGATGCGATTTGTAAATAAAACAGTGAAATCGAATTGAAAAATGAGAGTAGAGTTTGTAAAGTGGGTGGTAATTTTTGTTGGCTGGATCGCTGGGTGGTGTCTTGAGATTTGGAACGACCACATTAATTGATGTTTCTGGGTTATGATCGAAAGTGTTGATAAGCTAACCGAACATTTTTTAGTGATACATTTAAAATGATGGTTCAAAATGTGAATGTGGATGAGCAGGATGTTCAAGATATTTGAAGAAAGAATTAAGGACTATTTGCCAGATTGAAGAAATTGTGAGCAGAGTTTGACATTTCTCGTCAGAACGAACCTGTGATTTATGCTTTAGGAAGGAAACTTAGGTACTAAAAATTGCGAGTTTTCAACTTCTTTCTTTTTGATTGAAAAATTTTGATCTGAACGAATTACAATACTTTGTTTAGATTTTGAAACCAAAATTTCATTAAAGTTCTGCAAAAACATAACCTGAAACTATAATGACAAAATTCGAGAGCAGTGACCGATCTAGTTAAAGAATATGGGAAATAGTTAGTTTGTATTCCATAGTGAGTATTTTTGATGTAACATAAAAAAGCTAGACATGAGCTACATTTTCCCAGACACCCATAATTAAAAAAAATGAAGAGAGCAGCAGAAGAATTAAAGGGTAGGAATAACTGGTACAAAAGTTCCAATTCATTTGATCGATAGGCTTCAAAAATCATAATTAACATGTTAAGAATTAGAAGTATTTTTCAATTCAGAAGTTGGGTTTCAAAGATAATTGTTGTTTCGTAATATTTTCGAAATACAAAAAAAACTCTAATGTTGCTACATTTGACGACCATGAACAATGTTGGTTCTAACAAAAAAACCTTCTATGAAAAAACATTATGTTATTATTTTCAAGGTTTCTAATTTTCACAAACTTACAGTCAGTTATTTGGAAACTATAATTTAATTTTGTCTAAATAGTTTTGAAAAATTAAATTACAATAAAAATGAAAAATGTAGCTAAATGTTTTCAAGAAATAACTAAAGTCAATTCAGAAATAATTATTTTGAAACGCAATTTTGAACAAAATGAACACGCGAAAAATATGAGAAAATTTTAATAACGAACAATAATAACAATAAATAAAAGTTGGGGGTCACACGAGAAAATCGCAAAATTTGCGGAAAACGAAGCAGTTCAAAACAGATGTATCCAGAAAAAAAAGGAAAAGTGAATTGGAAACGAGATGAAGGTCATTTTGCAAAATGAGATCGAAATTAAAAATGAAAAATATAGTATTATATTGAATAATACATTTATTTTATTTCATTTCATTACATTTTATAAATGTATATAATTTCATAGTGAAGAAATATTTTGAGTATCGGATTAAATGCCAGAATAAATACCGAAAACTCTGAAAGTCAAGTGGCTTTGGGAAAAAATGACAAAGAGAAGGAGAAATAAGCTAGTCGGCTGGTGGGAAAAAATAACATCCGAAAGTACACATGACTCAACTCAACAAAATGTGTGAACCTTTGTTCAGTTACAAGCACTAACTAGGGTTATTCATAAATTCGTATACGGAGAAAACGGATAAACCACACACATATTCGAAAAGTGACCATGAAAATAATGGCGAGAGCACATTTCGAGGATAAAAATGAAGCAGATGTTTGGATGGTGTCTGCTGCTAGTTGCCTGCCTGCACCATTCTGTGATCGGTTACGCAAGAGTGTTGTTATGGATTCAAAAATTAATGTGTGCGGTGGTTTGACCTTCATAAACATATGTTTATTATGCATTTGTTGCATTTTGAGAAAAGCTTTTGATGAATTGAAAAATTATTCAATTTAAAATGAGATTGGGAGAGAGATTCGGGTGGATTAAAGTTTTCTTAAAAACAAATCAGGGAGGCTTTAGTTGGAAATAAATGTCAAGAAATTGTGAAATCTGTGAGCCGTATTGAGTTGATCTAAATCATGAAGCTAAACATGATTTCTCGAAAAGAAAAAATCAATAATTCGTAGAACACACCCTAAAAAAACAACAACAAAACACACACATTTTTGAAAGAGTGCGACACATGCAATTTTTATCAATGGGGCGCACTTCCATTTTTACTTTTGTTTTTGTTCATCGAACATTTTTCGCGTATTTTTGTTGATTTTTCATAGAATTGAATGTAACTTGTTGTTAAATTCATATTTACCTCTTTTCCTAACACAAGTAACATAATTTTGGTTGATTATTGATAGTTTTATACAAAAACTGGTGCTCAAAAAGCTGTTTTATGGAAAAATGTACTTTCTTGAATTTCATTACTTTTGGTTTACTTTATATATGTTTTGCTAATTTATATATTACAGGAAAACAGTCAGAGAAATGGTGGAAATATCGGAACAATTAACGAGGAAAATTTTGGTCGAATGATTCTGAATTTCGAGGAAAACTGGAAGAAATGTGAGTTTTTTGGGTTTTGAGAAATTTTGGGGTTCCGAGTGTTATGCTAGCAAGTTTGCAAACTTTGAGTTATTTATTTCATTAAACTACAGTTTTAACAATAAAACTTATCGCACGACTTAGTTTGATGCAGCGTGTCCATATAAAGCCGAAAACACAAGATTCATCGTTTTTTTTTCAACGAAAAAATTCAGAATTTGTTTAAAAAAATGGTTTTATGATGCAGAATTCCTCAAAACCACTTTTTGAATTCACTGGTTTGAGAAGTTTTCAGAAAATGTGAATTTTTTACAAGTTAAAAATGATTTTATGTCACAATTTGACTGTTCCCGGTAATTTCATTGATCATCGTACACCCCGAGAATTTTGAGACAAACACACGTCATTTTTGATCTACATTTGAAAATTTCCAGAAATTGCAAAGAATTGTAGTATCTTTATTTGTGTTCAAATGAGTTATTCACATTTTGTTTTGTTGTCTTCTTCTTCTTTTTCATCTATTCCCATATTTTATTGTTACCAACACCAGAAATATTAATTTTCATATTTCGGTATTTTCGACTAGCTAGCTTCTGCCACACACATAAATATTTATGTATATTTATGCCATCTCCCAAAAATAAGGTTTGAAAGTTTAAAATTCATTTTCTTGATCACAAATCGGAGCAATCTGACAAATGTAGGTGTTTGACACGCGATGTTCATTTTCAAAAAAAATTGCATTCTTTTTTTTGGGAGATTTTTCTGTGAATCAAAAAAATAAGAAAAAGCTCATCGTAGGTTCTTTTTGTGTTTGATGATGCGAATATAGATTTGGGTAAATGAGTGGACAAAACTATGTTTTAGTTTTTTTCTTCCTTTCCGTCATTCTAGTTTTTTTTTCATTTTCCTACCTGATTTCTATGAAAGTCTAAGTCTATGAAAAAATAAAATAAAATAAAATGAGTATGGTGAGTTTGTCAATGATAATAAAACATGCTTCAACATCCTCCAGATGTTTTTGTTTATCTTATTTTTATGTTCGTTTAATAACTTTTCTCAAATGTCCAGAAAAAATCATCAGATATCTCATGTTAGGAAAAGATAAAAATGTACGAGACTACATTTTGGCGTGTGAATCATTCAAAAATGTCTAATAACTCATTTCCAGTTCATTGGGATTAACAATAACATTTTTTCTCATCGGACGTAATTCATGTCTGTCTACTTTCAACTTCTGATTTTCCTGATTTCTGTTAACTAAATAATTCACTTGAATTAATTTTGTTTGTTTTTTGAAGTTCTGTAACCAAATAGAAAAAATTTTTACCGAATCACGGAAGTTAGAGTTTTATCTTTCCCGACTAAAAATACTCTTCTCTAAATTCCGCTAACTTGAAATTTCAACATATTTTTTCCTAGTTCTTCACGATATTTTACGACAAGTTTGAGTGATGTTAGACATCATATATAAGTTTGTTTTATTTTTACATCTTAAAATATCTCAAAAACTCCAACGTCTTTTCCATATCCACATTTTTCGCATACTTGTTGTTATTGCTGCTGTTTTTTCCTCTTCCGGGAACCTTGCACTTATTTTTTATTTCTAGGAAACTCATTAATAACTCACAAATGTATCATTTATTCCGGTATTATTCTGACATTTATATGATAATTACCATAAAACCTCATGTGACATACGTTTTGCAAAAAATTGAGATTTTTTGTTGGATATTAATGATTAATGAGATTTTTTACGGAAATCTAGATTTAGCTATTCAAAATTTCAGTCAGTAGAAATTTCTGAGGGGAAACAAAAACAATTTTAATCGTTGCTAATGACATCGCGCTTAATGTTCCATATAAAAATATATAGATTTTCCAATTCAAGTATTTCAAAATTTTTCTCTCGGCATATCGAGCACAAAAGTAATTGTAATCTTTTTTCAAACCTATTAATTACAATTGAACTATCTAATAAAATTATATGTATACTTTTACGTAGGAGAAATAGATACATAAGCATATAGTTTTTTTCTAGACAGAAATTATTTCTTTCCTTCCTTCCAGTTTTCAGAAAAAAACCAACAGCAGAAAAATTTCAATTGTTCTCCCTACAAATTGTCGCTTCATTATTATTCTAAAAACAAATCCAGAAGTGACCAAAAAACAAGAATTATTTGGGGTTGATTGATTCTCCGTATTTTCTTCTTGGAATCAGAGTTGAATTTTTTTCATTGAAACAGTCAGTTGAGCCCTTTTCAGCATGATAGGCCCATTTCCAAGATAAAAATGACAGTCTAGAGCAAAGCTCATTTTGTGCCCTCATTCACATCGGATGGGCTCACAGTAAAAGCTTCTGCTGGTCGAAATCTTTTGCACATATTTTTATTCCATCAAGTGTTAATCCACTGGTCCATAGCTCGTTGAGCAAAAGGTCTACAAGACTTAAATCCATTAATCCCGCCCACTTCCATCCCACCAAAAAAGGAAGAATGAGAAAAGATTATTTTGGAAGGGTCCTATTTTTTTCACAAAAAACGCAGAATCAAAATAACTTTTTTATATTTATCTCTAAATTATGTTATTTTTATTATCATCATATTTATTGTTCTTTTCATTCTCCAAAAATTCTTTGATGACTCGTCTTTTATAAGCACCTCTTATAGGCAACGAGCAAGTGAAAAAAAAAAGATTTGGGATAGACCAGCGGCATAAAAAAGTGGGCGTGGCTTGGGAGATAACTGCCCTAACTAAACGCCTTCTTTTTCTTTTTTCCTTCTGTTTTTTTTTCGTTCCAACTCTTATTTTTGTGTCAACTAGTTTGCAACTCGTATCTTCTTCTTCTTCTTGTTTATTATTCTCTATTCTTTTGGCTTTTCCCATCTACAAAAAAGAAAGAAGATTCATCACATCATCAAGTTTTGGCTTGGGGCAAAGAGTTGAAAATGGGCGAGGTTTGTTTTTAGACAATTTTGTGGGGTTTCAGATAGTTAACCTTATGTGATTTATTACTGGACCTCAGAGTTTTCGATATTTTTTTGGGAGATCAATGTACCTTCAAATCTTAGTAAAAACAGAACATTCAATTTTTCGTTGAAGTTTATATCTACCGTAATCTAAATCTTGATGCAAAGATGTTCAAGGTACTGTAACCAAATTTAAAGGAAAACTTTTGATAATCCAACTCTACAATGGTGAGATCTACTTAAAGTAAATTCCCGAAAGTTCAAACGAATTACTGTTCTTTGTTATTATAAAAAAAGGAAGTTGAATTGCGCATACAAATATGATATTTTCCCACGTTCATAACGTTATACTACAAAGTCAAACTCCAAAAATCCCATATCCTGTTTTCATTAAAGTTTTCATATCCTAATATATGTAGCTTTTTGATTGTGACCCTTCAAAGTATATTGGACCACCAAACACTTCACAGTTCACTTTTCTTGTCCTATAAAATGAGCAAGCTTTTCCCTCCATGCATGTCAAAAAAATATGAAAATAATAATAAATCTAGAAAAAAAAGGATTTTTCAACCACTCATAGACAATAGTAGACATTTCATTTCAAAACCTTTGTTTATTTTTTTCCTTTTCTTCCTTCATCCTCCAAAGACATTTTTTTCATACAAACACATACACAGGTTCTGTTCAGAATTCTTTATTTCACATCTGAAAATAGAGGAATAGATGTCACCTACGTTCGTGTGTGTTTTCTATTTTTCGTTTCTATTTTTGCTTCTTTTCACTTGTATGTAGTAATTGTGTTGTTTTTGGGAATTTTTGATAAGTTCACTGATTTTTTAGGGTTCCCTTTGCTTTCTTTGTTTCTTTCTATTGGAACATAATACCTTTTTTTCATTTCTGATTCTTTGCGACAAGAATATCCTATTTCTTAGAGAGTTATGAAACATCAAACTACATTTGTTTTTGTTCGATAAGATGACGTCCCATTTGGAAATCATGAAAAATTCAGTAAGATTTTTTGCAAAACCTACATGAAACTTCCCAAAATATTTGTGGTTTTTCTAGTTAGCAGTTTTATTTCAATCAGAGGCAAGACACAGATGTTTTTGACACATAAAAGGACAGTAAAAACTTGGATGTAGACAAAATTTGTAATTTGAATCAAAATTAAAACGAAAACAGAAAAAATGGTTCAAAAGATCTTGCATGGAAATTGGCACAATTTAAAATGGAAACATCACATATTTTTTACTTTGATTAGGATTGTTAGCCACCCTTAATACTCAAACATCATAATTCTTTCAACATGAATAGAAAAACAATACTACAGTATTTATTTTTAATCCAAGCCCAAAAAAAACTAAATTGAATTAAAACAAACTTCTCTTTTTTGTTATTTTTCATGTCTCGTTCCTTGTTTTTTGTTTTGTTTATCTATAAAAAAGACGAATAGAAAAAGAATAGAAAAAAACAGAAAAACCAATGTTGAGCCTTGGTCCATCTAACATGAAAATGTGTCAAAAAAAGAAGTGTGAAATTAGAGGCCGAAGAAAAAAGAAGTCGCGGCAAAAATAAACGAGGAAAGGCGCAAAAAAGTAAAAGATCGTATTGCAATGAGTTGAAAAGAAGATGAGAAAATGAGAGAAAACGTTCTTATGCCCTTGGCTCATTTATTGCTCCGCTGTGTTGCCGAAAAAACCGCAACCTAACTAACTAACTATCACATACATATTCATATTTTGTTCTTCTTTGCTTTTCTTCTTCTCTTCTGAACTTCTGAAGTCGATTCATGGAATCTCGTGAATCAAATGATAGGATTCAGGTGATCATTTCGAGATCTTTGTGATTTGTTACAATATATATAATTATATTGAAAACACCTAATATATTCAAGCGTAATTGAATATATTCGAATTCTAAATTAGAATATCAGATTACATCTTGAACTATGCGAGAAATCGCAACATTCATTCTTTGATTCATTTTCTAGATGGTCAAAAATGCCTTTTTCTTGATTTACCTACCAGTTGATGAGAGCCTATTTTTACGATCCACCCTAATCATATAAAAATTTGAACCTGCCTCTTCTTGTTTTCGAAATGAAAACAAAAAAAATTGCAGTAGGTCACACACACACACACGCAGAATACTTGTCACATTTTGAACAAATTATTTTTCACACTCAACTTTTTTCTGGCTATTTTTCATTTTTCGGTTTCAGCTCACTCACTCACTCGACTAAAAAAAGGTGTCAGGTCACCCCCCCCTACGCAATTTGATCAGAAACAATAGCATTAATTTTTGAATTCAACTTTGTCATACATGATCCAAAAACCAAAAGAGAGCGAGCAAAAAATATAAGAGTACGCGTTGGACTAACAGACTCATTTAAAATGTATAAGACTTTTGTGACAACATACCAGTTGAGCTCGTTTTATTTATTTTTATCTTCATTTTTTTTTGTTTCTTCTATTTTTTGGTCCAAAAATTATCTTTAGAATAATGTTCGTTTGAGTTGAGCTAAATTGAGATGAAGAAATAGAAAAATAAGAATGCGGAACGAAACAATAAATGTTCGAAAAACCAAAATCTGTTCTTTCATTTTATGTATCTTTATTTTATTCCTTATTTTATTATCTCATATTCTCTAAAACTCAATTATGTATTTCTCTTTTTTTCATTCTTTTTTCATCTTGGACATGATTTTTGATGTACATCCTTTCATAGTTTGTAGATCCGTGAGAATTGATGTAACTTCTTTTGAGTTACCAGAATCTTGAATATTTTTATTTATGTTTTTGTTTGGGGGTCACGAGGCTATTCGACTTGTTTTTCTTCTATGAGAAAATGTAGGTGACCGCGTACGTGACAAACTTCTCATATAGTTTTTGACCACGTCATAAGTTCTCTACGGTCAAATGTTCTTCTATCCGGATTTTAATTTAATACATAGAAAGTGAATTTTATTCTTCTCTTGGTATTATACAAACCCATGTTTTTCAGAATTCTTTATCATTTTGTAGGTATAATTCTTTTCAAATTCATCTAATTATTATTGTTATTGAATCTGACTGAAATGATATACATTTTTTTCATTTTATTTGTGATCACGGTCCGAATTTTCTTCTGTTAATCTAACGGATTCTCATGAAAACTTTTGTCTGAAAATGACGCAACCAAAATAACATCCCACTTTGAGAAATTTCCTCGAGTAAAAAAGTATGGTTCCAAGCTTTCGCAAGAACGGCAGATGCCTGATTGAACTAGGTTTTAAATTGTAATTAAAGACTATTATTCTTGAGTTAGTGCACCTTATTAAAAGTTCTTAAGGCTTTAGAAGTTTTTTTTTATGTTTTTCATCTCCGTTTTTAAATCGCCAATCGACTTTTTCCATAAATTTTGAATCCGTCTAAATGTTTCCACAAAAAACATCATTTGTTTGTGAAATATTTCTTCTCCACAGAAAAAATAGGTTTTATTCGAAATCATAAATTTCCCCGTTTCCTCTTCTTTTCTTCTTTGGAAGCATGAAGAAAAAACCAAAAATTGTGTGCTCTAATAGATATAAATGATATAAAATAATAACGGAAGGAAGTGCTGATTGATATTCATCGATGGTGTTATCATAAGCGAAAGAATTGAATTTGTTGCTCCTCCTCCTACTCTTCCTTTTTTGCTTTTTCTTTTTTCTATTTCTTCCACCATCACCATCACTCCTCCTACTCATCATCAACATCATTGAAGCATTATTTTTGTGTGGCACAGCCAAAAAAAGAAGCAGAAGAAGAAGAAAAGGCTTGACTGCTACAACCGATGCACATCACCATCTCCACTTAAACCTATTCGACCGTGCCAAATCTTTTTTATTATTGTTTCTTCTCTTGTTCATTCTCGTCATATATATACACAAAACATACTATCATAATATCTACTCTCATGTATTATTCGAATGATATTGGTTACACGATTGATAATGATCAGCGATTTAAGGTATCTTGTTGGATGGTTGAGATCCAGAAAATCTGAAAAACTTGGATATTTTAACAATACTGTATTGTTAATCTATTGAATGTAGACAGTTAAGGGATATTTGACTGTACCAAGCCGATGTTTATCGAACCTTTGTTGATGATTTTCATAGTTATGTTCCAATGATAAGTTCTAGAATGTTTTTCTCACAGTTTGTCTTTTTTTTTAAGCTGTAACTTATTCGCTATGGTCTTCAGAACATTTTGTCCAATATCAAATCTGTAGAAACTCTCAATTTTTGGATCACCCCCAAGAATCCCAAATCTCAAAAATAATTTTTCTTAAAAAATATTTCCATATTCGAGTGGGTTTAATATTCTTTGTTCGAGTGAGTGCAAAAAGAGCTAGCTAAAAAAAACCTGAAACTCACACCGGAATTCCAAATCATTTCCTGTGTCTCGATATGATATGATGTGAGTCCGGACATGTTTTCCAACTCAATCAAAACCTCTCGTTGTACTTTGTTTTTCACTCACATGTTTTACGTATCTTTGTTTTTTTTTTCTTCTGAAAACTCAAGAAAAAAAAAACAATCATGAACATCTCAGTAATTGTTGCGACCGACTCATTAGTAAATTGTTCAATCTTAGATCTTCCAAAAAACAAGCAAAAAACATTTCAACAAAAAAAATGAAAGAGAAAAAAACTTTGATTGGTCATGTTCATTAACGTCTTTGCGTGTCTCTGATGAGCACATACTTGTTGGTTTGATGTTTTATTGTGAAACTATGTAGAAAACTAGGAAACAAATGAGAACAAGAGAATGAGGAAGTAGTTATTTATGTATTTATGAAGATCAAAAGATAAGAAAAAAAAGTTGGTTTTTTTCAGGAAATGGTGTTACGAGCAATTGGTTCGATTCGAGATCAATTTATGAATGTAACCCTTGCAACAACCACAACAACCACAACAGTTGCACCAATTGTTGAGCCACTGATTTCAGCAAACACGTCATCGGTGATACCAACTGTTGAATTGGTTTTAGGAACAATTACCTATCTAGTAAGTATTTTCCCTATATTTTCTCACATCTAATTGGAAAAAAAGAATAGTAAAATATTGTTTATAAATATTCATGAAAAAAAGCAGATCCATTTGTTTTTGCGGCTTACATACATAGCAGCATAAAAAAGGACATGTTCAAAATAATAGGAATGTATGAATTATTTAAAAGTAGATCTTTGGGAGTTGACTGGTCTATGAATGAAATTATGTTTTTTTTTGGAAAACAAGTTGAAACTTGGGAGATTAGTGGTAGACTTCCTATAATTTCATCTGATGTTCGATTTTGAAACAAAATTTGTAATCGAATTAAATTTTTCTGATACTGAGAAAGATTATCAACTAGGTAAGAATATTTGAAATATTAGAATCAGTGGGAGTTATATGAAGAAACTTTTTTAGAAAGCCTTGAAACCAGAGTTGAAGATTCTCATCGACAACAAATTAAGAAGTGGACTTCTGATGAAATTTAATTTTTTCGAAATATTTTTGAAAATCAATTCAGTTTGAAATTCTTAAAAATAATTCGTCTATACGGAAATACTGTGCTCAAAGTTGAATTTGAAAAAAAATAGAAGCGATAGATATCTATGAAAATTGAACAAAATATCAGAATTTATATTATCTGGGTTCAAAATCTACCCTTTTTTTCAAATATTTATCAAATTATTTTCCAGGTGATCATTGCGATGACAGTCGTTGGAAATACATTGGTCGTTGTTGCTGTCTTCAGCTATCGTCCTTTGAAAAAAGTGCAGAACTATTTTCTAGTCTCACTGGCAGCATCAGATTTAGCAGTAGCGATATTTGTAATGCCTTTGCATGTCGTCACATTTCTGGCGGGTAAGATTTTATATACCAACTTTTTTTTGAAGCGATTTCACTGTTTCCTTTTTGTCTCACTCTCTTTTCCATCTTTTCCTTTTTCAAAAAATGTGATTGTTGTGATTGCGTGTATGTTTTTGTTGTGTTGTGTCGAACAATTGTGCACTCATTGCAAAACCAAAAAAAGGAGGGAGGAAAAAGAGGAGCAAGATGAGAAAAAATAAGTGTGTGGTGATGAAAAAAGTTTCTTTTTTTGGTTTGTTTTCGTTTTAATAAGGGATCGAGTTTGTGTTTCATTAAATATTACTCACAAGAAAGAGAAGTGAAGGCGAAGAATAAACACATTTAAATGGAGCATAGTCAAGCGAGCAATTAGGCTTTTCCGATTGGCTAAATTTACACGTTTTTTCTTCGTAATCTAGACAAGTTGAGCAGGAAGATAATTGTTGGCACATCAATTCAAACAACTTATTTTTGAAAGAAATCCTTGTGTGAAAAAGGGATTTTCAGAATAAATCTTTGGAACATGCAAAATATTGAAAATGACACATCTTTGTAAAAATAGAATTGTGTTTTGATCGAATGAAAATTGGGATGATTTATTTTCAGATAATTCTTATATTTTTATATCGGACCCTATTCTCATATAATTTCTAAACATATTGGGGTTTGTATTTCGATTATAGGGCGTTTGGGAGAACAATCCTCACCACTACCCACTTTCAGATCCCCACAAACAGGAATCCGGTTTTGAAAAGATGAGCCTTATCATTGCCTGACATGTGGAGACTTAAAATTACTTTAGTGGGACACATTCTATGATTCAACTTGAAGTTCTAATAAAATTTGTTTTTTTCAGGAGGCCAATGGTTACTAGGAAAACTGGTGTGTCAATTTTTCACGACTGCTGACATTTTGCTATGCACCTCTTCGATTTTAAACCTATGCGCTATTGCTATAGACAGGTATTCAAATTCATCAAGATTTTTAAAAAATTTCTTTCAAATTTCAGATATTGGGCGATTCATGATCCGATAAATTATGCGCAAAAACGGACACCCAAATTCGTATGCCTCATTATTATTGTTGTGAGTTATTTTTTTTCTATATTAAACAAGTTAATTTTGAGTCATCAAATTAGTTTAGTTATTCTATATTTTCAAATAAAACATGAAGATCTGACGATGCTAATTTTGTAGGTGTGGATTTTATCATTCATTATATCGGTGCCACCAATAATTGGATGGAACAATTGGAAAGATCAGGATTTCGACAAATTACATCGATGTGGATTATCAACTGAAAAGTAACCAGAGTTGTCAACTTTTTAGAAAATCAGTTTAATTTTTTCAGAGCATTTGTGTTATTTTCGGCGGCCGGCTCATTCTTTTTACCCCTTCTTGTCATGATTGTTGTGTACGTGAAAATATTTATAAGTGCAAGACAAAGGATTCGAACAAATCGAGGTTAGAACTTTGATCATGATGAATAAAGTGGGGATAAAAAAAGAAAGACAAAGTGAAAAGAGGGTGGACTAAAGTAGTTTCTACTAATGAATTGAAACACTCAGGAAAAACAAGAAGATTTGTTGATAGATTTAGATTTACATAAATTATACTGATCCTTTCTGAACGAACGAAAATTGGTTTTAAACAGAAAAAGGAACCAACCAAAAAATAAACAAAATTTTGCAGGGCGAAGTGCATTGATGCGAATACAAAACGCTGAAGGTGACGATGATCGTAAAATGTCGCTGAAGAGAACATCAATCGAATCGGCACGAACTTCAAGTCGGGTAGGAGAGAAGACTCCGTTGGTGATTGCTGACGGCCATACGACGGTCACAACTCTTGCAGCCCAATCTGTTAGTGAGAATGATGTCACATTTTCAGTTTTTACGCAATCTTTCACACCTTTTTTTCCGTTTTTATTTCGCTCACACACACTTTTCTCACCTTTTCACTAACACCTTGGAGTTTATGAAATCTTTGTACAAGGGAAGGGAGGTTAATTTATGATTTCAAAATTTTCTCAACTTTCGTTGGATACATCTTGTTAGATATGTTAAGAATATTGAAATTAAGAGAAAACATTCGTCTGAAAATTGATAACATTAAAAATATAAAATAAAAAAATATGGACGTTGGAGAAAACTCGAGAACAACATTTGAAATCATAAAATTGATCCTATCCCTTGTTAAGATTTCATAATCGGTATGCAAAGTTTTGCTCGTTTCTTCCATTTTTTACTTCTTTTTTGATCATGTTTTCCCATTTTTAGACTGATGGTGGAAGTCAACCAAAAGACGAAATCACAAAACATATGAAATATGCAAATAATGGATCGTGCAAAATCAAAGTTAAACAAGAGGAGAAAGACGAAGAAGAGGTTTGTTGCAAAAATAGATATGCTAGAAAAATATTAGAATAGCATGAAATATCACACCTCTAAAGCACCATTAGTTTTTTGAGAAAAATAACAATATCAGCAAGCTTTTTAACACGGAATCAAATATTTTTGTATTTACATAAATGAATATAATTTTTTCCAGAACCCAACTGCGGTTTTGCGAAAACGTGAGAAAATCAGTGTGGCTAAAGAGAAACGTGCCGCGAAGACAATTGCAGTTATCATTTTTGTATTTTCATTCTGCTGGTTACCATTTTTCTGCTCGTATGTTATTATGCCATTTTGTGAAGGTTGTCATCTCCACGCGAAGGTAACTTAATTTCAAACCTCAGAATATCCATAAAAATTATTGATTTTTTAGGTTGATCAAGCGTTCACATGGTTGGGTTATATTAACTCATCTCTAAATCCGTTTTTATATGGTATTTTGAATTTGGAATTCCGAAGAGCATTCAAGAAAATCTTATGCCCAAAAGCAGTTTTGGAGCAACGAAGAAGAAGACTTAGTGCTCAACCATAATTATTCCAATTTTCAATTCTGAAATGTTCTTGAATTCACTTTTCGTGTCATTTATCGCTTTTTTGTCTAGTGTTTGCCAAACTATTTCATACTGGTCATATATTATTCATTTTATTGTCAACGTTTCATTCATTTTCCAAAATAAAGCATAATATATAATTAATTGTCCTTCACATTGAGAATGATTACTTTTCGGTTACTAAGGGATTAAAGTCGCGTGATACTCACTAATTGTTAGTTGAACTATTTGTTCTCTCAGGTTTTCATTTAGTAATATTTTGTTGCTGAAATGAGTGAGCACAACGAGAAGCTTGACGGTAATGAGATACTGTGGACACAACTTCGAGAATATGGATGGGATGATCAACTCATTCAAACTATTATCGACAACTGTGATACGGAGAAAGATGATTGTGATACCGAAGAGGGCCGGATGAGACAGGCTCAACGAGCAGTTCAAAAAATGATTTTCGATGCCGAAATTCAAGCAGAATATAAGGAGAAGACTAAAGAGGTCAGTCTGGAAATCATTAATTTTAAAAATCATTTGAGGATATGATTTATTTTCAAAAGGCACTAGACCACACGAACTGTTGCTCTTTCCTTTTTCTTAAAATTTCGAAACTTCTGTCAAATCATTAGATAATGTAAATTAATAAGAATACACTGTACGACCTACTGAAATTCATCTTTCAAGAGTTTAGCTCCACCCACTTCCTTAATTGTTATCAATCATTCAAGATACTGTTTTTGACACCATAACAAAAATTTTGAAACAACACAGCTTCACCGAATTATCATCAATATTCCAAGAGTCTTTTCCTCGATGTTGATCTTCATATTGTACTTTGTTATTCAACAATAATAACATGTTTAGACATTTCTCAGAACTAAAACAAAAAACAATCGGTCGTGTGTTTTTTTCTTGAAAAACTGATAAATAACAAACAAAAAACTTCCAGCTTGTTCCAATTGATTTGGCTGTTGAAATGAAAAAACAAGATTTTCCAACTTCATGGGATGAAATCAAAGAAAAATACAACATCCATCTGATCACAGATAAAGAAACGGGTCGAATCCTCAACAATGATGTTCAAGAATATCGATCTCCAGGAGATATACGAAAAGTGTGGAGAACAAAACGTAAGAATGTCACCATTAGTCTTACGGATTATTTGTTGAAGAGGTTTGTGGATGAATAGTTTTTCCCTAATAAAAATTGTTTTTTAAGATTTGATATGGTTTTGCCTGAAAATACAATAATGATTCGTTCGGATGAAGATATTTTGCCACTTGAGAAAATTATGGCCCACACAAAACCGAAAACAGATTGGACATTTAATTTATTAGATAAATAATTACAAATATGTATAAATGAACCATTGAAATGATATTAAAACTTTGAGCTTTGAGCTGGATGTACTTTCGTGATATTGTTTTGTATTCCTCCAAGAATCTCGATTGGGAATGGGAAAATGATTGTTGAGGTTTTTTCGCAACTGAAAATCATATGGGTTTTCATGTAAAGAAAACATTTAGTATAAATCTTACCTGATTGCGTTGAGTGTGTGCAAATATCGAAGTTGCATAGCACCTTCAGATTTAGAGATGACTTCGGCGGCTTCAGCCAAGGCGGCAGATGCTTTGAGCTCTCCATTTGCCGCAATAATTTTTGCGCCGGCATCTCTTTGAGCTTCAGCCTCGGCGGCCATTGCTCTTTGCATTTGAGCTGGAAGTCTGACATCGCGCAACTCAACTCTCTCAACCTAAAAAAAAACACAATTTTAAAATAAAAATTCTCAGAAGTTCTAGGTTACCTTAATCCCCCATGGAACTGTGGCTTCATCTAAAGCAAGCTTCATATCTGCTGAAATCTTTTCACGCTCTGACAACATTTCTGTTAATGTGTGTGCTCCGAGACATGTTCTTAATGTTGTTTGTGCCAACAATCTTGTTGAATTACTCGCATCTTCGACACCAACAACGGATGTAATTGGATCGAACACTTTGTAATAAACAACAGCATCAACAGAAACGGTTACTGAATCTCTAGATAATATTTCTTGCGATGGAACATTGTAGGAGACAACACGAAGATCAATGTTAAGAAATTTGTCAATGCATGGGTTGATGAAGAAGATTCCAGGGCCTTTCACTTGTGGGACAAGTCTACCAAGACGGAAGATGACGGCTCGTTGATATTCTTGAACCACTTTCACACAGAAAAACACGGAGATTGGAAATGTAAGGAAAATTACAAGTCCAGTGACAAGTTTCAAAATTGTTTCCGCAAAACCGCTGGAAGTATCTGAAAAATGATAGATGAAACGAATGATTTGGAATTTCTAGATTTTTGAAGTTATTTTCTAGATTCAGTCAAATTATTTCTGATAACATCACTCTAAAGGTTTGAAATCATACACTCAACACTTGATGAAGAAGATTCCAGGCCTTTATTGTTTTTCTTATCTTAAAATGAGAATAGCATTTCAAAAAAATATACAAAACTCTTCCACAAACAAATTAGTCAAAACAAACAAAAACTCACATTCTGCTTGATAAGTCGGCGGTTTTACCGGTATAGTTTCTGATTGGCTTTCCAATTGTGGCAATGGTCTTGGTGGTGAAGATGAAGCTTGGCCGGAATAATCTTGCATTTCAATATCGTTTGATTTCTCTACAGGATTTAACATTTTGCACAAATAGAAAAAAAAAGCGGGGAAGATAGAATATGAATATAAAGACACAACAAAAGGTAATTAGAATGTGGGCGGATAAAGACAGGTGGTGTATTTCCCAAAATCTGGGTATTTTCCCAAATTGGAAAACGGATTATTATCAAAATATGGGGACCCGCAAAAATAAATAAGAATCCAATTAATATGGGGAACAAAATAATGACAGGGTAAACATTTTCTCCTTATATTAGACCTAAACAATTCAAAAATAAAATGTATTGTTAATTTTTGTCTAATGGGGAGGAGACAAAATTGTTATCAAAAAATAACTGCAAACATGCGTCACAGCACATGTTCTATATTGGTACATTTTTCTCACATTCCATGTTTTTATTATTTTGCAATATATATTATGAAATTTTAACAAGACATTTACAAATTAGTCAGCGCTCGGAAATATTGTGCAGTTCGAACGACAATCAACATAAACCAACTATGTATGAAAAATGTTCCAGCATATACAAATGATCCGATTGCACCAGTTGTAATTACCACTGGAAAAATAATTTTTTGTTGTTCTCTGTTATTCAAAAATATACCTTTTTGTGGTGTGATATTCAAAAGGTCGGCAAAATATTGAATTTTATCAGCAAGAAGGATCTCTATTTGTTCTGCCGCATATGAGTTTGGATCAATCACTGCAGATAGATAGAAAACTGACAGAAGTAAGCAAAACGAGACAGTTACAATCTGGAAAAGACCGATTTCCAAAGTACAAAACACCAACAAGTTTTATCAGTTTCCTGTTTCATAATCACTTAAGAACTCGTGAAAAGTATCTATTTTACGTTTCGGAAACTAGTGTGAACAAAAATGACGATAAAAAGTTCTGAAATCTGATCACTGAAGTTCTGGATGATAAAATACAACTATTTTTCAAAGCAAATATAAGTAAAAATATTCGTTTCAAAAATATCATTTGCAAAGTAGTTTTGGAAATTTTTAACAGAAAAAGAAAAAACAGTTTCAATATTTTGAAACTGTCTCTCAAAAACACAAGCATTTTGAAATAGCTAGAACTCACACTCAAAACTGTGAATGGTTGTAGAAATGCAGCATGATTTCTTGTAATCCCATAAAATAAACTGATAACTGCAACCGAATCAGTTATGAGAAATAAAAGTTGCCAATTCCATTCGACTTCCTCGGATTTGGCAGCTCTCATGCATAAATTCGAAAAAATGATCAAAGTGTAAGTTATTGCAACTGCATATGCCCCAGTCTATAATTTTCAACGTTATTCGTGCTAAATTTAGAATATAAACTCACTTTGATACCAAAAACTTGACAGCAACATTTGTATTGTTCTTTCAATTTTTTATATTCATCAATTTGTTGAAGCTCTTCTATATTTGAATCTGGCACCATTTTGTTGAAACAAAAAAACAATAGTTCAAAATAATAAAAAAACGTCGATGAAATTATACAATTGAAAACTGGGTGCGATGCGGAACAGTTGCGTCGCTCTCCGCGTTTTAAATCTTTCACTACAAATGTTTTATTGACACAAGTCGGTTGCGAGACTGTAAGATTAATTTGTTTTGTTTTTCGTTTTTCTCTGCTTCGAGTGTTTTTTAATCAGATCAAACTAGCTCGAAACCAAGTAACTTTATTTTTCTAAAAAGAAAATATTGTGCGTTTTGATTTTCCGAGAACATTTTATCAATTATGAAATTGATAACAAAAACCTATAGATGACCTTTTTGAGTTGGAATGAACTGTCGTGGTAGTTTTTTTGGAGTCATTCAAAAACTGATAGTACAATACGTTCAAAATAGGTGAAAATCGAAAAAATCACACTCGTGTCAGATTGAGATTTGAATTATGTAGCTTCAGATACCAAATTATCGATGATGAATACTAATATTGGAAATTGCTACTATAGGACTTGATGCTTTTGGTTCCATCCTCAAAACTTCTGAAATTCATCAACACTATTAATAGTGTTTTATACCCACTACTTACTTTTGAGAAATAACTCCGAAGTGAATGTTCGATATGGTTTATATAAGAAAATAGTTGCGATTGAAGCAGACAATCCATGCAATGTGAAACAAATAACACTTAAATTATTACCTTCTTGGAAATAAAATTGAAATGTGATTGATAGATTCCAATAAATATTTGGCACCAAAATAACAGCAATTGGTATAGTCACTTGTATTAGAGTTGACATAAAAAAGCTTCTTTGCAATTTTCTTGTTGTTTCCGACATATTTGGATTACTTGAGGATAGTAATGTATATAATGTGTGAAAAACATAAAAACCCGCAATACAACTTATAGTAAAACATGTGAAATACATATGTGGATTAAATACTGTTCCATCTTTTTGTAAAATAAACATATCATCATGAAAGTATACTTCCGGAGGACATGGATAACTCTGAAAATTTCAAAGATTTATCAGATACAGTATTTTTCAGATTACCATCAAAAATAGATATTTGAGTTCTTTCTGGTTTTCTGGGATTGTTAAAATCTCTGGAAGACCAAAATTGATATGATAAAGATAGAAAAAGAAGTTAAAAATGATTCTAGTTGATCTTCTTCGCATTACGAACTTGCTAGAAGTTACAATAACTCGATGACGGTATTCGAATAATGTTATTACTGCGCAAGTCATACCTGAATTTTTTTCAATTGAATAAATACATTTCAGAAATTCAGTACCTCCCAATGCTGCAAATGCCAACCAGAACTGAGGAATGACAGGAATTTTGAAGTAATTCAGAACACCATAAGGTATTCCAGCCAACAAAGGTAGGAAAAACATTGGACATAACAAAACCGCGAACATAAAATCACAAGTCATTGTCCAAATATGTAAATGAATCATATAAGGAACTGTAGATTTCATTGAAGCTGGAGATACTTTTATCATGAGAAATAGTGCATACGTTGAAAATAGAAACATAAAAAATGTTCCAGTATGACAAGCTGTTACGAAAAAATCTGGAGTTGCTAGATAGGATGAATATTTTTGACAATTTTTTGAGTAGTTTGTTTTATAATATTGATTTATCACGTCTTCCATTATATAAAAAACCAGGGAGAAAAAAAAATTATGAGAAAAATAGGTATATGAAAAAAGCAGGTGTTTTTATAGACTCATTCTAGGTAATGTGTGTGAGGTTTCAGAGAACTGTTACTTGACTTTTAATGCAGCTGGTCTGGCAAATATCAAAATTTATTCAGGAATATCGACTAGAAATGAATACATATTAAGGTTTTAATCATGTGCTTCACGTTTTTGAATAAATTTGTTTAGTTCTAGAAATCATATCAGAAAATCTATAGGTTACAAATAACTAACAACAAGCATCAAGTCTTTGAAATGTTCAATTATTTTTTCTTAAGTTAATGTTTTTCATCTCCTAATTCTTGTTTTTCATCAATATGATCTTCATTAAAAAATGATTCATCGATATTTTTATTATCTGACTAGGGGCTGTTAGCCCCCAGGCGTAACAGTCTTCTCATTTATTTCAGTTTCACCTTTTTCTATAATTATTGTCACTTTTCTGTGGAAAATTCTGTGGAAACTGGAAGAGCTTCCAGATTTACAAATTTTTGAACGAAAAAAAATTAATCAAAAAATAACATTTTCTTTAGATAATACTCAATAGATGCTCACTAAATGATCTCCAATCATTTTAAGCCTAAAAACTTGAAATTTGGCTTGTTATTGATGCATTTGTAAAACTGGAAGAGCTTCCAGATTTACAAATTTTTGAACGACCTAGGGGCGGTGCCCCTAGGTGAAACAGTCAGAAAATCCTCAAAAATTCTAAATTTTGAAGAAAAACCTATTTTTCGCAGCTAAGCTGACGTGAAAAAAAATATCCGATTTTTTTTGAAATATCTCGGGCCGATTTTTTTTCATCCAACGAAAAAACTCCCAAACCTCAAAATAAACTAACTTGACTGGCCCGTTCCGTAAGAAGTTGTTGATCTCTTTGAATGTCTTGTCCAAACGAAACACCCTCTTGTTCGGAAGCCTGAAACATCTACATTCTTTTTCTCAAAATTTTCGCCTATTCTTAAACTTACAACAGAAAACGGCAACTGTGCATTTGATGGGATCCCTGCATTCTGTGACGGTTGTCTCTGAAAAAATAAGAAAATAAAAAAAATGTACCAAATACAATTTATAAATTTATCAAATCCAAATGGACATTTACGTTTAATAACACTTTCTGCACTGAACAAAACCACTCAAAAACCAGAAAAAAAGCAATAAATAAAAATGTCGTGCAAAAAAAAACAATAAAAGCAAAACAACGATCTCTCTCTCTCTCTCTAGCCCTCTCTCCATTTCCCACACTCTCTCATTTACCCTGCAAAAAAAACAAAACAAAAACAAGCTAAACAACGGGCACGCGGAGTATCGTTGTTTCGCGTTTATTGCTTTTTTTTTGCACGACATTTTTATTTTTTGTTTTTTTTTTCTGGTTTTTTTTCAGTGCAGAAAGTGTTATTAAGCGTAAATGTCCATTTGAATTTGATGATTTTTTTAATTTGCTTATTTTTTTAGAATCAACCGTCACAGAATGCAGAGCTCTCATCAAATCCGCAACCGTCATTTTCTGATGTAAGTTTAAGAATACGCGAAAATTTTGAGAGAAAGAATGTAGAAGTTTCAGGCTTCCGAACAAGAAGATGTATCGTTTGGATTGGACATTCAAAAGGATCAACCACTTCTCACGGAACGGGCCAGTCAAGTTAGTTTATTTTTATCAAAACTAGCTCACCAATTTTTGAAACAGTGAAAAAATCCCATGAATTATTTATTCCCATCCCAAAAAAATCAATAATTATTCAATTTCTTCTCGAAGTTCTTCTTCTGATTGATTTCTTGTTTTCCGAAGGTTTTGTTGTAATATTACCCAAAGTCGAATGGCCGATTTTTTTTCATCCAACCCGGGCCGATTTTTTTTGAAAAAACTTTTTGAAAAAACTCGGGCCGATTTTTTTTTGAAAAAACTTTTTGAAAAAACTCGGGCCGATTTTTTTTTTGAAAAATTCGGGCCGATTTTTTTGAAAAACTTTTGAAAAAACTAGGGCCGATTTTTTTTTGAAAAAACTCGGGCCGATTTTTTTTGAAAAAACTTTTTGAAAAAACTCGGGCCGATTTTTTTTTTTGAAAAAACTCGGGGCGGTTTTTTCTTGAAAAAACTCGGGGCCGATTTTTTTTTCCATTAAAAAATGCTTGTTCCATCGAGACACCACCCAATCGGGATTTTATTAAAAAGGTAGAAATCAAACAATATTAAACAATATCAAATTAGAAAAATGCTATATTCAGCAAACTAAAAATAATTTTTGACCCTTAATATTTATCAATTTCTCCGTGATCCAAGAGACTGTTAAGACATGATTTTTTCAAAGCAATTTTAATGCTTTCCTAGACAAAAAAGGGTTGTTCACATGCTTGAAATCATTCCACTGATAACAAACATTTTGAAATTTCTTATTCGTTGAAAATGTTGCACACTTTGGCAGAGAATATTAAAGGTTAGTTAATTCCACAGATGAGGAAGAATTTTTGTTGATTAATAAATTAATTATAGATTGGAAGCGTAAAAGACGGCTTTCTAAATTCTACAAAGAACAAAATGCATTGTTAGAAGGACACAAAGAAGATTTGAAAAATCTGAATGAAGAAGATGTTGATAAAATGGAAAAAGATGCTCAAGAAGCTAAAGAAAAAGTTTGGGACAGTCGCATCACAACAATCACAATTGCTTTGAATGTAGTTTTGATCATTGCAAAAAGTATTGCTGCATGGTTTTCTGGATCATTAGCAGTTTTGGCGTCAGTTGTTGACAGTTTTATGGATATCACATCTGGAATTGTTGTTTGGTATGCTTGTTGGAAAATTGAGAAAAATAATCGTGAAAAATATCCCGTCGGTATGACAAAGTACGTTCCAAAAGTTATTGAAATAATATATCAATTATAATAATTTTTCAGATTGGAACCTCTTACTGTAGTAATCGTTGGTATGATTATGTTATTCGCAAATTTCATTGTTCTTCAAAGAGCCGTGATTGACACAATCGCAGATAATGTTAGTTTTTATTGAAAAACAAATCTGGAAGTTAGAAAGATTTTTCCAGTTGAACCCACGAGTTGATCTCGCCACCTTGATTATTCTTTGCACTGGAACGGGTATCAAATTTTGCCTATTTTTGCTGTGCAAAGCAAGAAAATCATCAGCTTGTATGGTGTTGGCAATTGATCAGGTAATTTTTGATTAGAAAAAAAGATGGGTTATGAAATTGAAACAAACAAGACAAATGATTAACGTTGCATTAATTTGAACAAAAATAGATTGGTTGTAATTTTTTTCAGGAATTATGAGATTAAAGATTTGAAAAGTAATTTGGACAAAGATAAGAAAAAGAAAGAGTTAAATTAAAAGACACAGTAGAGCAATTTCGACTTTCAATGACCAATTTTTCAGAGAAACGATTGCTTGACAAATGTGACTGCTTTGCTTGGTGCATGGATTGGTCAAAATTGGTGGCAATACGCAGATCCTCTTGGTGCTTTCTGTGTCAGGTTAGTCTTTTTTCCTCTCATTTTGATCAACCTTTTTTTTCAGTGGTTTCATCATTTTCACATGGTATCTAACAATCAAAGAACATATTCCTTATCTAATTGGACGTAGAGCAGAAGGCGAATTTATCAAAAGAATCACAAATGTATGGCATCATTTTCCACTCAAAAATCAGAAAAACAAAGTTTTTTTCAGATCGCAATCAACCATGATCCAAGAATCAAAGCATTGGATACAGTTCACGCTTATCACTTTGGAGCCAATTTTCTAGTTGAAGTTCACGCAGTTTTTGATGAGCCAGCAAGTCTTCAAATGGCTCACGATGTTGCAGAAAGTCTTCAATGTAAACTCGAAAAACTTCCATATGTTGAAAGAGCATTTGTTCATTGTGATTACAAATTTGATGGTGACGAGCATATCTGATTGATTATTGTTTTTTCTTTGAGCTAATAAAAATGTAGAAATGATTTTTTACGGACTTGGACAAAATGTATTTGAAAAAATCAGGCCTGTTTCCAGAATTTTTTCTCTAAAAGGTCTATTTTCAAACGGTCTTTATCATTTTATGTATAAAAACTTGATGACGAATCTGAAAATGTCCACTTTCCAGAAAAACATGTGACAATTGTTTTCAATACCTTTCTGACACATCAATCATATTCCCTCATTCCATAGCTAATCCTAATCAAAAAACGTTCTGAAACCACAATTAATTCATGTGGCAAAAGATATGAAATAGTGTAATGATTAATGGAATAATTCATCCGTGGCAGTCGTTAGAACAACTATAATTATGATGATCATTATTATTATCTTTATTGTCATGTGTTGTTTTTTTTGTTTTGCCCGTGGTGTCTTTAATATTTATTGTCCTTTTAGGCGAAACAAAATGAATGTGAAATGAATATATTAATTTTGACCCAAAGGATAGCAGGGGTTCATCTCAATCGGATTATCGCTTTCCTCGTTCATCTCAATGGTTTACTTTTCAGTGAGCGAAAGAAGTGAAAATGGGCAAAAGCGAAAGTTTTTTGCATTTGTTGAAAAACGTTGTATTTAATGACATGCATTGATCCAACTTTTTTGGATATTTTTTCTGTTGTTGCAAAATTTCATTTTTTGAAAAAATGTATATCTGTATATAAAAGAAACTTGATTTTGATTAGCCACGTTTATATGTTTTTCTTTTTTCTTCATGAGGATCATAAGAAAAAAGATGAGGAATGAAATAAAAAGCAAAAGCAGAAAATCGAGTTGCGTGAAAAAGGTCTCCATTTTCTGACGTAATTCTTTGTTATCTCACTACCACCAACCAAAACAGGGTTTTTCCAATGATATCCTCCTTTTTTTATGAAAAAAAAACCTCTTTACTCCTCCTCCTCCTTCTCCTCCATCCTTTTTTCTCCTCATCTTTTTTCTCCATATTATTTTTTTGCTATTATCAAACGGCTTTGATCCCTCCATTACAATTTTCTTTCTTTTATTCACTATATCATTTCAATGCGTGCGCACTGTGTTTTTTTGCGGATGAAAAGCTTCTTGTTTTTGTTAGATTTTTTTTTTCGGTTTATCAATCATCTTTTTCTTCACCTATTTTTATTCGATTTTCGGGATTGGATTATCAATTTGATTTAATCGAGTTATTAGGGAACATGTGATAATTTTTGATAGATTAAAGATTTAGCTGCTAGATTTGTTTCATATTAAAAAAAAAAGATCCTATCGTGATTATTTTGAAATTGAATTTCAAAACAACATAACATAACAGGTTCTCCCTTATCTGTTTATTTATCCATCTTATTTATTTTTATTCCCTTAACCTTCTATTTCAGATGAGAGGGATAATATTAATCCTTCTCCCGGCTGTGGTTTTCTCGCAAAGTGGTTCTGGAGGTGAAGAAGTTGTTGAAAATGCTGAAAATTTCAGAAGATGTAGGTTCATCTGTTGAATTTCACACTGAAATCTATTAATCATTGTTTTAGTGTACGGTATTGCGACAAAAATTATGGAATTGAGTGGAAATATTATGGGAAATGGCGGCAATGGGGGTGGAAATGGCTACGATGAAGTTAGACCAAGATTCCAAGGTGTTCGATCATTCACAGAGGATAATAGTATTTTGAGTGGTGGATCTCAATCTGGCGGCATCAATAATATGGCTAGAATGTTGAAAGAATATCAAGGTTTACATTAGTGAAAAACTGGATTATTATATGTATTATCTTTCTTTTAAAGAGGGAAACAACTTTTTTATTGATAAATAAATGAAAGTTTCAGGAATGTTTGCCAATGCTAATTTTGTTCAACAAACTACGACAACTACAACCACTGAAAGACCAAATGATTTTAAATCGATTTTGGATAGCTTTTTAGGTAAGGTAAACGTGGTAGGGATTTATGAATTTTAGAAACAAGCCTGATCATCACAATTAGATTTCAGAATTGGTTTTGTGGAAAGTAACTAACAGTCATGCTCACTTGTACTTCTTTAAGAAAATATGTCATGAAATTCGAATTTTTTTCAGGGACTGGAAATTCTGGTCCAATCACTGATTCTGATACACTTCCCCCACCGCCAACACCAAAACCAAGACAACGCGGAAGTTTGTTCAGCAGTTTTCTCGGCGGTGGAAATAATGGAGGCGTTAGCAGTTCTGGAAGTGAAATTTTGAATTGAACAAGTAATTTTTAGCACAAATTTTTGATTTACAGATTCAGCGCAAGCTCAAACCACAAATGAAGCTGCCAATCTTTTTGGAAAATTTTTTGGGATGATGCCAAGGGAGACAACAACAACGACCACAACTGAGGCAACACCAGTCCAGAAGATTATGAATATGTTTGTGCCACAATCTGAAAATCGTGAATCATCTTCTTCATCGAGTAGAGGAAAAATCAATTTCTTGGAATTATTCGGAATGGCACCAAGGACCACCACAACAACAGCACAGCCTCCACTTCAAGCATTGTTTGCACCAAATAAACCATACAATGGCTCACCAGAAGATCTCGATGGTAAGTGAGAGTATTTCTGGAATTAATTTTAATCCATATATTTTTATAGGAATCATGAATGCTCTTCTTCGAAGCAATGCTCGTCCAACACGTCAAGAACCAGCTTCAATTCTATCGCAATTTTTCGGAAGAAAATAACTACTCAACAATTTCGTTTGTCATTTCATTTTTTTTTTGTATATACCGATCTCATGTTATTCAATTATTTATTTTTATTTTTATTTTCTTCATGAATTTTCTGGAGCTGCTAATGAGATATCAATACTATAAGAACGCATTCGACCATTTGGAGCTGGTGGAAGAATTAATCGAGGAGTTTGAATATTATCCATCTGAAATTGAATCAGGCTTATTGATCTCATGTGTTTTGTACAAACCTCCATGACATCTAGATATCCAGAATTTTCATATGCGCAACGATCAGATCGTTTTTCCTGAAGTTTATTGCTTAGAACCCCACGAGCTTCAGCCACGCAATCATTTTTATTTGCATTGTCATCTAAATTTGTGTTTTTTGTCAATTATTAATTCTAATTTATAAGATTAGTCCCCACCAGTTTCTCGAAAGCGATGAATTGGCAAATGATCCAAATTATTGACAAACAAGTTTGGAATGGCTGTCCATAATTTGCTAATACTTTCGGGAAATTGATAAAAACACCATTTACAACAAGTGCACGCGCAGCAAAAACAACAATAGCAGCCGAAGAAAAATGTCATTGTGAAGATGCCCAGAAAATATGTCAGATCTTCGCGAAGGGTTCCTGGAATTTTAGGGATTTTAATTCAAGAAATGAATGTAAACTTTGAAAAAATCAAAATTCAAGATATGTTTCTGAAAGTTATTCACAAAATTTATTGAACGCTCACCTTGAATGATTGGCATATTGATATCATCTTCAGAATCCAGTAGCGCTCGAATTGTTATAATTATACTCAAATTTATTGCTGTTACCTAAATATGATTTTATCTTCTTTCTCTATCTCAAAGTTCAGCTTCCAAAAACAACTCACAATTATGATAACAGCTACAAGACATCCCCATCGTTTTGGTTTACCTTCTTCAGCTTCTTGAAACATGTTATTTTTAGAAGAATGAGAGCAGAGTGACAAATATCAAATACCAGAAATAGAGAAAGAATATGGCGAACGATTATGCAAAACATAAACCAACCGAGTTTTTTATTGATTGATGGTGAGTGAATTAATTTTATGTGAGAAAATGGGGGAGGATGGAATGTTAAGGTGACAATATTTTTCAAATAAAACTCAAAATTCAGAACAGTTATCTCTTCAATTTATACTATTTTTGGATCAACTTTTTTTGGTCAAAAATTTGTAAATCTGGAAGATCTTTCAGGTTTAAAAAAACCATTTTTTTCGAGTCAAAAAAAAATTACTATACCAAACGTTTCGTTCATGTTTGACAAACAGAGTTCTGAGCTTGAAGAATTTGAAAAACAATTGGAAAGACGGCCTCTTTTACCTACCCTAAATGTTTCAATAAATTGAATACTATTTTTGTACACCTGCCAAGAAACCTTTCCTAACTGTTCCCCTTTTTCCATACATTTATATCAACCGCTCCTTATTTCCGATCCCTCCAAACAATAATCCCTATTCAAAACTGAATGAACACATGTTCTTCAAACCCTATAATTTACCCCAATGCCCAAATCCTTTTATATTCAATAAATATAATATCTTGCGCTTCCTCCAATCAACAAATTCACATGGGATTTACCATTTCTCACTTTGTGCTCAAAGTCAAAAATATGATTTTCTCATTTTTATTTTTCACCAGAAAAGAAATAATGTAAAATAGAATGAAATAAAATGTTTTTATCAAAAAAGTCAAATAGTATTTGTTTTAGAGATGAGTCAGTTCGGGAAAAAGGAAGGAAATCACACCATTCTGCGAATCATTTCCTTTCACACTTGACACCTATTGTTATAGTTTTTGTTTGTTGTTGTTTTTATGTTACAGTGAAAAGAAACAAACAAAAACAATGAAAGAAATGGGCATTTTTTTTTGATTGACAGGTACACAAATTATCCAGGAAAAAAGGAAGATGAATAAAGGATTAAAGAAAGGAAATGATACGAAAAATGCACAACACAAACACACTTTTTGTTTTTATTTTGATAAATGCCGACAGTCAATATTTGACAGGAAGATTTTGATGTTTTAAAGAAAAACTTTGATTAGGAAAGGAGATTGCGAAGGTTTTGGAAACATTAGAATTATTTAGAATTTGAAAGTTGTTGAAAATTATATTGATCGGATTTTATAAAAAAGATCACCTTAAAATAAACATAGGTTGGGAGCAAAAAAAAATTAGAACGAATAGCAGAAGATCAAAATTAGCAACAAACTTGAAAAATATTTTTCCAGACAGAATTGAACTTTTCATGTTTGTTGTGATGTTATCCACAAGCCTGGATTCTAACCATGTGCTCCATTTGCACGATAATGAAAAAACTTGAATACATCTGATTTACCAAATTTTCAAAGCACAAACATTGATTTTTAAATAATTTTTCTGAAATTAATTTGGAAAGGCAAACTATTCTTTTATTTTAAATTTAGACCTCTTATTTTTATGATTTTCCGAATTTCCATCAATTTTTTCGGGAAAAGTGCGTGACTGGAGTTCCACATTTTTATTTTTCTCAAATTTTCAAATAAAAATTTTTCCCAGAAAATTATCACCCTATAATCACACTCGAGTGCTATTGTTTTTTCCTGGCACCTAAACTGTTATTCAGCTGGTTCGAAAAACACATCACATCACGGTTGTTCCCAAAACGATTAGCAGTTGAGTGTTAATACGATAATTATCCTCGCTATAATAATAATGAAAATAACGAAAGGATTATCTAATAATAATAAGAATGAGAAGAATAATAATGATGTGTCCAACATATAAATTACAATCAAAAATGAGCATCTTTTGCTCTCCGGAAATATTATGTTTTTTTTCGATAATTATTGTTGGGGTTTGTGTGCGGAAAGAGATGCATATGTATTCTTGAACAAAACTACTTGACGAAAACCGAATTACCGGGTCTCTATTTATGGTTGATTGGACGGACGACGGACATACATACTCAACTTGTTCAATTTTTCTCACTTTTCTTTTTCTCTCAATTTGTCACACTTTATTATTATAATTCTTTTATTTATATTACAATATCCAATTATGTTGAGCACATTGTTTTGTGCTGCATCGTTTTTCCAAAAAAAGAAGAGAAGAGTGGAAGAGGAGGACATAACGTTTTGAAAGAAAGGAAACAGAACGACGTTAAATTTAGTTATCGGCACAATTTGCATTGTATTATAGAACAATTCGCGACAAGGACCACAAAACTCCACATTTCTTTTGTTTTGATTTTTTGTGTGTATGCTGTGGAGCTTTGGTGTTTGCGATTTGAGCAAAATAATCGGTTCTGATGTTTACTGTCTGCGCGGATCTCGAACATAACACTTTGAAGCGACTACCCCAAGTCTCTGGGCTTCAAATTTTTCAAAACGTTTTTTCAAATTAAAAATTTGTTTTTCTTAATCTCTCATTTTTGCGTTCAATATCAGCCCCAAAATTATGCCATGTTTCGAAAATTGTGGAAAAAAATCTTGGATAGTGAATTACACCATGTGCCATATTTATTCGTAGACGGGAAACTTCAGGATCAGAACTGAAAATTGAACCGCCTATTTGAAATCTTCAAAGCTTTTTGCATTAAAAAATTAAAACATTATATGTATGCAATCTAAACAAACCCTGAATTATCTTTCCCATATTTTCTTTCTTATTTCTTCCCAGTTAGCATTTTCCAGAAAATTATCAGCCAGCGAACACACGAATTCTCAGACAACAAAATTCATATTATGCACTTGAATTTCTCACGCCAATTGTGATATACACGTTTGTGTCGCTTCAAACATACATATCACAGATGTTTTATTGTTCGTTTTTTCTACATTTTTCAGCAAAAAACTTGTCTCATCAAAAGAAAACGAAAAAAAACAGTACCAACTTTGACAACAATTAAATCTGGTTATTTGAGACGAAAAGAGCCCAAACATTGGCATTCATTTCATTTTACCTATTTATTCAATGTTGTTTTGAGATGTTGTGCCACGAAAAAAACAATTTTCATTGTATTGGTTCTAACTGGTCGGTCATCTTATATCTACCCTTCTGCCAACTATATAAATATCTATTCTCGTGTCATTTTTTCTGTTCTTTTTCTTTTTATGTTTCTTTTTTCCATCCCTCCTTTTTCTCTCTTCAACTCTACAGTATACTTTGTTTCTCTTCATTCAAGTCTCCGCCCACTCGCCTCGTCTATTTGCCCAAAATGCACCGCCTCTTTTGTCGTCTTTTTGATGAAACCAAGGATATACATACACACATACAATTTTCGTGCTTGTTGCAACTTTCCTTTTTTTCTTGATTTTTTCTGTATTTCAAAGTTTAAAATTCATATTTCAAATTTCAGGCAGAAAATGAATGAGATTTCATTACTCTATCCAACATTAATCACAAGCGTTGATTCTGGCTCAAAATCTGTAGATGATGAGGACACAGCTTCAGTGTCTTCTGGATTAACACCTCCGGGATCACCAGCAGATTCGAAATCACCATCAGATTCTTCACATGTAAAACGACCAATGAACGCATTCATGGTTTGGAGCAGAGGACAACGACGTAAAATGGCACAGGTAAACTATTTTCAGTAATGGATTGAAATATTATATTTGAAATTATATATTCAGGATAACCCGAAAATGCACAATTCGGAAATCAGTAAAAGACTTGGAGCTGAATGGAAACAGTTGAGTGAACAAGAGAAACGACCATTTATCGATGAGGCGAAACGATTGCGCGCATTACACATGAAGGTGAGTAATATTTCGAGAATGTATAGTTTTTTTCATTTTCAAATTGAATTTTATGTTTCAGGAGCACCCAGATTATAAATATCGACCTAGAAGAAAACCGAAATCTACAGTCAAGGGACAGAATCGATTATCAATCAATCTCCCAATGACACAATTCCCAGCGCCACCAAATCTTTTCAGTTATCAATCACCTTTGGAAACATTGAAAACAACTCCAGATTTATCCCAATATTATTCAACATTTTTCCCAAATCCAGTATTATCAGCAGCCTCATATTCTCCATATAATATGATGGCTGCATATGCTCGACAAGCTGCTGCAGTCGCAGCTGCAACTCAAGCAACAACAAATAATGCTGCAGCCGCTCCAGCCGTTTAGACTATTCTTTATTCTTCATGTTTTTTCTTCCAATTTCGCGTAAGTTGATATTCTATTGAGAAATAACAAAAACAACATTCCTGAAGGTCAACTTCAAATTACCCTGTTGTTTTCTACCTTTTACAGTAAAAAAAGAAACTCTAGAATTTTTTTCAAAAAAGGAAAAGTGTCATAATTAAATAACCAGCTAGAAAAAAAGGAAAAACAAGCAAAAATTTTCGCCCGTCTTCTTTGACACCTTCTTCACAAAACGCATTCAACTATAAAAACATTGCTCACAAATTATTGTTATTATTTATATAATATTTTTTAATATGCGCACTTCCCCCCTGGAAAATGTCACCTGTATGTAGTTAAGGTAACTCACTCTAGGCTGTTTTTTTTTCGGGTTTGCTTCGCATCAAAGGTAGACAATAGAATAAGAGAGATGGAGAGAAAGAGAAAGAGGTTGTTGCAATCGCATCAAATTCTCACAATTTGAAAAGAAATTGAGGAAATTGAATAGATTTCAATGAATGAATGAATGGTTTTTGTATTTGTGTGGGTTTGTTGGTGTTTGCCATGTCATGAATATCAATTCTATTGTTTACCGGACAATTTTTTTCGCCTTCTTTTTTTTTCAAACCCAATTTTTTGTGAAACTTCAGTGTGGGACTAGGCTAAAACGCAAGGAACTCGAAAAAATTCCCCATTTCGATCTTGTGGGGCTCTTCAATCGTTACGAGCCTAAAATATATCCTCGCCGTGAGGCTGCCACAATCTGCCTCCCCTGAAATTTCACTATATACATTAATTTTTTCCAGGTCTTCTGCTTATCTGCTTCTACGGTGTGTTGAATCGTGTCAGTGGTATTGCCTAGACCACGTTATTTTTCCACAAAAGTAGGAATAACTGTACATTTATTGTTTTATTGTCACCCGCCCATTCCTTGATCTTAAACATTTTTCCCTCCAACCACCAAGAACATGAAAAACACACACACAGTTTATTGTTGTTACCCGGGTCATTTTGCTCTTTAATAATTTTTTTCTCCTATTTTTTCTAATAAATAAATCAATTTTTGTCATTCCTCGAAAACTTTGTTTGATGTTGTGTCACTAAAACAATAATCCAGACATTTTTTCGCACCTCCAATGTGTATTTAAATATAAAAACAAATATTTCTTTTTTTCGCAGTTTTTTTTTGCGTAGAAATCGAGTTTTCGGGAAAAATATTACTCTAGGTATTACAAATTGAAAAGAAAGAATATGTATGAGTGTCAAAATTGGTTATGTTTCGAAACAAGTTGAATTCAATTGAATTGTATTGTTTGTTTGACATTATTACTACTTAAGGCGACAGTGTCAAAAAAAAGTGCAGAAGGTAATAATAATTGGTTCACAAATTATATTTGTTTCACTTCTCCATTATTTTTGTTTGTGTCTTTTAAATAAAATGATCCAAAAAAATAGAAAAAAAACATCAACCCAGGGTCCTACAGTAATCTAATGTTTATATTGAAGAAGATAAAAGGTGCGGCTCGATATAATTAACAAAAAAAATCAAGGGTACATTGAGTGGAACAAATAATGTTTTTGTTGTTATTGCTGCTCACAAATGATGCATATGATCGACCTCCACTAACTTTTCTGGCGCCAGACAAATGTCCTGACGATTTGATGAGAATAAAACACTACAGTTCTTTTTTTCTTTCTGACACTTTTTCAATGTCTCTTTGTTTCTAAAAAACGAGAAATAAATTGGTTTATAAAATGAATTGAAATGAAATGCATAACCTAACCTATTGCGGAAGGTTTCACGGTCAGTTTTTTTGAGGGAAAATTAAAATACAATTGAAAAGAAAAAGAATACTTGCAACACACACATGACACTCAAGATTTATAAGATTATTGTTTGACGATTACTACTACTTCTATTTTGGTTTCTATTGTGTTTTTCGAAATGAAATGAATCAAAATGACCATGCACTTGAACAAAGTTTCGAAAGGCGACATTTTTAAGGTGGATTGGAGGTTTGGGGAGCAGTGAAAGAAGTAGAAAATCTGGAATGAAAATTGAGGTTAGGTGAAAGAATTGTGATAACTGGAGTTGTTCGTTTGTTTGACCAAACTACAGAATAGTGTTCTAGTAAAAATTATCATGTAAAATTTCCAGAAATGTTGGCTTGTCTAATGAAGTTCAGTTCAATCTCTTAAACTTTTCGAAAGAGAGAGAGAGAGAGAATTTGAAATATGAACATTTTGATGTTTGAAGCCACAATATGTTTAGCAATACACCTGAACTTGCATTAATTCAATCCGAACATTCTTCTTGATTCTCCCAAATTTTACAGAATTCCAATCCAATCTCATTCCCAAAACTTTGATCTATTCATCTTACCCAAAACAATTGCCCTGCCAATTGATATTCATTGAAAATCAACCAAAAAACGGGTGTCGCAACAACAATTGTATACAATTCATTTCAATAGAATACAATACAATATTTACCAGACCCAAAAAAAAAATTCTGTTGTCAAACAATAACTTTTCACTCGGTTTTTTGTTGTGTTGTCAACTGTAAGTAGAATGAGCCAAGGTGAAATGAAATGTGGAAGAAAGGAACAAAAGTGATTTAGAAGTTGATACAATAGAATTGTATTGTGGCACACTTGAAAGACATTCATATTATATTGTATACATACACCGGTTGTATTTACCTCTAGGCAACAAAAAAGTTTTTTTTATTCTTTCTCGATTTTTTTTGCCTGCCTTCCTGCTCGTTAAATAAAATTCGGGAAACTTTTTTGGTTGTTCGAACAATGCTAGAAAAAAGCAAATATGCATAATGATAACAAAATGTATTTCAACAATTGAAAAATTTCATTTTATTTTATTTTATTCCGTTTTTTTAATCAAACAAAGTTTCCAACAAAATCAGTCGGTATTCAGAAAGAGGGATCCAAGAAAAATTGAGTACAATAAGTAGGTGTCAAACAGTAGTTTGGGGTTATTGCGTAGGTTAATAATGTTCGAGCATGTTCAAAAGTATTCCGGTTTGACATGAGTATTGCGTATTGTTTTCCTATCACCGCTGGACACTAATCCTAACATTGTTTTTCCTGTCAATTTTTTTCTTCTTTCACCGACTTGTTCGTCATTCATGTTTGGATATTGGATCAATGAAGTGTCACAGTTTTCTCTATTCTTATCATCTATTATTTGAGGAATTGTGTTGTGTGTCTATGAAAAGAATATGCAAATGCAAATGACTTAGGATGACTCACTATGGGTCATCAGCATCAAAAACTATACTTTCCTTTCTTGTGACTTGTTATTTAACAGGGAAAGAAACAACACAGAGATCTTTTACCGTATTCCTCAAAAAAACAAACTAACGGATAATTCAAAAGAGTTCTATGCCTCATTTATTCCGCTGCCACAAAAAAGTTTTGGTTAAACACACATTCATTCATCAAAATCTACAACTATACCGTACTTCTTTCGTCGGCTCATTAGATCGAAAGCACATATTGAGAAGAAAAAAGAAACAGGTGCGCATTCGGTTGGAAGATCAATGTGTCAATAATGAAGGGCAATAAAAACAAAGTTTTGAAGAAAAAAGAATGTATATGAGAAAAAACAGGGGATGGGTGAAAAATAGATACATTTTAAATTGGATTAAAGAATTTTAGGCATTGTTTGAAATTGACCATCCTCATAAGAACAGATGAACTTTTGAGGATTATTTTCAAATATTTTTTTTGAAAAAAGTGTATGTAGAATTTTGTGACAAACTACTTTCAAAACAAATTTCGAATTTCAGAGTTTTTATCACACTTTTCGATATAGCAGTAAAACAAGATGTCTAAATACTTTTCCAAGAGCCCTTTTTCCAGATACCAAAAACTTTCAAAGGTTTGAATTTCACTTCTTTCTTTCCAATTTAATTCCAATGATACGTTCGTTATGCTATCATAACTCAAAAACTCAAAAATTGTCCAAGTTACCGTAATGCATTTGCCCACCTCCAAAGTATCATAAAAATCACGACATTCAACACTTCATTAGTAAAACAAGCACTTGATTAAACACATATCTCAAATTGAAATTGAATCCATCAGAACTTTACTTGTTGACATTTCTCATTACGCAAATCAAACAACAACAAATTGGTTAATTTTTTATGACATTCTTCAGAATGATCTCCTTCCCAGGCAATAATGGAATAAAGTTACCTTTTTTATAACAATATAGAGTGCAAGTCTCATAAAAATGTTACGCAAGATATACGGTAGGCATGCCGATATTATATAACTTTTTTATTATTGTTTTTTTTATTTTGAATATGTCGATGAGGGAAGGCTAGTTATTCTTGACTAGATAAAAGAAGAATCAACAAATATAGAGATAATTAATCATTTTGTTGCTTGTTTGATGTTATCTCCAAAGTCGGTATTTGTTCCAACACCACACCTTAGCTACTTCACCCTCCAAACAAACACACCTTACACCAAGTTGATTGATGAGCTACCTATTTGTCACCTAAGTTTTTGTGCAAATGCCGACAAAAATAATTTGATTAATATGGAAATGTTGGTTGAAAAGAGAGGAATGAAATGTTGCCAAAAAACCATGAACATGTGGTTTTTTCGGCTGGTTCTAAGGCAGGTGTGAATAAATGTATTTATATGCAGATGTGTCGGGTTTTCTTTTTTTTTAAACTGCATGTTAGAAATTAGGGATTTGAAAAAATGAATAAAAAAGTTTGATGAAAGTGATTTGTTGTAACAAGAAAGAAGTTTACAGCAATTATTTTTTGTAAAAATATTCCAAAATAAAATGCAAATTTTGAGCCAAATTATACCTTAATCAATAAGGCTAGGTAAACTTTTTGAGCTTGACTAAAGTTGTTTTCTGAAGCTTTAACAAAAACCTGTATCTGTATAGGCACATAGTGTCTAAAACATGAATTCCAGCTTTGAAAACTTCGGTCCCTACACATTTATCTAGCTTTTGCCATTCGTTTATAAATGTCCCACAATCAGCATTCCAGTTTTTCTTGTTAGGCGATGTTGAAGTTGAGTTTCTCCTCCTTGGTAAAATAGGGCGAAATTCAAAAAAGGACTGTTTCGCACTTTTCTCAACACGTTTCTTCTTTTTCTCATCAACTAGCTCGGGGGAGAAACTAATCTGCATCATCACTTAAAGAAAACCTAACATTTTTGAAAAATCTTCACAAGGACAAGTCAATTATGAAATTTCGAAAAAAAACATAGTCTTCCTTTTCTCTTTGAAAATAGATACATAATTTCGAAAAAGAAAAGAAGAAAGCCCTTTGACATGTAACGGAACGATGAGTTAGGTAATTGTTGCCTTTTGTATGTTTTACCTATGACCCTCAAAAATTGTTGAGTTATTCTTCTTACAAACAATTAACCATTCAAGAAATCTATAGGGTGGGTGGGTGCATAACAATTGAAATTGACCCGTTTACATGTTTGTTGCGGCAACAAAGGGAAAACGGAAAGAATAAAAATGAAAAAGAGAAAAGAAGACTGGTAAATTGAACATATTATTAAAAGGATGCGAATGTTTGCTTAATTATTGAAAAATTATGTTGACAATATTGTACTTTGTAGAATTTCATGTAAATTTGAAGGATTTTTTGAGGGATCACTCAAATTCACAAATTCTCATTAATGAGAATTGAAAATTTATGAAAATGGAAATTGTGAAAATGCACAAAACCCTGTCCCCGGATTGTATTTGCATCATCGAGCTTCCAAGATTCCAAAAATTAATAACGAAAACATGTTTGAAGCGTCTTTCTGATCACAAAAGCTGTCAAATACTTTAAAAAAACGTATGTATTCATGGGAAGAAGTTCGAGACGAAATTTGTGAATTAATTATTACTATTGTTATCAATAATATCACTATTTGATTCAGGGATTCGTGGCATTGATTGTCCAATTATAGGTTCAGTTTCGCCTTCTTTTGTCACCTGAAAATAATAGATAAAATATTGAAGTCGGAGGTGAATAGATTTCAGAATTGATTCAAACTCATTTTTTCTTTCAGATTCCGCCTTTAAGAATTCAAAATTTTCAACATAAAACTAACTTTAACTAGAAGTTTTCCAATTTTTGGTCCAAAATGCCCATCTTTTCTTTCTTCATTGCCTTTTCCAGCAACAAACACCTTCAACCAACGCGTTCCAGGAGCATAATAATTATGAAGTGTGATAGTTAATTTCTCCCACGCACAAGGACCTGAAAATTACTGAATTGATTAATTAATCACTACAAAATATTAATTACGTTGTCCTTTTGTCCATGATTTTTGAGCCATTCCATTTGTGTCAGAAAATTCTGTTATTTTACTTGTTTCATAAAATCTTGGATTATCAGATAATTGTGCTACCAATCTCACTGAACTTGAACAATCGATCCGATGATTAACTATTTGAGTTATTTCAATTTTTGGCGGATTATGATTCATCATACTATCCTGGAAAATAAAGTGGTAGATTAGAAAATTGATTTTTTAAAGCATTTATCAGTGATTAGAACAAAAAAATAAACTTACATCAATTCCAAGTGTTTTCAATTCAATAACTGATTCAACTGAACATTCTTCATAAGAAAATGCGAAACATGCTGGAATATTTGGATCCACTTCAACCCCAACTCCGTTTTTTTCAATATTCACTCTTAAATTGATAAATTAGTTACAACCAGAAAAATTAACTAACCCATGACCATAATTGAGAAATCTGATATTATATTTTTTCTCGTGATAATCTTGTGTTTTCCCATGTTCGATTTGATATGCTTCATAGACAGTAGGCATTTTGCTGGAAATTAATTATGAAAGGTTTTCTATGAAAACTAAAAAAGGATGAATTTTGTGAGGAATTTTTGATTTTAAAAAATTGGCAATTAATTTCCATTTTCATCATTGGAATTTGATAGATTTCAAACAAATAAACATTAAGAATACAATTTTATTTCAAATCATTTTTTTTCTCTAACATGTTTTGTGGTAAAAAAAAATGAAAGAAAAACTATTACCCAAAAGAAAAAGAAAATGATAAATTTAAAAACAATCGAAAATGTGTTCTCTTATTAGTGTACATTGGGATGGAGTGATTGATCAACAAGAACAGGAGTAACAGCTAACGGACAGAAGGGACAACAAAAAATTGTGAAATACTTGTTTACCATTGTTGTAAAATACGTTAAGTTAAAGTGGTCGTCTCGGAGCTTTCAAATTTAGGGGTGTGGCTATTTTTCTTTCTAGTTTGATATACAGAAACAGAAAAATAGATAACGAGTTCGGCAAAATTTGAAAAGACATTTGTTTTATCAATATTTACTATTGTTTACATTAAACAAACTTCGGAAAGATCATCAAAATTTGAGTTTTTTTGATTCTCAACATTTTACAAGAGTAACTGTTGTTTTCACTCAACGATTAGAAAATTGAAGAAACTTTGGGAATCATATTTTGAGATAAGAAAACCTGACTTTTATTTTAACTTGCAATTAAACTCAAATCCTGATGAGAAATAAACTATTAGATCACCCTGGACGATTCAACAGAAGTACATCGGGAAATGTCGTTTTTTGAGAAAATTTATAAAAAAAAGGTATCTTTCAAAAACAACTGGACAATGAAACAATTCTTTTTCTTAAAGGATACGTCAAAAGAGAATTATTAAAATACAGTTCTTACAAAAAAATGTGTGAAATGTTTCTGAAGATTTTTAATGAGAAAAATATCAGCTATTTAGTTTTTCACGTTCATCAAGATCCAACTAAAATATACGTTGAAACAAAAAAAAATTAAGAGAAACATAAAGTTGTTTTTCACGCATTACTTAAACGAAAAAAATAACTAGAAAAACATTGAATATGAGAACTTTAAATCAGAAAAAAATCAGAAAAACCTGCGCTTAGCGTCAAGAATTCGAGGTCTCATACAAACATACTTTTTTTCTGGTCAAACTATAAACACCACATGCAATGGGTTTTTTGTGAAAACAACAACGATGCTACGCTAATGCGTGTGGTTTAGTGTATTCACCTCATTGTCAGCGTTTCATTTTCTTTTTTGTTGTTTTTGTGCGTTTGATGAGTTTTTTTTTGAACGATTGGTGACATTTAGGAAAAATCGATATTGTTTTTTTTATTTCTTTCATTTATTTCACTTGGATTAAAAAAATACTGAAATATTTTCAGCACAAAAATGGATCGACAGATTTTGCCTCCATCCGATGAAAATGTTGTGAGTACAATGGTTTTTAAATTCATTTAAAATCGAAAAAAAGTATGAAAATCTGAATTTTTCAGGCGCCCATGAATGTACGCAAAAGAACAAAAAGAGAAGCTGGAATCGATACCGAACCCCCAGTTTTAAATCGAAAAGTGAGTTTTACTCATTCACGAGAATATCATTTGATAGTGAACTTTCAAACTTACATTAGTGAAATGTAATTTATTCATTTTTTTCAGGCATCAACAAATAATAGAAGAAGAAAAAACAAAGTAAGAAGGACAAAAACTGATAGAAAAGGAACCAGCAGTGCAAAAAAATCCACATCAGCCTCTAGAAATTTGTTTCTCTCAAGATTATCCGAATCTGCACAAAATCCCGTTGTAAAAAAAAGAAGAATTGAAGCCAATTTGGAAACCACAACCACTTTTGATAATGATACTGATAGATTGATGAATGACAACATCAACAAATTCGGAAGATTAACCCTTCAAAGTGCACCGAAAAAACAGGTCAGTTCATTTTTTAAAATTTTGAAAAATCAGTAGTTGAATGGGTTGTTTTTCTACGTGGCCATATTAGCTAACTAGCTTCGACAAAGGTGCTTTCAAACATTCCGTACTTAATGTCAGACAAATTTTTTGTTACGCGAATATTGATCTTTTTGTGAAAAACACATCCCGTTAAAACCTCAATTCTAGTGAAGAAAGTTTGCTCTATCGCACACACATTTTTTTGTGTGTACTTCTCTCGGAGTTCACACACAAACGTTTATTGATTATTTCATGTATCCCCAATCAAGTGTAGACTCATTTATAGTTAGTTAAAAATAGTCACGTACAATTGCGGACTTTCTCACAAAGAAGGACAACTTCTTTAAAAATAAAAACATTTGTCTGTTTATACCTAGAACAAAGAATTCAAAAAATATTAAATTCTCATGAATTTTTCGATTGAGTTTTTAACTTATTTTTGTGGGATAAACACTCGTGCTATTTTCTATTTTTCAGTCAAACGAAGAAGAAAAAATGGATGATAAATAACTGTGAATTAAAGCATATTTAGACAAGCCGCAAACTCCCCATTTTTTTCATATCCTATTAATTTTTCACCCAATTTTCACTACTTTTTGTGATTTTTTACCGATTTTCTTGTTACCTTGTTGTTTGTTGCCTGTTACAAAATTTTATCTGTTTTTTTTTTCAAATATTTATCCATTTTTCCAAAAAATTTACATTTTATTCAATCTTTATACTGTTACAATTATTTGTTGTTGTGTTTTTCATGAACTCATTCCTAGATAAATCATGTCTTTTTTTTTATACAGTACTGGTGATTAATGTGAATTTGTTTAATCCGTTTTTCAAATTCCACTGTGTTAAAAAGTTTAGACATAAAATTATGTCATGCGAATGGATTTTGAAATATGTGGAATTACGCATTTTAGATGTTTTACTCTCAAAAAATTTTTAAAAAATTTTCAAAAAAACTTTTCGAATCTTTTTTTTTGAATTAAATGTACTCGTAAGATGTTAAACACACGAATTATAATTGAATTCATGAAAAATTTCAATTTTTTTGTTCGAAAAATGATTTGTGGCTGAATCAGGAATGGTTTCTAATTTTTCCATGAATGAACTCATCGATCAATTTTTCAAGAAAACTTTTTGAATCTTTTTTAAACAATATTTTGTGATTGGCAGTTCTCTTTTGCAATTTCGACATCATTCAAAACCAATTTTCTGATAAAAATTGAATTAGCCACCCAAACATAGATTTTATTTGCAAGATTTTGGAAACCACATTCATAAAATGAATCAAACGGATCTACTGTATAGTTCAACCCGGATCTCTGGCACAACATAATTCTCCTCAGAAAATTGCTGATAAATCGCCATGCTTGTTTATCAAAAAATCACGATAATTTATAATCAGTGACCTCACCAAGCAAACTCCACGCCACATTTTTGAAGCATGTGATAAATTATATCAGCTACTATAAAAACGGCAACACGTTGCGTTTTATCATCGTTTTCCATACAAATTGAATATAAAAAATGCTCTTCAAGTCTGCTGTCATCTTTGCATTTTTCGGTGAGTTTATAATTATTTTTGATAATAGGATGTGGTGTCTAATGTTTGGTTTACAGTTGCTGTAAATTCTCTCCCAGTTCAAAATGGTGATCAATGTGGAGCTGTAGATATCACAAAAATGGCAAAGAGATATGTACCAGTTCGTGAGTAAATAGCCTTCAGCTGAAAAAAATCCCATAAGCTGGAAAATTTTAGAAAATAGCGATGTATCATGTGAAATTTGCCTCGACTTGGTTTTGATCGCTGAAACTTATGCAGAATGTGAAGAAGCTGTTGTTGAACATCACATGGAAGCATATTGCGTTGAACACGTTAAGAACAAGGCTTCACAAGCTTTATGTAAATTGATGGTTGATGATATTGCTCATGTGAGTTCTCCAAATCTAATATTTTACAGAAAAACACATTATGTTTTTCAGGCTGTCATCGAAGATACCGACCAAAACCCAACCGGAGTTTGCCAGAAAACTATTCACAAGACCTGTCCATACAATAATTAATTTTATCAATAATAAATAATTCTTTTTTCTTTGGAACGAGATAAAAATTATAATTCAGATGTGTGTAGCGTGATAACAAGAACGTTTTTGTTCATTTTTGTATATTTTTTTCTCTTGAGGACAAGTTCCCCTAAAGACACAAAAATCCTTCGATTAATAACTAACGGAAAATCAAATTTCCAAACTCTAAACATGTTGAATCAGAAAAAACATTCATTAATCAATAAACTTCTAACAAGTCAAGGCTAAAGAAAAAGAAAAATTTTGAGAAACCGCAGAAAAATACAAAAAATGATGAAAGTTGTGTAGTTTTATGTAATTATTTTTTACAACTCTTTCTTTGATCTTTTTCCTTTTTGTGGTGGTGGTGGTGCTGGTGGTTCTGGCTCATCATCATCGTCATCTGAAAAATAAGAATTGAATTTTTTATAAGAAAATTAGAAAACGAAAAATAGGACTTGCCATCAAGAGAAATAGATCCGGAAAGAATTTGATCAACCCATGATTGAAGAGCTTCAAAGTTTGAATCAGAATGTTTCTTTGGATCATCCAAATTAACTTGCGACATATCAAACCAGATTCCCTCCTTTTCAGAAATATCGATGAGTCCAATTTGTGGCCCTTCCTCAATATCAATTCCGAACATATCCTCCCAAACATCAACCATCAATGGGAACTCATCAGGGTCAACAAGGATGATTTCCAAAGTTCCAGCATGTTCGGAGTTTTCATCAGCAATTTTGTCAAGAAGTTTTTTCATAGCTCTACCTTCACGAGTTTCTTCATCAACGAACGCCAAGATCATGCGCTCTTCCTCTTCTGGATCTCTCTGAAAATATTTTTAAAAAAAATCTCAAAACAGCCAAGCTAGAAGCTAACCCAAAGATTGAAATAGTTATCCAAAGTGAGTTTTTGCATAACTGGCTCCTTATTCTTCTCAACCCATTCTTCAAATTCTTCTTCAGTATCAGCTGAAGTTGGAGCAAACAATGGATCTTCTTCAAATGGTCGGCGCATTTGAACTTCTCCAACTCGTTTAAGTCCAACCTTTCTTGCCCATTTTGAGGTGACTACGGCGAAGAATTCAATCTCTCCCATGAAATCTTCAGCGGCTTCTTCGAATTCTTTCAATGCTGAAAAATTATTGAAGATAAATGAATACTGGATGCACAATTATAGACATTTACATCAAACTTCGATGGTATGAAATTCTTTTAGCCCGGGATTTTTCAGCTGGCTTCTTTGTACACCCCTTGGGAAATGTCTTACCAACGGATCCTGGCTCGAAATATCCGATAATTCTAACACATTCATCATCCATGTTTTCGAATTCTTCCAAATCATGTTCATCATTGATAATGGTGACCGGATCATCTGGGATCTGAAAAATTGTACTATTAAAATCCAAACCAACTCTCTCATGAAGCTTACATCCATGAGCCATGAAACAAAAGTTTCTGGATCGCGAACTCCATTGTATTCAATCTTATATCCATCTTTATAAACATGAATGGTATCTTCTCCCTTTTCGACTTCTGAAAAAAGCACTCATCAATTTTTGTTTTCCTCCACCCCAACCCTGTCAAAAGTGAAGAAAAAAGTGCACAACAAATCAAAGTCACGGAAACGATCGCTCGTTCTCAAAAAAATTATTACACAACACAACAATCTATGCGTGTGTTTCTTTTTGTTATCATCCCTTCTAGTTGGTCCCTACCTTCTTGGCGTCTCAAACGATGTTCTTTGGTGGTGTTGACGGTGTAAAAATTGTAGCCACGTTTTGTCATAATTTGAGCAGAAAGCTGGAACATATGGGTTGTTAAAAATAATGAGGGAATATTTTTTTGTTTTGAAAATAAAAATGAAAAAAAAAAGAAAACCTGGAGGAAGCATTCATATTGATCGAGTTCCGAATCATCTTCTTCAACATCATTGAAAAATACAACTGATTTGGTTTCCTCAGCAAAAACTGTCTTGTTAAAGTTTTTCTCTGTCAATACCTAAAATTTTCAAAAATTAATTTCAGATTTCGTTTTGAGAATCTCGAAAAATAACACACCTCAGTTCTGTCAAACCCGTCATATTCAAGATCTGGATAACCCAAAAACATGCATTCCAAATCTTCGTTTTTCGAAACGCCACCTTGAACGCAAGCGATGACCAGCACAAAGCTGGCAAGTCTAAGCCAAGTCATTCTGAAAAAAAATTTCTCATCAGAATTTTCAAAGTTAGTTGGAGTTTTCAAAAACAAAATCTTGAAAATTGAGAACCGAAATATGTTTTGATAGGTGGATAAAAAGAATGAAAAGAAGTCAGGAAGAAGAAATGATGCGGAGGTTGTATTGTGGCAGCTAAATATCTTCTTGCCATTTTACTTTTTCCGTTTCTCAACTATCCGTTTCTCTTTTTTTTCCACGTTGTAAACGGAGCTGTGAACAAGAAACGAGAGCACAAAATAAAAGAAGAAGATGCAGAAGAAGAAGAATAAGAAGATGAACTGAACTGATCTTAAAAAAATGAACAGAGGAAAAGTTGAAATTTTCAAAGATTTCTAATTAACTGAATGTTCAACTTCATAATAAAATAAAATGAAAAGAATACATAACATTCAGGTGAAATTTATGGTGATAAAATTTGACAAAACTGAATTGAACTGAAATTTTCAAGTAGTCTAGCTGTTTAGGTTTTTGAGCATAATGATCATCTAAAATTCTAAAAAAGACAAGTATCAAGAATTGTATCACTTCCTCACCGATTTCTAAAAAATCATTGAAAATCATACTGTCTGAAATTCAGAGGTTTCAAAATTGTGGAGAAATATTTCTAATGACATCGAGAATATGCTATTACACCATAGGAGTTACAGGAAATACAATTTATAAATCGGTGCATGAGAAAAATGAAATTTCTTTTTCGCTCTTCTTCATAAATTTGAAAAAAAATATTCCAGTATCAAAAACCAGGGCAATCACTTTTATATCGATACAGAATCATTTTTCTCGTAAATTATATGCAATCCTCTCTGAAAACAAAACAAAACAATCAAAAAACACAAAACAATTGGTAGATTCAATCCGAACAATAACAAATAACAAGCAAAATTCGAAAAATCTTTGTGTAAAGTTGGGGTTTTTCAGAAAAGAGATACTCCCACCGCCTCTTGAAATTATAAATTTTATTTCATATTTCTTTCTCATATCTGCAGACTCAGATAAAAAATTTGAAAATTTTTCGAAAGTAAAGATATATAGTGCAAAATGCAATCAAAAAAGTCAACCGAACAAATATAAATTGAGAGAAAAAAAATCTGAGACTTTTGGATGAGCGGAGGAGGGTGGAGTGCGCAACACACTATGAATTATCACAAACATTACGATAGTAAAGGGGGCACATTTAATATTATATATCCAACTATCTATCTTTAGATCCAGTTTTGTTTGATTTTTATTGATATCATCGTAGTATTTATATAATATTTGCACACAAATAATGCAACATTTTTTGCGATTTGATTTTCAAACTGATTATTGAAACATTGAAAAAAGACGTTTTTCAAGGAAAAAAGAGGTGTAGATCTTTAGTGGAGGAAATTGAATTTGTTAAAGGAACTGGACACTGCTTGTTGAAATGGTCAAAATTGACTTGAAATGATATTTTCAACAACTTTTATATTGGAGAAATAAAAAGGAGAATCAGTGAACGATGACATTTTTAATAGCATTTTGAAGAAAATCACTGATATGAAAAGTATGGGGAATTGAAAAATATTCAATTTTCAATGCTAAAAAATAATAGCATTATGAAATCAATCTTTGCAATTTGTAGATATACAACTTTTTATGAGAAGTCAGATTACGTTTCAGTTTTTCCCAAATAACATCAAAACAAATTGCACTAAATTTCAAAATTCAGGTTTGACACTGAAAATTATAAATATGTTATATTTTGGGAAAAAACCTGGATTGTTTTCTACTGTCCTTTTTCCAACAAGGGAAACGCGCCCCATCGCACTTTTTTTGCAGTCCCGTTGTTTTTTGTTTTTTTAAAAAATCTACTGTCCTTTTTCCAACAAGGGAAACGCGCCCCATCGCACTTTTTTTGCAGTCCCGTTGTTTTTTGTTTTTTAAAAAACCGAGATTTTTTTTGTGTGTTTTCAAGTAGTATTCGAAACTTTTTCAGGGTTTTTTGAGTTAATTAGATGTATTGGGCTAGAATGTTCACCTCACATGTGATTTATCTTGTTTTATGAGTCTTTAGTGAAACAAATCCGAAAAGAGTCGAAAAATTTCTTTTCGGCTGGGATTTCGTACTACAGATAAAACTGTTTTGCATTTTTTGGAGTTCTAACATTCAATGAAGTCTTTAGAAATAATTATTTTTCACAACTTTAGAAAAGCAAAATAGTATTTAACCTATTCTCGAATCTTATAAGCCACCCTCCATTAATTCCAAGTTTCTCTCGCTTTTGTTTTATACAAGGTTATGTCTATACATGTTTTTTATTTTGGCGGCAATGAATAACACATAAACATGTGTCATAGTAAATTATACGTTAATTTAAAATTGAGATGATGCGCAAACCAATAGACTGTATACAACTTGCGACAACAAACATCCTATTATTTCATCCGTCTTCTCAATACGGAAAGACAAAAAGAAACGACCAATTCTAGTTTAGTTGTAGATGTAACCATATTTGATGACAATGACGCAATTTGGTATAGCTTTCAACCGTCCTCATTATTTTATTATGCATATTATTTTTTTTCTACTATTATGCATTACTTTTTTGAAGTCTGTCTGTGATTTGCTTAGCTTCACATTCGTAAATGCGGTATTTTATTCTAGACAAAAAACGATGAAATAATAAAACGATTACCGCTTCATCTTTAGTTTACTGTCACTCATTTTGTATTTGAATACAATAATTTATAGCTAGCTATAAATAGATAGTTAGTTATGCAATTTTAATTGGTCAATCAAAAGCTTTTCGTTTTTTTTGGTGTTACTATTTAATATCGAAATATTCAGTTAGTTTCCTCATTTGTTCCTTAAAAATCTGAATCTAGTGTGACTTTGTGACAGTAAAATTATTATTTGAATAGCGTTAGGGTTAGTGGAACTAAAAATTTAATGATGGTGAAAATTATTTGTGTTTTGATTTTCTCGGATTCGAGAGTTATTATTGTAAATTTGTGAAATTCGTGAATATGAATTCAAAATTAGAGTTTAGAAACTTCCTATTACAACAAGTCCTAATTTTATAAAAATTATCTTTAACTGATTTTGAAATTTCAAACCTTCAAGCTGGCTAGAAATTGAAATTTTTCACAATGATTTATGTTTCACGCTTCACACTTTCAGAAACAACAGGGAAGTTTTGAGAATTCTATGATAATTTATTCTAATTTTTCTAATACTCGTATGAGAAAACTGCTTTGGGATCATATCACACAGAAAGTTTTTCATTCCCCTTTCAATGTTTTCTCCAATATTCTAATTGTCTCACACTTTCACCTAATTCACATATTTGTTTCATTTTCAGGTATTATGTAAATACATTGATACCTATTCCAATTCATGTAACTTTCGATTAGATTACAGGTACATAAATGAATCACACATTAATATGTCCAATATGTACATATATTCAATTAGAAGATGAAGAAGACTCACCTTTATAGTAGTGAAAGAAGTCATAATTGGAAAACAACAACAAGTAGTAGAAGACAGATTCAGAAAAATAAGAAGGAGAAGAGGAAGAAAAGTTGCGTTTCTTCTGATCTATTCTTTTGTCCATTTGGTCCAAGTATATGTCTTATTAGGCCCACTTGTGTTTCTTTTCTTTTTGCATCTTTTTGGTAATGTTTTGTTATTGTTTCGATGAAGTCAAAATATAGGAAGCAAACATGATGATTTTTGCATATGGCTTGTTGTTCTTTGCAAGATTTATTTTTTCACTTTCAAGATTAATGCACTTTCACAAACAACTTCAAGTGTGTTTTTTCTACTGTCTATAGTAACTTCAGAATTAATTTTCAAATTAAAAAAAAGAAAACAAATCTTTTGCAATTTTGTAGAAAAACATTCCCGTTTAAGTTTCTTGTCTGAAATCAAGTTTTATCGTTGTTTTGATTGCTCTCAATGTTTCTTGAAGTTGTAAGGATAATCTCATCTAAAAATTCTCAAAAAAAAAAGTTTTCCTCGTTTTTTCAAACCTTCCTATTTTCAATGATACAAAATAACACAGTGTTTTATCAAAACATTTTTCTTTAAAAAACATTGTTCTCCCAAGCTACAGTACCCTGACAATCCCAACTTCCCAACATCCCAACTTGAAACATTTTCCCATCGCAATCTCGTCAACTTAAATGATTCATCCTCTTTAAATGCTTAATAAACTGACCGTTTTCTTGTTTTCTCATCCAGAAAAAAAGTGACAAGCCGATTGGCAAGTTCAACTATTTTTTTCTTCCCAATTTTCCACTACCACCTACAATTTCACTTGACTTGAAAGAAAAATCATACCAATTATAACATCAAAAGTTGCTTTGCTTTTCATCTCGTCAATTTTTTGCGCTTCTCATTTTCTACTTGATTTCCTAATTTCTTGAACTTTGTAAACTAACTAACTGTGTATTAAATGTGTGATTGTGTATTTTTCAATTCAATTTCATTAATTCGTTTTCCGGAAAAATGAAAAGACAAATAACTGGATCGGATAGATAATTGTGTATTACTTGTTAATTTTCATCTAGATTAAATGAAAAAAAAGCGAAATCTTTTTGGATTTTTTTGATTCTATACACAAACACATAGCTTATTGGCCCGGTTATTTTTGTGTTTATCTTTTTATTTTATTCTATTCTAAATCAAAATCCATTAACATTATCTTTCCTTTGCAACACTTGTTTTCTTTTTCAGATAAACAACATTGAAGATAACACACGAATCATCTGTGAAGAAGTACAAAGATTGGCCAGTTAGGCATCCATGAATTCCCCTAATAATATATTGTTTTTATTCTCTTTATTTTTGTCATATATTTATTGCTCAGATTTTGAAAAATGCGCGAGTTTTAGGTAAGTGAAAGTGCCAGAAATGTTGCGGAAAGTGTTTCTTTTTTCAGGGTCGCCAAGACTCACTTGTTCCAAAAAGTCAATTATTTTCTCGTTCGAATCGAATATTCCTTTTCAAGGCAGAATATCGGTCAGTTTACCTTTTTTTCTTTCAAAGCAACTCAAAAAATATATTTTAGGTAATAAATAAATTATTCATCCCGGAATGCAATGAAGATTACTCCTCAAATATTCAAAAGAATGCAACTTTCCATTTGGATATTTCAAAATGTGCAGATCCCAATTTCTTGAGGGTACGTTCCAGAGAAATACGGAAAAAAAAACTTTTTGAATTCAGAATGGTTCTCGAGTTCTACGAGCACACGTTGAAATAGGATTCCATCCACTTGTGATAACTAACTCGGATAGAATATTTTTGCTAGAATGTATGGATAATCAACCATCACATGTGGTGAATATGGCTTCGGATTCTGCGTGAGTTTTAGTGGAAGTTGGATCTTGGGTTTCGAATTACTTTTGTATTATTATTGGGTTTGGGTTTTGATTCCTTACAAAAAATTGAAACTTTACTGACAACTTTTTTTCTAGAAACTGCACACATTTGGTTCGAATGGCTTCTAAATGGGATAGTATGACAGAATTCCATGTTGGAGATTCAATCGTTCACGAATGGAGTTGTAAACTCCCACATAAAGGTTGTTCATTCCTATTCTATTCTACCTTTCTCACCCAATTGTTTTCCAGAACTTGGAAAAACCCAAACATACATCACAAACTGTAATGCGTTTTCCCAAAATGGCCAAATAATTCATTTGATTGATGAAAATGGATGTATCATTGATTCAGAATTGATGGGCGATGTTGTTTATAATAATTATATGCCAAAACTTTATGCGAGAGCGAAGATTTTCAAGTTGCTTACTGATGAAAAGTTAGTTCAACGATATATTTTATGGATTTGAAAAATAGCTACAAAATTATTTTTCAGATATCGAATTGAATGCACGTTTGAATTCTGTCACAAAGATTCACCTTGTCATGAGAGGGCTTTTGTAAGCTAATAATGGGGAAAAGGACTCTGAATAAATTTATATAATTTCAGCCACCAAAATGTGCATTTACAAAAGAAGAAATTCTGAAAAGATTTACTTCTGGTGCAGAAGCTGATCATTCAAGTGCAATGATGCCTGGAAATCCAAATATTGGATATGATAGGAAAGTAAAAATCAGTACAGCCTGGTTGACAGTCAGATATAATCAGTATACAACTATTGAGAATTTGCACGAAAGTGAGTTTTTTAGGGAAATTTCTGAAAAAACTTGTTTTTTTTTTGATATTGTTGGTATTTTTTCTTTTTTTTATTTTTAGAAAACATTTTTTTCGCAAAATGTTTGCAACTCAAATATTTTTTCAGGATACCATCTTCGAACTGTTTTGAATCCTGGTCTGGTTGAAGAAAACAAAGCGCTCAATCATTTCTTGATGGGAATTTCATATCGAGAACCAATGAAGTCATCTTCAGCCTCAGATATTCCAGTTTCAGTTCAAATTTCCGAGGTCACACCAATTTCCAACAGATTTGAAACTAATCGGATTGAAGCTGCAAGAATATTGCATCCATCCGCTTTCCAACCTGTATTAAATCCACCAGTGGTAAATTTCATATTATTCCCTACTCATACAACATTTTTATGGTGCAATTATTTTGCAGATACAAGATTCGAATGAAGAATTCATCGAGTCAATCACAATGGGAAGTAATAAAATTGATGAGCGTTTCAAAAATAAGCCAGCCGTCGCAGTCCCAATTGCTAATAATCGGATCAGTGACGAGATTGCTGCCGACAACAAGAATAACATCAATAAAACAATGTGAGTTATGAGAAATTCATTGCTAATCTGGGGTCTAAAAGATCATTTCATGTTCAATTAGTATAATCAAAAAAGAGATGAAACCAAAAAATGTACATTTTCAATTTATCACGTTTTCCCTATTTTGCACTAGATTATATTTATTAATTCCTGGAATAGTCAAAATTCCTGGCGTATGATGTAAACACATTTTGAGCGTACTTTGATCGAAACGAAAAAAAATGCTGATTATTTGCTTTTTTATGATATTTTTCCAAGAAATAGTAGTCTATCAGAAATTGGTTGTTTTTATTGAATGTGAGCAGTTTTGCAAACTTGATTTTTGGGCAGACAGATTTGTTCTTTGATATTGGGAACAAGTGAAGTTCAGTTCAGAGAAAAAGGAAATTGAATTTTTTTAAAATTTCATCGAAAAAAGGTATACTTTTCAATCTAAAAAAAAAATAAAAAGCTGAAAGTTATAATTTTTGAATAAAATATGAAATTTTGAATTTTAATCCAGGAAAAAACATTTCTTTCAGTGCCTCTACAACAATTCCACCAGTCACCTTGACTCAATTACCACCAGCAACATCTCAACCAACTGCGACTCCCATAACATCAGCATCAATATTAACAAAACCCCCAACCATAAAAACTGAATCGCCAATAGAAAGAACAAAAACATTGCCGACTACAACCACATTTGTTCCCACGATTATGAGAAAGATACCAACATCAACAACGTAATTTTTGAAAGAGATCAAAAAACAAAATAGAATATGATTTCTCACGGTTAATAGCATTTTTTATTACAGGCGAATTGATATTAATCAGCAACGTGAGAAATTCAAAAATGCTAATGTTGAAAACTCTTTACGTATATCAAATAATCAGAAGCCAACTGAAAGTTCCTCAACGAAACCAGCTCCAGCTAGACTCCATTTCTACACTGATATCAAAACAAAGTACTTTGAACCTGACCGAAAATATGTTTCAATTTTGTTTTTTTCTTCAGAAAAATCACACCAACAACACCATATTCATCCCCAGTTTTACCAACGACAACTGAGGTTTGTGTTTTGGGAAATTTTCAGACACTAATTCAACAAAATCCTATTTCTTTCCTTGGTTTGATCAGCTTAGAAAATCATTTTTGAGCGATGTTTCATTTTTAATGGGTAGATGACAATTTTTTTACATAAGAGATTCAAAGTAGATACTAAAAATAAATCAGAATGATCAAAGTATTCTTCAAGATTTGATGGAAAATTACCCCTAATTTTTTTTTTGAAAGGGCACTGTATATCAAATGTCGCGGTAATTGTTACAATGATGACATATATGAGTGATCAAGATTATAAAATCAAAAAAATAGTGAGAGAGTCTAAAGACAGTTCAAGATTCAAAACATGAACCTCTAATTGAACGAAATCTTATTAATTATTAAAGATCTCGGCTTGATTAGTGTTTAGTGACTTTTCATTTTTTTTGGGAACATGAGTCTAATTATATATTGTATAAAATTTTGTACTTTGAATGTACAATTTAAAATATAGAGGAACTACAAATATATTACCCATTATAGATTCAAAGTTTATACTAAAAATAAATCAACAAGATCAAAGTATCTTCAAGTATTCGTGGAAAATTACACCTTATTTTGTTGGAAAGGGCACTGTTTACCAAATGCCACGTTAATTGTTAGTATGATGTTACATATGATTTATCAATTTTATGAAATCAAAAAAGTTGTTACAGTAAGAGATTAAAAAGTTTTAAATCAGTTGGAGGTCCATGAATATAGAACGTGTTATAAATTCTGCCTGATATCAATCCGATGTTTCGAAAAAACCATACAGCTTACAATTAGAAAACGAAATATCTGAAAAAAAAACCCCTACTGCATTGGATATTTGTTCCAAGGCTCTACAAATCGCGAAGTGCCAATATTGTTTTCACAAATGATTTGGAACTGAAAAATTATCCCATCTCCTGATTGTTTGAAAATCAGGTCCCCATTTTTTGAGACCTTCTCTATTTTTTTGATATTAAAAAAAACATTTAGCCAGTTCCAAAAATAAATATATATTCTTCTGATCAAAATAACACAATCATTCTTAGAATCAGTTCCGCATAGACTTATCCCAAGTTCTTTTTTTTACAGAAACCAGGAAGTGAATTGCCATTTAAAGTAGCCGGAAATGCAGATGTATTTGCAAGGAAGCCATGTGGGTGTTTTATACAATTCAGGAGATATTTTGATTTTCTGATTTTGATCTATGACGTTGAAATCAAAGTTTTCCCACAACCTATTATTATTATTTTTTCCAGACGACAAGTTTGTGAACAACAATGCTGATTGGCGATTAGACGAAAGAGCAATAAATGATAGCGATGTAATTCCAGAAAGACAAACATCAGCAGCATGTAATAATGCAACAATCATATCGGTATGATCTTTTCATCTTTTTGCCTCAATTAAAATATAAAGCGAGCAGCGCGTGCTCTTGCTCAAATATCAGCAACAGCAGAGCAGGCATGAAACAAATATGTCCTTTCAAAAAATATTGTTCAATGAGCACGATCAAACATTAACAATCGCCTCGCTCATAAAGAATCCCCCGGATTTGTTGTGGATGCTCCCTTCTTTTTCCCTTTTTTTTCTGAAAGGCGGTAGTGTAGTGTGTATTCATAGAAGGAATCGAGCAAAGCTCATTTGAATGAAGAAAGTATCTCACGTATGCTTAGAAGATCGCATCATAAATGTTGGATGAATATGTTATTTTGATGCTTTTGCAAACTGAGATGAGATGAGAAAAATATGAACATAGATCATATTTTTTCCATATTTAGTATAACACGAATTAAATTATGCTGTTTATGGAAAAACATAAAACAAATGGAATAAATTTTCAGAGTCAACAACAATGTAAATGGTCTGGAGTTGAACATCTTTTATTAATTTGGTCATTTGCATCATTAATTGTGTGGATGGTTATGATCGCCGTGTGCTTTTATCGTCACTCGAATCGGAAACCAAGGTGGATGGCTTTCAGGTTTGTCTGATCAAGACAAATTCAAATTTCCGTTGAGCAAAAAACTTTATTCTCAAACATCCCTCTTTTCATTCATTCAAACCAGAACATTCATTCGGTGTCTGAACTTTGAAAGTTCATGTTTTTTATTTTTGTTAGTTGTTTGAAAAAAAATGGATGGAGAAGATAATAAGAAAGCGGGAAGAATTGACCTCTCTGTTTTTTCTCATTCAACAAAAAAGTGCACTTGTTGATGACACATACAACATTTATTTTCTTCTGATTCAAAACATTTTTTTTTCAAAAATATTTTTGCAAGACTCAAAAAACAAACAGCCAGCCTGAAAATGTGTGGACTTTGGTTGTTTTTTGATAGACATAGCACAATGAAACAAATGTGCCAGACAGAAGGATTTGTTTGGACGATTTTCAGAATGTGGGAATTTAATCTAATCCGGATTTTTGAAGATAAAAATTCACAAAATCTGTTCCACTATTTTGTGAAAAGAACATTACAATGAACTTGAGCACACAATTTGTGACTCATGACAAAAATTCCAAATATTTTCATGAAACATTCCAAACGAATATTTCAGATCATTGGTTTATGATCAGCCAAAACCGGAAAATGATAACAAAGAATTTTCCAGAACTATTTTTTGAGAGAGAAAAATTGAAATATGATCTTCTGTTAGAAAATTGGCCTAGAGAAACTAAACTGTGATGTTTAAAAATCACTTGAGCATAATTTATTAATAGTGGGAACCAAACTTCAAGTTCACTTGAAACAAAAATCTTTGGGATACTTGGAATCTTCTAAAAACTCTTGATTCTCTTTGATATTCCTGAAAAACAAACCCCCCATTTTAAATTTAGACATTTTTATATATTTCCCAAGCTCCTTAATACTGGCATCAAATATCAGGGGATCTAAACGATCTCATAAAGTCTATCATATATTTTATAATCCACCAAAACTATATATAAAATCCCCCTTAATCATTCCGAAGAAAATTTATGTTTTATCCTTAATTCAAAAAATATCTAATCCATCATCCTCTCAAAATCTTGTTCTGACTCGATCCCGATGATTTCCATTATCTTAAATTAAAAAAAAAAGATATCATCAACTTCCCCTATGATGTTTGCTTCAAAACTCTATTTTGCAAAGAAAAGTATATACGTCAAACCTCATTAATCATAAAGAAAAAAGAGTTCTTGGAAACTTCCGGGTATTCGAGTAAATATATCACATCTGCATATAATTTGCAGCGGCATAGCTATGTTTAGATGAGCATCGCGTCTAGACATACAAATTTTTGTTATTGTTGGGTCAAACAACGTTGAATAAATACACTCACAACAAAACATGTGGTTTCCGAAAATATCATATATTTTTCAGAGAACAAGAACTACGTCGAGCAGCACAATCTCGTGTTTTAGGACAAGAACATCCTTGGTTACATGCTGACGCGTTTGAAGAGCGAAATAGAACAAAAAACGAAATTGAAATAAATAAATTCTGACCCCGGAGAAAACCATTTTGCTCACTCACACATTTCACCCAATTTTATCTGCATATATTTGAGGTCTCCCTTTATCTTTCACTAATATTTTTTGTTCATTTGTATTTTTTTTACTGCGCAAATGATTCTTGATAAATTAATTGTAAATCAGATCAATGTACACACTTTGCATCATATAAAAATAGAAGATTGAGTATTTTCTATCTTTCGATATTTTTATATTTGTATACGAGAAAATGATGATCATCACACTTTGTGTACATTGATTAGTTGATCTTTCAAGTCTTTTTGTTTGATTGAAAAAATTGATAAAATTGGAGATGGTGATATGACGAAATCGTGTCGATGAAGCACACTTTTTTTCCAGAAAATGAGCATATTTTGATAAGAGAATGAAATGCACAGAGTACACGATTAAAATGAACTTTGATATGTTAATGGTTTTCATCATCATTTTTTTTGGATTTGATTATTAGGAGAAAAATCATTTGTTTTTGTATAAACAAAAAGATCAAGACTAGTGCAAGCACAAAAAATTAGTGTTGTTTGTTGTTGATGGTCTGATTCACTAAAAGTGCAACATCTTGAAGAATTTCAATTGATGATTTGTAGCCTGCTAGCCACGTTTTCATTTTGCATTCCTTTGATCAAAAAACTGATATCTGAATTGAATTGACATTATTTTTTTGACAACTCGTAAAACAAAGAGTTCCCACAAGTCAGACATTTTATAAAGTCTATGTTCAGATGAAGATTGGTAGGTTCACACTTGGAGGCAAAAAAAATGTTAATAAGAACCCTCCGAATTTTTCAAAATTATATAAAAATAGGCCCCCCACATACAAAATATATAAGCACCACTCCAAAATTAATTCCCCAGCCCCGTTGTCATTTTGCATTCCTTTGATCAGGTCAGCGAAAAAGTCATATCTAAATTGTCATGATTTTTACGCATTTTTTTCGAGGAAAAATGCGTTGGCGGTCGGTCGGTCGGTCGTATGTATTATAATCGCAATAATCGGGTACTTCGTCCTTTAACCTGAACAAATTAACAGACAATATTTATCAACAACTATGTACAAATCAAACGTCAATCAAACGTAATTTTTATGTATGTGGGAAAAACCCCTCGGTTTTTTTGTTGAAAACACAATTTGTTTCTTTGAAATCCTTTTGGAATTCATTAAACAACAAATGGTGTTTGATTCGTAATATGAGCGAATGAAACAGAGAAAATTTTGGTCGTCTCCTCCTCGAAATAAGATCGAATGAACAGCAGATGAAATGAAAGTAAATAGGCGATCATGAAGACCAATTTCGTTTTTTTTTCTCCCTGTTTCCTTATTAAAGTAATTGAATTTATATGAATTTGGGAATTTGAATGTGAATGTATATAGAAACAAAACACGACGATTTGATCCTGAATCTTTGCTATACTCTATTCTCGTCCAGTCACAAAAAACTCTCGCTGCACTTTTTGTTTATGAGCTCGTTGAAAGGAAACGAACATAATATTTGTCCTCGTTTGAACTTTGATGAATATTTTTCTGACGAAGGGCAAAAAACAGGAAGGAAAACAACAAAGTTATTATTAGTATTTATTCTTCGGGGAAAAATATATGGATTCTCCTCATTCTCAAAATGTGTTTAGATTTACATCAATTGAGTTTGTTTCATTCTGATGTTTGATGTTTTTTGGGGCAGTGGCGGCATTCGCACACACATCCGGAGTGAAATCAGATGAAGGTCGCCCCGAAAAAGTTTACATGGTTTTTGAACACGAATATTTTATTAGTGATGTTTGCGTTTTTCAAAATATCTGTTTTGCGTTTGATGGATTAATACGTTTCTCTCAATGGAATTTATTTTTGCAACAAATCAGAACCGGAAATAACGTGATTCATATCAAAAGTTATGAAGTTATTTTAGTTGTTGATCATGACGTATTTTTTGTATTTTGTGATTACCTAAAAAAGAAACAATGAAAACAAAACCTGTCCAAAATAGAAATGTCATACATATTGTGACCCCTCAATAAAGGGTGGTTTTTGAAATCAAAAAGCAATTGTTCATTCATTCACTCCACATAAAAATAGTTTCGATTTTATTGCGTCATTATAATCACATTTTGTGTGAATGCCAGGAGATCAAACCTCATAACCTTGTAACTATGAATTATTGTTCTGGTTTTGGTTTTGCTTCTTTCTCTACCCTTTGTAGTGATTACCCGTGTCAAAAATCATCATCTTATCAAGAAATAAAACATTGTGCTCTTTCGATTATGTAATAATTTCAACATATGACATAATAATCAGTGTTTCTGAAGAAAACGGACATTTCTTTACGATGACAACAGTCTCGGAAAAAATACAAAAACGTATAATAAATTGAATTGAAGTGAAGTGAAACAGTATTGTCTAGGTGCTCGTGTTTTACGAAAGGGAAGAAAAAAAGGCGGACAAGAACGGGGAGAAAAATGATTTTTCGTATCGTAAAATGAGTCATATATGGTTCGCAGGAAGAAAAAAAATCAAAACGAGGACCATTCGGCAGTATTTTCAATTATTTTTGTGTGACACACTCTTCTTATTCGCGAAATAATTTCAAAAAATGCATCGTTTTTTGTCAACAAATATGTTTCGTAAGTCTTCAAATTTCTGCTTCTGCTTGTAGCAAGGATGTACGTGATCCTTGGAACTTTATTCCTGGACCTTCTAGGCTTTCACTAAACTGTATATGCTTTTCAATATCAACAAAGGTTTCATAATTCATCTCACCCCTTCTTTTTTCAAGAAAACAGGAAAAAGGAAAACCCCTAGAGTGATATATCTTTCAAGACCCGGAACTTTGAACTAGAGATTATTTTGTTGTTGGTTCTTTGCACAAGAATGCATCCGTTTGCTCTATGATAAAATTCCAATTATATCGTTCGAAGGTCGCTGTTCTGCAAAATTGTTTCATTTAATTATATATTTTTTTGTTATTGAACAAACTCTAATTCCACCTGTAAATTGTCAATGATCAAACGTGCAGAATCAGACTTCTACACCATGAAAAGATCAACAAGATTAATTCTTAACCTTCATTCATTCTCATTCACATTCACATTTAAAAAAACGTCATTTTTTTTTGCAAAATGTTGCATTGTTCTCGGAAAACGCACGCCAAGACGAAAGTTCATCATCATCATCATTTTGACAAAAATAAAACAAAACACGGTGTTGTAGTCAAGTGGAAAAAAACCAAAGTACAATGTGGTATTTATACTAAAGCTCACATTTCGGTCATGGTTATTTTTAGTACACACAATATTTTTTTGATGTGGTCTTTCATTTCATTCTGTCATACGAGAAAGCAAGGATGAGAGACCTTATGTTTCGAAATCACGTTTTTGGAGAGAGAAATCAAAGATTATTTTATCAACAATAAACAATTGAGAAGAAGAACTTTGAATCATTTGAGATTCTTGAATTATTTAGGAAGTGTCGTTTTCCGAAACCACAAAGTGTTGCATAAGCACACACAATTTTTGCTTTGCTTTTTCTTTGCTCACACACACACACTCACGTATAAATATATATATACAAAGATCTTTGAGCATTTGTTCAGAACTTGCTGAGCACTTTTTGTGCTTTGAATGAGGAGGGAAAGAAGAAGCAAAGAAGATAAACTAGTAGTATTTTATTAGGGGAAAAAAGTAGTCAATTAAATTTATTGTTTTCCTCTTATTTGATTCAATTCATTTTTGAATCTTAAAAACGTTAGTCATGAACAATTTTTTGTGCTCTTCCCTTCTTCGCTGAACTTTAGGCAGCACATGATCACATTTTGAGCACATACTAAAAGGAAATTAGATTATGCGAGCAAATGTCTCATAGATGATTATATGAATGTTTGAACTCTATTATATGAACGTTCTTTGGTTGGCTCATAAACGTGCAATTTTTTATACAAAATTGCATGAATAATTAGTTATTGGAAATATATAATTTAATAATGGAGCTGATGTTTTGATCTATCAAATGAATCACCAAACTATTTCTAGTTTGGTTTTCGTTGATTACGGTTTTCTCTACAATTGAAGTGTTTTGATTTACGATAACTGATAGAATAATATATCAAAGAATCAATGAAGCCATAAAAGTCTGGATAAAACTAGTTTTTCGTGAAACTACACATCATAGAATGGAAAACACCAATGATCGCGAAAGATTTGGAATTGATTAAAAACTGGAAATTCTAATTTTACTAAAGGATTTAATAATTCTCCCTTGTTCTAGATTAATTCTGACTATTTTTTTCTCGAAAAACAAGTTTGATCTTTTGATCTTGGCGTTCTGTGAATTTTTGAATATTTTTCACCTGTTCCAAATAATTTGAAAATATCAAATATTTTTCAGATAGGTTAGGTTACAAAGTATAAAATATAATCCTATGAAGTTCAAAATCTGAACTCTTTCTGGTTGTTTGCACTAATTGACTTGTGTTGCCTGGAAAACGGAAATTATTAGAGTTTCGCTTCGCAGGTTACAACAATAAATCAACAACGTTTTCTTTGTAATTGTCATGGACACTGAAAATTTGCGACGAGAGGAATCAAAGTTCACAACTTTCTTGATGATAGCAAATTGAGATAGATAGACGATTGAAAGAAGCAGGGCGGAAAGAACTAAAAGACCAAAGATAAATGCTCATTCAATCATAATTTGTAGTCAAAACTTTGTCTTGAGAGAGATAGTGGAAAAAAAAACGTGTGTGCTTGTGTGCTGATTATAAACTTTGATCATCATTTGTTTAGAGGGGGATAGTGTGTCAGCTGCACATATACACTTTCATATAAATATATACAAATATGTAAATAAACACGACTATTGATGTTCGATCTTTTGCACTTTTTGTTGTTTCAACACCACCACACTTGAAGCCACACATCTCATCAAACAGTTAGTACACTAAATTTGTCATATTTTTCCGGTTGGCAAACAGCCAAACCTCACGTGACATTACTTTACTGATAGAAAATGTTCCTTTGTATTGGATGTTTGTGTGTGTTAAAATAAATATTTGAAAGGGTTGACATCATACAAAAAAATGACGCATGGTTTTTGAATACAACGAATGTTTCATTTTTGTCCATGAAAAATTGCTCTCTAACCAAAAGTGTTTTTTTTTTTTCAGGAGCACCACAAATATCCAACAAATATTTGAAAAGCATTTGGGGAAAACCTGGTGAGTTCAAAACACATCGACATTTGCTCAGCAGAAAAAAAGGAGACAATATGCATATTTCAAGAGTTTCTTTTTGTGTTTCGTCCGTGAGAGAGACTGATCGACGAACCTTGGTTTTTCTCGCGCGCGCTTGAATCAGAAAGTCTTTTGCACTTTTTGTTGTTGACAAAAATGAGCGGAGAAAAAAACAACGCGTTGCGTTAAAATTGATGTAGTTTGGATGCACTCTTTGTTTTGTCTCGATCATAAATGAATGAAAATCATTTTTGTTTTGTCTGGTTTTCGAACTTTAAAAGGAGAAGACAGCGAGAGAATGATAGGAATTCAAAATACGGTTTCGTTTAGTTTAGTTTTCATTTCTCATTGAGTCACTCCCACACGCTGAAAATTCGTCACATTTTATAATAATAGAAACAAAACAATCTGTGGGGGAGTGTAGTCTTTTGCTCTTCCTCTCTTCTTTTTTTTCTCTTCTTTCATCATTTGGACCATTCAAAATGTTGCATCTTTCTTTGCAAAAAGAAGATAAGAGATCAAAAGTTACGAAAAGTGAGGTGGAGAGGGAGTGAGCGAGTGATTCATTTTGAGTGGATTGATCATTAGTCACACATACCATACCACAACACAACACAACACAACTACAGGCAACCTCGATTTTCTTTTCTCGCGTCCGCCGTTTCTTTTTTTTTCTTGCGATCTCACTCTCACATCAATTCAACGAACTGCTTGTTGCCTGATGATCGACTGTCTCTATTTGCAAATCGGAAACCAAACGATCATTGGTCGGTTTCTTCTTCTTTATTCTCTCCTTAAAGTGTCATTCGACATTCCTCCAACATTCCGTCTACGATTTCTCCAACAGCACCACTTTTTTGCCGGTATCATTATAAATTGATGAAAAAAAAAGATAATATGATTATGATATAGAGCAGACGTGGGCGGGATAAACCAATCGCTTTTCTAGAAGAATGACTACGTTTTGAAATACATTTTCTGTTCATTTTATACTTAATTGAGGCTAACTCTGCATTTTTCTGTAGGCTACAGTTTTTATTCGAGAACAATACATTGGTTTGTTGACTCAAATTGCGAAATATATTTTTTGTTTTTGATCCTTTTCAACTTTGATGCCATTTTTTGCAAATAAGGCAATGCAAGAGATCAGCCGGGATTGGGATTTCTTAGTGTTAATAAGTCTGACTGTGAATGTGAATTTAAATGTCAATCTCAAATCACAGTTTTATGCTTGAAAGCACTGAAGCATGTTGCTGATTATTGCTCCTTCCAACACTTGAGGTTTGCACACAAACACTATTCTTTCTCCCAACACTAAAACACATGATTTTAAATGATCAACCACACACATACACATGATTGTTTCAAATCTCTATTTATTTTCCCTCAATTTTTCGTCTCTAGTGATCTGATCGGTGTGCTCTTCAGTTTCAACGATCAAATTGATGTTGGACGAGATAGTATAGAAGAAGCTGGGAGACGCAGACGTAAACTTGGTCGTCCGCCCCGCCCACATTTTGTGTTCTATTGATCTCTGAACATTAACCGCTCGCTTCAAAAGAGACCTCCCATTTTTTCCCTCCTCTTTTTTCTTCTTCTTCTTCTATTTCTATTTTCTCTTTTCCCATCTTCTACAACAACTACTACTACTTCTATTTCGTTTTTCTCTCGCTATTCATTTTTTCTTGCCTAAAATGGTTCTTCCCCCTTCACCCCCCCCACCTCTTCACACAAACCACATATGCATACATATACACATTCATTGGTCAGTCTGCTGCTTTTGCTTGCTGCTAGTGCCTCAAGCAACATCAAAAGATCAACACCAACTTTTTCTACGCATTTTTCGAAAATTCTTTCTTTCTTCATCTTCTCACATTTTATTTCATTTGACATTTTTGTATTTCTTCTTGATTTCTCTCTATTCTTCGAAACTCATTATTTACCCTATAATTTCGAAAAAAAGATTTTATCAAAAGATCGAATCATTTTTGAAGGTTGACCTCTATTATTGTTGTGTGGGGTTCAATGCGATCATTGAGATCAAATGATCAAAGTTCTGTGTACTATTTGTTTGGTTATTTTTATTAGTCGCATCTTCTTTATTGAAAAAGGTGAAGGGAGGAAGGAATTGACAAATAATGCACTTTGGTTGATCTTTCAGTAATGTTTTTGTTATTGTCCTTTATACATTTCATCTCCTCCTCCGTGTTTTTCTCATGCTCCGCCTTTTTTATAGAAAAAAGGGGCGTTTCTCATTTTCTGCTTCCGAAGCACATAACACACTTCATTTATGCGATGTTAAAGCTTGCTGATTTTTTGCTTTCGAAAAAAATTTTGAAGCTCCGCCCATTTTTGTTGCTCACCAAAAATGGGCGGAGTGGATCATTTTCTTTGAAGTTCACTCACAGTTGGTACGAAGACACATTTATATAAATAGATTCGACACATAACTTTTCTCCTTCTTATCATCTTCCATCTTCCCTTATCACATGTGGGGTTGAACTGTTGGCTGATCATATCTAGTTCTGATCTTTGTTGACTGCCTCATTCTATTATTTTTCTTTTTTCTCTTTATAAATAATAATAGTCATTTGACAAATACTTTTTTTCATTTATTTTTATTTTTATTCATTTCTATTTCAGAAATGACTACTGATACGCAATCATCTACAGCTGCATTTGCATTCGCTGCATTAATGGGTTGCGGATCCCCAAGTCAAGCCGCATTTTCAATGGACTCTTTGTTGAAGCCAGAACTCGGCGAATTTTCACCATCTGGTGGAGAAGAAACTTCAATTTGTTCAGTTTGTTGTGATGAAGCATCTGGCAGACACTATGGTGTTGTTGCTTGCTTCGGATGTAAAGGATTTTTCCGACGAACAGTTCGGGCTGGAAAAAATTATGTATGCAGATATGAAAAGAATTGCAGAATTGACAAGGCTGGAAGAAATGTATGTCGATCCTGCAGATTCCAAAAATGTTTAGAAGTTGGGATGGAGCCTGATGGTAAGTTAGATTAAAATACTTGAGTAATTTCAAAAATAAATATTTTTTCAGCAATCCGCCCAGACAGAGACAAGACAGGAAGACAAAAAGAACCCAAGAAGAAACGCTCAATATGAAACCGGACCAATGAAAAAAATGTCAGTCTCATCAATGGTTGGCGATTTGCCATGTGTTAATAAAATGAGGGTAAGTTAAACCTATCATCTTTCTCAAAACACAAAAATAAAAATTGGTTTTTCAGGACGATTGTGATGACACCGCAACATCTCCATCATCACGAGCTGACTCGGCTCCAATTGATCTCCGACCGAGCCCACTTGATGAATCAGTATTGACAACATTGTGCGAAATTGAAAATATTGTTTTCCAATTGAGGGAACCTGGAAATGATGACAAAATTATGAAGAATCCAACATTGCAACACGCTATCACCAAATCAACATCGATCACAAATCGAACTTTGGTTAGTATACTTTTCAATTTCGAAATTTTTTATTTTTCCTTCACTCATTCTTTCAACCAAACAAACAAACAAACAACTTGTTTTTGTTTATATGAACATATTGGTTTTTAAATACTCTAGCTAATAATTAAACATCAACGATCAAACATTATTTATGTTTCAGCTGAACTTCAATGGTTCAAGAGGCGATGCTAAAATGGATTGTGTTGCTGCAAATCTTCGTCGATTAATCGTTGTAGCTATCGATTATGCAAACACCTTGCGACCAATTGCTGACCTCAACATTGATGAAAAGGTATATTTCATCATCCTTTAGTTTTTATTTGACCTCAAATGTTTATAGATTGCTCTCATCAAAAACTGTGTTGCACCATTCTCCCTCCTCTTCTGCGGTTATCAATCAATTGTTAATGATGCACCAGACAGTGACTGTATCTACCTCCCATCTGGTCACAAGATTTCACCACACACATCACTTTTCGAAAATGTTCCCGATGAGAAAAAATATGTGCTTTTGGACGCCAAGGCTGAGTAAGTTTTGCCCTTCCCTATCTTTCCCAATTGATCAATGTTCGAGCCTACACATATTTCGTCATAACTGTATTTTGTAGCGATAGCGCGTTCATAGATTGAAAACAATTTGCATAGGCGCAGAGAAAAAAAAGAGAAAAGATAAATTGTATGTGTATGTATGTGTGTGTTGTGCGCAATAAAAACTAACGCGAAGAAAATGATATGACTACGGAAATTATGAAAGAGAAAGAGAGACAACGATAAATGACACCAAATGACAGTCGGTTTCGAGTGGTCGCGGAATAGAAGAAAACAAAATGATGATTGATCTCTCGAACTTTGATCAACTGTGATTTTTTATGATTCTCTTTTCCATGAATGACAGTATTCATATCTTACAATATTTTCAGCATCGTTCGTCGTAATGTTGTCGATATGGTTATCAATCAATTAAAGAAACTCGATGTTTCAAAGACTGAAATGGTTGCATTGAAAGCAATTATGGCCTTGGATCCAAATGTTCGAGGATTGTCTGCAAAATCAAGTCAACTTCTTCTTGTTGCCAGAGAATCTGTGCAAAACGCTTTGTTCTCTCATCTTATCTCCCGATTTGGAACATCTGAAGCAACTGCTCGATTTGCTCATCTTCTTTTGTTGATCGCATCAGCTACAGTAAGTTAATAAAACTTATTCAAAATCAACAGATTTTAATATGATTTTTTCTGCAGCGTGCCTCATCATCTCTTGCTGCTTTCTTGCAACTTGGCAAAGATGTTAGCTATGACATTGATCCAATTTTGGAAGAGCTTTTGCTCAATGATATTTAGATTAATAATATATCTCTGTAACTGTTATACTATTCCTTGTACCCTAAAGCACTTTTAACGCATACGAAAGTTTAAGTCAAACTTACGGGTTAGATATTTATTGTTATACTTTCTCTCTGTATGTCCCAATTTTCTCTCTCTCTATATTCCCCCGGTCTCACATCCCAATTGTCAAAAATTGCCAATTCTAATATATGCATCCATACCAATCTATTCCATACCTTATACAATACGAACCTCTTTCTCATTTATTTATTTTCTATTCCACTCATTCATAACTTTCCAACATTTGGAATCAAATTGTCAATCAATCTGGTCATTTTAATGTCATACACATTTTTTTCTATGATTATTTCTATTCTATTGTCATTAGTTTGATTTTTAGTATGAAATGATCCGAATCCAAATCCCCCCATCCGTTCTTTCACTTTTTTCTTCTTGTTTACCATTTCTTGATTGTTTGTATACGATTAATATTCTATCAAAAATGAATAAAATGTGTTATATATTAAACAGTTTTATTGTTTGATTTATTCGAAAGGATCAAAAACCATTGCCTTTTTTGGTAAAGATCTTTAGCCAAATAGGCGACCAACAAGGTTTTTGTGTCTCTCCATCAATATTTCGTGTATTCCGAGAAATTTTTTTTGATGTGAGATATAGATAGCTGTCGCTGTCGCTGCGTAAAAAGAGGATGATGTTACAGTTATTCACATCCTTATAATTGGATGGATACTGTACTCATCCCACCCAAATTTAGGCAAATTTCGAAGTGAAATTTGAGAAACCCTTTTGCCTTGCATGTGATGCTGATTTTTGAAGAATTGGGGAAAGATTTTCACAGACCACAAGTTTGCGTTAATTGAACACAAAAGTGTGAGAATTCGAGAAGAATAATGGAGTTTGATTGTTTGATTCTGCGCAGAGCTCAAAATAACGAATCTGGTTTTACTCGCTTTTCAACAAACAAAAATGTTACTTTTTCGCCGTCGAACAAACATATGATTTCATCTTTGATTTCTTACCAGTTGCTTTAATGGTCAAAGTTTATTGCCCCTCTGTTCCTGTAATCAATTTGACATTTGAAAATTTTCTGTTATCAGGATCAATTTTTGATCTCTTTACTCTATAAAATTCAAACTACACACTCTATTTCTTCCTATCATTTGTGTTGTATTGCGTTGCGTCGAATAACGAGAAAAAATAGAAGAAAAAAAGAAGAAGAAGAAATTAAATGTGGGTCGGTCGCAATTGTTATTTAAATTATATATGTGTTCAAGGTTCAAAAACCAATATGTGTATAGCTAGATATATATTTCATTCTGTCGAGAGAGAGAATGAGAAATATGAAAGAGAATAGAGTACAAGTGGCACAGCAAAGTGAGCCGTTTTCCAAGCAATGCTCTTTGGTCCTTCTGCTCGCTCTTGGAACCATTGAGGAGGAAGAGAAACTAGAGAAATTAGTTTGCAAAACAACAAAACCGAATGGTCATCAAAATGAACAGCAGGAGCAGAAAAAAATTCGGAGAAGAGGAGAAGAAAGCTTTGCTCGATGAACAACAATATATACACCAACGCATGACATTTGATTTCTGTTCTTTAATGCAGGCCCCACAACAAAGATGATCGCTTGCTCGCTTACTCTTTTTTTTTCTTCGCTATTCTATTCTTTGCCAAAAACACCAATGATCACTTTTTTCTTCTTCTTCCTTCCCTTCTCTCCAGTTGGTTCTTCTGAATTTCGTACTGTGACATACATGAATAGAATTTTGAAACGAAGCAATAGAACTTTTATAAAATGAAAATGAAAAACTAATATCCAATTTTATTACTATTTTTATTATTATTCGTCAGACACGCAAAGTGATGCTTGCAAAACATACACACATATTTTTTTCTTTTTTGCATAACATTCAAAGATCAAAATCAAAATACAAAATATGCTGATGATTTTTCAAAATTCCTTATCAATTTGTGACCAGGGAAATTTGCAGCTACAAAAGACCATTTGCTTTATTAATCCAAAACTTTCTCTCCCACTAATCCAATTCAAATAAAAAAGCGATCATTACAAAAATGTTTGAAAATGAGAGTCCAACCTTGAGATTCAATGTTTGCATATGCAACAAAAGATCAAAAGATCAAAGCACAAACATAAACAAATATGCAACATTGTCTTCCAATGATCAAGAGAAAAAGAGAGAGAGAAATCATGACCAGGTCAAACTTCACAGTTGTTTTTTTCCTCTTCTGAAACAAAAAGATACACACACATATATACGCAACAATGTAACACAAGATCAAATGACCAGTGTTCTCTCGTTCTATTGTTGTATATTTCAATGTTTTATTTTTTATTGTTGATTCATTCTTGACAACAGGTGAAAATATACAAATAAATGTTTTATACGCGAGTGCGCGCAAGAAAAGAGCATATAGACATACTTCAGAATTGTTCCTTCCCGAATCATCCAGTGTTTGGCCTCAATGATCCAACCCCGCCAATGTTGACATTAACACGTCATTTTTTGATGTGTGGTTGTTTCTGAACTATATTGTTGTATTGTGAAATCTCTGTAGTCTTTGGAGTGGTTTGACATTTATGGTGAATTTGAAAACAAATCTTTTTATGTTGTTGAAATTTGGTGTATATGTAGAACTTGTCTGAATACTGCCCTTTTTTATTTGCTTTGATCTATTGAGATGTGTTGTATTGTATAGACAAGTCTGGACAAGAAAATCATATTTTTCTGATAACACGAAGTTTTTTATTTGATTCGATCAAAAATCGATCAAATGACGTGTACTGAACAAGGCAAACTTCTTTAGCAAGTTTCGAGGACGAATGACGAATCGCGGAAAGTTCTATTTCTAGAAAAAAAGAAGTCTACAAACAGATGTATAATAATATGTTTATAGTTAATGTCAAGCTATGGAGAAAGCGGTGTTTGATGTTTCTGCTTTCTTCTCCATACAATACCCAAAATTAAACAACACACATACTTCCGTATGTTGCGAAGTTCACGAAAATCATTTTTTTTGATGTCTCAACTCAATGGGAAGAAAGAAGAGAAAGAAGAACAAAAAACAAACGATCTTTGTTCGGATAGCAGAAACGGGGAAAAAACACGCAATTGGTTTGCAGGACGACGGCGACCAACCAAAAAAAAGGAGGAAATAAAAGAGAGACGTAAAGTTTGGTCTTCTGGAACAACATCATCCCTCTATTGTTATTCACTTTACTTTGACCAAAACACGGTGTGGGAATTTTCTATTTGGAAGAAAGAGAAGCAACAGGAAGGAAAAACAAACTTGTAAGCATAACTATACGAATAAAATGTAGTTGATTGATAAATTGACTTTGGACCGACGAAAGGAGAAAAATTCTTTGCGCTGCTGCATTGCAAAACAATTAATTCTTGGTGCACTGGAAATGACGCGTATTGTTACTTTGAACAATTGTTTTGTTGAACAACCTTGTTTGACAGCGGATTGAAACGAAAGAATGAAAGAATAAAGTCGGATTTAGTGTATTTTGAAAGTTTGATCTGTTATATTGAAAGGATAGAAAAGAACCAATCCCTCGAGGGGATTTTTCTAAATTTAGAACATAACTATAGTTTTCCTTTCCTTTCTTCCTTTTTATTCGTTTTGAGGGATTGAACAATGTTTTCACGGTGTGTGTGTTCAATGAAGCCAATTCAATATGATCTTTTGATCTTCTGAGTGAGATGAGAAAAACTTCCTTCTCCATGTGTTTTTCAAAAAGCATAAATTTATGATAGATACATGAAAAAAAATGAAAAAAAATGTGTATATTTGTAATACAACACTGTTCTGCAAATTTGGTCATAAGATGACGTTTTCTAGATATAAACATGCATAATAATGTTTGAACTTCGGGGAAAATTTATGTTTGATGTTACACCATATCGAGTTTTCTGATGAATGATCGGAAATCCGTTTAGATCACATTGAATTGATTAATATATATCAGATCAGGTTCAGAAAAAGATCAACTCAATCTGTTTCAGGAGAAAAATTGAGAAGGAAAAGAATAAAGAAAGAAAATTGAATAGAATCGAAACTGGTTCGTATTTGATCAAAGAACATCATCATCATTATTGTGACGTTAAACGCAAAAACAGTTAGTCGACCAACCGATTATTTTTCAATGGTATTTTATTTTAAGAAAAAAATTGGCGACGAGGGAAAACATAACAGGTGATCAAGGTCAAATCAACGAACAATAATATTTGCATCATCAGGAATTTCGAAATATTTTATTATTATTTTTATTATCATTCATTTATTTTGGTTTTGAGAGAGGCAAGACAAAAAATGTTTATGTTTTCCAGAAAACAACATTGGTTGGCGCGTAGGTGGTGAATGATCAGTATCAGGTCAATGTTCAATTAGGTCGAACAACAGTGGACGAGAAAGAATCAAAGTTCTTGTCGGATGCTAATGTTTTTGTTCTTGTACTTGAAAACGAGTATTTTTCCTGTTTTTTGTTGTGTTGTTTGTGAGAAGAAACGATTTTTGAAAACTAAAAATTGTTGAGGGATCGAGAAATCATTGAAGAATTTAGTTCAAAAATCAACTATAGTAATCCAGTTTCTGGAGTATTAAATATTAGATGTATGGTTTCGTGAATTGTGATCTTTGTCTGGAAACGTCACGAGGGTTTATTGATTAGTCATCAATCGAAAATGCAAAAAATGTTAGTATCAATCTTGATAAATCACAATAATTTGATGTGTACAATCATTCTCTTGACCGGATTTTATCAAAAAAATAAAAGAAGAGATGATTTTTGGTTTTCTCTGAATTTTTCATCAGATATATAATATATCAAGTGTATGTATGTATGTATGTATCAAAGCGAAGCCAAAGTTCATCGACATCTATTGAAAGAGTGCAAATGTCGCACATATACAATGAAGTTTGATGTTACAAATTCTTCCGCTTTTTTTCTATCTCCAAATTTCGACATAGACTATGGACCACAACAACAGCAAAAAACCAAAGGTTCTTTTTTTCCTCTTTTTTCACTTGATCTTTATTCTTTTCCGCATGTTTACTTGCTTTTCTAGGAATCATCTAGAATAGACAATAATAAAATTGGAAGGGGGAAAAAGAACATGAATAGAATGACATTTGTAATTCTATATTCACATTAAATTGTGAAACCAATGGTGATGACTCAATGTTCAGCAAACACTTGTTACTATGAGTCACACTTTTTTTTCGAAATTGAAAACATATGAAGTTATTTTGTTGATCAACATGAAACATCAGAAATTACTACAGTACGAGACCAATTTGCAGCTGTTCAAATATCATTTTTGAAAATCATTTTATTGTTGTATTCCATATTATTCCAATAAAAATTTACAATAACTGAAGAAGAATGCAAACAATGCAAATAAAAAATGTGATTTGTTTCGAAATGATTTCGAAAATATACGAAAGTGCAAACCGAGGGACTTTCTGTTTCCTCGAAAACAACTCAAAACTTCCGCTTTCCCAGAACACGTCTACATTTGTTTTTTTGATATTGGTCTCATGAAAAAATTATTTTTTGAACTGTGATGTTGTTTTTGTTATGTGGTTTTAACGAAAACACACACACACACACACATATACATAGCAAAAAATAAATTACCGAATGATCTTACATGTCTGAATGAATATTGGTTTATGGTCTCTTTTTTGGTTGTAAATATTTTTAAGAATGGAGGGAGAGAAAGACAAGAAACAATCAAAAAGATCTTGTTCAATTCTTAGACTTCCTTGTTTCGGGATATATTTTCTGTAAAGTGTGTGATGTGTGTTTGCTTGCAAAAATAAAAATATCCTAGTTTGGAGCTCATTTGTGTTATTTTGCTCATGCTCACGCTCAAACTCGAAAAAATGATATCATAATTGCTTTCGTATATTTCTCTGCATTTGAAATGAGAAAAAATAAAGGATTGATCATTTGATCTTGGTCACTGCGCTCATTCCTTTTTCTATCCTTTTCTCTTCTGCATTCTGACTACGTGATAGTTGCAAGCAAAAAATGCTGAAGAAGGAAGAAATTTGTTTGGTCTCCAGTCTTTGACAATTTAGGAGCAAACGGAAAAGCTTTATACTAGAATGTGTGTTGACCTTTGATGCACAATTTTTCTTGTTTTATTCCACATCAGATCACCAGCGAAAATAATGCGATAAAACCAGAGGGATAACATAGATCATAGATATGTATGTATATGTTTTTCGCATCATATGAATGAATAAATTTTCTAACCGGCTTTATGGATCAACGATCAACGCAAAAATGGTGGCGATGCTTGTACTTTCGAACACACCGTTTTAAACGATTTTTTTTCACGTTGATGGGGATGATGATGATGAGAAAAATGAGATCATACGAAGATTGACGATTTTTTCTCATGTCAGAGAAAAGAACCTGTTATCAAGATCTAAATCAATCGACATTTTTAAAAGATGGCTTTCTTTTATTAATACTTTCTTGTGAAACAGGTTATTAGCCTATTTTCATGAGAACAGAGAGAACTATTTGGTTGTCTAGGTTTAATCATTTATCAATGTTTTATTGCGAATCAGATCACGTGAGATGAAACATTGAAGAACAATCTAAAAAAGTTTTACTGTATCAAAAATAGGGACCGAATATAACGATGATTCACAAAACATTAAATTTTGTTAGGATCTTTTGAGAAAAATTAATGAACATATTGATCACATATGAATGAAACATTTTTGAGCCAAGTTTTGAGGTATTTTTGTGTTTTAAATTCTACTGATATATTTCTACATCGATATACAGTTTCTTCCGGTTTTAATGACTTTTCAGCTTGTATAAGTTTATTTTCATTTTTCCGGTATCCTTCTCAACATATTCCAAAAAGCTTTCTTGAAAAATAAACGAGTCAAAAGTCCAATACTGCAAAAAGTTATTTATCACTATTTTCATTTGATCAAAGTGTGTACAAAAATTGGTCATGTTTGATTACGTGTACATGAAAAAGGCACAATTATAGGCTACATAACCAAAAAAAACTATTCTTATTATTTTCTGATAATCATACGTTTCTAGAAATAAATGATAAGTGATCAAAGAGTGTGTCGAAAAAAACTTTGCTTTTGTTTAAACCGAAGAATATTTGTATGTAGTCTAATGTTTGCCTAATGCTTTCGACAAGACGAGAATGAAGATTGTTTCGGTGGTGCTGACTTGCACAATAGTCTTTCTGATCTTTGTACAAATTTGAAATTGTATTGAGGTAAATACAATAACCATAGAAATATTTATATTTGTATGTTTATTGAATATTTTTGTTTATTTATAAGATGTGGAAACAGGAAGATCACGATTTGAGTTGATTTTTTTTCGAGTGAAACACGGGCTTCCAAATTTTTTAAAAACAAAAATTCAAATTATGAATAAAACAAACCACATGAAGATACAAATCAGGATTTTTTGTTGTTGATTATCATCATAATTGCTGCAAAATGCATGATTGTTACGTGAGAAACAGAAATATCAAAACTAGAGAATTAAATTCTAGTTGTGGGTTTGATTCCTGTTAGAACAATGAACTTTTTTTCCAATGATTTATTAGCTTGTATTTCCGGGTTGGTTAAACGAAAAGGTCGAACTTTATAATGAACAATATGTTATTTACTGATGTAAATGTTATCGTTAAATTAAAAATTTTTTGTTTCTGATTTTTGGGAATATGCACTTGTTGTATGGATTAAAGTTAGCAACAAAAACAAAAATCATCTTGTGATATCATTTTTTTTTTCTGGAAATAAAAATAGCATCCAAATATATATCCGGAATCAAATCACATCACATCAGATTATTTGATTCATAGAACTGAACCAAAGAAGTTTTATGAATTCCCCATCATTAGTTAGGAATTCGTGATATTTTTTTGATCGCTCAGAGAATAGATCATTTCAAAATGAAAAATTATAAACATTCAAAGCAAAACAGAGAACAATTTTTCATACACACATACAAGCTTTTTCTGATTTTCGAACAATGGGGTTAAATTTCATATTCTCAATCTTTTCCAGAAATATGATAAGGTCGTCAACTTTTGATCTGTAGAATGACGAATTCAGATTTAATAAGGAAGTTCCAAAAACATGTTATGTTATGACAATAAACCAGGTTTTCTTCAATGATAAAACAGCAGCTTTCATGTAATGACAAATTTAGATTGTCAGGAAATTGCAATATATTAGCCATCAGAATATTTTAAGCTTATTTCCAAAGTCAAAGCATCATACTACACTTTTGCAGATCTGAAAAAAAAACACTATTTACGTCACGAATATGCATTAGATTCGAAAATAGTTCACTTCCTGGTTCATGTTTATAGTATTTTCCAACATTATAAATAGCATTCATTATTGCTTTCACAATTGTTGTTTATCACGGATCAATGAACTTAGAAATTGGCCGGAAACTGCTTTTGAGTTTTGAAAATGTCAAATTGGGACCGAAAAATCAAACACTATTTCCGTGTTCGCTGAGACAAAAACTATTACGACTAATTTTATGATTTTTTGATCAAAGTAAAGAAAAAAAAAACTTTATTCACATGCCTATAATTAAATCTGATCATTCATTCTTATGCTATAATTTTTTAGCTTGATTCTTACTGTGTTCAGAATGATTCCAAATGTGTTTTGTTGAACCTTCTGAACTTTTGATGAAAGTTTTTTTTGAATGAAGAAGGAAAATTCGTTCAAAATATGGAAAGAGATTTTTGAATCATTTGAAAGCTGATATAAAAATTTGAAAAAAAAATCTCAAAGTTCTGAAGATAAAAGCACCAAAAAATATTGAGAAATAAAAATAATTTTTATTTAAAATTACAACTTGCATCTTTTCAATATTTCAAAAATTTATCAAATTAGTAGATTTCAAAACATTGAGAAGAACATTTTCTGGAGAGACATATTCAGTCTGAAAGATTGTACAATTACATACAGTACCAACTAAACTTCTATAACAACTCCTTTTCTCGATACATTTTCAGTTTAACAATAAATTTTTACAAACAACTATGAAGCCATCAGAAGACAACTCTCATCATTGCCTTTAAAAACTAAGTTTTTGAAAGGATAAACAATGATAAATCTGAATTTTAGGTATTCTGTGAATAATTTCATAAGTTTGAGATGAACTATTTTTGAAACAATACTGTTCATCAACAAGAAGTGGTCACAAATACTTTCATCTTCTGCACCATAAAACATTATCAAGTGTTTCTGAGTCTACTTGACAAAACTCAGATTGTCAACTAAACGTATGAATAGTTTCAGTATCAAATACTGTTTTTTAGAACATGAAGTCATCAGAAGTAGTTTCATCATCGACTCCATAGAACATTACAAACAGATTTTTATGAACAGCTAGTTTCCAAATCAACTAGACAAAGCTCAACTCGGCTGAACTTGATCGCAGTATCAAATACTGTTTTTTTTTAACATGAAGCCATCAGAACTCAACTTTCATCATCGGCTTCATGAAAAATTTATTTCAAATAAAGATATGTCGATGGATATCCAACCATCATTTTTCAAATATGATACACCATTTTAAAAAGTCAAATTCATTCACTCATAAAAATACGACACAATACGATACCAAATACTACAAATTATTTCTTCTCAGTTTCTTCTCTCTTCCTCCTCCAAATCAATATTCATCTCTTGAACAACTGGCGATGGTGCTCCAGAACTTGCAGCTGATTCCTCGTCACATTGTCCAGTTTTCGGCGCTTCATCGTCTTCATACTTCTTACCATATCCATCACCTCTCCAGTTGTTATCAAAATCAGCTAATCCCTTCACTTCTCGATTCTTTGTCTTCTCTTCTGGTTTTGCTGGTGATATTTTTTTCCAGTAATAAGTTTTGCCATGCGCCAATTTCGTCCCGCTTCGAGTTTTCTGTAACAAACATTATTTTGAGAAAATTCTCGAATAATTACAACTCACCACCAATCCAAAATCCTTCTTCTTTTTCTTTGTTTTCCCATTTTCAGCAACAACCTCTTCTCCATCCGTTTCACCACCAGTCTCAGCAGTTTCGACATTTTCCGCTTCAACTTGTGCTCCACCTTCGGCTCCATTTCCCTCATTTCTTGCAACTACATTTCCAACTGGTACTCCTTGTTCTGCTCCATTTTCCTCATTTCTTTCAACTACATTTGCAACCTGTGCTCCTGGATTTGCTCCATTTCCTTCATTTCGTTCTGCTCCAACTTCCGAATTCTCATTCAATTCAATAACACCAGCCCCAATATTTCCGCGATTGCCAGCATTGCCTTCTTCTGCTCCAACCAATCTCAAATTCCCAAGATCTTCAGCAACATCCTCTTCTTCGGACCCCGACTGTGTTGGGTTCAAAAGGAATGGAATTCTCTGAAAAAAATGACATTTTTTTTCTGAAACCAAAAAATGAAAATCAACTTACCGGCGAATTGCGCGCCAACAAATTAGTGGCTCGAATTCGTTTGCCCATTTCAACTCGAGGATCATATCCAGTCCCATTTTCCCCGTCTCTCGAATTCGCCACATTCCCTTGAACATTCTGAACTCTGTCCGGATGTTCAGGGCTCACTTGAGCCGGAGCCGGAGCCGGAGCCGCAGCTGCCGCAACCACCGTTTTCTTTGCTCTTCGTTTTCCAGCTTTTTTCGAAGTTCTCTTACTTCCAGTTTTTGTTCTTTGACTGAACACTCGCACCGGTCCGGATTTCAAAACCCTGGTGGATTTTTTATTTCCACCGGCTCTTTTGCTTTTCCCACCTTTTTTCGATTTTGTGGGATTTCCACTTTTCTTTCCAGTTCCGCGACGAATCGACTTTGGCATTGTTGTTTTCTGAAAAAAAATCACAAAACATTACAATGGTTCTGAAAAGGAAGAATAAGAAAGCATGAGAGTACAACAAAAACAAATCGAAATGTTGCCTCAGTTAGCATCATTGGCAAACTTCGATTTTTCATGTGTTCGATCTCAGTAAAATCAATAAACCCAGCTCACATTTTCTACTTCAAAACAAAACAGAAATGTTCAGCTCGTAACATTTTTCTTCTAAAAACGGACCTTTTTCTTCTAAAAACGGAAAGTTTCAAATTTAAATCAGCATTAATAATGTTCAAAAAAACATTTTTCGATGAATCTTTTGGCCTTAATACTCCGATATCTTCACGAAAACAATATTTTCATTTGAAAACATTGTTACCAGCATGTTCAGCTCAAAAAACTGACCTAAAACGGATAAAAAAGCAAAAAAAATGAAAAAAATTTTTTTCATTTTTTTGCTTAAATCTTATTTTCTCACCTTAAAACGACCTTAGGGTGAAAAAATATTGCCAGCATTGAATTCAGCATCAAAAATTGACCCGAAAAAACATTTTTTTTTTCAAAAAAATTTTTTCATTTTTTCAAGGCTTGGCGCCTTGACACCCTCTCAACATAGTCTAGCAGGTACCCCTTCCGCAGAATGGATTCGAAAAAAAATCTTAAGGGGTATGAGAAAAATGGGAAAAATTCTCAAAACTATTTTTTTCAAAATTGTCCTAGAGTTATGAAAATTTTGTCCTAGGGACAGTTTTTTGCGCTGATGTCGAATTTCACATTGATTTTTCATGAAAATATCAGTTTCAGCCATTTTGAGCACGATCAGTTTCAGACAAAAACTTGATTTTTTTTTCAAAATTAATCATTTCAATCGGTTTTTTTCCACCCAGGGGTAATTTTGGGCGTAGATCTCGAATTTGATGTTCATTTTTCACCGAAAAAAATATTTTTTACTGAGATTTTTTTTTAAATTTCGATGATTTTTTTCATAAAAGTTTATATAGTTTGTTTTATGTTCCATAAAGTTTATAAGTCATTAATTACAGTTTTGAATGATCGAGAAGCAATATGTTTGAACGTTTAAAAAACCTGCTGACTAATCCTGGCATCGTTTCAAATTCAACAAAAGAAAGCAGCTTTTTAAGTCAAGGTTGTGAATAATAACAACAAAAAAGATTATTACAGAATACAAGGTCAGATTTTTTTTCTGAAAAATTGAAAGTTGAAATATTTTTTAAAAAAAGTTTGTTTTGTCAATCCGGAGCATGATTAAAGAATATAAAATGAACAATTTTTCAGAAACCGAGTTAACAATATTCAACATGTGTTTTCAGAAAAAGTTGCGTAAAACAACGTATTATTAATTTATTGAATTTATAGTTTTCAACTGAACAATTTTGGAAAAAAATTCAAAATTATTTTGAATTCTCACAAAAATTGAAAACATTCACGTCATAAACTTGTACTTTCTTTTTCTTCTTTTTTTTCTCCAATATTTTTTACAGCTTCATCATTGATGACTCATACTATTGTTGACCTGTATACAAGGTTAAACTTCTGTTTTTTTCACTTCTTTCTCTTCAAATTTTCGTATTTTTCTTTTTTCTCTTAAAGTAAATGACGCATAAATGGCAAGAATAAGAAGAAGAAAAAAGTCGTATTAATATTGTTGTTGCGTCTGCTTCTCGTTAACCTACTGTGTAAAAAAAGCTGCTTACTTGCTATTATTATCCTATCGTAACACGGCGCGTTTTTTTCTTTCTCGATACTTTTCTTCTTTGACTCATCATTCAAAAGTTTGTATAAATAGGCAACAAAATTCATTTTTCAGCATCATCGAACAGAAACATGACTTCTTCTACTACACTTCGATTCACTGTTTATTCAGTTGTTCTTTTGGCACTTGTTGAATATTCTTCGGCTTGTTTTGCATCTGGAATTTGTGGCGGAGGATGTGCACCACCGCCGCCACCAGTCTGCTCAGGTGGATGTGGAGGAGGATATGCTTGTGGAAGATACGGTTGCTACAGTGCCAAAGCTCGTGGATCGAAGACTCTAACCATTAAAAATGAAGTGAGTTTTATTCTTTTTTTTTAGAAAAAAATTGAAAACAATAATTTTTTAGAAAGACATGACACCTGATGAGAAATTCATGAAATGCTGTGAAGACCGTAATTTGCCAGATTCCTGCCTCGGAAAATGCTCATTCCGCACATACACCAAAGCTGCTCTTCAAGCTATGTACTTCAAACAAGATCGATGCCCAATGCAAGCTGCTGCCGATATTCAATACTGTGCTGCTCAAGGACGTGATCATAGTGATTGTTGTGTCAGAAACGGTGTTACTACTACTTTGGCCGGAGGAAAGGTAAACTTTTCGAAATCTTTAAATAATATATTTAAAAAATAATTTTTCAGTGCTTGACATTCTGCGACCAACGTCCAGGAAATGTTACCCAACTCGACTTCACATATTTGGCTTGTTATGATCGTTTCGAAAACATGAAATCGTGCTTCTGGCAAGATATTGTTGACCAATCTGCTCCAAGCTTCTCATTCAACACTGACACTGAAGTCAATCAAGAAGAAGAGCAACCAAGATTTGCTCTCGGCTCATCAAGAACTTTCCAAGCCAAAACATTCGGACAATAAGTTATCATGATATTCTGAAATGTGGTTTTTTGTACATTCTGTCAACTATTCTATGTACTGATTTTACTTATTCATCATAATTGTAACTCATTGAATAGTATAAATAAAAATGTTTTAACCTAAAAGAACACTGTTCATCCGACTTGAATTTATTGAGAACACAATTTTTTATTGTTTTTTGATGTTAGTCGGGGTTTTGCATTTGAAATCTGAAACGTATTAGTGTTTTCATGGAACAGTTTTATAAAGATAAAAACAAAATGAGATATAATAAAGGAAACAGCTGTAGTCCCTTTACAAAAAATTCCATTCCAAAAATGTTTGAGCCCTCAAGCCGTATCATTTTTCCACAATGATTTCTGAATTAAACATGATCACGCTCCGTTTTTCTCTCAATTTCAATAACCAACAATCAATCAACAACCTCAAAAAACCAACATCTCAACTTGAACAATAGAAGAACAATAAGGTGAAAGTTATAAAACATTAAAAAATTCATTCACATGTTCGATTCGAAAAAAAAACATCACAAAGGAAAATAAGTATACGACCTGGCAACAAAAATGTTTTTGTTCGAAATATAAGTAAAAAAATATAAGTATAAATATTGGACATTGTGGCTCATTTGAATTACCCAAATCAACAAATTTGAAAATGGCTAAGCTATTTGAAGAGATATCTTATATCACATTTGACAAGAGAAACACATGGCAAGGCATTACGAGTTTAAATATTGGAAAGTAGCTAACGAATAATCTAATCTTCTTCTTGTTCAAGAGTAAGTGATGTAATTTTGAGTTTGAGCGGCTTCTTCTTTTTTCGATCCTACAATAAAACACATTTATTTCAATAAGAAATATGAAAGATAAGTTTTTGAAAAATAACAACTCACAACAATTTCAATATTTGAATCAGACAACTGAACATTCAGTCGAACTTTATTATCCGAAACTTGATCATCCAAAGCAAACGCAGATAAATGTGTGATTATTTCATCATCTAGAGATGCTTTCAAACCCTTGATGTTTGCCTAAAAGTTTAAATTTTTATATTAAACAAAACAAGAAAGTTTTCTCACATCTAAAAATGATGTTGGATTATCAGCTGGTGCTCTCAATTGGAAATTGACAATGTTTGGCAAATCAGTTCGAATATATTTTTGAGCGAGAGCAATTTTCTTTAACATATCATTTGCTTCTTGGCGTACAATTGATAAACGATGCGATAATTCGACGCTGAAAATGATAATTTACAAATAAAAAATTTGAAATTATAATGAAAATTACTTTTGAACTCCTCCATCAATAAGCAATTCTCCATTATGCACATTTCCCACGATTTTAATACCGTCCAAATTAACAACCAGTAAATTACCCTAAAAAACAGTAAAATGAAGACATAAGATTAGAAAAATAAAAAAATAAGATTAGAAAAATAAACGTACCACTTTAGCCATTATGCTTTTAAAAATACGATCACTGATAATATGTTCATCTATAGTTACAGCTTCTTCAGCAACATCAGGCATTCCAAATGGATCATCTGCAGCAACAACATCGTAGTCGAAATTGGTTTCATCTTCGATTGATGTTGCAACTGATAAAGTATCATCCATCATTGACATTGTATCTGAAAAACAACTTTGAAGTTGAAATTGAATACAGATTTTCTTCATAAAGAACGACAGAATCATCATTAGTGCTAGAAATTTTATCTCATTTTTTTCTAACTATAGCTCATATTTTTTTTAATAAAACTTTTTTTCAGTTCTAATCACGAAGTCTTTGTCTCTAACTATTTTAAAATTTCCAGACCCATCAAAACAAAAACTTCTTTGAAGCTTACCAAATTCATTAGTTGGTCTTGGAAATTCTGGGAACGCTTCAACAGATGTGTTCCGTGGCACATTATTTTTCGGCACTTGCAAAACAACATTCTCAATTTTCTTCGACAAATTCGGTGTGCTTCCACGTGGTGTTGTCATCACATCTGAAAAAAAACGATAAATTGACACTTGTCTTCTCTCTATATTTGTTCATTGTAACCTATTGTGTTTCATTATATAATAATATAAATATGCTTATAAATGTATTTACAAACAAATATTTAGGCAGCTAGTTCATAACAGGATGTTGCAATAATGCACACGCCATTACCGGTGTTGTCTGAGTGGGGTATCATTTCAACTTTTACCGCTTTTCACCATTTTGACGCCATTTCCTATCTATCTTTGTACAAACAATAATAAACAAAAATATTTACACAAAATGGTGCCAATCGAGCATCTTTCAAGACACACCTAGTCCATCTTATTCGTAAACATTTCATACTTTTTTTTTTGCACCCACCTCAACCTAACCCTATTGTTCTTTGTTATTTTCTCATTCTCACTCGATTATCATTTTGTTCTGCTTTGCTCTTTTTTAACATTCCTCGCCAGATTGTTCAACTTCTTCCTTTAACAACAAAAAAAGTGGTCATTTGTTTTTCTAGTTGTTGTTGTCAAACCGTAATTTAGACCACCACTTGACACGGCACGCGAATTGAGTTTAGACAAGACAAGACGAAAAAAAACCTATTTTTCGTGATGTTAACATTCAAGTTGTGTTAAGCACTTAACATTTTTCATTTTGGTCATTTTCAAGTTCTCTATTTCATTTCGAGCATTTCCTTTATTCTTGAAATGTGAGCACTTTTATCTTAAGTGAACATTTCATTATTCTTTTTTTTGAGAAATTTTGAATATGAGTTTTTATATTTGAAAAATTATTATGAAAATAAATTTGATCTGAGATCACTTTCTTCCTGATATTAGATTTTTCAAATTTCTATTTCTCAAAACAGTCTCCGAAAAAGATTCAAACACAAATTTTTCACAGCCGATCATTTTACAGTAAACGAATATTCAGCACGCACGCCACACACTTATTGCTCCTCGAAAAAGCCAGGCATGTCATGCATTCTTCAACCGTTTTGCTCTTCTTTCATTTTCGCCGCGTTTACAAAACACAAGTGACCTTTTCTCTTCACTCTACCGTCTCCAACATCATTTGTATTATTTTTTTCGTATTATTATTATTATTATTATTTATATTTTCTGTTCTCCTGCCAGCCGATACCTGAACAAACAGAAAAATGAGGATCACTGTTTTTTTCTCGAGCATTTCATGCTCTGTTTTTTTTATTTCATTTCATCTCCTTGCTCTGCTCTGTAACCATGTTCCACGTGAAAAAGTCTAGGTATTCAATTACAAAAAAACTAGACGATGTTTTGATAGAAATTAATTTGGAGCAACAAGAAAAAAAAAGACAAAAAAAAAGATGCACATCGACAAGTATTTGCATAGATCTTCAACTTGAGCATTAGTTTATCATTTCATTTTGCTATTTTTCCTTCTTTCACTTGTCCGTGCTTCTGACCAACCTAGGTTCTCAAGCTTGTTTTTTTTTGTATCTTGAGAATCATTTTTCTTTCCAAGAAAAAAAATCCAATATATTTCAGGTATATGGATCATGCGATGAGGCGATATACGGTGTTATTTTGCATTTTTTCGGTTGTTTTTGGACAATGTCCACTTCAACTTCAGGTTTGTATTGTCTTTTTTTTTGGTCTAAACATAGTACATAACACATTTATTTTCTCAAACTTTCAGGAGCCTTGCTCTTGCTCTTCTACCCGATATGAAGCAGTTTCAATAGTCTGTGATAAGGGTGAATCTTTATCATCAGTCCTAGTTTCACTATCAAATCCACCAGCCCAAATCGACAGTTTGATCATTAGTAATACACCCATCGATCAGGTTTGTTTTATTTGTTTGTTTATTTTTCTAAATGCCTCACCTCCCTCACTCATTTTTCCCCTTTCGCTTATGATATTTTTAGCTGCCCGGATACGCATTCCAAGGTTTTAATATCAAGAAATTGATTTTGCGAAACAATGGATTGCGCATTATGCATCCCAACACATTCAGCGGAAGTTTAGAGGAGTCATTAGAGGAATTAGAGATTAAGGGAAACTATATTGACACAATTCCTCAGGCCGGATTAACAGTTTTGAAAAATTTGCGGATCCTTTCACTTCCAGGTTCGTTGAAACAAATAAATAAATTCGTTGTGATGAAAAAATAACATGTGATATTTTTCAGATAATCTGATTGATTATGTCCCAGACAACGCTTTTCTCTCATACCACAGTCGAGATACAATTCAGAAACTTGACCTAAGTGCAAATAATTTGACAGCAATTCATCCTACCGGACTCCTTGGATTGGAAAATTTATCACAATTATCACTCGATAAAAATTTGCTACATGAAATCCCAACTCAAGCACTTTCCAATATTCCAACTTTGGAAGATCTGAGTTTAGGGGTGAATCAGATTTCAACTGTTCCAAAGGATTCTCTACCATTACCAAATTTGAAATCTCTTAGTTTAGAAGTCAATCAGGTGAGCTTACCAAAAATAATAAAATTTATAACAATTTTGTCCTAAGATTCGACACATTCCATCGGACAGTTTTCAATCTGTCCCACTTCTCACTTATTTATACATTGGCAACAATTTATTAACCTCCATCGATCCTTCAATTTTCTATCATATTGGAAATTTGAAAGTGTTATCAATGGGAAATAATAAGGATATAACAATAGTGCCAGCTGATGCTTTTCAACACATTCCACTTTTGATTCGCTTGGAATTGAGCGATTGTTCAATTGCTAGGGTGGAAAATGGTGCATTGAGAAAGGCGAATAGTTTACAAGTTGTGATATTGTCGAGAAATCAATTGACACAGTAAGACAATGATTTTGAAGATAAAAACATATCTAAACATTTCAGAGTGTCTCACGACTCATTCTCTAATTTGCCACAAACTACAATGATTGATCTGAGCAATAATGCAATCAATCGTGTTGATGATTTTGCTTTCAGTCAACTTCCAATGTTAACATCACTTGATTTAAGTAGCAATCGTCTTGAAACTCTTCCAAGCAATGTTATCTATGATTCATTAACTTATCATTCACCATCAACAGTTCGGAAATTCTTATTACAAAATAATCCTTGGAGATGTGATAAAGATTTAGCGTGGCTTCGAAAATGGTTGAGAGATAATGGTGATGTTATGATTTCATCAAATGGTGATTTGACAACAAAGTGAGTCATCAAACATTGGAATCTTGCTTTCAAATCTTTTCAAGTTTTTTGGAGAAAACACATTGTTTTATTTGTAGATGTTACGAAATTCTAGTCTGAAAACTGAAAGCCTAGAAGTTTTATCATCAATAATTTTCCTCCAATTCCGAAAAAAATTTCAGATGTTGGACACCATCAAATTTAAGCGGATTAGATATCCGTCAAACCGATCCGTCACCAACAACTCCGGCAAGAGTCAAAATAGGAGATCAGATGAGAAAAATATTGAAACCAGCAGAAACATTACTCATTCCAACTAAAAATGATTTGGATACAGAAACTACAAAAGCTCATACAGCGGTCAATGGATTGGCTTTGGTTGGCCTTGTTCTAGGTGAGCCGAAATGTTTCTAGAGTTTTTTTTTGGAAACAATATTTTTTTTAGGAATAGTCTTGTCTGTTTTGGCAGTTTGTTTGATTCTTCTTCTTGTCATCCGATGGATTTTACGATCTTACGAAGAAAAATCAACAGGAAGTAATTTTGGGTCAACAGTTGGATCAAATGGTTATGTTGGAAGTGCGTATAGTGGAGCTGGAATTCTTGAAACCGGTGAACGTGCTCAACGATCAACAACCAACAATAACATTTATATGAATCGACCAAGATATTGGTGGTTCTAATTCGTTTGTGTCTTTTTTTCCAAAATCCATGACCTTTTTTGGCTGTACCCTTTATTTTTCATTTACCTCTATGTCAAGAGGATTAATTTTTCTGCTGATCTCTGAAAACCCCTCATCTTTCTAATTATATATTTATTATATTTAAAAATAATATAATATTGTAACCTGTCTTTCTTCAAGAAATTAATCATTATTTATATTAGTTTTTTTGCAATATCAAAACTCAAAAAGGTAATAATTGTATGTCATTCATTAATATATTTTTCTTCTCATCCAGGTTCAAGGACACTAATGATACAATCTTATATTTGATGACCCCTACCTTTGTATGTATAAAAGTTGTCATGTTTTTTTCTCGTTAAGTGTCAGTTTTGAATTTCTTACGCATCATCTTATGTTCGAACAAGAAAACAACAAAAAAGGAACATGTTCAAGTGGACGATTATCAATTCGAATGACCTGAATGACACAAGAAATCAAATGATGCAGAACACAAACATTTTTGAAAAAGGAGAGAAAACGAGACCAGAAAAAAATCGGGATAAAGTTGAGATGACGACCTTTTGAAATGTTGAAAACGTGGTTACTGTAGTCCAGAGTTTTTTTTAAGAGAGCTAATTTTCAAAGTTTGTAAAATTAAAAAATAGAACGAGGGATGAGTAAAGAATTTTGACCGATTAATAATGTTAGGATAACTTCACAGAAACATGATTACTGTATTTTTGAATCTATTTTTAAACTAAGTTAGAGAGAATGTTCTAACTTCTTCTGCCTCGAGAAGTTTCAAATAAGATTCGAGTCGAGTTTTCCTATTTCACGAATCAGAAATTCTTCCATAAATTCTCACTAGAAAAATGTCTGAAGAACCAAAATTTCCCACTTTTTCCAAGTGTTCATTTGAAGCAAGCTTTCCAAAAATCAGATTGGCACCAGATAATCCCATTTTAATCCCAGCTATACTTTCACCAACTGTTTATATCCTGTTTTGTCCATTCGTTTTCAATTTCCAATTTAATAATTTCACCCAACTTTTTTTCCCAATATACCTAATTAGATTTCGTTTTCATTAACAAGCAAGCGAGAACTTCTATTGCTTATTTCACACACACACGAAAAACTTTTACCCAAAAAAAGGTATTGAAATGAAAATGCTATGAGGCAAATTTCGAGGATAGAAAAAGTGAGAGAGATATAGCTGACCGGTAGACCGCGATTATATACAAATTCGTAACATGAACAAAAAAGATGCGGCAATTTGATGAGAAATAGAGAAAAAAGATGACCTGGATGAATACTACTGCCTCCTCCTGCGCGGCTACAGAAACAGTTCCTCCTCTTTTTTCCCATTCTTCTTCTTCTTCTATCTTTTTTGCCTTCTTCTTCCCGTTGCATTCTTCCGTATTTTCCATATTTGAAGAAAACACGAATGACCGGGTCTTCTCAATTATTGTTACTATTTTCCATTTTATTTTCACTAATTGTCAATGGTTTCACTTGTCCGGGACAAGTTACCGAAATATGTTTATGCTCCGAATTGCACAATGGAGTTGTGCTAGATTGCTCGAAAACTGATGGTTATCAAACGATGGAGGTTTTGCGAAAAAACCAAGCGCTTTTGGGTTTGATTCAATCGCTAACATTGCAAGAATCAAAACTTGCAACAATTCCAAAAGAATTCTTTTCGGGATTATTCATCAAGAAACTGGATTTGTCAAACAATTTGATGACTTCTATTGATGACAACGCTTTTGATGGAATGAACTCTGTTCTTCAAGAACTTGTCCTGAATCATAACAAACTACAAAGAGTGAGTTTAGTCTCAAATGACCGGGCAACCCAGAAATAATCATATTCTAACAAGCTGAAGGTTTTGAGTTTTGTTTTTTTGGGCTCATTGAGCATTTCGGTAAGATTTTCATAGTCAAAACTAGTATATTCGGGTTAGAAAATGGTAATTTCTAGGTTTCCTAGAAAAATTCAAAAGAAACTTTCCCCAAAAAATTATTTTTTGTAGATTCCATCAAAAGCTATTGCTGGTCTCCCAATGTTGCTCCGCTTGGATATCTCAAACAACACAATTAATGAAATTCCAGAAGAAGATGTTTTCCCAACCTTAACCAAGGTAACATTTTTTGCCCTCTCTCAAACCAATTAATTACATTTCCATTTTACTCCAAAAAACAGTAACAGTTAGTCGTCAATTATCCCAATTTGCAGATTTACGATGTCAACTTGGGAAGCAACAACATTTCACAAATTCACACAAGTACTTTTCAAAATGTCAAGAACACTATTCAGACAATCAATTTGGGACACAATAAATTGTCGGCGGTTCCATCGTCAGGTCAGTCTCAACTTTTTTTATTGGGTTCAAGTTCAACATTTATTGTTGTGTATTTCAACACAAGAACAATAAACGAAACAATAAAAATGTATAGTTTTGTCTTGGCTTAGCATGGATTGAATGCATAAATGACCCACAAAAAAACCAACAAATATATTTTTGACCTGACCGGAATTCAATTGTTTTGTTGTTTATTTTTCATCGGAAGGGAAGGGAAGCGAAAACATGGATAAATAAACAATAATTGTAAACAAATAAACAACTAACTGGTTACAGCTATCCGAGGTTTGAAGCAACTTCAAGCTCTACATCTACACAAAAATCAGATAAAACAATTGGAGGCGTTGAACTTTTTGAATTTGCCAGTGCTCAATTTATTAAATTTGGCTGGAAATCAAATTTCGGATTTGAATCGACAAGCATTTTTGAATGTTCCAAATTTGAGATATCTTTATCTAACAGATAACAAGATCAACAAGCTAATGAGTCATCAATTTGCATCATTTGAACAATTGGAAATGCTTGATTTGACGAACAATCAAATCATTGAAGTTCCAAATGAATGTCTTTCTGGATTAAAACAAATGCGTCAATTATATCTTGGAAATAATCAAATCAAATCCATCGGTAAAAATGCGTTCTCCAATAGTTCAATTGTTGTGTTAGTTTTATCTGGCAACAATTTGACCACATTACCAGAAGGTGTTATAACTGGACTCGCTAATCTTCAACAAGTCTCGTTTAGGAAAAATCAGGTGGGTCAAGTATTTATTATTTACTGTAGGAACAAAAAAGGGAAACGGATAAAAAACAACACCAAAAATAATATAACCTTGATCCGGTCTGACCTTAAGATGGTTGAGAGGGATTTAGTCACATAATTGTTTTGAAAAGAAGACGAAAATTGTTTTGGGTTTGAAAGTTGGCTCTTACGCATGATTAATGGCGAGGTCAAAATATCTAATTCTTTATGTTTTTTTAGATTGCAAGTGTTCATCAAAACGCATTCTATAACGCTCCATCGCTTGTTATGATTGATTTAGCGGATAATTATTTGACCGAAATTGCGCCATCAACATTTTTAGCCCAACTCAATCTTTTATTGATTGATTTGAGCTCAAACAAATTGACAAAAACACCATATGCTGCTTTCAATCGGCGTGTTGGAACTGTTCTTTTGAAAGGTAATTGATATCTTGAAAGTATTCGAAAAAATTTGGAAATTTAGAAAACCCGCTAGTCTGCACTGAAAAAATTCACATGCTCCAAGATGGAACAGGAATCAATATCGAAGATAGTGAAGATATTATTTGTGGTGGAAAACCTAAAACAACTACAACCACACAAAGCTCACTAGTTCAGGTAAATCTTATTTTTTCAATGCTCTTTATTTCACATTATGACTTTGTAGATGCCAAAAATGATCCCAAGAAAACATCACGAGCCAACACAAATTCCAAATGGAGCATTCCAACAAGCCGGTTTGGTTAGACCAACTTCAAGATCACACTCAAGATTTGTGACTGATAAAACGCATGATATTCCAAGAATTATTATGACAACACCTTCACCAAGACATCAAGAAGAAGAACAAGCAAATGTTGAAGAAGAAAATATTGAAGAAGAATCTGGACCGGAATTTGTGTTAGATGAGACAACAAAATCACAAGAGCAAGAAATTCCAAAACCATCAGTTCTTCCAGTGAGTTTTAAATATGAGCAATAGTTTATATAACCTTTAAAATTGGATATCAGTTCTCAAAATCCTTCGTCAAAACAACGTAACCATTCTAACTTTTAGAAATAGAACTTACAGCTTTTTTTATTAATTTGAACAAAACGAGATTAATTGTCATATTTTCAGACCCGCGAAGATCTAGCTGCAACTCCAATCTCAACAACCCCAAATCCACCAAGACGATACACAGACATTGCCGACAATCCAAACATTATTCATCCATTCCCAGTTCCATTTTTGAAACGTGGACCACACATGAATAAGGCAACTGCAGTTCGTGTAACTACCGAAGGTCCAGTGACAGAAGAAGTGCACACACTTCCACCATCAATTCTTATTGAACCAGGAAGCACACCAAAGTGAGTTTATCTTCAGTGTTACACAAGATGTTGTTAACAAGAAAAAAAAGCTGATTTTTCATGATCCAACTTTTAGATTCAACACGTCGCAAGCTCCTGATCATACTCGTGTTAACACCGAACATTTTGAAGAATTCGCATTGAGATCAAAAATTGATAGAGAGGTAAGTTTCAGTTGACTTTAAAAAACATGAACTTAATTTTAATTTTCAGGAAGAGTCATCAACAACAGCTTCGGATTCATCACCACCATCAAAATCAATGTTCCCAACAACAATTGTTATGATTTGTGTTGGAACTGCGCTTATTGTGATGGTTGCTGTTATTTTAGGATTATGTATCAGCAAGCACAGGTATTTTGAAATGAAAATTTTAAAGTCCAAATAAAATTCTCAATATGTTTCAGACAACTTCGATTTGAAAACACTTATTCTGACAGCAGTGTTGCACGAACAAATGAGTATGTTGCCGCTCAAGCACATTTGAACTCGGTTTACAGTACTCAAAGAGTTGGAAGATTTGAAGATTCGCCCGCTTGGATTTACAATCCTGGTGCAAATTATTGCAATTATTACAAATAGATCACCTCCTGTCCAAAACGAAATATCCCAAAAAAATTAAAAAATAATAATAACAACCAGGTTGATAAGATCTATCGTGTATATTTGCTCCAAAGATATCCTCTTCTATTCTATCCAAAAATAATTGTTTCCTGTGAATTGAATGCCTTTTCTTACCCTTCCCTTTATCTTCATTTGTGATTACGGTTCTAATTTTATTTGATTATTTTTGCTAAACGAGAAAAAACATTGAAAATTAATAAATTATTTGACCACGACCTTTGAATGATAAAATGAAAATTGACCAACAAGAAAAGAAAAGTAGCACACGCTGCTTGACACAAACCGTCACTTTCAAAAAGATAGAGATAATATGAACACCAATTTGATACAGGTTGATTGATGGATGTAAATATGTATGCATGTATGGATAGATCAAATCCCTAGCGCAACAACGCGTGTCGGCAGAAAAAACATGACATTAATTGACCTCCTGTCGGCACCTTTCCTTTTCATTGTTCCTTTTTTCTTTTCTTTTTTTTTTTTCTTTTTACACAAAAATACAGGTCACTGCACTTACAGTCGGCTTGGTACCTCCAAAAAAGACCTCAATTAACCATTCTTTCAAAAAGAAGGTCCCTCTTTCTTTTATTCATTTTTTCTGGTTTCCAATTTCAAATTTAATCAAATTTCGGATTTCAAAAAAAAAGAGGAAAATTTGATTGATGCTTTCAAAATTGGTTTTTTTCTCGGGGAAGAGAAGATTTATATAATATAGTTGATGAATAAATTAAAGGTTTTGGGTTGCAATTAAAACAATTAGAGGTTTTTCTCAAAATAAAAAATGAACAATGAGAAAAGGAATTTTGAGTTGGAGATTCGATAAGTTGGATTATTAATTAGGGAATTGTGAATTAAATTTATATGCGAAAGAAAAATATATAATTTCTCTAAAAATATAATAATAATTTCGTAATTTTTTGAACTGGTGATCATAATAGAGATATATGTTTTGGAACATGTGAATATGAAAATAGACATTTTTTGGACTCTTCAAAAGTTGGTGAAAATACAAATTAAACATTTCTTCAATTCAAAAAATGTTTTTCCGAGTGAAAAATATTATCCTATTCTTGTCCTAGAATATGTCTACTTTAAAGACACAAGAAACACTGGAAAAAACAGATTTCCCGCATTTATTTTCAAACGACAAAACCAGCATGTGCGCTCTAGCGACACACTGTGTGCACACACTTTCGAAATTTCCGTCGGCTGAGCGATTTCAAAAACAATTATTTTATTTTTTCACTTCTGCTAGACTCAAAATTTTTTCTCGATTTTCATGAATTTAGATTACTTGAAAGGTGTTTTGAATGAATAACAAACTCATTTTCTGTTCATTTCTAGCGGATTGTGTGTCTTTAAGTTTTAGTTTGAGTTTCTCAAACACCTTTCTTGCAAAAACTTATTTCATATTGATAAACTCAAAACTTCCACGAATTTCATAACTACCTTTACCGCATTTCTTTTCCCCGAAAAACAAATCGAAAACTATTTGATAAGAATCAAAACAAGATCCAACAAGCACCGGAATGCACTTCTCTCAGTTTATCTTGTCTATCTTGTCTCTCATGTCACTGGGTCATAAACTCTTCCTCCCCCTTTCTTCAACGGGTACCACCATTCACTACAATTTCCCCCCAACTATGACAAAAAATATCATAGCAAAGGGGCGTGTCACCAACCATTCAAATGCAGGTCTCTAATCTCATTCATTCTCCTCTACTCATTCATTTTTTCTTACAGATTAGAGACCTTGACCTAACTCATCCATACACACAGTGTGGTCACATCCTCCCCCTCCTTTGCATCTTTATTTGTCTTTTTTACCCGATTACCTGGGTGACCGTTTTTTTTTGTCACAGCGGACTATATCCTTCTTAATTTCAGACATCTCTTGGATAGTTAGACAACAGAAAATGGATTCTCGAAAACTTGTCTTATTGCTTTTGTGTTTGCCAGCAGTTTTGGCATTCTGCCCAAAACTTTTCAACAATCAAGTAAGCTTTTTTCATTTTTTTTCTAAAATCTCCTATAATTTCAAATATATAATATCCTAAAATTCAGACTGCTTGCTCATGTGATAGCTCTGTTGAAGGACCAGTTGTCCGATGCAGTGGACCAGCCGGTCTTCCAGTCATTGAGAAACTCAAATCATCTCATATGGAAATCCGAGAGCTTGCTCTTGAAAATGCCAACATTATTGAAATTGGACCACGTGCTTTCAAGAATTTGAGAATTAAGAAACTTGTTCTTGACAAAAATCGTATCAAGGAAATCCATCGTGATGCTTTTAAGGGACTTGAAAATGTTTTGCAAGAGTTGTCAATCTCTGAAAACAATCTTGTAACTGTCCCAACAAAGGCTTTGACTGGATTAAAAGCTTTGAATGTCTTGAACTTGAAATGTAACAAGATCGGAAACATTACCGAACAAGCATTTGCTAATATGACTGCTCTCATTGATGTCAACCTTGCGTGCAATCAGGTTTGTTTGACATATTTTTAATAAAAGTATCAAGTTTCTTATCGCAAACATCTTTAGATCTGTGAAATGGCTGCTGATACCTTCAACACTGTTCATTTCTCCCTCCAAAACCTCATTCTTGATAACAACTGTATGACTGCTTTCCCAGCTTCAGCTGTCAGAAACATGGATAATCTTATTGCTCTTCACATCAAATATAATCAAATTGGAGCTCTTGAACAAAATGATTTGACTAACCTCACTTCAATCTCAATGCTCTCATTGACTGGAAACAACATCACCGCTGTTAAAGGTGGAGCTTTGATGAACACACCAAATCTTCGTTACGTTTACTTGAACGAAAACTACCTTCAAACGTTCGACAATGGAGTTATGGCTCAATTCAAACAAGCTCAAGTTATCGATTTATCTTTCAATAATATCACTGAAGTCACAACTGAAATGTTCGAAGGATTGGAAAGCATCCAACATTTGAATCTCGATAGCAATGCCATCAAATCAGTTGCTCCTGGAGCATTCGCTGGAACTCCACTTCTTCTTCTCTGGTTGCCAAACAACTGTCTCACTGAAGTCAGCCAACAAACCTTCCAAGGAGCTCTTTTCCTTCGTCAAGTTTCCCTTGCCAACAACAATATCAAGACTGTTCAACAACTCTCATTCGCTCACCTTGCTAATCTCCACACTTTGGATTTGGCTAACAATAAGATCATGACCCTTCAAGCTGGAGCTCTCAGCGGAGCTGATCATTTGACTGTCAGACTTCAAGGTGAGCGAATTACAATTCAAAAAATAAGTTTCTAATTTATTTTTCTTTCAGAAAACCCAATGGTTTGTACCCAAGACGGATTCCATGTTATGAACGGAAATGAGGCTATCAACTTGACCACTGAAGTCAACAATATTTGCAAAGGAAAATGGCAAGCTGAGACTGTCGACTTGTGCCCAAAGGCTCAACCAAGACCAGTTGCTCCACCTTGTTGCTCAAGAGTTCCATTGACTACAACGACCACAACAACCACAACCGAAGAGCCAACAACAACTGAAGAGGTTTCAACAACCACTGAACTTGTTGATGGAGAAGAAGAAGAGGTTGTCGAAGAAGAAGTTGAGGAAGAAGAAGAGGAGGAAGAAACTACAACTACTCGCAAGCCAACCACAACTACAAAGAAGCCAAACATGAATATGGATAGATTCTGGAGATTGTCGCAAAAGCCAAGTGCCAATTCACCATTCATGCGTCATTCTCAAGGAAACAAACCAAAATTCCTCCGCACAGTAAGTCAAAGATTATGAATTTCTAACAATAATCAACCATTTTCAGACAACCACAACTGAAGCACCAACTGAGGAAGAAGGTGACGAAGAAGAGGAAGCCGAGTATGTTGAAGAGGAAGTCGAAGAAGAAGCTCAACCAGAAGAAGAAGAGGAAGCTGAGAGCACCACAACCACAACAACAACTGTTGCTCCAGTCAAAGTTCCAGCTAGAATTCGTGAACGACAAAGAATGATGGCTAATATGCCACCATGGTTGTCGCCAAGATCAAAGAGCGCCGAACCAGTCGCTGAAGAGTTCAGCAAAGATGATGAAGTTGAAAGTGTGTCAAACGATGAAGTTGCTCCACAATAATTTTTCGAATTTCTCCAAATCTCTCTATTCCTCGTTTTTTATTTGAGGATCTCATACGTGTCAATTGATTCTTGCTAAACTTCAATTCCCCTCTCCTCCAAATATTCCAAATGTGTATTTTTTGAAAGTAGTTATGGTTTTTTCAATCAACACAAACTCAAGTGCTATATATTTTTTCTATTTTGTATACTCTCAAGGTTCTACTGTACCAATTAATAATAATAATAATGATAATAAATGGAATAATAAACATACCTGATAATCGATCCATAAAACTATTATTGATATCAGTCACTGCTGGACAAGCATCATATGGCGAAGGCATTGGTCCCATTGTTAATAGAATATGAGCGCGAATTTTATCCAAAACTGCTAAAAATGAAACAGTTGGTGCGGATGGTGGTTTTCCGCCAGTAAAATGCTTTTGATCGGCTGCAAGTAGATCAAAGAAACTGGATAGTTTTGCAGATAGTCTGGTGAGTTGGAGGAATTGGAAATGATCAATCATAACTGTGACTTCTTCACTTGGCTCGATGAATGCTGAGATGAAGTCTGCATTGAGAATGGCACCTCCAACTAGGGGAATCTGAAAAAAAGCTCATATTTTTCTTATTGGGTGCAACTTATTCTTCAGATTAAACAACTTCGGAATTAAACAGAGTTCAGTATACTTTTTTAAACAATATTTCACTGGTACTACAATCTACATATTCATCAGAATACTTCTAGAAAAAAACTCACATCATAAATCAATGGGAGGCCCTTCGTATTATTTCCATGATCAGTATCGATCCAAACAGGCGATGTTCTCAAAAACAATATCTCTGAACTTGGCGGCACGGTTGCATTATTCAAATTATTCAAATGTTGTATGAATTTCTCATTTCCATGTTGAACTTTGACATTATTACAAAGATGTGGCAAGTTTCGGAAATGGGCTTTTTGATTGAATTCGAATGAACAGGAAGATACAGATAATAAAGACATTGAAGCAACAAGGCGATGAGGTAAGCGAGCATCGGATACTGGATTTGGAAGTGGAATGATTATCTGAAAGTAAATATTGGTGATTAAGATAATTTTTCAAATATAACGAAAACTCACCTTTGGCATTAGTAGATCAAAACGGAGGTCTGGAGCTTGGACATTTGCATCAACTGGAACTTTCAATTTTCCATCTTCAATTGCAGATTGAAGATTATGTGCAACATATAGACACCATCTCAAAGTTCGCTCATCAAAAGTTAGAGAAAATGGTCCAAGTTGTAGATAAGCGGCAGGTTTAGGAACAGGTAGTGTGTCAGTCATTGGATGGAAATAATTTGCAAACTCGAAATGTACAATGTGTTGATCACTGGGAAGAGATCGCAAATGTCTTTCACTAACAAATAAATTTTTGAGAGCATCTTTTTTGGTGTTCATATCAGATACACACTGGATCGTTAAATCGAACATTCTTACAATCACATGGAATCCCATCATTTGGGGCCAACATCTTTCCAATCTTGTTCGAAGCGTGGAATCTGAAATGAATTTTTTGTTTCATTCTCCATCCCAACATTCTATATTAAAACCTTTTGTCTCTTTCATAATTTCATTATATTGTTCAGATAATCTTGAATGCATCCAATTTGTAAACGCATTCGGTGTTGAATATCTCATCCATGTTGATCGGTCAGAACTAGCAAGAGCTTTTGGATATGCATCAATTAAAACTTGGAATAACGTCACTTGCATTGCTCCACTTTCAATATTCCAATTAGGAGGATAGCCTGCAATATACCAATTATTTTTCTTTCTGAAAATAAATGTTCAAAAGTTCAAAAAACATACAACTTGAAGCATTTGCATCGTCACAAAGATGAAGATCAATTTTTTTGACGTGAAGATGATAGGAAGTTTGATCGAAATGGAATGCTTTGAAAGTAGAGTTGGATGCATCTACACCTGGTGTATTATTCACTTGAGATCGATTTGAAAATCCTGAGGGTGTTGGAACCTGGAAACACATCTGTTATAATTTTTTTTTAGAAATTTAATTAAGAGTTTTTTTAAACTCATATTCTTTCTTCAATTTTCTAATTCAATTTTCGAAAATTAATTAATTAAAAAACTTACAATGATCATTTCTTTTTGTGACTCTTGAACAAGACTCATAATATATGAAGCGAAAGAAATTGCAGAGCGAAGTTGTGGCAAAGTGGCAACCCATAAAATATCTTCCAAAATTGTCTGAATTCTAGCGTGAATCACTTTTCCATCAACGCTACTTTTTTTGAGTGCGATTCGAATTTTTCCACCAGAAGTTATAAGACGAAGTGGTGCATTGATTTTGGATCGTTTTTCATCTTTTGATGATTTTGCAGATGCTTCGATTCGCAACAAATGCCATGACAACTGAATTTTTAATTTTTCAAATATTTGTATTTCAAAAAAAAATAAGGTTTCAAAAAATAAATAAATAATACCTGTTTGTACATCAAAGTGCGATTTGTCACTGAACAATTAATTCTTGCATGTTTCAAATCTTGAACTGGTGCCCATCCTGGACTTCTACTTTCTACTGATAATCTTTGAAGCATAAAAGATCCACCAAAAGCATCCGAATCAAAATTGATCTCCACTGTGTTTATATACAAAGACATATTTTCAACAATTTTTTTCGATGAAACCATATGAATTGCTATCGCCAAGATTTCTAAAAATAAACAAGGATTATCCGAGAAATGTATTTGAGAAAAACATACCCAAACGGATTTTCTCCTCGTTTTGCTGGCGGTCCACTTGATAATTCTACATCTACATTAATCTCATCGATAAACTGAAGAAAGCATTTTTGGTTTTCAAATATATGTTTCAAGACAGATATAAACTCACAATCTGTATTGGTGAAGATTTCAAACGTGTCCACGGGACATTTACTGTAACTCCTGTACAATATGCTCGTTTAATCCTCAACCATGTTGGTAATTCCAAAATATCAGTCAATACTTCTTCATTGATCTCAATAAATTGTAATTTACTATTGCCTCTCAATACATCTAATGAGATTTGTTCCGGTTTCAAATTACGAGTAAATCTGAAATCGATTTTCCTTTTTATATGTACATATTTAATGGTTATTTTATTTATTTATCAATAAATTATTTGATAAAAAACTCACTTTGATAAATGTTTGACAAGTTGATTTTTGATAAGTCCTGCCATATTGTTTCGATAACTAACAGCTAACTAAACGGCAGGAATATCAGTTGTTCCTCTGAAAAAAACGCATATCAAAATCAAACATACAATCAAAATGCGAGAGAACAGGAAAAAAAAGAAGTCCTGAGGTGTAAACAGTGCAAACCGGTCGAAGAAAAGTATGGAAATCGCGAAAAAAAAAATGGAAAAAAGATGGATAGCAGCCATGGTTTCCGCTTGCCAACTAAAATTTGCATTAGGGCGCGTTTGCTGACTATTGCGTCCCTGTGACGCTTTATGTTTTTCTGTCTTTCTCTAATTCTCCAAGTTTTCCATTCTCTTTCTCTCTTTTTTCTATACATTTTGTTATGCTACAAGATTGGCAACATTTTTGATGGCAAACTTTTCAAATCCTTGTACAGATTCAGGTAACTTTACTGCTTAAAACTATATTTTGAAAATAATTAATATTCTTTTAGGTGTTGGAACGCGTAACAAATGTAGATATTCAGAAAATTTGGAGCCAATTAATGATCAACCTCATCCATACACATGTAACACTTACATAAAGTGAGTTTTTCAAAAATTTCACAATCAGAAAAACATAAATTATGTTTAGGTACGATCCATTCCAATTTTATGGGTTATTTTCCGGGTTTAATGGTGGAGATGAAGTTGCCAAATATGTTATGGATCGATTAGTTCATGTGATATTTAAAGTTAATCCAATTACAGTTGCACAACAACCACATGATGTATGTTCTCTGACTTATCAAAACTTGACAGGAATTAATATCAAAATTTTATATCTTTGAAAAAAACCAATATTTTTTTAGGTTGTGAAATCATTGCAACAAAAATACAAAATGATAGTCGATGAATATTTCAATAGTCATCATGAGAAGTTAACAAATCGATTAATAGCGAAAAATAATGGGAATCTAGCTTCGGTTCAGGAAATCGATGAAAAAGTGAGTTTTTTTGAAGTGTGCGCAAGTGTAAACGAAGTTTCAGATTGGGAGAGGAACAACTATCATTGTGGCGTTGATTATTCGGAATAACTTATATATAATCAGTTGCGGAAGATCAATGTGAGTTTTTTTTCAATGAAAAATGAAAATAGGGAAGAAATACACTTGAAAAAAATCAAAACAATTACTGTGGAAGTAAAGTAAAAAGTGTTCCTTAAAATTATGCAAAAACAGACTATTTCTATGAATAACAATTCACCCAAAAAATAATACAAGACAATCCTAGTCTTGAAGTAAAAAATCTATGTTCATATCTCATCCTGAACAAAATTGTGCGGAAACTTTCAATGAATAAATAATCGATGTTTTTCTCAGAGTCTGTCAAAATCGTCTAGTCACAAAAAATATTATTTTTCAATATTTCCTTCTTTACAAACAATTTCAGGGCCATCGTTGTTCAAGAAGTTGAAAAACAAGCCACTTCTCATCTACTGAACCAAACGCTTCATGAGAACACAAACGGAGAAGAAATCGATAGATTATTAGAACTACAGGTTGATCCAAGTTTAGTTGATAATCCAACAAGAGCAATTGGTGATTTTCTTCGAAGTTATTTATACGATGAAATCGAGATATTCAAAGATGCTAAAGATGCTCCAATTATATCCGAACCAGTTATACAACACTTTCAAATTAGCACACATTGGAAATATCTCATTTTGTTGTCAGATGGAGTTGTGGAAAACTTGAAAAATATGAATATTGAAAACATTCCAGAGTGAGTTCTTAAGAGACAATATTATTTGTTTGTTTTCTGATTCAAATAAGTTTCAGAGTTGTGCTCAAAGAATTAAAAGAAGAACCAACTCCAAGAAAGACTGCGCAAGCATTAGTTGATGCGATTGCTCGAAATTATGCAGATCATGTTTCAACTGTAAGTTTTTTAAATCAATAGATCCTTACTCTCAAATCCAATCCTGTCCTTTTCCAGAAAAATGTTCATGTTCCGTCAACAACTTTGGAAGAGATGACGATATTATTTCACAAAATGACGACATTTAAGTCAGAGATTAATTTTACTGTCGATTCAACTACCGATTCAGGAATTGTAACCACACTTGTCGAATTGAAACCATACGTGGATGCAAGTCACGATAAAAATTGTGAAAATTTCAAACTAATGGAAACATATTTGTTAAAATAGGATGGAATATATTTATCATGTTTATTTTACTTTTGTTCTTTCAATGTTTTAAACAATCGCATTGTTAACAATGTATTTATTCAATCAAGAATAAAAAAGTCTTGTGACTCGGTTTAATTTATCAATTAATTGATGTTTGTGTTGTTAGCATTTGCAGCTGTTTGACGATCAATGGCTTCTCCGATTTTTTGAAATCCGATGTAGATTTGTTGCGAGAGAACGGTGTAGACGTAGACAGAAAATCCGGCGATCACATCGAAGATGGCAACAAAAACTTTTTTGAATCTGTAGCAAAAGATTGCGATGATTCCAATCAACAAGCAGAACCAGAAAATTGCCCAGACGCTGAAAGTTCATTGAAAGCAATAGAATATGTTTCAAAGTTTTGAAAACTTACATATCAACCCAATTTGGTTCATATCTGTATTCAACAGTTGCAACTTCGATCGATTCATTGTTCCGTTTTGCAATGGTACTCTTGATTCGACGGTTCCATTCAGCAGCAGTGCGAGGCTCGATGGTCTCATCATCGCTGATCGAGTCCGCATCCGCTTCGAACTGAAAACCCACCAGAATTTATGAATTTTCATTCATTCTTGATATGACTTACCGATTCGTTGCGAATTTTGTTCTCGATTTCCGCCTCGATTTGTTCGATACGACGTTGTCTTTGAAGAGTATCGCGTTTCGCATTCAAAATGCGACGACGCTCATTCTTCACCAAATCATCGCCCAACATTCGGCACGAATTGCGGCGGACCATTGGCGATTGAACTTCGAGTTCTTCAAGAGTCAAGCTCGAGTTGGCGCGTTGGAATTGGTTGCGTTGCAAAAGGTACGCAAAATCGTTTGGAGTTCGACGATCATGAAGAATCTCTTGAAGATCCATTGTTTCCACAAGGAGTTAGTTGAAACCGATGAAAACGTTTTCGGAATGAAGAAAATGGGCCGAAAGGGGCGGTTATATACTGATAAGTTTCCCATTTCTGTAGAATTTTTCATTAAAAACGGATTTAAAATACAATTTTCTATTGACGATAGTTGGAAACTAATGAATACATTCTGAAATGGCAAGTTTTTTGGAATTTTTCGAGTAAACAAGTTTACCAGAAGTTCAAGACTAAAAAAACTGCAATGGAAATCATATCGAAGATGTAGATGACATAATTGAAAATCAGATAATTACTTGACAAAATTCAATGTGCATTTTTTTCCGGAAGTTCTTGAAGTTTCCCGATTATTTTGTGAAAGTTTCTACATTTTTCGATTGATAAATGTTCTGGCTGTGGAACTAGGAACGACATTCATATATGCTCTACAGAACAACCGTACTCCTCAACTAATTTTCCCATGGTCTTTTTTTTTTAGGTAAAATGTTCATTCTTTTTTCAAAAAAAGTGGTTCTTACATAATTTTTTGGTCGTTTTCATATGTATTCGGAAGTATTCTCTTGGTTTGTTTTTAAACAAAATACCTTTAGAAGTTTTTTTTCGATTCCCGAAGTAAGTTTTTCAGTTTGAGCAACATTGAGCAGGATCTAGATTTTTCTAAACGTAATTTTCCGTCTCCCCCAGGTCTGTTTTAATTCACAATTCATCGAACTGTTAAATTATCTGATCTCAACAGCATCATTTCAGAACTGGAAGATAAATTCCAGAATGTTAGTTTTTTTCAGATTGGTGTGAAAACCATTGAAGTTCTTTCTGATTTTAAATACCGTAGTAGATATGACTTGTTGTTTTTATTAATTGCAGTCATTCGCAATTTTTATCTAGAATTATTTGGGTTACAGACTCTAATTCATCTAACAAGCTCCAGCTATTGTTTTTGGGCCAAAATAAACATACAGTAGCGTGCAAAAAGATACGAACACCCTGCAATTGTATCGTTTCACGGGACCTAGTGGTCCAATCGTTCTGAAATTTTTAGGGAGTGTTACTGGGGCTCCAAAAAGCTTTTTCTACAAGCAGGATATTGTAGTTACTACCTGAAGAGTTTGAAGAACTCGGATATCAAACATCAATTTTTAGATATTCTCACAAATTTCAAAACATCGTTGAAAAAATAATTTTTTAGTCTCAATTATCATCAACTTTCATTTTTCATGTCTTCAGGAAGACATAAGCTCTCGATTCCGACCTCAACTTAATGATTTCATTGCCTACAAGGCTCATTCTGAAGGTTCTAGTAAGACCATCCAGAGAATTTGAAAATGCACAAATCTGGATTTTTGATGATATTTTATCGTTGAAATGTGTTCAAAACACTCTAAACTAGTTATTTGAACCATTCTACACAAAATTCCAATCAAATTCCGAAGTTTTAACTCAATTCGCACATCACTGCATTTTCGATGTTTCTCTAGATCTTTGATTCCACATCATCAACAACATCAAAATTGACTTTTCATTGATCGAACTTGTTCTTCAGATGACTGTTCATGTTTATCAAGTGCCATGAATGTGCTAGCAGTCGTAATTTGAGATTGCTAAAAGCTGAAAGTTGACCTCTATGAAAACTCTTCATTTTCAATTGGTTTCCTTTATAAAATTACACTATTTTGGTAGTTCGATGTTTATCGATCTGCTATTGAGCCGATAGATTTTTTGAGTGGAATTGATGAACTTGTCAGTGTTTAGAACTTCTTCAAGAATTAGTTCGATCAATAAAAAGTCAATTTTGTTGTTGTTGATGATGTGGAATCAAAGATCTAGAAAAACATCGAAAATGCAGTGATGTGCGAATTGAGTTAAAACTTCGGAATTTGATTGGAATTTTGTGTAGAATGGTTCAAATGACTAGTTTAGAGTGTTTTGAACACATTTCAACGATAAAATATCATCAAAAATCCAGATTTGTGCATTTTCGAATTCTCTGGATGGTCTTACTAGAACCTTCGGAATGAGCCTTGTAGGCAATGAAATCATTGAGTTGAGGTCGGAATCGAGAGCTTATGTCTTCCTGAAGACATAAAAAATGAAAGTTGATGATAATTGAGACTAAAAATATTTTTTCAACGATGTTTTGAAATTTGTGAGAATATCTAAAAATTGATGTTTGATATCCGAGTTCTTTAAACTCTTCAGCTAGTAACTACAATATCCCGCTTGTAGAAAAAGCTTTTTGGGGCCCCAGTAACACTCCCTAAAAATTTCAGAACTATTGGACCACTAGGTCCCGTGAAACGATACAATTGCAGGGTGTTCGTATCTTTTTGCACGCTACTGTATATTTTCACAATAAATCAATTCAAGCCATTGTGCATTCGAATCTTTTGGAAAATGGGTTTCTGAACAATCTCCTATTACCAGATTTTGATAAAGTCGTTTCTAAGCAGCTGAACAAACCACTTACTTCCCATTTTAAATATTTTTGAATCCTAAAAAATTTCCTCTATTTTCTGATTACTGTAGAAAACCCATTATTTGCTTCAGGTAAAGTTTCCCAAGCCTATAGTAAACCTTGATATAAAACAATGAAAAATCCAATTTTCCCATGTGAAAATGTTTTTTCTATTGTCCAAACTCTTTTGTCCTGGTCACTCCTTTCAATTCCACCATTCATTTTCCCAGATGTGGTTTGAATGCAAAAAACGACGAGGGTGTGAAGGTTTTTGAGAGATGGCAGCTGTTTCTTACTCATTTTGTTTCGTCTTATTCGACGCCTCGGCGAAATATGATCACAATCATTTATTTTTTTTTCTTCAATTAGTTTTTTTTTCTCCGATTTTACTCTTTAAAGATTACTTTCTTGTTCAGAAAAAAAGTACTATGATGTTTATGCAGTGATTCATCTTTGAATGGTCATTTTTTGAGCGTTGGGGCATTTCAATACTGATTGTTGTGTCGATATGTTAGTCTATGTGCACTTTTTCTTTTCTCCCAAAATATTTGTTATCATTGATAATATTTTTTGTTAGGATTTTGTTACAGCATTTTATGTGCTGCCTTACATCAGTTTTGAAAAAAATGTTTCTTATTTTTCAAAAAAAAATTTTGAACTTCGAACTCGTTCGGTGAACATCACACGAAAGAGGTGTAAGGTTACAGGTTTTGCAGAAATATGCAGATGAAAAATATTATTCTACTGTAATTTTTTGAAACTAGATGATTCATTCATTAGGGCCTAGTTATCACTGGTTGAAACCAATTTTTCCCATACACGGTATCACTTAACATAACTAACGCCGCTATGAGACCAAATAAGCGCGCGCATTTTTTCAAATAAAAAAGTGTCATGCTACCCGTGGGAAACACCGTATTCAAAAAAGTGTGTTTCATTTAGGCCTCATTTTTTCTACCAGTTTTTTCTACCGATCAAAAAATCAAAAATATAAAAAACACAATTGTTGTTAATTTCGAAAATCAAGAATTCTTGATCTTTCCAGAAAAAAATATGTACTGACCTTTGAAGGATACAAATCTTGATTTCTGATTTTGCAACCGAACCCTATTTTTTGTCATCCGAGGCGCACCTCTTTTCTTGAAATCTACAAAAAATCACTAGAACCTCTTCAGTACCTCTTTGTTCAAGTCTCCTGATTATTTTGTTCTCCGTTCTCATATCTTTTAACTATGTATACACATTTTGAAAATATGTTCTCAATGGCATTTTTCAAACCCCGCAGCGAAAAAAAAAACACGAACAGCAGCAGCATGGGCAGAAAGTGATAAATTGGTTATTATATCAAACGATCTGCCATAACGTCAAAAAACCTATCAGTCCGAAAAGAAAAATCGGAAAAAAGAACACATCAGTTGGGGTTGGCCAGTTCTTTTTTTCATAATCCCTCGTTCTTTTCTTTTTTCTGTTGTTACTTTTGTTTCCCCTTTTTCCGTTTTTATATTTCATTTAAAAATAACATCAACAATTGAATTAGTCAGTCTTTCCTTTCATAAATGGTCTCGGTTTCTCCTAACCGATATTTTTTTCCGAAACGTGATTTCTTGGAAAAATATGTTTACTTAACGTCAACATTTTTTGTACTTCAAATCACATTTTTTTGTGTTTAAAATCTGGCTATAGCTACCGTAATCTAACATATTTTCGTTTTAGTTTTCGATCGGAACGGAATGATAAAAAATAAGAAAAACATATCAGGGAATGCAAGCATTCAAAAAGCTTCTGTTTTTTTTTGTAAAAAACATTCACAGTATTCCAGCAAATCTCAAGGGAGCTTTTCGAACTTTTTTTTGAAGAAGCAGAAAATTTGGGTTTTGGGGACAAAGCGAGTCATTGTATAATTTTTTGGAATGGAACAATCTTTTTTTTTTTGGTTGATACGAGACGCCTAATGATTGATTATGTTTTCCATGGAATAACGATTTTGATAGATGGATCATTTTGAAACTTTTAGTGATTTTCATAAGACTTCTCTATAGAATATCCAATTTTCACAATTAAAATTTATACATAGTTTCGAAATAGATTCACCGCATCATACAATTTTCGGACAATTCTGAACTCTGTGAATTTTCAAACTATTTTCTGTTGGTGTTCAACAATTTCGAAAATTCTCTATTTCCTTGTAAGCACAACCGGTAAATTGACCAGAAATCAACTTTGGAATATCTTTTTTCCTCCAATGAAGTTTGAAATTTTTATCAATTCCACAAAAACATTCGCGATCTTTCGAAAAACAAAAGAACACATCTCAATTTTTTGTTTTGATGGAATTAGTGACTCTTTGATTTCAATTCAATCACATTCTGTCATCTTCATTTTCAATATCAGTCAAATACCAAAGAACATTTCGTAATAATAATAATCATAAGTCGAACCTCAAAAATCCCACAATTTCAATAAAAGTTCAAGAAGGGATTATTACTAATATCTTATATTTTATTAATAATTGTGAGAATCACTTGACAACAGAAGACTTCACATTCAGTTTTTCTAGTACATATACATTTTTCTACTATACTCTATAGCTGCAGTGTTTTTTTTGTCTATCATCAGCAGTCAAAAGACTTCTCGGATCGTCATCTAATTTGATACGGGGCCTCTGTATGAACCAATCCTTCTTGTTTTTTTTCAGACTTGACTTGATATGATTAGTAGGTTGATTCTTTGTACTAACGAGGAATGTATCGGTCCCATCTCTTTTTTTTGCCTTTTCAAACAATAAAATATTTAATTGCATCGATAAACTAAACAAAACGCAACATTTTCCATACTGCACTTTAATATTATTATTTTTGCCATTTTTTTTTGTCCAAACTGTTCTTTTTTTATTGAAACAAAAAATATTCGCACCTTATCATCTATAGAATTAATCCCTCTTTTTTTACAGCTTCATTGACTGATAATTTTTTAACGGATTTCATTATAAGAGTGCCTATGTTTCTAACAAAAGTTGCTTTTAATTATATTAAAAAGTGCTATATTGATTTTGCAAAAATAACAGAGATGATGATCGTTTTTATTTTTTTTCTGAAAAAAAAAGAAGAATAAATGAAAAACAAACCATTTTAAAATAATTTCAATGCCAGTTTTTTTCCAAAGGGATTCATTTAAAGAAAAAAACATAAATATTCATTCAACATTCAGAAAGAAACTCTTTTTTCTGATAAAAACAACAAAAACAATCGAATTTGTTATCACTTGGTAGTAGTTTTAAAAGAATTATTTTTATTATTATGAACACACTTTTTTGTTTGTTGAAGTTTTTATTGCTGAACTGGAAGAGAAAAAAAAACAATTTTTTATATGTTCCACTCTTCTATTGTTTATGCCCTTTCACAAACTTCATTTTTTCTCATTTTCTTTTTTTTTTCAATTGTCATTCGGAATTTTTTTATAATAACAAGAATAATAAGAACATTTTTTCAGTAAAATGGCCGAAACTTTTCCAACAATTCCACTATACATCTTGATCATCTACTTGTTCATCTCGTCAATCGTAAGTTTTCCGAACTTTTTTTGCTTCTGAAAATTCCAGGAAAATGTATTTGTATTCATTAATAAAAATACATTCTCATTTTCACTTTTTAAGATACTGTACCTAATCCCATTAGTACATTTCTTTGAAAATAACAAATTATGCAGAAACTTCTTATTAGAGATTAAGGGACTGAAATGTTCTGTTGAACTTTTGCTGTAAGTATGTGACTTTGATACTAAACGTCAAATGAATTTGATTGACACATGTTCAAATTATCAACCTGTTCTAATTTTGTGTGTGGGGTAAATAAAACAGGGAAGTTCAATCTTCGAATGAGATCATTTGACCTATGAAAATCAAAAGGGAATTGGGCAAACTGGTTTTTTTTCTGAAAATGACAACAATTAGAAAATGTGGGTATATTTCAGCGCGCGTTTAAGATGATCTCAAAATGTTTCAAATTTTTTTGAGACTAACCTGATTGCTTCAAGAATCAATTTCTAACTGAAAACTATCGTTACAATTTTCAATAATGTCAAATTTGTTATCTTTGTAATTAGGAAAACAAACATGATTTATGGTGTAGATTCAGAAACTACATTTTTGGAATTCTAGATTATCTGAAAAATTCGCTATTTTGAAAAGATACCAGTTTTTGGAAAAATTTTAAAAGTTCAATTTTATCATTATTATTCACTGGTACTTCCAAATTTAATATTTTTGTTTCAGTAATGTCAAGTTCATTATCTACATATTTCTGAAAATCATCATGCATAAATTCCAACTTTTCATTTTTTGAATTCTAGAATTTCTAGCAACTACCTTTTTCTTAATTTCCCACTCTCTATTTCAAAAAAAGTTCAAAACTTTAATTCTGCAAATAAATTTTATCAATAAATCTTTGTTTGTACTTCCAGAATAAAAAAACTAAAGACTGTTTGTGAATAACAGCAAAAATATAAATCACTTGATACATAATTCGATATAACCAGTTTCAAACTACACAACCAAAACACAAAAATTCTTTTGTTTATCATGACAATAATTGTCAGAATATTATCAAATCGGGGAAAATTCCAGGCATCGTCATGGCTTTGTGTTCATTTCACCGAATTGATCGCAATTTCAACGGTTCAAAGTCAAATGTGGTTTTTCTTGTCAATCTTCTTGACCAACAACATCTTCGCAACTGTTGCCGCGTTTGTTTATTGGCTCCTCGTTGAACGTCAAGAAAAAATTGTCAGCGAAAGTGAAGTTGGAATCCAAAAAAGCCAGAGGTAATTTTTTTCGTCTCATATACAAAAAAGAAGAAAAAACAACAAGAATGTGCAAATGCAATTGTTTATTTTTTTTCTTGTTCCAGCTCAACTTCGGTGAACGCTGCTTCAATCAACGAAATTGAGCCATCAACCCCAAAAAAACCATACAATATGCTTGTTTCATATTACGATAATATCAACTACGACTTCAAATCCGAAGAAAAAGCATCTTTAATCTAACAAAATCTCATCTATTTATCAACGTTCTTTTCTGTACATTTTCTTTTACCAACTTCATAATTATTTCTTTTTCTTTTTTCTTACCAGAAAAATCACGACACCAGTTTTAATCAATTCAAGTTAACATTCATCCGCAAACTAATTATTTTTCCCAGCTTCTTGTTGTTTCTCATTGTCAGTTTATCCTTGTTACAGATCAGATAAAAACGAATCTTTTTTTACATTGTTGTGTTTTGCGAGTTACAAGAATTTATGATATTTGAGACATAGCACCTGTTTGTTTCTGCATTGCAAAATTCAACTCAACTAGTCAGATGCTGCCCACTGATGATCACGGAAATAATATAAATGAAGCGAAAAAAAAGATAGAAAGATGAAAACACAAAGACCGCAACGAAAATATAACATAAAATAACATAACATACGGTGTTTTTTCAAAGAAGAATTTGCAGGCAGGAACAAAAAGTTTTTTGTCTTGCTCCAAGTCTACGTATTTTTTGGCAATGAGTTTGCGATGAGTTGGCAAGATAAAACAAATGTGAAATTCACACCCCTCTACTTGTTTTCGTCATCATTTTTTGTCTTCTTCGCTTTTTTGCCCAATGTTTTTCGTGAATTTTTGTTGGCTCTTATTCCTTGTTATTCCCTTTTTTAACGGTGTTTATGAGAAATTTACCATTCTCGCCTTTGATACCAAAAAACTTCCTCTTTTTTTTGCTTTGATGGATGGATGAGTTCGTTGCTGTTTATGGGTATTATTTTTCACAAATGTGTTTTTGTTAATGTTTTTAGTATGTCATGACATTTTTAGTTTTTATAAATTGAAGAGTGAGATTTTTTTTAGTTCAATTTGCTGATTCTGATTTAAAAATGACTAATACTCTGACTTTTTGAAGAAAAAACGTGATGAATTTTCAATATGTTTGTGGGACCAAAGTTTTGAGCCTGAGATTTTTGAACCAAGTGTATCGTTTCAAAGTTTTACTGGGAGAGCTCAAATCAAGAAGTTATCTTCAAAATAATTTCTTAGATTTTTCAGTTTGAGTTTGAAAAACCGTAGTTGCAGCTATAAGGAATTCACAGATCCAAGGACATCTATAATTTTCGAACCAAATGAATTAGTTATTTCACAGAAGGAAAACTTTGTGTGAATTCAGAATTTATGAAATTTTTCACGCATTTTTTTTCGCAAAATAATAAATTCACACGATAATCCAAAGAATAATTCCATCTTTCTGAACACATTCGTTTTTTTTTGTAAAAATTTCACATTGAAATTTGATAACTTCAAAAATTATCTAATTCTGTTCTATTTCAATTCTCTGATATTTTTTAAAGCTTTCCTCCCCCGATTTTTCTTTTTTTCTAAAAAAGGTCAGCCGACACCAGAAAACACAGAAATTAAGTTACATAAATTCCACCAAAAAGAGGAGGAGGAGGCAAATCGATGTGCGAATTTTAAATTCCACAATTCTCTCTTCTCTGTTGTCCATCATAAATTCATTTAGTTTCATTTGACTGACATAGTTTTTTTTTTCCATTTTCAGTTGCAACTTCCTATTATTTTTCCATATATTTTTTGGTCTTTTCGAATTCATTTTTTCAAAACAACCCGATGACACTTTTATTATGCGGCAATAGCAACCATCAATCTTTTTTTTCGGAAAATTTTTGAATTTGAGAATGGAAAAAAGTCTGAAACTTTGAAACATTTACCCTGTGAGCGAATCAAAATTAAAACAAATTTTGAAAAAAAAATAATGGAAACAAAATCCTTGTCATTATTTCAACCAAGGAACAAACGAAAATATCAAATATCACCTTCCCACTACCACAACTTCATCGTCCCTCTTCATTTTTTTGCATCTTCTCTTTTTTTCTCGCATTTTTTTTCAGAAAGGACCACCCATATTTCATTTTTTTTTCTACTTCTTTTTCTTATTCTTTTTTATATAATAAGTTTTCCCGCCGATATTGCCTGAAGCAATTGAAACATTTTTCATTGCGTTCCGAAGAAAAATGTTCACTTTGGAATAGAACAGAAGATTATTTTTTCTTTCATTTTCATTTTTTTTCTGACTTTAAGTGGGAGTGAGCGGTTAAGTGTTTTTCAAACCACAAAAGATGGCTTTTGAGATGATGATTATTTTTCATTTTATTAATATTATTTTCATTTTACTATAACTATGCATGAGAAAAACAACATTAGTAACTCGAATTTCCGTTCAATCAGTGATTCATAAAAAAACTTCATTTTCTACAAATTGTTCAAAGTTTGAATATTTTTCTTTCTTGCGACAAACTCAATTTGTTTTTTTTCTTCATTTTTCTTATTCCGAAACTTTGAACTTTAAAAGTTTTTTGATCAATTATTTTTTTCAACATTCATCTATGTTAACATTTGTTCCATTTTCTTCATATCTTCTGTTGGACCTACATTTTTTCTGAAAGTTATGTTGTTTTTATAATTTTCCCGAGCTAACTAAAAATTTAAAAAATACCCAAACAGACAGGAAATTCAAAATAAAAGATTCATTGCGAAAAAAAAGAAGCGAAAAGCTATTATTTTTCTCGACCAATGAACAAGTTTTGACGCAACTTTTGTCCGGCTGATCCTTTTTTTTTCATCCATCCAACTTTTTTCCCAAAGGTTTTTTTTACACAGATGTATTATGTGAACCTGTTATTTGGTATATTTTCAATTATTGAACTTGGAAAATCTTGCGAATTACACTGTCGTCAAATCAATGAATATTTGTGTGCTGGAGAGCATTTGTTAACTCCATCATTTATAAATCGTGTGCAAGGTATTGCGGATTTATTGTTTAGTATATGCAGATATGATCCAGATGATGGTAAAACTTATAAAGTCATGCATGATTCGAGTCTCAAAAATAGGTGGGTGATTTTAAAAGAAAAGTGAGGGAGTTTAAAATCTGAGACACAACCCGATACAAAACTACCCGGGAAGAAATGTACTTTGAAGCAGATTTGTTCTTCTTCAAACATTCATCAAATTGTGACAATTAATTGTCCTCTTTCTCTACTTTTTTCTACATCTCAATCTTTTTTTCAGCAACTTCCGTCCAAGTTTCTCAATAACATTAACCGAATGTAATTCGCAACAAATTGATTTTCAAAAAGCAATCGAACAAAATCATCGAAAATGGATGAATTCAGGTCAGTTGAAACCGTATGTTTTTTCTACTCTACTCAATATTCTCTGGACATATATACATAATAAATTGAATAAAAAAGGTCTAGAGCGAGCAAAAAAAACGAAGACATTTATTTATGCAAAAGTCAATTTTCCGCGCGCACATACATACATACACTTTTCTTATCTTTTCTGACTGTTTTTTTTCAGATTGTCAAATTGACAGTTTTTTGTTGCTTCTTGTTCAAAACGATACAGTTTATCCACATCTAACGATCAGAAAACATCCAACACTTCAGTTTGAGGTTAGTTTTTTTCCCCAATTATATTTTTTATAATTAATTTTTAATTTTTTTCTCCATCCAACAGCAGAAAAAGACAACAGAGACATTAAAATTCTGAATTTTATTTGTATTGTTTTTTGTATGCATCAAAAAAAGAGCTGACCCATTTCATTTCTCTTTTTTAGCCTCTCAATTTCAGCCGTCTCGCTCGAATAGCACGAAAAAAACGAGTTCCTTCACCGGTTTTTTCTTTTTTGAGAAGAAAAATTGGTGCTGATAAATTATTTAAACCCTAAAAAGAATTGGCGCAAAAACATTCCTGAAAATAAAGAGACACACACAATTTTTGGCAGCCAACAAAAAAAATCCGGGGTTTGGGTAACAAAACAAGGAAGAAGAATGTGTTATTTTTCGAAAACTTTGTTGAAATTTTATCTGGAACTTCATTACTACAAGGGTATTTGTTTGCGGGGTGGTTTTTGAGATTTACTTTTTCTCTTCGTTGAACCTTATTTATTATGGATAGGTTTTCTTTTTACTAACGACGACAGTTTCGCAATTCACAATTTCTTTTGATGAAGAAGTAATTGTGTTTGTTACATAGTTCAATTTTATTTCGTAATCTAGCTTAATATTTTTGTGCTAAATTAAAAATATGAATGATGATGAAAATAAATAATCAATACCAAAGGACCACCACCCACAAGTTTCAAATCAACGGGGTTTTCTAGACTATATTTGGGTATTGAGATATTTTATTTCCAAAAAAGTATTGAGAATTGATTTTTTGCAAAGACCACCCATGATGTTTTAATACACCTCTTCTCATAAATTATTCAAAGAAAAGTTTCAGCTTCAAGAGTTTTCTTACATTTTTATACGAACGTTTTCGTTATTGAAAGTTCAATTCAGAATTCCTACGAATTCTGATCATATAAGGTTGAGAAAAGATTTTTAAATTTTTCCGAGAAGAAACATTAAAAAAACAGTTTCCACAGGTTATTTAAAAACTATCTAAACATTCTTTGTGTTTTTTTGGAAACGTGTCATTCAGCGGTTTACAAATATCACATCCCAATTCATTTCCTTATTCTGTCTCCTCATTCTCTTCTCAGTATTTTGAGGAATTGTCTAACGCCAAAATCGAATCTTCTCATCGAGTCAGTCAATTCTTTTTATTTTTGCAACAACTAGTTTTATTTTTTCTTGCTTTTGCAGAAGCAACATGAAATTCTTTGCAGATCAAAACAAAAATCCCAAATATTATCCGAAAGATAATAACAATATAAATATAAATATTTTATTTTTTCATAAACATGAAAAAAAAAATAAATACATAAATCTATTTAGAATTTAGACACCATCTGCAAGTATTTACACATTTTCGAACATTTTCCTCTTTTTTTGTCTTTTTATTTATTTATTTATTTTTGAATTGTTTGAAGAAACCAGAGCATAAGATGAAGCTAAAAAAAAAGAAATCTAATGCGTGTGCCGTTATTTGATATTGGCCCTTTCTTTGGTAGAAAACGACATTTTTTCTGATTTTCACTTTTGAACGCGTTTTTTCTTATAATTTTTTGATATCACGCGATTCCTTTTTTATTCTTATTTGCTCAAGCATAAAATATGAGCCAAGATCAAAATTTGCCATGTTCATTTCATTTCATTTTTTATGTATACATAGAGATCATTCCAAGCTCAACTTTCAAGACCAAGAGTTTACAGATTGAAAATTTTAAGGTGGTGGAAAAAAAATGAAATCTCCCTTTTGCTCCCCTTCTCTTCAACATTCGAATTCCAATTTTGAAGAAATAATGGGTTGTTCCACCCATTTGTTCAATGTGTTTAAGAGCAATGTCCAAACACATCTACCGTAACCTATGTACCACATCTCATTTTACATCCGTTTCTTTTTTTTTGGTCAATCCTCTTACCGGATTTCATTTTCTTCTGTCAAACAATTGTCTCACGCTCTTTTCATCTACATAAATAAAATCAAATAAAACTACCAAGACCACATCAACTTCCAGAAGAAATTGTTTCTAAAAATAATCCATTCATCGGCTCAAATATCGTGATTTTCGTCATTTCTGCATTTTGAATATGTATATGTGTGTACATATTTTTGGCGCCCAATTTATTTATATCCTCATTCATGTTTTTTTTGTTTCAACAGACACATCATGTTCTTCAACCATTTTTTGTTTGAAAAAAGAACATCGTGAAATTAATTTTTTTCAAGACAATTTTTTGTCCCACATAAAAGAAGATTGCTTTCTTCATGCATTAGTTATCTTGATATCGTACATATGTTCATTTGAACTCGGAAGAATTTTTTGAGATGATATTTGGGTTTTCAGGTCGAGAGAAGCTACAATTTGTCACTGTTGGATGAAATAACTGAAATATCACTGATCAAAATGGAAGAAGCTATCCGTACACAACCGTATAATCAAAATGCGTCTGAAGATTTCGAGACACTTCAGGTGAGTTAATAGTTTTTGTCTTGAATAATTTGGATACAGAAAATAATTATAGAAGTCCAGATTTTTATCATTAGTAGCTTGATATTCAGTTTATTTTTCAAAGGAAAGTGGATCTGCGAACTCATTAAGACTCCAAAAAAACATTGGGCTCAAAAAAATATCATATTTTTCTCACATCCAGTTGTTCTTACATCAGTCAGGAAACATTCTGGAATTAGTTAATCATGTTTGTTCAGACTTGAAGCCCCTATTCAAAAAATAACCTATACCACATTACATTATTTTTTTGCAGGACATAAAAAGTCATTGGCCAACTTGGGCTCTTGTTGTCGTCGTTGTTTGTATCATTCTATCTCTTCTCGCATTTTTCCTTGGAAATTATATAACGAAGCGTGCTACGCCTATACGGTAACACTTCCTTATTTTATTTCTTCAATCCTATTTTGTTCCAGAAACAAAAGTCAGACTCAAAATGCCGGAAAACGTGAAAGAAAATGGGGAGCTGGTTTTTCTGGAGGCTTATGGGCTGCTGCATGAAAACTTCAAGTTTTAGCTAAAAATCAAAAACAAAAAAAACAGTAGAAAAACTTTATCCAAGACATCTCATTTACTAAGTTCAACTAATACGTGTTAATCATATTTTAATGAAAATAATTTGCTTTTTTCAAAAAATATATTTTTGCATTTTCATTACTTTTACTTTTACAATATTGTTTCATATCTTGAAGTTTTTGTTTTTTATATGTTTATGCCTGTGATTTTTCTTGTATTATACATACTTATATAAAATGAAGTTTGCTGATGTAGAACTATTTATTCTCAAGAAAAGAGATCGATAGAACCCATTAAAGCATTGGAAAAGGACAGAAGAGAAGTGTACAAAAAAGGAAAAATTTAGGAAAAGGGAAGAATATTCGACCTAAAGAGTCAATGATGGAAGCAAAACCGTAGAAGTTGAAGATTTGCGTTGCTGGGGGAAAATCTAAAAATGCATTATCTCTGTGAAATCAAAAAAAGGAAAGTTTCTTACGTCACGAATGAGTTCGGAATTGACAATAAATTCTTTCTCAAGCCAATCAAACAATTGTGGAAGAGGATTTCCACTTGGAAGAATTGTATCTGGTCTTCTCAAATCATTGAAAAATGGCAAAGCCAACGCAGCGTATGGACTAGTTCTGGTAGTTGGATCCATTCGCAACAATTTTGTGAGAATTTCAAGAGCTGGAGTGGAAAGCTTTTTGGTGATGATTTTTTGGAAACCAGTTCCAGTGTGATTTGTGAGAGGAATATTGCTGTAACGGCAGTTGAGATTTGCCATTTCTTCTTTGGATGGAGATCCGATGCACTAAAAAATTAATTATGAATCTAGAAAACTAGGGTTCGGAGATAGGCTCACTTTAATAATGCGAACCAATACATCGATCGATGAATCGGCGGTAAAAATTGCTCTGTTGTTCATCATTTCACCAATTACAGTACCGCAAGACCAAGTATCTGAATTTCAAATTTTATTTCGAATTTTTGTCAAAAAAAAATGCGGGGGCTCGAAATGTTTTCAATTAACAGATTAATTAATTATTGCTTATTTTTCGCTCACATGAAACATGTCTTTAATTAATTTTGCAAAAAATCGCACGACTATATTTTTTTCTATTAGACATTGCATGTCTGATCTGTAACGTTATAAACATCTAACTAAAAAAATTCCTTCCTAACACAGATGTCTATAAAACCATACCAATCGGAGTTCCGTAAGTAGTTGAGCCAAAGAGCAGCTCCGGAGCACGATAATATCTCGAGCAAATGTAGGCAATATTTGGCTCTCCTTCTTTCAAGGTTTTGGCCGAACCAAAATCACACAACTTCAAAAATCCCTTTCTCATGATTAACCAACAAATTTTGTGGTTTGATATCTCGATGAACAATGTTATGCAAATGCAAAAATCCGATTCCTCTCAACATTTGAAATCCATACAATTTGACATAAATTGATGGAATCAATTGATTGTTGTGAACATATTCACGATGAATTTGATTGAGATTACTTGGCATAAATTCCATCACCATGTTCAAATAAACTTCCGGCTAAAAAAAATTTTTTGTTGAAGTGGGTTCTCGAAAGTTGTTCTATTTCCTGGTTGATATCATTAGAGAAAAAAACTAACGTGACGTGATTGGTAAAAGTACAAAAGTCTAGTGATGTTTGGATGATCCATTTCTCGCATCACATTGAGTTCTCGATTTTTGAAACGATCATCCAATGGGACCTTTTTGATAGCAACAGTTTCATCATTCTCACATAATGTTGCCATATAAACAACTCCAAATGTTCCAGAGCCAATCAACTATAAAAATTAAACTTTGAATCGAAAACCTATTCTTTTTTCCAAATCTTACATGCATCTCAGTGAATCGAACTTCAACATCACGATCTCCTTTGCTTCCAGTTCCTTGATGAGCAGTAACAGTGTGAAATGATTGAGCTTGCCCAGATTCTCGATTGATTGTTGGGCGACGAATCATTTTATCGATCAGGTTTCTAGAAATATGAGCTTATGCATATTTGAGTTGAACTTTGTTTTTTATGCACCAATAAGTTTTCTTTGGTTTGTTTCTTTTTTGGTTATGAATGAAAAAAGAGAGATAGAGAAAGAAACATAAGAAAAATAGAAAAAATGAAGGCGATAATGAGGAAATATGCATATGAAGAGAATAAAATGTGAGTGCATTGCACTTGGATGATTTTCGGAAATTTGTGAATCCAGGAAATCTCGAAGAATTTCAAGAGTTGCTAAAGATTGATTCAATTTACTCTAGGAAACTTTTAAGGACTGAGAGTGAAATTGTAATCTTTTGGACATTTCTTCTGAATTTTTCGAAGCTTTATAACTTTTCATAAACAGAAAAAATGTAAGCCAAGAAAACGTCATATCAATACTGATTGTGTTTTGGATACTGGTGAACCCCGGAAGCCTTGAAAAATGAACAATTTTTTTTTGAAGAGAATAATTTAAGCTTGGGAATCAAAACTATTGGATTTGTTCAGGATTTAAAACATAGAAAAAATCTAGAAATTGTATAGATATTTCTCTCGAATGGAGAAAATCCTATTAAACTCCCAAAACTGCAAAAAAAATTCATTAGATGATTCGAAAAAAGTTAATCAAGAGCCAAAATGAGCTCATGAGCGCAGTTTGAGAAAAAGTGCATTTTCTTTGGGAAAACGTCATATCAGCTCAGAAAATGATCAAAATTTATGTGAATTCTGAAGAAGAATTTATTCCGTGAGAAACAAAAATGCTATAATGTTTTATTCGAAAAGTCTACTCACCGTACAAAATCTGCTGAACGATTTTTGCGCGACATTTTCAGCCAGATTAATATCAGAAATATTTCAGAGAGAAAAAGAGTGAGATAAAAAAACGAAATTCATATCTTATGTTAAGATGAAAAGTGCAAAAAGGAAACGGAAATCTTCATCAAAATCCATATCAGATACATAATTCAAGACGGGAACACTAGTTGACTTGACAACCAATTCTTACAGATATATTTTTTGTGCTTGTTTTTTTTGAGCTAGCTCTTTTCACATCCTTATATATATATTTTTTTGTGCATAGTTACTCATTTTTCATCAAGATTTATTTTTTCTCATTTTTGCACAAGTCAAGACAGGGGAAAAGGAACCCAGACTTGTTTTGAACCCGAACGCGCGTAAAACGAGCACATGTTAGAAATGTGCCATGTTCGGTGCCCCAAGAGATGCATAACTCAACGTACTTTTTGCACATTTTTTCGGATGAGTACTTGAAAAGAATAACAACTCGAAAAAAACGCCATAAATTTTTCGCAACATAAATAATTGGGCCTGACTGGTAATTGATCCTATTCATGTTTCATTTTTCATGTGATGAATATTAAATGAATGGTGATTGATTCAGCCGGAACAAAATGTGTGTTCTCTTTTTTTTTTGTTGAAAAGATCGCAACATTTTTTCAGGAAATTAGCAGAAATTTCCGAGAAGGGCATACTAAATATTTCAAAAAAAAAAACAATTTCCGTTTCATATTTTTCCGAACAAAAAATTTGAAAAAATCTCCATGGATTTTCGAAAAAAAAATCTGGGTTTTACTAAAATTTGTCTAGAAAAGATGAATAATTGCAAAGAAAAAAATAAAATAAAATATGCTTTTCTGGATGTGAATGCGGATGTCAGCTGAAAAAGAACAACCAAAATACATCGAGCGGCACAATTTTCTTTGATTGAATCAAATTAAAAAAAAACAAGAGAAAGACGGCAAAAAAATATTTTCAATCTTATTTTTTTGTCTTTTTAGGAGTCATCCATCTTTTTTTTGTTTAAAAGGAGAAGAAAAACCATTCAGCTGACACCATTAAAGATTTGGTTTGGTTCGAACTAATGGAACCATATATGTAAGTAATTTGAAATTGTAATGTGATGTGCTTTGATGTGGGAGGATTGAAGAGAGAGCAAAGATTTGAAATTAAATGGTAAATATGATTAACTGATTCTGGAACCAAGAAAAACAGAGCAAATTGTATTGAAAACAAAACAGCTGAAACAATCAATCTTCAGACAAAAACACCCCTTTTTCAAAAAAAAAGAAAGCATAAGAAAATTCATTTCTGAACTCTTTTTTGCAGTGTTGAACACATACATTGACAAGAAATCCCAAAACGGCAAAGAAAAAACCTAACACGCATGTTAACTGGAAAAAAACAACAGAATATTATGAAAATGTTTTTGTGTTCTTCACACATCCGCGTTTTTTCGAGCAAGGATCAGTTAATACAATTATAAGAGAGGAAAAGAAGAGTTAAAGTGAAAGGAAAAAGATATTAAATTACATTTGGATAGTGAAAAATTCAAAGAATTCTACGCATATGGGTGGAAAAAAATTTGAAAAGTTTCAGAGGTGAGATGAAAAAATTCACGGATGTTTTTTTTCAAAAATGCTTCAAACAGTAAAGATCTTATAGCGAAGCCTTTTTTTGCAGAATCAGTTCTGATATTTCTAAAATCTTGTTTATTATTATTACATCTTCAATCTTCATGTTTTTGAAACTGTAAACGAAACATTTTTTCAATTATAGCCCTTATTTTTTCTTACACTAAAAAATGAAAACGAAATATTTTTTATTTTTCGAATATAAAAACACGAAGAATAATAAATTCAGTATGAAAATTGCACTTTTCCCAGCCACAACATAAGCTAAAAAAACAAACATAAATCCTAGTTTATCTTCTGAAACCATCTATTTATCAAAATTCAAGACAACAACAAAAACAAAACAAGAAAGAAATATTTTGGATTCTACATGTATGTTAATTTTTTTGGGAAATTTTCAGCATGTTTATTAAAGTGAGAAAACAAAAAAACGCAAAAGTAAACATAAACAAAATAGATCCATTATATGCATGTAGAAAAAAAGAAGCAGAACCTATAAAAATGAAAAAAACGAAGAAGAAAGGCGGAATGGTGAGATTATTCATTATTTAGTGAGCCCGGCTTAAATGCACTGCGCGCACTTTTTCAGTTTAAAAGAATGGACTGAAAAAAGGGATGAGCAATCTCATCGGGAAAAAGTCATATTTTTGCATATGTATGTGAAATAAAGTCACTTACTACATACTTACTCGAAAAAACAGAAGAAAGATTTGTCAGACTACGCAAATTTTCTCTAGAGACTTGCAACAACTATCATGTGCAATAATTGAAGCAAGAAAAAATCTTGTAATAAATAATGAAAACCACACACAGAAAATATCTTGAATAGCAAAGCAAAATATAAAAGACAAGTTTTGCCAATTTTAAGTCGTTTATGACATTTTCTCTGATAAAAATGAGCGCTTGGGGAAAAATTTGATATTCATGACGACAAGAGAAGATTGAACGAGGTTTTTGATTAACCAAAAAACGTTTTTATTTATTTATAAATATATATAATGTATCAGAAAAATTACGGATTGGTTTGGAAATCAAATATAATTTTTTCACTGTGACTGATTTTTCTAATTGATCTATGATAGGGAAAGCAATTATTTCTTGATAAGGGTATTTTTTTGTTTTTTTTCTGTTTTACGTAGGAAAAAATGAACAACACCCTAATGTGATACACAAAACAACACGAGAAAGTTTCTGAAGTTTTACGAATCACCATGGTGATTATTTAAAGGTTCGGAGAAAAAAAAGGGAGTGGTTTTTTAAAGGAAAAATCTGTGGGAAAAATATTTCACGATAATATTTTTCCATCTTCATTTTTGTTCTCACTGGGAAAAAAATAGTTCGAGAAATTATGATTTTTTGATGCGATGCGATAACAAAATTATAAGACATTGATAACTTTTTGATCTGCTTTACAAATAGCTCGATGATTTTTCAAGCATTTTAAATGTTAGTTAAATATAACTTTCTGGGAATACAAAACAATTGAAAATCACGTTTTTCGGGAATTCTTGAGGATTGGATTTAAAAGTAAGTTTTTTATAGACTCTGTAACTAGAATTTCTTGAGAAAATCTGAAAATCAAGAGAATTTGTATTCTGGATAGTTGAGTATTTTTGACCAACGGATCACAACCGCTGCAAATATTGCACTTTTATTTTAGCTTTTTTTGCAACTGATTATAGTCTGTGTTAGATAAATGCACAAATTGTGTGTCAAACAAAAGTGAAAATCTGAGAACAAAAGAAAAAACTATATTTCAAACTGATAAAGCAGCGTTTTAGATTATAACAGTTTGTGAACTCATATCAGCGTAACTGATTTGTTCGTTCAAGAAGAAATATGAGAATTATCTTCAGATGAGCTAGACTAGAATAATTGAGAAAAAGTGTCTGTCACAAAAATTTAAATTTAATTAGTTTTGAAATATCAAAAAAAATATCAAAATCAATTTCCGGGAAAACTTGTTGGTTCACATAAAATATCAACATTCTAGACAAATAATTACATATTTCCGTCTAAAAAGTTGTTTCTTTCGAATCATGTGAACATGAAACAAAAAATATTAGATCTAAATTTTAGTCAGGGATTTTTGATAGAAATATACGATTTTGTCCCTCGTTTCCTAGGTGAGGGATAGTCTAGAATAGGAAATCAAAAATGAAAATATGAAAAAATGTATCCAGACACTCCTTTTTAACTGATTTTTCAGTAACATTCTGAAAATAATTTTGGTGAGGGTAAAAAGTGATTTCGAAGAGAACAAAATCAATAAATGCTCAATATATGAAATAATCTCAATTTCAGACTGAAATCATGAATTTCGGCTCGAAAAAGACGGATTAGTAAAGCTGGAAAATTTTCCAGTTTTACAAAAAACAATAGCGCAGTCTGGAAGCCAAAAAATGAAAAGCAGGAAATCAATAGAAAAATTAGACATATCTGACTCAGAAATCAGTACTAATCATTACGAAAACAAAAAGTCTGAAGATAAAAATGATATGATTAAATTTTGAAAAAAAAATCAAGGAAAAAAGTCCGAAGAAATTCCAATTTCAGATTTTTTAAATCAAAGAAGTGAACTCAACTGAACTTTGTTGAATGAACAGATTGGGATAAATTGAAGAACACGAGATAAAATCTTACACGTTCACTTGACTTTTTTTGTGTTTTGATGTACGCTATGTGATCGAACAAAACTCGTGGTATAAAAAACGTTGATTTTCAAAGAATTTTTTTGAAGTTCAAATATGGAACTAGGCAAGAAGCTAAGATAAAAATAGTCAGAATTAAATGAGAACATTTAGACTTTTATGAAAAAGTTTTTTGAATCTATAAATAAAGAGTTTTCATTAAAACTTCATTATTTATTTACGCTATGTGATCTAACAAAACGTTTTATAAAAAAATAATTCAAAATATGTTTTCAAAGATTATAATCCCCGAAAAAACACTGATTGTGGATAAACCTTTTTTGTTCATCCAACAATTTTTTTTAGAATAGAAATTGAATTCATGAATCATCAGCATTTTACTTTTCGTTTTATTGGATTTCTGGACTAACTGTGAACTTTTAAAAATACTAGAAGCTAAAAACGGTTAAAATAATAATTTTTAGCAAACTTTTTCTAAGTTTAGTGAAAGGAGAATGAGAAAAAAAGAATCCGAAAGTTTTTTAAAACACATTCCAGTCGCTGTCATTCACAGATTCTTGAAGCACAAAGAATTTTATTATAAGTTTCTAGACCCAGTACATCTAGAAATGGGCCAAATATATATATATATATTGGGCTCTGGCTCTATTTACAAAAATGTGTATTGGAACAATTAACAAAATCACATTTGAGCACAATTTCCCTACCGTAGTATGAGAAAAAATGTTTTATGGTTTTCTAAAATAGAGGTGAAATAACAATTTCCATCAAAGGAAAAAACAAACCGAAAAAACTCACATCAGAAAATGAAAAATTTCAGATGTTATCTATTGGATTTGTGAGTCATTTGGGAGGAAGCAGGACTTTCAGATTTAAAAATTAAAACTCAAAAAATAAAATCAATTTGTAATTATGATTGTTTTGAGAATAATTGGGGCATTATCAACTATTTGGTTAAACCACAATCAATTTCAAGCTTCTAAATGTGATCGCCAAATTTGATGTTCAGTGAATCCCGACCTTTGAAAGGTTGTTTTTTGTATGTCGTTAAAAGCGTTGTGACACATCGTGTGAGAAACAAAAACCTGAACTTCGTAACACTGTATATTATAATTTTTAAATCCTCAAATAAACTTCATAATAAACTTCAACCTTCATTCAGGTAAAAATCATACGACGAGTGTGAATGTTAAGAAATGTTTTTTTCTGCGGACGAGATTGTCTAAAATATGGGAAAATTGTCTTCAAAAGATGGAACTTGGTGAATATTGTGGATGTTGTTGACAACCGTATCCCCAGAATAATTATATTATAATGTTTGGCGAAGTATTGTTGTAAATTTTTATGAATTATTTCAAAAAAATTTTTTTAACGAACCCATTTTTTAAACTTTTCTTTTTTTCCGACTAATAAGAGGCTAAATTGGAAGAAAAAAAGAACTATACAACTATAAATTTGAGCACAATTTTTTACCGTAATCCCCAGGAAAAATGTTTTATGGTTTTCTGATAAAAGAAAAACAAATGAACCAAAAAACTTATTCTAAAAAAGAGAGATTTGTGAGTCATTTGGGAGAAACTCGAGTGATTTTCAGACAAAAAAGGAACTAAAAAATTTAATTACGGTTATTTTGAAAATGTTATGATAAGTCAGAAAGAATTACTTGGAAAGGGGGAAAAGTCATGTTTTCAGGGGAGAATTAAACATGAACTACAGCAGTATACCAAAAAAGTATAATAAAAGGTTTGGAAAAAAAATGAGAGGTTGTATAAAAAAATGATAGGATTATAGTCGTAAAGTTTATGTTAGTATTCATATTTTCTAAATTTTGGTAGAAATTATAATATTCCTTTTTTCTCCTTTTCTATGTTTTTACTGGATCTGCCAGCATTTTTCTGATTGTAAGATGAGTTTTGATAACCTTTCAAATATTAAAATACATTTTATTTGAGAAAAGAACATAAAAATGATAGATTTCAAAAAAACTGAACAAATAACTGTGTTTGATTGTAAAGTTTGTGTGTTGTTTTTAGGATTTGAGATTATTTTTGCAGAGATTAGGAAAAGTGATATTTTTAATATGTAGTACATTGAATTTTGAAATCAGAAGAAAGTATCATGATCTCCAAAATAAGTATGAAATCATCCGGATTATTTGGGAAACATCAGAAATACTGGTTTAAATTTCATATTCCAATGTCTTATTCCAACGAAACGCCTTTTTTCAACAAAAAATTGTATCAAATAAGCCTATTTCTCCGAAATTTCATTTTCATTTTCATTTTCAGCAAAACTTTGAAAAAAAAATCGTTATTTTTTTCTATAGAAAATGTCGATAACTAACAGTGCTTTTTCTCATGTCACGAACTATTTTTTATTATTCAAATTGAAAATTGAATTAAAAATCGAATAAAACCAATTCTTATTTTATTCTCATTTTAATGTCAGATTGATTTTTTCTTATTGTGAAATCTTATTCTTCCAATTTTCGAACCATTGTTTTTTTGATTTTTTCGTTTTCTTCTTTGAAGAACTCTTTGTGAACAACTCTGATAATTGATAATTTTGTATTTTTTGTGAAACATATAAATAGTTTTCTTTTGTTTTTTTTTTAAATATTTTTCCAGGTGTAGATTTTTTATCTAATTGTTTTTCAAAGATCATTTATTCGGAAGTTGTATGATTTACTGATAAGATAACAAAATGTTTCTTGAAAAATTAGAAAAAAATGATTCGAAAGGATTTAAAATGTTGTGTAATTTTTATTTTTCATAAAAAAAAGTAAAATTCAGAATCTAAATTTTTCATCTCAAAAAATCCAAAACTTTTTCAATTATATTTTGTCATCAAATCTGAAAAAGGTTACAATTTCCGAACAAGTAAACTTGAAGCAAGTTGGACCAATAGAATGACCAACATCTAGCTGGTAAGAGAAAGATAGGCGAGAGAGTGAGAGAGTGCTAGACACATTTCTAATCGTCGCTCGCATAGAGGCAATCGATGGTGGTATGAGGAAAGAGTGTGGAAATTGAAGAGAGACGAGACATTGCAACACACTCACATATACACATACACACTCAACGCGACGCCGAAATTAACGTGCTGCACTGGACGACCGATTGTCTATCTACTTTCGGGGGGTGTGCTTTTTGAATTTTTTTTGTTTTTGTTTTTTTTCATAGCCTCATTAAAACAGATTTATGTGAATTGATATATAAATGTTGCCAGCTTTCAGAAAGTTATATGCTTTTTTCCTAACTTTTTGATTGCAAACTTGTATTTTCCAGCTGCACGTGCTGCTTCAACTGATATGGGATGGAGCATCAAAACAAAAAACCTATTCTGCCGGGTTTCCCGTCAACCAGCTTTACCGCACAGTTTCCAGGTAAATCATATGTTTTATGTTTTCTCATCACATGCTGCAAAACGAAGAACAAGAAAAAACAAAACATTTTTATTTGTTCTCTCTTTTTGGAACAAGAATGATAAAATAAAAATAATAAACAGCGGAAAAAATGATGAGAAATAATGAACTGTTAGGAAAAAAAAATGATAATAATAATAATTTTGTTGCAGCATTACAAACGAATACAACAAATGCATTGATGTCAACGTTGCACAGTTTGCAAATGCACAATTTAGGAAATTCAATAATACCACCGACAAATATGACGCCTGCAGAGTTTTCACAAAGAGTTCTTTTTGAACAGGTAACAATTCTGATATGGTCTATTTTTTGCTTGAGGTGTTTTTTGTTCTCACTTATTTTTATCATTTTTTCCTCTCTTTATATTGAAATACAGTTTCAGATGAAAGCAATGCAAACAATGTATAGTCTCAGTTTGAAACCGTAAGTTTTCCTTTATTAATTTTTTTGGAGGAGGAGTCTGATTCTATAATCACAAATAGTGACTTGTCATATTTTTAATTTTATTAGTAAACAGGTCTAATAATTTTTGCTTCTTCGATAAATTTTCAAACCTTCCAAATCTAAAAAATCCATCTGAACTTTAACGCCACATTTTTCCAAAAAACTTGAAATCATATGGTTTTTAATCCAGACTCCTCTTTCACCTCAATAAAAAACTTTCCCAGGTAATAATTATGATTAATGTGTGCTTTTAGCGAGACAACAAACACCGTCGGCAGTTCTACAACATATGATAAAAATGGAACAGCCGCTGCAAAACTTGCGGCTACCACTATATTTCCAACACATTTTCTGGCGGCTGGTGATTTACAAACTTTGGCAGCTTCTGCTATGATCGACAAATCTGATAGTGTCCCTTCAACTTCTGCCACCAATGATATTTCTCAAATCGAAGCTGCTACTCTAGGCAATTTATTACATCCAAAAGCTGTACACGGTTTAAATTTCAATGCGATGAATGTAAGTATTTTTGGGATTATCTTTTGATAAGAAAAGGGATTATACGTACACATGCATATTTTCTTTTTTGTAGGGATTAGCTGCTGGAATGTTTCCAACTGATGATTGGATGAAATCAGTACAACTAGATACATTTGCTGATAAAAATAATGAGTCTCATATTGCTCGACCAACTCCAATAAATGCGATTCCATCAACATCTCAAACATCTTTTATTAATAATACACAATCTCTGACGTCAGCAACATCAACAGCAACTAAAGAATCTGTAGAAGTATCAAAGGAAGATGATCTAGAAGAAATGTTTGGACTATCAAATTTGGATGATGGTGTTGAAGCAGGTCCCACTGATATGAACGGAGGCTTGAGTCCTGTTCAATTCACCCCGCCAGATTCACCAACCGAAGCGCTGACAACCGATTTTTTATTTGGATTGGAACCAGCGAGGACAAATTCAACGCCAGCTTCTTGTAGCTCACAACCAAGCACATCTGCAGCTCCAGCTTTAAATAATAAAGAAGATCAATCATCTGATGGTTTCAAAGTTCCTGAAATTCCAGTTATTGATCCCTCATCAATCACTCCGCCACCTATAAAAGAACCCATTTATGGTAGAAAATTTGTCAAAAGTAATAAAGTGAGTTTTTCTAGGAAAGAGATTGTGAAAGCTAGATTACGTAGTTCTAAAATTTCAAAATACTATTGACGAAGATGTGGTTTTTAGTTTAATAAAGTTTTTCCGAATTCTAAAAAAATTAAAGTTCAAAATATTTTTCAAATTTAATTTTCATATTTTTCAAAATTGTGCCACATTCAAAACTCAAAATAAATTTCCGGATTATGATTTTTTTTGAATCAATGTTCTCATTTTTCCAGGTTCCTGTATATAAACAAAAACTCAATTCCATATTTTCATCAAATGAGAAAAAAGAATCGAAAGATGATTTCGATGCTTTCGAATTTGATGACGATGATGTTGAAGATACATTGAAACCCCAAGAAATCAAAGAAAAAGAAATTGATGTAAGTTTTCCTTATCTATCAAAAAAAATTCAGAATACAACAATTTTTCAGATTTATGCACAATGTGATGCAAAAAGTAAAAATGTTTATGTGCCTGGTATAGGATTTGCAATTTCACATGAGCCACCACCACCGGTAGGTTTTTCTTCAATTTTTTCCAGAGCATTCTCTGATTCAAACTGTTTTTTAGCAAGATTTGTGGAGACACGTTGTTCCTAAAAAGCGACACCATGGTGAAAATAATAAAGGTTTACCTGGATCAAATCTTCTTCCATCTTCTGCATTACACGAAGCCCAGCTAGCAACAAGAATGGTGGATCCGGCAATTGTGACATTGGCCGAATCAATAAGATTTCGTAGAAATCAAAGAATATCTTGTAATTTTTTGAAACCTGTATTGAGCAATGACACTGATTGCCCTAAAACAAAAGTGATTTTAAAAGTAAAACGAGATGAGCCAGTTATACCAAAAATGATTATAAAAATATCGCGAGTTTTGGAAACTCTTGAAAATGGTGCAACTCGAAAGAAAAAGAAGAAGAAAGGAAGCGATGAGGAAGATGAAATTGAAGATGATGATGATTATGAAGATGATTGGGATATTGCAGCTACAATGAAAAGACGGAGAAGAACTTCTAAAAAGAATTATGAATTACGAACTGTTGATCCAGAAGAAGCTGTTGAGAAAGAAATTGAATATGATTATCATCATGGTTTAGGAATTTCAAAACATACTGGTCGCAAAGAAAATACAGATTCTGTCAAACATCGTTTGAGCAAATTTGGTTCAGCTGAAGGATTTCTACCGGTTTGTTTTTTTATCATAACATTAAAATCATTTAACAAATCGATGTTTTTCAGAAAGGAACATATGTGGTTTGCAAAGCTGATTTATTGAAAGATGATTGTGCATTGTGGCGAGTTGATAATCAAAACTTGCTTCAAAAATTTCCACCACGAACTGATCTTATTGCCAACAAACTTATCTATAAAAGTAGTAGCACTGTGAGTTTTTTCAAAATCATTTTTCGATATCATTTCAAATATCACATTTATTCCAGTATTCCGGATGGTGTGAACAAATCTCCAATCAATACTTCCGTGTTTCCGTCAAAGTCATCAAACAAAATCGGTCTGAAACAACGATTGAACCAGAAATTCCGTTGGGCGAATTGTTCCCTGCAATGTCGGAAGAAATGTTGAAGAATCCAAGAACGGTTTATAATCAAGAACCTCCAAAACCATTTGATGAAACCATTTTGAACCGGGATAATCAAAAAATTGCAATGCATACATTAATGGTTACATTATTAAATCATGCATTGACTATGGATTATTTACAACAAGTTCAAGAAAAAAATGGTAAGTTTTTTTTTCTGAAAAAAAACTAATTTTATTAAATAAGTACTACTAATGCTAATGAATTAGTTATGTGCAAAAAAAGTTGATCAGAAAAAATGATTTCTGACACTAAATTAAAGTAATTGTTACTTGGTGAGGGTTAGAAAAATGAAGATTCTTGAATCTGGTTTCTCAATTCTCTCGATTCAGAAGACACAAAAAAACATAAATTGCAAATTAAAATTTGACCATCTCATATTTTCTCAGATTGGACGTACACTCGATCAGTGACTGAAATCGAACAAGCCAATAGTGAATCAGTCACTCGAATCCGCAAACGTGTTCACATCACCGAATACGTTGATTTTTTGATTGATCAATACACTCGATTAATCGCTTTATCATCGGACTTCTATGATTTAACACAGTGTCAAATTTGTGGTCGTCGAAAAACCAAAATGGTTCTTCAATTTTATGATCGTAAATCATATGATTCGGATACACTTCAGTTCAATTTAGAAGACATGGAAGAGTTTCCAGAGGACATTTTACCATCATTAGTGAGTTCAATTAATTTGTCAAAGTTTTTGAAAATGAAGAAAACAAACTGAAACTATGAACATATGATTTGTTTTTTCAGGATGTTTATGCTTGCAAAAAATGTGGAACCGCTACAAATTATTTGCACAGAATCAAGCATCTTCGACTACATTTATTGAGACAGTGTGAAGAAAAGGTTGGTAAAAAAAGTCCCCATTTAAAAAATAATAAAATTTTTAGCTCGAATTGGTTGGCACTGAACATATCGAAATTGCTCCGGAACGAATTGTGGAAATTGTGAGAAAAGACAAACCATGGATTGCCGGAGTGATTGCGACTTACTGTGAAATGTGGAAACAAATCAAGCTCGACTTTGAATAGTTGCCTCACATCCAGATTGTTGTTTTGTACATATCTTAACATGTTTCTACTTCTTTCATTTACGGGTTTTTGTGTGTTCCACAAAACATTCGTGTCATATTCAATAACTGTAAACAAAACTTATATTTTTGTGTGTCTCTCAAAAAATCTTATTGTTAGAAGAAGACGACAAAAATTGTTTATAAACTTTCAAGTTTATTTTGCTCCTCGAATGATTGAAGAAAAAAAAGAGCAAGAGCATGTTTATTCGTCTTCTCTAACAATTAGATTCATACGGTGCCTTCTTTTTTTCTTCTTTGTTATTTTATTGCTCATCAACATCGTAATGCATTCTTTTTTCTTCTTTTTCTTTATTTTATTCGATGTTTTCCTCATTTCAAACTTGTATAATCAATCAAAAATCAACATTTTTTCTTTCTTTTTTTTATTTTGTCTGCAACTGATAATCTTAAAACCTCTCTACAATGTTCTCTTCCCCCAACCCCAAAAACTCAAACAACCTCACTCTGGTATTCTGAAAATAATATGCCTTACATTGTCCGTTTTCTTGGTGTTATCGTTTTTCATCTCGCTTTTGAACATATATTCAAGAAGATCTCAAATGGAAAATGTGAAAAAAGCTAATAAAATTTTTGAATTATACTTATTTTTCTTGTGTTTTGATGTTTTCAGTATTTTGTTCGAATACAATCTATATCTTCTTCAGTGAAATTGAATTTGTGTGAGTTTTTTTTGCTTTCTGCAATTCCAGTGTATAAATTAATGTTCCTGTGAAACAAGTAAAATAATAAATGAAGTTGTGCGCGCAACTTTGAGCAGAAAAAGTGAAATCATTCTACGTATGCAGTTTTAATGAGGGCAAATCAATTAAAGTTTAGAGCATGTTTTTATTAAGATGAAGCTAAAAATATCTTTGTATGATTTTCTAAAACGAATGACGGCATTAAAAATCTAAATTTAGCCAATTTTGGTGAGATACATGCTGTCAACTTTTCCGAAGGTCTTGAACAATTTTATAAAGCATTTTTAAAACTTATTTCTCGAAATTTGTGAGTTCGCAAATTAAATTCGAGAATTCGGAATATTTCCGAACGATTAGAACGAATTTAAGTGATATTGAAACTCTATTTCTAGGCAACTGGCAAGGAATTGGACTGTTGATTTTGTGAGTAAAATTCTGAATCAGAACAGAACTTAAAAGGCTACCAACGTTTTTGAAACTGTACAGTTCATAATTTTCTCAAGGCAATCAGTTTCCAGTCGATGTTTCTATTTAGAAACAGTTGTCATTGATCAAAATCTGAAATTCTGATATTTAAGTTTCATCAACTGGTTGTTGCGTTTTTGAACTCGATCTTCATGTTATTCAATTTTCTCCATCTGAATAATATTAATCTCATGAGAAACGTCCATTTTTAGTACGATTTCTCAAGAAAATCTCACTTTTTTTGTAGTCTATTTCATACAATTTTCGTTGCACTTTTACTATACAGATGATTCATATCTTTCTGTATTTCTGGGGATTTCTCATCACTTTTTAAACAAATAATCTACTGAAATCTTGTGAAGTATCATTAAGAACTGGCCAGCACTCTGTTAAGCTCTCAAATTCTAGATCTGTTCCAGATAAGGCTTCCGCATCCATTAACAATTATGTTAGAACATCTTGTGATCTCAAAATCATCATTCTGAAAACAATCCAATAAAAAATTGTACAATCCCTCACCCCTTCAATTCACATCCTATCCTATATTTAAATCTATAATGTTTATGTTTCAACATAAAACATTATTTCATTCGAATTTTGGTGCTTGTTTCCCAAAAAAAGAATAATTGAATTCTCCATCAAAGTGATGTTTATCGGCATCGTTCCTGCCCACACAAAAGCATTATATGATATTTCTCATATATTCTTATGTTGTTCGTTTTTTTTCTGCCATACAATATAATTTTCTGTTTCATCAGATGACGAAACCATCTCAGTTCTCCAACTCGAATGCAAGTCAGAAAAAATCAATAAACCTAAAGTGCGTGGCTCTTTGCGCAAAACCTCTTTTTTGTATTCTTCTGATATGAGAAAACTAATATTCTCATATTTTTCTCAAAAATTTTGATATATAGAAAATTGCCAGTTATTTTCCATTACTTTTTCTTACTTTTATCAGTTTTATTATTGACTGACTGACACTTTTTTTTCTTGTCTTTGTGGCATTTTTGCAATAATCTTTCGGAAAGATCTGTCGCCTAAAAACAATTTCAAAGTTTTGGTTTTTTTTGTTAAAGTATGTTCTCATGACATTTTCATTTCCATAACGAAACAATTCCTAACAACCTTGAAATATCGTTTTGCAAGCTCTCATGTCAGTAAAAAACCAATTATGTCGGTAATTTCTTTTTGATCCAACAAGAAATTCGTTTGTATTTTAAATTCGCTGGAAAACCAATATTTTTCCTTACATTCAGAAAAATCAATAGGATCCGCTGTGAGCCTAGTCGTCAAGCTCTGAATTTCGAAAAAAAAATCTTGGAGCAAGTGCTCAATATTTCGAACTTCGGAGTTTTTTAGGGGAAAATCGATATGCTGTTGCTAGAAAATTTTCATAAATTTTTCAGCCGTTTCCAAAAAACATATCCTTCCACTATTAATTAATTTTAACAATCTTGCTGGATTAGCCAAAGGCTCACAGATGTTTCTATTGGAAACGTTTTATCAGTGTCCAGTCGCTTTCAAAAACATTTCTTTCCAATATTAAAAATATCTGAGCCCACCAACTTCTCTAAAAAAATACCTTCTATTGTTAATTTTTCCGAGAACTTCACTAGATGAATTGGTCACTCCAGGGAACTTGTAAATTTTGAAAACTAAAAAAAATTGGCTCTCTATGTTTTCATTTATTTTTTTGAACTTTTGAGTCCAACCACTTTTCTACTTTCCAGCCCTCCTTTTTTTCGGTGAATCGATATGTTGCTGCTGAAAATTTTTCATTTCTTCTCTAGCCAGTTTCAAAAACAGCCTCTTTCTTTATTAATTTCTTTTGAAAAATCCTGCAGAAAAAAAAATCATTTTTTCACATAATATTTAATTCGATATAAAAAACCACATCAAAAACAGAAGAAATGTTGTTTTTGCATGATAAATAGAAGAATACTGTATGTGTGTGTTTATACGAATGAAAATTTATGCGAGAATCGATAATTTTTTTGCTGATGTGATGTGGAGAAGGCGAATTCGAAATGCGTCCCTGTCATCATACACGTTCTTCTATTCTTGACCGCTCGCTCTTCTCTCCTCGAAAACGCGACGACAGAAAAAAAACAACAAAAACAACAACATTTTTCTTCTGATTGAAGAGAAACAGAAGAGAATTCATACGTAGTCAGATGTTTTTTCTTCCATTTTCCACCCATTTTTATTTTTTCTTTTTTTTGTACCGTTTCAGTACTAGATTGGTCACGATAAAATTCTTCCTAAAATAAAATGTAATGTCATTTCGTTTCGTTTCGTCATTTCATTTTTTCAATTTTAAGAAATGTCTCGCTCTGCCCAATAAGTTCTGCTAATTAGACCCACACAAAATATTTTCATCTGCTCTTTTTCCCATTTCGATTTTTTTGGCCAAAAAAATATCTCAAAAAAATACATTTAATGAGTATGTTTTTGTGGAAAAAAGCTCTCCATCAGCGAAAAAAAGGGCCCCAGTCAATGCTTTTCGCATTATTGTTGTGTCACTCACACGAAGCACTATTACGAAAGCATTGACGATAAAGACCACTCTCTCTCTTTTTTTTTTATTAAATTTCAAATTGGCGCATACCGTAGTTAGAGACATATGCAACGCGCTGCGACCAACGCGATGCGGTCATTGCTCGCCCCCAACTAAAACACGTTTCGTTTCTCCTTCTCTTCTTTTATTTTTCTTCTTCTTCACATCTTCTTTGCCTTTCCTTTTGACAGTGTCGATGTCTGGCCGCAAAAGAAAAGGGTTTTCAAAGAGAAAAGATTGCAATGTTAGAGACGCAGCGTTTTGTGTATGTGTTGTATCGTCTTCTCTATTCTCTCCCTCATTTGCTCGTTCTGTCGTCTTACTGGTCCAAAAATATTGAAGAGTAGAGACGCCCGTCTTCGTTCTTATTCTTCTTCTCTTTTACTAATACTACTACACTCTGACTATCCTCGCTCTCTAACCTTTTGGTTGGTCGGTCGGTCGGCTGTGTCTGTGGTGTGGTGGCTATATTGATTGTGTGTGTATTGTGTGTATGTGTTAGGGAGCGAGTGTCATTTTGGTCCCACTTTTGTATTTAGTTCGCCTATTTTGTATTTTTTTTTGCTCTTTTCTTGATCGCTTATTGTTGGATTCTTGAAATTTTCAAAAATTTTAATTTTTCAGACTAACTGAAACTATGCAAACTAAAAGTACGGAGGACGCATGTGCCTCAGAGCCACCAACACCTCCAGATTTATACGATGGTAAGTTTCAGCTTTTCAGATTAAATAGGAAAATGTGAACCTCTAAAAAATTTCAGGAGAAGAACACGAGGGTAATGAAGAAGCTGGCCATTCAGCTGGTGGACAATCTTCTGGATTGTCAGATGAGGCTGGACAATCATCTGGCGGTCATTTAGCTGGTGATGACGAAGGACATTCAAGTCATTCGGGAAGTGGTAGAAGCGGTAGTGCTGGCGTTGGAGAAGGTGAAGGTTCGACAATGTCTAATGCTGACTCATCAACTCATGGTTAGTGAAAGGAAGGAAATATTGATTTTTTGGCTAAAAGGGTCATAAAACTAATAGTCTTCTTATGGTGTCAAAAACATTATGTCTGAACCTCTATCTTCAGAGTGGATTTTGGTTTCGGTTTTTCACTCCATTTTTTTCGTATAGTCAAAAACATGTACTAACCTCCTGTGGTTAATTTTCACTTTATCTCTATTAGAAAATGTCTTATTACTACAAAAATCATAGTTGTATAGAAAATCCTCAAAAGATTAAAAAACTAATATTTTTTAATTTTGTAAAAAGAAAAAAAACCGACAGATTGATAAAAGTTTTTTTTTGTAATTTCAAAATTGCCCTCAAACGCCCCCGATTTTTTTTTATTTCATCTCGCCGATTGAAAAATCAAAACATTTTCATTTCATATATATATCATAAATTGATTTTGGCGACGATGATGTTATTTCTGCTCTTTTTAGCAGCTATTTTCTTTTTGATATTCACTTTAGTTCGAGTATTTTGTTCTATGAAACATTGGAAAGAAAAAGAGAAGGAAAAAGTTGAACCTAAAAATTACGATAAGTTACCCGGTGAATTTTTTATGTTGTTTTTTCCAATCACATAAAAGTTGAATAAAAACAACAGCTATCAAATTGTTTTTTGTACTTGGTAGTGGCCATGAAAATAAAAAAAAGAACGCGATGCGCACTAGCTAATTGAAAGACCTATGGCTGTTCTCTTTTTCTCTTTGTGTCAATAAATACCCTATCATAACAAATTATGAATCAACTGAAAAACTTTGAGAAAGTGCAAAAAGTATTTTTCTAGTTCCATAACTGAAATAAACCTTTCAGAATCTACTCGTGGACCATCCAAAGTTTTGTGTCAAATTCATCAACAAAAAATTGGTATGCGTCGCCGGATGATGAATACGGTCGCATGTCAAACGGATGAAACGCAAGATTTTGGACCGCTATTAGTCGATCGTAAGTTTCTAGTCTCTAGAATCCGAATTTTTTGACAAAAATCAATTAATCGATAAATCAATTTATAGCGTCATCTGTCGATGATCCATCATGCTCCGAAGGCACACTTCGTCTCATGATTCAAAACTTTCGAAATATGGGCGATACGGTTCGCGGACCAACAAAACGCATTCAAAATGTGTCATGGTAAGAAATGTTCTCAATGTATAAAAAATGTTGTGCAGCAAACGCGCTCCACAGCAAATGTTTCCCCTTCTGGTCACTCCAGTTGTTTTGTTGCATAAACATATGTTTGAATTGACTTTTTATTTAGAATGTTGTTTAAAAAATTCGCCATGATTATTAATTTTATTATTGATTTTTATCATTTTCAGGAGAATTATGGTGATGCCTCGTCAACACGTTGTACAGAAAAAGGGAACACAAAAATGTTTGGGTTTCTTTCTTCAATGTTGCCCGGAAGCATATTCGGATTCGTGGTCGTGTCAAGCTGCCGCTGAATTGCGTCTGATTTCGCAGAAACCTGGTGTTCCGCACTTCACTCGCAAAACCAATCATATCTACACAGCAAAGGAAAACGATTGGGGATATTCGTGTTTCATGACTTGGGCTGATATATTGGATGAGAGTCAAGGTTACATCAAGGATGATCGGGTTGTTCTTGAAGTCACTGTCAAAGCTGATCCACCTAAAAACATTGTGTAAGTTACTAATTTCTCATGAACCTCTCTATAATTCTACTTGTTTCAGTGGAATTGACGAATTCCGAAAAACTGTTCAAAGTTGGGTCGATCTTGCTGAAATGCAATTCAAGCGAGGAAAAATCGATCTAGCGATCGAGGCCAACTCGCAAGGTTTGAAGTTTTGCAAGGACAAGGATGCTGATTGTCGTCGCAAATTGGAAGAGCAAAAGCGCACTTTCATTGAGAAGAAACTCGCTGAATCAATTCAACGAATTGAAAGTGAGTTTGAATAATTGAACCAGAAAAACAATTAAAAAAATATATATGAATTATTTTTGCAGCTCAAAAGAAAGAGACAACCGAAGAATGTGATGTTGTTAGCAATCAAACAGCTCTTCGTATGGCTCTCACTGCCAATAATCACAGCAAAAATAAGAACAATAAGAACAAAAAGAAGAATGCCAAGCCAAGAGCTCCAACTCCTAACAATCAACAAAAGGTTACTACTAACACTGCTGTAAAGACTGAAAGTGCTAAAACTGTGTCGCAAAATCAACAAGTTAAACAAAAGCAACAACAGAAAGTGACTGGCAAAAAAGATTCAAAGAATAACAGTTTCGAAGAAAGAAGATCACGTCAACAAGTTTCTGCCAAGAAAATTGATGGAGATTTTGAATTCACCGGAAATTTCAATCAGCGTATCTTCAATGGTCGTTCACCACTCACATGGACTCGTCGTTCAAAAGCTGAAGATGATTTCATTTCGGATGCTGCAAGCTATTTCAGCGAAGATACTGAAATGTCCTCACATGAGCGAGACAGTTTTGTTATGAAGTAAGATTTTTCTCATTGGGAGGATCGTCGGAAAAAACATTATTTTAAAACACTTGATTTTGCATGAAACCAAATTTGAGTCTTTACAGGTATATGACCGACCAAATGAGAGCCGTCAACTATCCAGAAGTCAAAGATGGAAAGAAGAAGATTTTGTACAACATGGCACAATTGAGAAACTTTGCTGAAAGCGCCTTTGAAGTTGAGATGCAACGTCAGACAATTATCAAGAAAGCAGTTATTGATGCGTATGATTTTATGAAGAGAGCTGCAACACAACCAGATGTTGATGATCCAGCTTTTGTGATGATGGAATGGGATGTCGCAACATTGTGGGAAAACGATCGTGCTGAATCAAGAGCTTCGATCATTGATCGTGAAGCGAATTTCCTTGATGCAAAGATCAGATTGTTCTGGGATGCTCTTGGTGGAATGGAGAAATTCGTAAGTTTCAATATTCTGCTTCTTGAATAAACAATCGAATTTTGTTATTTTCAGCTTGAGAGTGATTCATCGGATCATGATTCGATTTCTTCAACCGAATCAAGCGATCGTCAAAATGACGGATGTTTGAAACCAAAGAGAACCAGATTGGATATGGTTTGTGAATGTTGTGTCAATGAGAAGACTAGCCCATCAATGTGCGACTCGGAAGTTCAAACTGAAGAGACTGCCAAGAATGCCAGTCCAATTTTGAAAGACGGAAAGAGCCAAACACAAAAGGCTACTCAAAAAACCAATCAAAAAGCGCAGAACAACAAGCAAGCTCAAACTCAAAAACAAGCTGATGCGCCTCAATTCGAACAATCGCAACCACCATCTCCAAATCCAGAATCATTGCATCCGCCAGGTTTCCCACCACCGGTTATTCCAACGTTCAATTTCGGTGAATTTGGAGGTCCAGATTCAAACCAGGTGATCAATGCGTTGTCGACTGTTGCGATGAATTTGATGAACACCAGAAGAATTATCAACAAGGCTGAAGAATTTATGATAATTATTGCTAAAAATCAAGCAGATGAGAATTTGAGAGGAGCACTTCGTGATATCTCAAAAGTTGCTGGAATTGCATACATTGAAAATGAGGAAAAGTATAGACCAGACAGTCCATTATTGACAGAAGACTTTGGAGAGGATGATTTTGCATCATTATATGCTAAATTGATGAATGAAGAGAATAAGGAGATGATTGTGATGACCAAACAAGTTGAGAAGTTTGATCAGTACAAAAATCATCTCAAACAACACTTGTTCCTTGATCAAGATGATGTTGATCGACTTATTAAAGGCGCACATGCTGTTAACGCGAAGATTGCTGATTACGAAAGAAAATTGAAAGATTTCCAAAAAAATGAACGAAGATCTCGAAATGAAACATAAAAAGAACGAAAAACAACTTCGTGACGAATTGAAGCAAGCAAAAACACAGTATAATCAAGAAAAAGAGCGCAATAATCAGTTGAACAAAGATGTCAAAGAGAAGAACAAATTGGTCAAGAACTTTGAGACTCGTGTCACAACTCTTCAGTAAGTTTATTAAAAATTCTAACAATTTCCGACAATCTAATCAATTTAAATTTTTTAGATCTGAAAAGGATGATGTTGTTGAGAAACAAAAGCAACTTCAAAAAGAACTCCAAGGTGTTCAAAAGCGTGCCAGTGATGATGCTCAAAAAGCCAAACGTGAAATGCAACAACTTCAAGAGCAAAAGAAACATCTTCAGAACGATTTCAACAATCGAGAACATGACTTCAAAGGACAAGTTTCTCAGATGGAAGAAAAAGTTCGCGAGGTCAAGAAACTGAAAGAGGAATTGGCTGTTGAGAAGAACAAGGTCAATCAACTTCAACAAGTTTCGTCGTCACACCAAGAAAGAGCCAAGAAGAGCGAAATTGCGCTACTTCAGCATCAACTTGATGCCGGACTCTCTTTGTTGGATAGAGCTATGGTTGACGCCAAAAAGAAGATGAAGGAAATGGAAGATGCGGCCAATAGCAGGTAAGAATATCACAAGAAAACACGTAGAATTAATATTGATTTTCAAATATTTTAGAGCTCGCTCTGCTAACGAGATTAGCCTTTGCATTCAATCACGCGATGAATGGTCAAATATCATTGAAGAGATCAAGAAATCAATTGAAACCACCAAAATTGAGCACGAAACTCAAATCGAATCAATCAAGAATGGCAAACCATTGTCGTCACTTTCAAAAATTTCAGTTCCGAAACCTCCACCAGCTCCACAACTTGTTAAAGTTGCACCAATAGCACCAGTTGAACCAACAAAACCAGTGCCAGGAGTTATTGGAACTCGTCCAGCGACTGCTCAATCAACCACACCAAATCCAGTTCCACAACCAACACCACCAAACAATGGACCACGTCCAATTTCACCGGGAAGTCGTGCTCCAGGATCGCCAGTCAACAAGCCATCCACATCAAATCAAGGCAGCAGCTCACCAGCTCGTCACGCACCAATTGGAACTCGTCCAAATGGAACAGTTGTCAATGGTTGCTCCGCTGATTCATCAAGTACTGGAAATCCTTGGTCGTGGTCAGATTCGCTTTCTGCAATAACTGAATCTTTCCATCCATTAAAACGTTTTGGAACCGAAGAGCGTACTAATCTTTTCAACGGTGAGTTTCTCATCCTAAATATTTCCAATCAGTAAAATAATATCTATATTTTCAGCTAATGATCTTCTAGCCGGTTTGACTGGATTGTCAAATAATTGGACATCGGCTGATGATCAATGGAATGCATCAGTTGCCAATCTTACTAACAATCTCAACTCTCAACCAATTAACTTTATCACTCCATTAACAATGCAAAATCAACTTCAACAACAGCAGCAACAAGCTCAGCAACAAGCAGCACAACAAGCTCAACAGCAAGCAGCACAACATCAGCAACAAGTTCAGCAATCACAATTGCAAGCAGCAGCAGCCAGTCAACAACAAAACAGCCAAGCTTACTCGAATGCTTCGAGCTGGAATAATTATCCAGAAATGCATCGACAATATATGTTCAGAGTATGTTAAAAAACTTAATTAATTAGTCGGAAAATAATATAAATTTTTCAGCAACAACAGCAATATCAACAGCATCTGACCATTATTTCGAAAAAGATTGGTATGGATCTTGAAAAGACCAATGAACTTGTCACTGATTTCTGTCGTGAGCACAAAGTTCATTATCAAAATATTACTGGTGATGATTCTGTTGTTGAAAAAATTCGCGAATATTACAACAAACGTGTTCATCAAATTCGCATGAGTGCTCCACCGGGCGCTGCTCCAGGATATCTTGCAAATCCACTTGTCTCTGTTATGGATCGTGCAAACTTCAACAATTTGTTGGGTGATACTCATCAAATGACTGATCGTTCTGGTGGTCTTCCAAATATGGACAAATGGTAGACAATGTAAAGACAGCAAATTCGAATATATTCTTCAATCCTTGTTTCATTATTGACTTTTATAACCCATAACCGGCTGACTTCTTTTTTTCACATATACATATTAGTCATAGTCTTTTTTTTTCAAACAAAAAACGGAATGTGTCAATCGTTTTATCTATTTTTTCTGGTCTTCACCAATTGTGAATTAAAAATTTTATTTTTCTGGATTAAAACACCTTCTTTCCACCCCAAATTGTGCATATATTAGATGTGCTCTTTCGTTTTCCTTCTGATATTTTTCAGCTCATCACTGTTCCCCCCGCTTTCTTCTTTTTCCCCGAATCCCTTTGTTTTTGTGAATCATTCAAATAACCATTTTCCCGATGCTAACATTATCATTTTCCAAAAATATTCAATCTTTTTTCTTTGATGTTTACCACAAATTTTTTTATTTGATTTATATTTTTCCAATGTTCTGATGATGTTCAAAAACCGATTAAAATTATTTGCTTTCGTTTGAAGGAAACATAACTCAAACGCTTTTAACTGTTGTATTTTGAAAATAAAATGAAACGTTTTGTAGGAGAGATTTTTGCGGGTTGTTTTGTGTTTTGTAGACAATTTACAGATCAAGATAATGTATGTTATGACCTTGCAGAATTGACATAATTCGAATCTCGAACATTTTTTTATTTTTTTTTGAAGAAGACAAAAATACTGCAAATGTTTACAATGTTATTTTTAAAAAGACGAATTTTGAAAGAAGAAAAAAATAGATTATGAAAAAGGTACATATTTGTTTATTTTCTCGGAAAAAAATTGTTTTCCCATTCCATTCCATTTCTCAAAAAAAAAACAGAAAAAAGTTTTTCCCCGATATATATTCAAGAATAAAAGCGCAGTGTCTAACTAACTATAGCTGTTGTTTCCATTTGAAACGGCAACGATTGAGAAATAGAAAAAAGGGAGAGCAGTTAGAGAAAGAGAGAAAACCATGAGAGAGAAGGGGAAAATGATAGTTGCAGAGAAAAATCTAAATGGGTCTCGTTGTGTGTCCCTGTGAATCATTCTTTTCTCTTGTCAATATTGCTAACCTTTTTCGGGGGGTTTATGAACCGATTTCAATTGTTTTTTTTTGACTCGTCGGTTTGTTTGATTGTTTGTTGGTTGGTTGAAATGTTTGTCATGAATTATTTATTAATCCGATAGTGTTCAGTGATACAATATGTTTATGTTTTCTATGAATAATTGAAATTTTCCAAATTCATTCTATCATGTTTCTCCATGTTTTTCTCATACCAACCCTTTTTTCAATTAATAAAAATTTTTCTGAATCATATTCATTAACTCATTCCTTTCAAAATAATAACAATTGAGAATTTTTGAAAGAAAGAAAAAACAGGTTCTTTGAATTTTCAAGAGAAATCAAATCCACGTCCAGAAATTGAAAATAATCAAATAAAAAATGGGAGAATTGATTATTTTGGTTTCCGTTTCTTTCCTTTTTTTCATTTTCGCATACATTTGTTTGAGGCGTTTTTTCTCAAGTTTACAATCAAATGTTATCATTATTTTTCATTTTTATTTTATTTGCTCACTTAATTTTTTTCAATTATCATCAATTTTTTCAAAAAAAAATAGATTTTCTTTCCGTTTTTGATCTTTTCCTGGGCTCAAAAATGAGTCATTTTCAAACCGATTATTTGTTTATGTGTCTAGCGGTCTTTGTTATCATAAATCGGCTGTTTTGCTTCCTAACTGTTACTCTTTTTTTGATCTATCAGTCATTTTTATTGATTGTATTTCTTATTTTTTCAGGCATTTGCCTTCATGAATGCTCATCAAGTTATAACCGGGGCTTTAAATGAAGGCGAAAATGTGTATGCTATAGGAAATATTGAAGGACTCACATTCACGGTGTGTTTATTTATTTTTTCAATTAAAATTTTCAATGAGAATCAATCAATAAATTCAGGCGTGCGCAGTTGGTTCAGATGTAGTTATTCTCGATTCGGATTTCAATCGTGTTCAGATCATTCCAGAAAGTCAGCGACATTTACTAGTCACAAGTATAAATTGTTGTCAGGAAACTGGAAAAGTGAGTTTTTTTAAAAATGTTTCTGACAGATATATTTATTATTAATATGTTCAGATTGCTGTGACTTACGGCGATGTTGTTCGTATTTTGGAAGCGATAAGTTCGGGTGTAGATAAATCAACGCTGAGAAGCGCAATTTTTCAATTCACATGGGTCGAGACGCACAATTTCAAGCTGAAAGGCAATATCAGTTCGGTGATGTGGACAATGGAAGGTAAGTTTTTTTTTAATGCTATGGAATTTTGAAAAGTTGAGGCGATCTTGGAGAATGACATTTTCATTCAATTTTAAGATTAGCAACAAGAAAATGTCATACATCTTGAATAGATTTTTATGAAAATGCTAAAAATTAAAATGATAATTGAAAAAAATTCCGAAATGAAAAAGTTTGGACAAACTGTGGCATTTTTGAAACCTGATATGTTTGCACTGAATGTGTTGTTCAAGATGTCTCTTCATTTTCAGATGTGCATATTAAATCAATGATTTGTGATATTCTAGAATTCATAGGTTCTGAATTTAAAAAAAAAAGTTTTTCTATTGTAAGTGGTTGATGCTGAAACGGACCATTCTAGAAAGAGAAAAAGTATAGAATGTTGTTCAAAAAGGACAGCCCTAATTAATCATGAAAAGTTCTGTAGCCTGATGTTCATTTTAATATTGACATTTTCTACAATTAACATTACTTTCTGATTCAAAGACATCCCAAGAAAAACTTCGAAAATGAAATTCTAATAAATTTTCACAGGAATGCGAATGTTGTTTGTGATTGGCAAAGAATTGATGCTCTATCAACACAGCAGCGTGAGTTGCATGAATCGTCCAGGTTCTAGTGCACCAGTTATGTTCTGCATCGCTGAAGAGGTCAATCACTTTTTTCTCTTTTCTCTTTCCCCAACTCACGAACACATCACGCTATAATCTGCTAACTCAAATCAAAAAACATATCCACTTCTATCCCAATTCTTTCTAAAATTTTGATTCGATATTGTAGTGCTGTAGTTTCGTGAATATTTTTTAGAGTGAATATAAAATTCAATTGAATTGTTTTAGGATGTTCAAGAGACCCAAACCTGGGAGCTTATTTGGAATGTGGCTCTGCCGAGCAAACCAAAGTTCATCAAATATTCACCCGATGGATCATATCTAGCAACATCTGGTGCCAGTGATTGTATCATCAAATTATTCTACCAAGACTTGACCGATCCAAATGATATTGTCTTCTCGTTTCTCACCTTATCACATCCATCACCAGTTTGTGGATTTGAATGGCGAAAAACTGGTCGATATATGCCGAAGAAATGTATTTTTGCCACACTGATTTCATGGTGTGAAGATAATACATCAAGAATTTGGAGAGAAGCACCTCCGCCAGAAATGTCGATTATTGATTTGACTGGTGAAGGTGGCGGAGAACCATTGTGGGATAAACAAAAGACGAAAAAGTTTCTTGGAAAACATATTCGTGTGAAAAAGACGAAAAATCGGATCATCAACAAACTTCGCACAATTTTGTAAGTTATTTGGGATTTCGTTGAGGATGGTTTCTCGGAAAATATCAGGAGTCAAAAAGGCTTTTGGTTTTATCCGTTAAGTAAATGAAAATATAGAAACCTCATCTCCAATATGATTTTGAAATGCGCAGCCCATTTTCAGAACAATTCAAAATTATTTTCAGACCTGAAAAGAAGCGAAAAACTGAAGATATTGCAATTGGTCTCCGTGCACAAATTGGAAAAAGTCCATCGACCTCAGATTTTCAACCTGCTCACCACGAAACCAACGAAATTCAATTTTATCTTGCCGCCTCTGTGAATGCTGAAAGTGATTGTCTTCTGGTTCCCTCTATGGATAATTCGAACAAAACCAAACCACTTTGTGTTCACTGGCTGAATAACAAGGAGTTGGTTTTCAGTGTCGGTGCTGAAAAACTGTTAGCTGAAGCCGTTTTGATGGAATCAGAGAATCATCGATTGGCACAATCTTTGGATGGTTCACCTGAAAAAGAAACGGCAGTTAATCAAGCAAATGGACATGCAAATGGAGTTGTTGATCGACCTGAAAGTGCACAAGGAGGAAGTGTTTGTTCAGTGAGTTTGAATGTTTACACTTTTTTGTTTATCAAGTGATGTTTTCTGATCTTTTGGTTCTGTTCTTATCATTATCATTAAACATTTTTAAACGAGGAATGCTTGTTTATTAGAAAAGAAATCACGAAGGGAATCTCATTCCATTTTTTAGGACGCACCATCTTCGAAAGATATTCTTGATGTGAAGCTGGAAATTTTATTACGTCAGTGGAGCAAAACTAACGATGTGCTATTCACAATTCATCCGGTCGATGGAAGTTTATTAACCTGGACAGTTGAATGGTTGGATGATCAATACAGACAACCAGTTGTTTCATATAGTTCAAGACTCCCGGGTGCACTTCCACACAGTGATTCAGCATCACTTCATTCCACGTTGAACACTTTCAATCCACATGAACCAATTTATATCGATGTCTTGCGAAATGATCTTGATGAAAAGGAGAGTGAATTGATCCAGGAGAAACTGTTGGAGAGAACTGTTTCGAACACAATCCATATTTTGACATCGCATGATAATGGAACACTCAATTTGTGGCATATGGCTGTCGATGAGAAAAGTTGTTTCTCGCAAGTTTTGAACATGACACATATTTCAAGAATGTGTGGACATCGATTCAAAATTCGACAAGTTATTGCACATCCTGTTCTTCCACTTTTGTTGACAACTTCAAGATTCGAATCACAGAATCCAGCAATGAATCCATCGGTATGCTTCGGGTTTTTTTAGAACCAAAAGAATGTTTTTCTTTCAGATGGATTTCTTATCCGAAGTAATTCTCTGGAAAATCGCACCAGTTGGACCGTTGTGTAAAAGTGGAGGTGTGAAGGAATTAGCCAGAGTTGCGAGTCCATTGAGAGACGGATTTTCGACACTTGGATGGGTGCCAGCTATATTGCCAAGTTGTACATTAGGAACTGTATGTAACTCACCATCGTCGTTGTTTATTTCAAGCGATGGTGAAAAATTGATCATTTATCAGGTGAGACTTTTCAGTCAGAAAAACAATGAGTTTTTGTGATTTATAGGCAGTGGTTGATGCTCGTGGATTACTAGCTGAATTGTCGAATGCTGATGCAGCTTTCAACAAAGGATATCTTGACGATGAAGACAAGTAAGTAAATTGGGAGCCTTCTTGGTGAATTGTAGAACAGGACAGCTTAAAAAATTATGTTCCCGCCAAATTCTAATAATCAACAATTTCAGCGATCGAATGCTTCGAACACCATCGCCAAGAGGAATGTTTGCTCCATCATTCATCAAAGACTTCAACGTTGTTTCGACACAATCCACAGCTAAACCTGGATGTGTTTTGGAAATTGGGCAAATTGAAGATAGTAATTTGGTGAGTTTTGAATGATTTTGCAGAATTTTAGTTGATGAATTTCAGAAAGGATTGAATCTCTCATTTCTTCATATTTTCCAAGCTCGAATGGTTGTTCCGGAAGAAACACCAACAGATGATTCGGCGCCGTTGAGTTCAGTTATTGATCGATATAAATCGCCCGCTTTCAGTGATAAATATTTTATCGTGATGGTGGATCATTCGAATAGTGAAGATATGTAAGTTTAGATTTGAGAAATGAAAATTAAAAAAACACAGGGAAGATTTAAAATTTATTTCAATAAAAATTTACAAACAAATCATGAGGACCACTCTGAAACCACTCGTTTTTTTCAGATTGCTGATGTACTCTTTGACTGTTTCATCTCAACAACCACAACCAATTCCAAACTTTGACACTGAAATTCTACCGGATGAAAAAGGATTTCTCCGACCATCGAGCCCGTTGGCACCGTCAATGGCAAAGATTAAATTCGAAGCCACACTTGTTTGTCGACAATCATTTCCACTTCCATCAGGAACAAGAATCACAAATATCACTCCAGCTGCCGGACACTTGTCATCATCTTCACTTTATCCAGCTTGTGAAACACCATACGTTTTCATCTCTTCAGATACAGATGATTCAGTAAGATTCTGGAGATGTGTAAAGAATTCAAATGGATCAGAAGGTGATTCTTATCAATGGTCTGAATGGAATATGATCAGTGATAACAAACCAAGTGAACTCGGAATTGAAGGTATGTGCGATAATTCATTTCAGTTTCGAATGTTTTGTTTTATTCATCCATTTTTCAGGTGGAGTTTATGGTGTTAGTGCTGCTCACAGTGGACGAATTGCATGTGCCTACGAGAGTCCAAGTTCTGGAACACAATCATCGATTTCATTAGAAGTTTCTGTATTCGAATGTGAATCGTCTGGTGGAGTTGAATGGCTTCGTGAAGATTCGTTCACAATTCGTCAAAACAAAATCACATATCACCCAAAACCGTTAGTTTTTTTCTGATGAAAAAAACAGATCTTAAATAAAAAATGTTGCAGAGCCGTCGTCGATATGTCATTATACAATCGTCGCCCGGAAGCCAATTCAGAACTTGTGCAATCGATTCAACAACGTACGGAAAGCACTTTTGCTCGTTTACGATCCAGTTTCCGTCGTGGTGTGCAGTTTAACATGTTCATTTTGTGTTTCTAACTGTCCTTTGTTCATCCCCAGACTAATCTTGCATGTTTCACGTTTTCTCTTGAAATTCAATATTTTAAGTTTTTGTATGTTCAGGTCTCAACTCGATTCCACCGAAAGGACCGTCACCCGAACTATTACGAGCAATGTCATTATCTCCAAACGGATCAAGAACACCATGTGAAAGTGCGTACTAATTAGAATTGATATCATAATTAAATCAATGTAGTAACCGGTGGTGGTGTGAGAATGTTGTGAACAACTTCTTCAACATTTTTTCAGAAACAAATTTGGTATTGATTAATTCATTCAATATTTTTCAGCCAAAATTGATGAGATGGTTCGACTTGACTGGGTTTCCACTGAAGATGGTTCACATATGTTGACTGTTGGTTTAGGCTCCAAGATCTATATTTACACTCAAGTATCACAAGATCCAGCTCAACAAAATGTGTCATTGATGAAAGAAAGTGAAACGAGTTTGAGAAGACCGTCGTTGAGAAAAGCTTCATCGCTTTTACCAAATATGCAACCACACAGTAGATTGGTTAGTTAATCAATTTTACCAATCAAAACTAGAGTCATTTTTCCAGACTCGCTGGGTTTGCTGTCGAGTTTTGACACTGGATTCAGCTGATGGACTTCCACCAATTCCAACAACTTTGAGCTGGGCTCGTGATGGTATTTTGGTGGTTGGAATGCAAAGTGAGATGCGAGTCTATAATCAGTGGAATTTCTGTCCGGAAGAGCAGAAAGAAGTCGCATCGACCGAAATTCAGTGAGTTTTTTTGATGATTTGATGTTTTGTGAGAAATTTAACTTTAGAGACACATTGCGAAAATTTAGTCGTGCCTGGATAAAAATGTAAAGTTATTTTGAAACAGCATCCAAACTTCTCCTAACAAATTAACAAATTGTATTGAAATGTTATACTTGATCAATTTTCACGGGACCCCACATAAATATTTTCTAAAATGTTTGCCGCAATTTTAGAAATCTTAATCTGGCTAAATCGCAAAACAGACCCCACTCCTATTCATGTCCCCTTAAAAAAAGACAAAAAATCAATTTCTATCGTTTTAATCTATCGATTCAAATTTTAACAAGCAAATCTACAAAAATTATTTTCTGGGTATAAATTTTTATGAACTCAAACCCCAATTTAAAAATTTTCAGACGCCGCTCAACTAACCCACAAATTGTCAGTTTGCCAGTTTCAACATCTCATTCAATGCTTGATCAAATGACTAAAAAGAAAGAAGCAATGGCAACCAGCAGAAGTCGAGTATTTTTGGATCTTGTCACAACAATTTCACATAAGTAAGTTTTATTTTCTTTCCCTCTGTTTTCAGCCCATAAACCAATTTTATTCTAGAACACATCATAAAGAAAACGATTCTCAAATAGTTGTTGATATGTTGCAAAGTGAAGGTGTCTTTGAGGCTGCTCATTTATGCTCTCCAATTCTTCCACAATATCATCCAAAACAATTAATTGTTTTGTTGAATGCAGGAAAACAGAAACGTGTGAAAGCAATTCTCCTTCATGTTTTGAGCTCGTTGAAACAACGTCAAGTAACTGTGCACAATCCATTATCAAGAGCTGCTTCAATTCGAAGAATGTCAACTGTTGATGGAGATGATATGAATAATATCAAAACCGATATTATTCCAAAAAATCGATGATGATTCGATGGATTATGATGAAATTGATGATATTCCCCCACTTCCTTTATATGCACTTTTATCAGCAGATAATGATAATGAAGGTTCTGGAGAAAAAGCTGAAGGTGTTATGTCAAAAGAATCAAATGGTTATGATGATTTATTCGAAGATGATGCAGTTCAAGAAAATCTTGATGATATGTTGAAAGATGATAACAGCTCAGGTGGCGGTAGATCAAGACATCAATCTGTTGGAAGTGATGTTTTGAAACAAGACACTGCTGTTGCTACAGTATTCACAGCAAAACATTATCGAAAATTAACCGAACTTTTAACACATACACATCTTCCTGGTCTTTCAAGCGTTGATCAAATGCATCTTCTTGCGATTGCTGATACTTTGAGTCATTTCACAAGTGATGTTATTGATAAATTGACACAAGCAAATGCAGCTATGCAACCAGTTGTACAATCAGTTTTGGGTGACGCAACTGCTGGTGGATATGCGACTGCTGCAGCTGGTGTTGAAACTGTTGATGAATGTGGATTGCGATATTTGATGGCTATGAAACAACACGAATATTTGTTGGTTTGTTTGCCATTCAAGCAACGTATGGAATTGAAAAAGTTGGGATTATCTTTCTCGCATATTATTTGGGCTCAACATTCTGAAACAGAAACCGAGTTACTGAATGCTGTACCGGGAATGCAGAAATCAAATCCAACATGGGAAGAATTGAGAAGTCTTGGAATTGCTTGGTGGTTGAAGAATACTGCAAGTCTGAAGATTTGCGTTGAAAAACTTGCGAAAGCCGCATTCCAACAAAATCAAGATCCAATGGATGCTTCACTTTTCTATTTGGCACTTCGGAAAAAGAATGTATTGACACACTTATTCAAGTCTGCTAGAAATCAAATGATGTCTGAATTCTTTATGAACGATTTCAATTCGGAGCACTGGAAAAAGGTGGCTGCTAAAAATGCATTTGTGTTGATGTCAAAGCAACGCTTCCAACACGCTGCCGCGTTCTTTTTGTTGAGTGGAAGTTTGAAAGATGCTATTCAAACGATTCTTGCAAAATGTAACGATTTACAATTGGCACTGGTGGTTTTGAGACTGTATGAGACTGATTATGAAGCTCAACAAGCAATTATCAAAGATATTCTCTGCAGGTATGATTTTACTCTTTCAAAAGACTATTTTCAAAATATTCATTTTTTCCAGAGAAGTATTAGGCATGTCATCTGACGAATTTGAACAACAGCGGGGAAAAACTGATGACGATGCTACTTTGAGTGTTCACGCTTCAAAAGAGCCATTCGAAAGATCAATGGCATTCTGGATGTTGAAAGATTATACAAGAGCAGCTCATACTTTGGTCCAAGAAGCTCATACAACTCGATCCACAACAAGTCTTTCCGATATTTTCAACTTCTATTCATACCTACGAAAACATCCATTAGTTGTTCGACAAAGACTGACGGATGCCGGTGCTCAAGTTGGATCGACTGAAAAGTTTTTGGCTGTCGGAAAACAATTGGAAAACATTGTGACACCTCCCGAACGACGCTTATTTTTCCGAACTGCTGCCGAACATATGGCAAGAGGTTGTCCAATGTTATCATTGGATGTTTTGAGTCGACTTCCAAAAAGAATCAGTATGGTTCAAGATTATGATGAAGCACTTAAGATCTTGCTTGGTGGAAATGTAAGTGTTTTTTATTCAATTGAATTTATGTGAATTTTAATTTCTAATTTTTTTCAGCAATCATCTGAACCGGTAGTTCTCGAAACTGTTGAAAATGTTGATTGGAGTGCACCAACAGATGTTGTGGAAAAAGATGAATTGAGTTTGGATTGGAGCGATGATGAAGATGAGGAAACAAAGGAAGAAGAAAAACCAAAAGAAGTTGTTGAAAATGTTGAGCAGCGGCAAATCACTTTTGACACGAATCTTGAAATTGTAAGTTGATTTTTAAATTCTCATACTGATTCTGAAACTGGATACTCGAGTCTGATTCAAAATCTTTCAAAAAATGTGTTTCAGAACACCAATGATCCGATGTGTAAACTCGTTGGAGCTATCGATATTCTTGCACAACATATGAAATTTGTTGCGTCACTTCGAATTTTGACTGAAGAATTATCGACACTTGCAAGTGGCTTCGAAGTTGATGGCGGACAATTGAGATATCAATTGTTTAATTGGTTGGAGAAAGAAGTTGAAGTATTGAAAGGCAATTGTGATTATCGTGTAAATATCAATCCCGATGAAAATGAGAATTTTAATGAAGATGATTCGATTCTTGAAATTTCTTGCGATGAAAAGTGAGTTCATTACTTTTTTTCTTGAGAAAAATCATAATCAATTTCATTTTTTCAGCCATCCAACATTGCATGAAGCTTTGAAGAATGATAGAAATGAGATGATTGCTCGAATGAAATTATGTTCAAGACGACGAAAATGGCTGACCGCAAATCAAAAACTTCTTCGCTCATTCACATCTTTCTGCGCGTTACATTCAGCTCAGAATCATCGACTCACATCAGCTCTTATGGAACTTCTCTTATTATTGCTCGATGTCCAAAAAGATACTGGGTTCCAACATATCTCGGAGCCAATTCCAGATATGAATACTTTTCCGCTTCTCGAAGCTTCAGTTTCATCAACAAAAATGTTTGTTTCATCACCATTGGCTTTCATTGAGAATCAATGTTCGGATTTGTTGAAAACTGTTTGTGAAATGCAAGATGTGCCCGATATGACGAATGGACTACAGAAATGTTATATGTTGTATAACTTGAGTCAAGGATTGTCCTCGTGTTTATATCAATCACTTTGCGATGTTGATCAGATTTTCTCAAGTTCACATCGATTCGATGGAAAACCGGGGTAAGCTGGAATAAAATACAGATAAACTTTTAAATGTCATATCCTTATTCGGAAAAGAAACAGGATTTTTTTCAGAATTTTGACAAAACGTACCCGAACAACATCATATTCATCATCTGATTTGCGAGTCACAACAGCACCTGTAAAATGGCCAGGCGTCGAATCTCTTGTCGCTTTACTCACCAGAGAAAAAGACGACGAAGCTCCACATTTACGATTGTTGATTGTTGAAAGTTTTGTAGCAATCACAATGTCATTATTCTGTTTTGCACTATCCGCCTATGATTCGCGATGGTTGTATAGATTGAGTGCTCATGAAATTGATCCAGTCAAATTTGGGCTTATTTTTGGAGGCGGAGGCGAAAAACGTTTCAAGACAGTTCCACCATCAAGACCACCAAGTAAGTTGAAAATATCTCACTAAATTTTCAAAGGTAGACAATCAAACTATTACTCTAGGACCGCAAGTTCCACGTGTCAAGAAAACATCCGAATCTGAACCAGCTGATGGAAACACATTACGATCTCGATTGAATCTTCGAGTATTTGGACCTGAATCAGTTCCAACACCTCCACATGTTCAACACTCTCCAATAAATGAGCAAACAATTACCAGATGGGTTCCACCACACAAAAATATTGTTCAAATGTTTGCCGAACGTCCATATGTGCCAGGATCTGAAGATATGGGTATCAATTATGATTCTGATGAAGAAGACCACGAAGATGAATATGATGACGATGATGACGACGAAGATGTGTAAGTTTTAGCCGTGTGAAAACTTCTAGTCAAACATCTTTATTTTCTAGCTTAAAATGCGAGAACGCAACACCAAATTCTTTCGCTTGGCAACTTCTTCGCTTGGCGTTGATTGAACAACAATTGCAAAGATTGAAACAATTTTTGATCTTGGCTGGATATGATCCCAATGGTAATTTTCTTCTAGCTTTTTCTGTATTATTTTTACAGTATTCAATATTATTTTTTTCTAGATATTCCTGGAATTGCGCCACGTGTCGAAGCGGTTCTTCGATTATTGGATAGTTGGATTCAGCAACAACATCAGCTTTTGAAAAATTATCCCGGCGGAATTCCGGCGGATCTGCTTCCTGATATGCTTTTGGATATGTCAGATCAACATCTTGCCGCATCAATGAAAAAGTATTCGGTTATCGTCAAGAAAAATAACACGCCATTCGAATCAGATGATCGAAAAATTCAGCCGATTCAAAGACTTTGGGCATTTTTGGTCAGAGAAGATCACTTGCAAAATGTATTCATTCGATATATTTTTGCAAGACAATGTTTGATGGAAAATGGACCGGAAAGAATTGATATGCTAGCTGGAATTGAGCATACAACACTTCCAGAAGCTTACAAGATTATTCAAAAAGATAATGAGCCAATCGTTGCATTTGCTTGTAATCAAGAACATTCTGGTGGTTTGATTGTTGTTTCAAATGGTCGTGAACTTCAAGAAATGGATATGTCAGATGTTTTCAAAGATCAAATGGATTCATCATCTTGGATGTGGAATCGAGCTGAACTTGATGTATGTTTCAGTTTTAATCTTCAAATAATAATTAAAATTGCAGATGAACAATATTCATACAAAACGCGACGCTATTCGGGACAATGATGATTATCAAATCTTCACTGAAACATCGAATAGTCAAAATCCAAGAAACACCAATGTGGTGAGTTTTGTTCATATTTTTGTGTGGCATTCTTCTTCCAGCTAGAATGTTTTTCAAGTTCATTTCATTTCAAACATTTAGTTTCTGAAAGTAATTATTTTTAAATTATTATTTCTTAGCTCACACCGTGGATTATTGATCGTAGTCGACGGGGATTACAAAAGGTTAAAGCATGTTTCAGAAAAGTGTTGTAATTGTATAGTGATTGTGGTTCTATTCTAGTACTGTCGCTGAAAATGTTTATATTATTTTATATTTTTAGATGGAATTTTAGAATTTACATTATTTTTTTCAGATTTTGAAACGAAGCATTGGTGGTGTTCGTCGAATTGATGCTCATCCAACTGCTCCATTTTGTAAGTTTTTGTTTCACTTTTAAAGACAGTTTTGGAATTTGGTTTTTTTTCAGATGTTACTGGATCTTCTGATGGATCAATTCGAGTTTGGAAATGGGGTGGACGAGATGTTATTTATACTGCTCGAGTTGCTGGACAACATGCCAAGGTTTCCAAAATTGCATTTTCTTGTAATGGAAATAAATTTGCGGCAGTTGATGGTGATGGAATGTTATGTCTTTGGCAAGCAAGTCAGGCGACAGAGCAGAAGAAACCATTCTTTGTGAGTTGTTTTTAACAACGGGAATTTGTAAGAAAATTCAAACATCAACTCCTAAATTATTCAGAGTCAACGATGTCACAATAAATCAGCAGCCGATGTTCGTTTCTTGGGTCATTCATCATCAGTTCTCATAACTGCTGGATCATCATCTCTTGATTACAATCTTGGACTCTGGGATACATTATTGCCACAAAATCGTGCTCTTGTTCATTCCTGGGTTGCTCATACAGAAGGTTCAACTTGTGCAATGTATCTTCCAAATCAACAAGTGAGTATTATAATCCCGCTGTTCCATTTTCATTTATTAAAGCAAAAAAATGAGTGAGAAAAAAGTTTATAATTATAAATATATCTCATTAATCTAGGCCAAGTGCATTTTTAAATAGTATTAGTTATTATTATGTAAATAATTATACTCAACTCGTTTTTTAGAAACAAGAGCAATGATGACGATTATGTAAATCATAGCTCGCCTTTATTTAGATGTTCGATTCAGAACAAAGTTCACTGATTGTTTTTTTTTTCAGACAATTGTATCCGGTGGTCGACATGGTGAGATTTGTCTTTGGGATATTCGACAAAGACAACTTCGAACAACTATCAAAGCTTTTGATTCCACACATATTGTGAAAACTTTGATCAGTGATGTTTCACAAGATTTGATTGTTGCTGGATCAAGTGAAGGTGACATTAAGATATGGTCAGCTGATTCAAATCCACAATTGATGTATTCCCTTCCTGGAGAGCATGCAACAAAAGGAGGATTTTCATTCAGACAAGGTAAGGAAATAATTCCGATAACAAAAAGATTTAGAAAATTCATCAAACGTTATCATAAAAAAAATTTTCCTATTTCAAATTTTCAGTCGGTCAAGCAACCGTTCAAGGTGTCCAGCAATTATTCATCGATCAAAATATGCGTTTATTCTCCTGCGGAGCCGACGCATCACTCAAATTCCGAACTTTGCCATCTGTTTACAACATGACCAACTTCATTTAATTGTCATTCAATTAGTATGTGTAGATTTTTTTTCAAATTTCACTTTTTTCTCCGTATTATTAGGTACTATTTCCCTGTTTCTTGCCAGAATTCGGTGTGAATCTAGTCGTCAGAACAAACGTTTTTGTGATTATTTTTTCATTTAATGGTTGTGTCTTTTTCAGTATTGAATAGTATTTATTTGTGCTTATTCTGGTGCCAAATTTTTGATTTGTTTTTTTTTTCGAACACCTGACTTGTTTGCATAATCAATCAGAAGTCGTTTATTACAAAAAGTACATGCTCCTTCAGTTTCATTCCATTCAAAACTAATTTCACTCAATCAAAATATAGTAGGTTATATTTATTCATATTACTTATTCTTTTATTTATTTTAATTCTAATTCCAGTAGTTCTAGTCAGAACAGAACATGTTTCTAATTTATACTATTTTATTTCAATTATTATTCATAAATAAAAAATAATTTTAAAAAAGTTTCTCAATTTCCGTTTCCGTCCACATCATACACGCAATCTTTACCGTATTCAGAAGTTGCATTTTATAAATAATAAATTGAAATGTGATGAATCTTATTGAAATCACTGGTTCCACTTTTCAATTATTCATATCAACCAACGTAAGTGCTCACCCACCAAAAAAGAGTTTTTTTCTGGCAACTAAGAACAAGGATGTTTTTGCCTAACTGAAATCATCACTTAAAAATGCATAGTTTACTTGTTATGTTTTTTCAGCAGCTACAAAATGAATTAAGAGTTACCAAAACATCGTTTGTTTTATTTGTGACGCACACTTTTCTTCCTGAAGAGCAACAATTCATCAAACTAATTCCAAATGCATTTCATTTTATACTGTGTGCGAATTTGGAATTTCATAAAAACCCGACTCAATGTTTTTCTCGAATTTTTTGTCGTATTCATCAAGGAAGAAAATGAAATGCTCTTTTTTGACAAAAATAAGAGAGATGGTAATTAAACTATTTTTATTGTTGTTCCAGAGGATGGCAAAATTGAAAAGACTTGAGTACGTCTGAAAGTACGGGTGTCTGTAAAATTTGCAATTTTATGTTGAACGTATCATAAAAAAAATTTCATTGCTATGGGAATCCAACAAAGGTTAAGAGGATAAACTTTTCAAAAAATTAGTTCGAAAAAAGCCAAATAGTCCCCAAGGTGACTAGTTCATGTATGTGCTCAAAGTTAAGAAAAAACAATTGTGAAGATTCAATCCTGATTTCACAGAATCAGAAAACATTAGGAAATTTTCACAAGGATTTATTATTTTCATTTCAGCTTTGGTTGATATATTTTGAAAATGTATTCACATTTTCACCATCATACGATAATTTTCAGATCTCTTCCCCTCCTTAAAAATTCATCCATTTTTTTCAAGTTATATCATAGTTCAAAGTATTTTTGCATTAAATTGTTAGTTCCGCATATATAATAACCAAAACCTCCTACACAATCCAACCCAACCCATCTCAATCCAATCCAAAAATCTCACAAATTCTCTATTTTTTCCTCATCCAAAAAAAAGATGGGGCGTGTCTGAAAGTACCGGTAGGCGTAAAAGGCTTCAACGAGAAACCAGGCAGGCAGCAGGAGAAAAAAGAGGAATAGGGCGGGCACAAGACGAAGCCTACTTAAACAGTTTGATTCACTGAAACGAGCACTATTCTGAAAAAGATGCTCGTTGGCATTTTATTGGCAATTCTTGTCGCATTTGTCTCGTCGATTTCGGCCGAATGTGATGTTTCAACAATCCCTGATGCACAGAAAGATCTTGCTCTTCGTGTTTGTCATTTGGAGGTCAGTTTTTTCATTGTTTCTAATTTGATATTTAATTTTTATGAATGAATTAATTTTTTTTAATTTCAGGATGAATTGAGCGTTGTTCAAAGAGCTTTGCAAGAAGTGATGCAAAGAACTGATATCACTCTTGATGACGCTGCTCCAATTCTCAACAAACGTAAAAATGAATTTATCAGATTTGGAAAACGCAGTGGAGAGTTAGTTTATCTCTTCTTTTTTTTCTTAAAATCTTCATCCCAAAATATTCGTATATTTTTCCAGAGTTGATAAGAGAAAAAACGAGTTCATCCGCTTCGGCAAACGAAAAAATGAATTCATCCGATTCGGACGATCTGATCCAGCTCTTTATGATGATGTGTCCAGTAAGTCTTGGAAAACATTAGATTATCTTTTATTATTATATTTTTTCAATAATGTATTTTTTTCAGTGGAAAAGAGAAAGAACGAATTCATCCGATTTGGATAAGTAGTATCAATATCGTATGAAATAACAACTGTGTCAACAAAAAACATCTAAAAATGCAACAACATCAAAGATAATTTATAATCTTTTTCTTTCTCTCTCTCTCTTTTCAAATTGTCATTGTCAAAGTTCACATTTCCAGAAAAAAGAACAGCAGCTCGGTTCTATTTTTGTTCGTCTTGATATCACACATTTTTTATTGTCAGAGATTCAATATGAAATAAATATTGTTTGAAAATTTGAATTTTTAAAATGAATTGGAAAGGAATTCGGGAAATACACATGGGCATCACACAAAAATACGACTGATTCTGATTTTTGCTGAAATTTTAGAAAAGAGAACTACTGTTCCTATTATGAGAGCTGGAATCTTCATAATTTAAAATCATCACCGGTACCTGAATGTGAATATTTTGATATTACAATTTTTATACAGTAAGATTAGAGCTTCATGAAAACAAAAATGTTTGAAGTTCTCGTTTGAAATTTCTTTAAAAATACAACCTTGAAAGATAAAAATTCTAAAGTTACAATGAGAACTGATTTGGGAACTATTTTAGATCTTTCAAAAAATTTTGAAATATTCGCGATGCACTGTTCTGGACTTATTTTTTGAAGTTCAAAGTGATTCCACTGTAGTTCTAAAATTTCTGTTAAACATTTTTTTGCCAATTTATTTTTTTTTTCGAATAGTTTCTATTGAACTATTTTTTGTCACGCACTGATAGATCCTAACAAAAAATCACGTTTTATAACCATTTCAAAAAAACCAATTTTTTCCAAATCGAATTCTAAATCGGAAAAAAAATGATATCAAGTTGTTTCCTAAAATAACCAAATAGAAGATCAAAAATGTCAAATTGGTTCATTCATAAACTTTTTCATTATTATTGTTATTCAATAAAACCTGATCTTTTCAAACTATTCAAGTTTAATATCATTGAAGTTTGATAGGATTAAAGTTTAATCTGAACACTTGAAAAAGAATTTAGCTAGCCAGGTCCTGGTTACTAGTTAGTTAGTTATTAAATTCATACATACATATGTAACTGACCGGTTCTTGTCTTTTTTTCCAATTCGCGCAACCAACTGCACAACGTTGTCCAGTTTTTTTATTGTTACATGAACAACTTATAATTAATATATATGTATGTACATATTTTTTGTTTTCAAATTTTCAAAAACATATATCATTACAGTAGTACGTTTTTTGCTTGGTAACGGCGAAGAGAAAATACTAAATTTTTGATTAATGAGTACACTGAAAGTTTTTGAATTAATTATTATATTCTGTCTCTTTTCTTGAAATATGGGAAATTACGTGGATTAGTGGAAATTTAGTTTGTTGTAAAGATGAACATAAGGAAGAGCAAAAGTAATAGGTTTTTTGTTGGGAAAAGAGGAGAAGATGAAAAAGTTCACATTTATTTGTCAATCAAAAACGGTCTGAAAACGGAGTTGTATTCAAAGGAAAAAGTTTGGGAAAGATCCACATTTTGGGCAAAGTTTTATAACTTTCTCACATTTTCGAAGCGCATTGAAAATTTTTTTTCAGAATTATTCAAAAAGTAACTTTGTGAAATAAAAAGAATTTGCAGTTCAAAGTTATTATGTGGTGGAACAAATTGTGAGTTATCAGTAAATCCAGTATGATGTCAATTAAGAAGAAATCCTGATTTTATATCCAGATAAAAATATTATTCCCAGAAATCCAATTCGCGCCGAATTCAAAAACTAGGGCCATAATAATATTTGAGTCTTTGTCTAATAAAATATAACGAAGGGATGATTTCTTAAATTACCTATTTCGTCCGACTTCTCCAGTTTTCCCATTCAACACCAACATTTCAATTTTTCATATCATTCAAACCATTTTGTTTTTTAACACCTAGGTCAGAGATTATCCGGATTCTTTAACAAAGAAGAATCTACATACCAACAACCACCAAAATTCTTCCCACATTTTTCTTTGTTTGCATTCGTTTTTCACTCAAAGTGATTCATAAATGACCATCTTCTTACATTTATCTAGTTTTTCTTCAACACAAAAAAAGTGTGGGATAAAATTGTTATTTTGTGACAGTCATCCGCGAAATGGCATAGGGGAAAGTGAGTAGGAAATACTTGGAAATTAAAATGAAAGAAAAAGTTGTATATGACGCCATCATCTCATCTCATTTTGTGTGTGTGTTTTTTTTTCGACGTTGACCATTCAACCGGACAGGTAGGCAAGCTTACGTAAATCTGGTTTTGTTTATGTGAGATTTTGTGTGTGTGTTAGTTCTATCTGCCGAAGTAGACGTCGTTGACAATTATACAACACTTTTTTCTGCATCTCGTGATTTTACTGTCTTTTTTTGTTACCTGTATGCGTAATATGAACATGTTTTATTTTATTATTCATGTTATGTGTTTGTAAAAGCTCAGCATTTTCATTTTTATTTCATTGTTACAGTTTTTGAGATTTTAGAATTTTGATAGTCTTGCAAAAATTTACTGTAGCTTGCAATTTTGCTTCTCTGATTTTGCAACCAGATCTCTGATATTTTCTAATTCTAAAGTCAAAAAATCCACTAATCCAGCCTGTTTTCATTTACTGAATAGACCAGGATTTTGTGATTTTTTTTTGAAAACTTATGGAACAACTATATGAAATCAAATTTATTTTTGATCTTTCAAGTTTTGACTTCCTGGAACTTGAAAACAAAAAAAACAGAAAAGACCTTTTTTCGAAATTGATATTTGGAAAAAACACGGAAATACACATGTATACCCAGAAAAACAAAAGGAAACAAACACATCATTTTGAAATGGTCCAAAATGAGGGCAAAATAATAAGTCATAAAGAAATAAGGCAATTTCCTTTTGTTTTGTTTTTCGACAATATTTTTTCGTTCAGCTTGAAAAACACATCATGTTTATGTTTCAACCAAAACAACAAAAAAGGAAAGGGATTTTATGATACAAAAAAGCAGTGAAAAGTAAGATAAGCATCTTTCTTTGTTTTTTGACCTAATTATGTATTGTTGAAAAGAAAAAGCAGACAAAAACACACATTCCTTTCATCTCACGTTTTTTTTCACTTTAACATAAGAAAAAAACATCTAGAAATAATTGAATTAACATCAGACCTCCCAAGAAATAGGGCGATTCCCATCCCAAAAAAAGTTGAGAAAATAACCAAATCTGAAAAAAACGAAAGAGAACATCATTTTAGCGGATAATTAGGAACAAGTGTGTTTTAGATTAAATTAGTTCAGTATTGGATTTTATTCATTGTTCATTCATCATTCATTTGTTTTCACTTTGTTGTTTTTTCCTCATTCACTTATCATTTTGGTCAGCGGGTCTTGCCCGGTCAGAAAGTGTTCACTTTTCCTTTTTTCTATGGATATCACGGTTGTTCTCTCATTTATTAGAAAGTTTTTTGCAATATCTCATGTTTTTTGTTGAGATATGTTTCCATTTTTATTTTGGGTTGCGCGTGGTCTTCAAGAAACAGTTTGATTAAGCGGACTGTTTGGACTTTGGGAGATTTATTGAAAAGAAATGTTTTTTTTTCGAAATATTATTTCCTCAATTTTTCCAAATGCAGTTTTTACCCTAAATTTTTTCCAATTTTTTGCTCTGCTTCTTAACAATTTTCGCTTTTCATTCAAATGTTCTAGATTGTTGTATCAATCTCCTGTCCTGTCAATCCAACTTTCTCCGTATTTTTGCCTTTTTGTTGCAAGTGTTGTAAAATCATTAGACCCTGAAATTTCAATGTGATTCGATTCAACGGATTTCAATCATAACTTATTCTTATTCCTATTCTTATTCTTATTATTTTATTGTCAAAACGGAAGACAATAAGCATTTAAGGCAATACATATTTTGGTTTAAGTGTGCGTGTGACCGGAACATAATGTTGTTGATTTCAAAATCACTCCTCCTTCTCCTCCTCCTACTTTTTCCCTCCATTTTTCTTTCATCGAAACAAGTAATTCAGATCAGACACTGTGAAAAAGCTGTGTGTATTTCTAAACCAAAGTTTTTCGTTAATCCTTGTCGGACATCATAAAACTGACCGGTTCGATTTCAAGTCACATTCTTCGTCGCTTCGTTTTAAAAGCCGCTTATACTGTTGCCTGCCACACTTGAATTTTTTTTCATTTTTTTTGTCGGATAGCTGGGAGATTTGCTAGTGTTTCATAAATATGAATGTGGTGGTCTAGTTTTTTTCGAATTTTTCAATACTGTTGCGAAAGATTTTGAGATTTCAAATTTTTGAAATTCTAGAGTAAAATTTTTTAACCTAATTATTTGTTTATTTTAGGGTTGGAAAAACAGTGTATTTGCGTACACGGATACACGCGCAGCCAAATACACGAATACATGGTACACGAATACACGCGATACACGAATACACGGATACACGAATACACGCAATACACGAATACACTGTACACGAATACACGGTTTTCTTCTCTTCTCAAGCAATTCAGAAAAAAGCGTGTATTCGTGTATTCATGTATTCGTGTATCCGTGTATTCGTGTATCCATGTATTCGTGTATTGCGTGTATTCGTGTACCGTGTATTCGTGTACTGCGTGTATTCGTGTACCGTGTATCGAGCGCGTGTATCCGTGTATTTTTTTCCAACCCTAGTTTATTTACGAGGAAGCTTCTGACTTTTCGAAATCAAAGAGTGATTTTTTTCTCTTTTCTTCTGAGTAAATTTATAGAGTAAGTAAAATGAATCTAAAAATCACAAAAACATTTCTGATTTTTTTTTCAAATGTAATTTTTATTCTGATATATAGCATTTTCTCACATAATTCATCTTATTTCTTTCTTAAAACAATCATCATCAAAATCTCACAATAATAATTATAATAATAATAAGCAAAGCAATTCAATTTATCCACTCGCTCCGTCTGTACTGATTTGTTCTTCAGTTTTGTTCAAATCGAAAAAGAAGAGAAAATCCGAAACATGTTTTTCCGTTAATCATTTAATTTCATTTCTTCTCATTTTCCTATCCGACCTGCCAAGAACCTTTTTTCCAATTCAAAACAATTATATTTATTTATTTATTATAAATTTATCACGTTTACATATATATTTTTTGTATCCTGTATGCATACATAATAAAGCATGCATCAAAAAAATCCGGTTCAACTCGCCACCTTTGAACAACAAACAGTTGTTTGTCCATTTTTTTCCGTGACTGTACTTTTCGGCAAATACTACTACAGTAAACTTGTTTTTTTTCGAATTTTTTTCAAAGAACAAAAAATATTTTTTGCAGCTGGTCAATCAAATTGATGGGTTTATCCTCGGTGGAACCATTGGTTCGAAATGCATTCGAATGGTACGGACCAGTGGCTTATAAATGGAAATGGTTTATATTCATTGTACCAATATTTATGACTATAGCTTGTTCTTTTGGTTTTATTCGAGTAAATGAGTTACGAGTGGATGATCCAGCATACGTTTTCACACCATCAGATGCCAGATGGCGATCAGAACTTAAAACATTCTCTGAAAATTGGCCATTATCAGAGAATAAATTCCTTCCAGGAAAATCTTTTGAAACTAAACGATTTGTTAATATTTTGATAAGAGCAAAAGATGGTGGATCAGTTTTGAGAGAACCGGTGTTAAGGGAAATTCAGGTAAGTGGAAAAACAAAAAATAGAAAACAATATAATTTTCATTTGGATTTGCAGATGTTGAATGAGTGGATTATGAATAATATTTCAATTCCAACAGTGGATAAGAAGTATACTTTGACTTATCAGGTTAGTTTGTTTTGTCATATGTATTTTCCCCCAACAAAAACTCACATTTTCAACCTGAATTTATTCAAACTTCACTAAAAAATATCATGTTTCCAAAATCCACTCCAACCTCAGATTTTTTCCAGGATCTTTGCTTGAGTTATGATTGGGTGTGTGGCGCAAATGAACACATAGAAATGTTGATTCAACGACACAAAGTCGGAAAACTCGTAGATCTCTCCTATCCAAGAGGTGGCAACAAAGACACTCCTGTTTACCTCGGAACAATTCTCGGCGACATCACCCTTTTTAAGAATAACACAATCGAGGATGCGAAAATCACCCAACTATTCTATTTTCTAAAACAAGAGCAAAAAATGGTTGAACTGTATTCATCAAAATTTTCTTATGCTGTCGAAAAATTTTTGAACACTATTTATTCGTCTGAACTTATCACATTTTCATTTGCACATTATCAATCATTGGAAGATGGTCTTGATGAAAATGCCAAAGCTTTTGTTCCAAATTTTGTTGTCAGTTTCACAGTTTTGGCGCTGTATGCACTTTTCTCGAGTTTCACTTTGAAAAGGAAACCGGCCAAGAAAATTGATTGGGTTCGAAGTAAACCATGGCTTGCGGCTGCGGGTATGTGCAAAGATTTTCTGTTTGTTTTTTTCTCTCAACGTGTGGCATTTTTTCCAGGTATGGTAACAACTATTTTGTCAATAATTAGCGCATTTGGATTCTTGTTACTCATTGGTGTACGATATAATGTGATCAATACTATTATTCCATTCTTGATTATTGGTTAGTTTGAATATTTTATCTCAAGTTTTAATTCAGTTTCAAAAAAGAATATTTTTAGCAATTGGAATTGATGATATGTTCCTGATGAATGCTTGTTGGGATCAATGCGATAATAAATTAACAGTCCCGGAAAGAATTTCAAAAACCTTAGCTCATGCTGGAGTTGCGGTAACTATTACAAATGTAACTGATATAATGTCATTTGCGATTGGCTGTATCACTGATCTACCAGGAATTCAATTCTTCTGTATTTATGCTTGTGTATCAGTTGCGTTCAGTTATTTTTATCAGCTCACATTTTTCTGTGGTGCAATGGCAATTATGGGAGATGTTGAAAAAGAAAAACGACATTGTCTATTTTTCTACAAAACAATCGGAGTCATCAATATTGCGGAAATGAATGAGGATTCTCGGAAACAGCTTCAAATTAGATTTCCTAATAATTTGAAGCAATTTCAGATAACTAAAGCGTGAGTTTTTTGTTGAAAACAATTTATAAACACTTCTGAATAAAGGATTTTCAGACCAGTAGTGCCACATTTATATGATTCATCATCATCTTCAAATTCATCGTATTCTTCCGATGACAATAGTTTTTCATCTCGTCGAACTTTGCCAATCGATGATTTGAATTGGAAGGATGACATTCCACCATCTTATACACCCCCACCTATTCCAGTTCAACAAACTCCAGCACATCAAGAACCTGATAGAATTATTAAATTCCTTGGCCAAACATATGGCCCATTTATTCTCACAAATCCTATGAGACTGTTAGCTCTAGTATTGTTCTCAATTTATATTTCTATCGCAGTTTATGGTTGTATCAATTTCCGAGAAGGTTTGAATCCTGGAAATTTGGTTACAAATGATCATTATATTGCGAAATATTTTACGGATATCAAATCTTTCTGGGAATCTGGACCACAGTTACATGTGGCTGTTTTGAATCCACCAAATTTAGCAGATCGAGTTGAAAGGTAAAATTTTTTTTGAAATAAATTAGTATAATTTTTATATTTTTTAGAGAGAAATTGATGAATGTTGTATCTGCTTTTGAAAACACACCATATACAATGGGTCGAGAGGGGACAGTATTCTTTGTTTTTGAATATTTGAATTATTTGGATGATTTGAATGTAGAGATTGATGATTCTGAAAAATTATGGAAACAAAAACTAAAATCTTGGCTGAAATACACCGGTGGTTCTACTCTTTGGTCAAATGATATTCGATATAATGAGACTGATGGCAGCATTTTATCTTTCAGATTTGAGGTGAGAATCATTCCAGAGATATTTTTTGTGTTATAATATCAGTAGTTCACACATTCCAAAAATGAACAATCAAAATTATCAAACCATCAATCATTTAAGACACCAGTTCCAGGAATTTCAAAAAAAAACAAAAACAATGAAATTGATATCACGTGTGAATGATTCATCAGATAGAAATCTTAAAGACCAAATATTTTCCAGATTGCGATGAAACATATAGTAGAGCCAAATGATCACAAACACGCGGCTCTTCTGATGAGATCAATCGCTGATAGTCAACCATTCAATGTTGTTGTTTATCACGAAGCGTTTCCATTTGCTGATCAATATCTGATAATTCTACCAGCAACAATTCAAAATGTTATTATTTCCCTTTTATGTATGACAGTTGTCTCAATTCTTATGGTTCCATCTTTGCCATCAGGTATCTTATATAATTTTGATCCACGAAAATTTAATTTTTTTACAGGAGCTGTCATATTTGTGTCAATTGTCTCAATAAATATTGGTGTTTTTGGATATATGACACTCTGGGGTGTTAACTTGGATGCTGTCAGTATGATATCAATCATTATGAGTATCGGATTTGCTGTTGATTTGTCAGCACATATTATTTACGCGTTTGTCACTTCACATGGTGATACAAAACAGAGAGTTATTGGTGCTCTAGAAGCTTTAGGGTGGCCTATTTTCCAGGTTTGAACAAATTCCGAATGAAAAAAATAAACATAAAAATAAAATTCTAGGGCGCGTCATCTACGATTGCTGGAATCACAATTCTCTACACAGTAGATGCTTATATTATCCTAACATTTTTCAAAACAATTTGGTTAACAATGGTGATTGGTGCAATTCATGGCTTGTTTTTCATACCTGTTTTCCTTACACTTTTCCCTGTTTCATTTTTCCGAATACCAAAAACTGTTGAACTCCATTAGTTGTTATCTTGTCTGTATTTATATATAGATTCGAACATATTCCACGGGAAAGAATCGCGTGTATTATATTTATAATTTTTTTGATCAATTTTTTTCAATGCCAATTTTTTTGAAGCTTTATTTATTTTCCAAATCTTTCAGTCACATGTTTAATAAATTGTTTTTAATTTATTTTGAAATTGAGAAATATCTTTTTTTAGATTTCCATTTGAAAAATAGAAAAAAAAATAACAATCAATAGTACGTTTTGATAACTTGATATGAAAAAAAGAAAATATATGTTATTGTACGGTTAATACAAAAACAATAATTGTGAAAAAGAGATAATTTATTACCAGATATCTTAATTGATAATCGTACTAAATCCATGCCAATTAATCATTTAAGACGTGTATAGTGATAGTTGTCAATATCTTTTTTTTATATCACTTCACTTCATTTTTGTTTTGTTTTTTTTTCGCGTTCCTCTTTTTCTTCACTATTTATTTTGTTTTGTTGTTTTTGTGTATTGAAATTGCAATGATATTTTAATGATATTTGATTGAGAAAATTTGTTAGATCAAGTCACAGACGAGATCTAAATTCTGGATGATTAGGGAAATCTGTTATGATATAAACATGGGAAATTGTCCAAATTTACGCCGCCCATTTGAAATCAAAAGTAGATTTATGATTGTATAACTGAAATTATAAGGTTTTGATTCGGTGAATTACGTTTGAAAAGGTTAGGTTTTTTTTAAAATTTTCTTCCCATAATAAAAATTCAAAAATATTCTTACATTAGATTATACTGAAATCTGTTTATCTCGAAGCCTTCTGTTTAAATCTGTTCATCTTGGTAGCCTTTCAAACAATTAGAAATATTTTCTGCAAATCCCATATATCCATTTGAATATTTTCTATCAATAAGAAAATTGGATCAAAAAATATAATAATAGATCCTGAAAACAATATTGCCCTTTTCCTGTTTTTTCTCATGGAGAAAATTTCAAACACGCAATTTTTTTTCGTCTGAGCCTGAGCCCCAAAACATTTTTATTCCTTCCTTGTTGGAAACTTTTTTTTGGATCATGAAAGAAACGTGTTTTGAACGCTTATACTGATCATCAATAATAAAATACAGAGTCTACTTTTTTCGATTCCTTCTTTTTATTTTGTTGTTTTTTTGGAATGTTGGTCTTTTTTACGATCAAACACGCACATTTAAGAGATCAACAAAGTACAATAAACATTCGAGTCAGGCATTTTTGTGATAGACTATTTAACAAATTAATTGCAACAAGTTTAATGTTGGAAAGAGAGAATAACGAGTGGCAACTAAATTATGATTGATGAAACGAATCATAAAGATTAACGAACAATTTTTTTCTTGCTGGCTGCTATCTTTTTTTTTTCAAATCAGTAATATAACCTAACCTAACTAACATCATAGTTCAATGGCGCAACATTTCACGATTGTCAATCTGAATGTATTTTGACAAGCAGACATTTTATCATTTTTGTTTTTTTTTTTCTGTTAGTTAGAAGTTTTATTTCATCTTTTGATATCATTTCGATTATATATCTTCTGTATATCGTTTTTGTATTTGAACTGACCGACAATCTTTTCTTTGTTATCATTTTTTGAAATATTTGAATCATAATGTTTTTTCTTAGAATGTTTGAAAATGTTCCGTGGAAGAATTTTTTTATAGAATTTATTATTCTGTTAGTGGGAACGCATAGAATTTTCAACAACCACAGTATTATTTTAATTATTTTTTGTATTAATTTTTCAGAATAAGAACATTAGATAACATTTCATATGAACGCTTTACGAAGTAGATATGAATTATTTTTCTCTTATAGTCCTATAATTTTTGAATTTCATTTTTTAGTGCCACCCCAAGTTTGGGAAAGTCTCAAAAATGCAGAAAAAGGTTTTCTGAGCACATTCTTTTCATTAATAAAATTCTCTGCAAAAAGCTCATGAGCAATGTGGTTTCATTAAAATATCAGAAAATAAATGGGTTCACTAAAAGGATATGGCTTTTTTTCCAAAATGTGATGCGATTTTAGAATTACTAGAGTAAAAAATGCACACTCACATTTAAAAAAAACTATTCGAAATTCACATACTTCTTCATTCTCATGAAAACTAGTCCATTAGAGCATCTTATCCAGTTTCCCCTCATCAAATTCTTTTTTTTTCAAAAAAATCTGAAATATTCATACCTCTTTTTCAAAAATCTTCCTGAACAAAAACCTATTTTCCAACTTGATAAACACGCCTTTTCTCTGTCTCTATATATAATTTTTGCCCTCTCATTTGTTTTCATTTTTACTCACTCGCTTGAAACTGACTCAAAAACAAACTCAACACACCGACTCATTTCAAACATGTTCAAAGAATTATTTAGCATGGCTCGAAAAAAGGGACTCATTCCATTATTGTTGGCTTACAAACAATCTGTGATTATTTGGGGATCTATTATTTTATTTTTACCGATTATGCTGTGCACTGATGAAGCTCTAAAGGTTAGTTAAAATATTTTGTTTGATTTTTAAACTGTGACAAATTGTGTCATTTTATTACCCCAAGAAACGATCATTTAGTTTATTGTATCTTGATAGTGATAAAACATGAATAATTACCCCTTTTGTCACACGATCTTCTCGAAAAATGACGAAAAATGTTTTCATTGAAATATGATTTTTATAAATCACAAATAAAACAAAACAAACCAAGAAAGACAACCTTCGAAAAAAAGAGAATAAATAAAATTATAGTTACAAATGCGATGTTTATACGTGGTTATGTTGATGGGTGTATATTGGGTATTCGAGGCTCTTCCATTAGCAATCACAGCTTTTATCCCCCTTATAATGTTCCCGGCTCTCGGAATTATGGAATCTGAAAAAGTTGCACAAGCCTATCTTCCTGACACTTGTTTCTTATTTATGGGTGGTTTGATGGTTGCACTGGCTGTTGAAAAATGTCAATTGCATGCGAGAATCGCGTTGTTTGTTTTGAAAACTGTTGGATCTGAACCAGCAAGAGTTATGGCAGGATTTATGGGTGTCACTGGATTTTTAAGGTTCAACATATTTCCTCTGAGATCTTAACATACAAATCTTTTTTAGTATGTGGATTTCAAACACAGCCACAACTGCTTTAATGGTTCCAATTGTCCAAAGTGTAATCTCCGAATTAGTTTCAAATCATCGCTTGGAAGATTTGATTGCATTGACGGAAGCACATCGAGGAGTTCAGAAGAAAATGAGTGTTGGTATGAGAAGATTATCACTTCCTAATGAGAATCTTGAAGTTGATCAAACGTGAGTTTTTGTTGAGAGATGTTTCTGAATATCAATAAAGAACAAACATTTAGCGATTTGAACGGAACAATGTCTCCAAGAGAGCTCCGAATGGCAAAAGGATTATTGTTATCTGTTTGTTTTGCTGCAAATATTGGTGGATCTGCAACAATTACAGGAACTGCTTCAAACTTAGTTTTTGTTGGACAACTCGATGAACTTTTCAAAGATGCGGATACTGGTGTCAATTTTGTGAGCTGGATTGTATTTGCTTTACCAATGGTTTTGGGTTGTTTGATGTATTGTTGGCTTGTTTTGTATTTATTATTCTTGCGTGGAGCACCAAAAGGTTCAGTTATCGTTACCAGAAAACTTCAACAAAAATATAACGATCTTCATGATCTTTCAACCGCTGAAATTTTGGTTATGGGATGTTTTGGTCTTTTACTTCTTCTTTGGATTATGCGAGAGCCTCAAGTAATTCCAGGATTTGGAAGATTGTTTCCAGCTGAGAAGTAAGTTATTTTTATCATAAGAAGAATTTAATTACGAACAATAATAAAAAGTTCATTTTTAGGGCACTTTCGGATGCTACAAGTGCAATGTTCGTTGTTATTTTACTCTTTGTACTCCCAGAGAAATTGCCACCAAGAAGAAGTTAGTGATTGATTTGAATAGAAAAAAAAACAGAAAATAATTCCAGATGCAAAAGGAAAATACCAACCAAGCCAAGGATTGTTAGATTGGGAGACTGTTCAAGATCGTTTCCCATGGAGCGTATTATTCTTGTTAGGAGGTGGATTTGCGTTGGCAGCTGGAGTTAAAGAATCTCAACTATCTCATTCAATTGGAGGAATAATGAAACATTTGGAAGTGTTGCCATCTAGTGCAATCATGTTTATTTTCATCCTAATTGCTGTAACTTTAACAAATATTTGCTCGAATACAGTTATCGCATCAATTTTCATCCCAATCGTTTCGGAAGTTGCTGTTTCATTGAAACTCAATCCATTGAACTTTATGCTCCCGGTTACAATTTCAGCATCTTTTGCATTTTTGTTGCCAGTCGCTACTCCACCAAATGCTATTGTATTCTCGTCAGGAGTTTTGAAAGTGTCAGATATGGTGAGGCTATTTCTAGAAACGTGATTTGAAGAAAAATATTCGTGAAATGACTTTGAGGATCCAAAACACCGTATTTCACATTTCTGATGAAAAAATGAAAGACATATTCCTGACCTTTCATAAACTCATAATTTTTCCAGTTCTTTGCTGGTCTCATGGTCACATTTGGCTGCATTATTCTCGCTATGGTAAATATGATGGCTTGGGCTGGAATGGTTTATAATCTTCACATGTTCCCACAATGGGCCATCCCCACTACGACAACAGCCGCACCTGCGATTTGAACATACACACTTCCAAATTATGGAATGCATAATATATATTCATAGTGATTTGTATCAAATTATAACTGTGATTTTCTCTGGGTTACTCTTTTAAAAATGTTTTTACTCACCTACCGACGGCATTTTTCTTGCATCATTTCTTTGTTTATATGTTTTTTATTTTTCTTACTGACATGAATAAATAAATGAATAAAAACAAAAAAAAGCATATCCTAAAAAGTGAATCTCATTGGTCTAGAAAAAAACAAGAATCACAATAAAAATAAATCATAATTATACCTTATTATGAGTGAATAAATAAATAAGTATACTTGTTTTTCTATATAGTAAGAAGCGTTCCATGGGTCAGTTAGATATGCTTTTCCTCTTGGTATTAGTTTTCAATCATTTTCTGATTGTAACTGCAGAATTTAACAGTCATTTTGCGGAGTTTGTTGAAGAAAATTATGGGAAAACTTTTCTTGATGCACTTCAAAGGTTAGTTATTCACAGTTAGCTGATATTCTATATATTTTTGAAAATGGTTTAAATGGTTCATCATCTATAAAATCAGAAATAATTCCAAAAACTTTCAACCCGTTAAGAACTGAACTTGGCGACAACGGTTCATTTGGTGGTAAACATTCTGAAGACGATGAGATAGTCCGAGATCCAGTCATTTTCATACACGGCGTATCGGATGTTGCTGGTGGCAAAATGCACAATCTTGCTGCGAAATATCGCAAAAAAGGTTATACCGATGGAGAATTGTATGGAACAAGTTATGGAGAAGGAAATAGAAACAACCCATTAGCATGGACAGAATATTCGATGAGATGTGAACATGTGAAACAGGTTAGTGATATTTCATTTGATTCTGGACAAATTTTCGAATTAATATCAGATTCGAACGTTAATATTGGCTGTACGATATTACACCCTGCGAGATGTTGATATTGTTGCATATTCTCTTGGTGTGCCAATTGCTAGAAAGGCAATTCTTGGTGGAGCTTGCGTTGACACCAAAGAAGATCTTGGAGCTCCCCTCACTAACTACATTGATTCATTCGTTGGTGTAGCTGGACCAAATCATGGGATTGCTTTGCAAATTGCGGGAATTTCAATACCTGGCTGTGTTATTGGTGCAATCCCGATTTTACCAATCTGTAGTAGAGTAATTGGATTGTATTCTGGTTTGTGTCCTACGGAAAGTCAATTTCTCACGGTAATAAAACTGTATCTAATTCTGAAATTCAGAACTAATATTTCAGGATATTAATGATGTTGAACATTATGAAGGTCGCCATGTGTTTTCGATTTATACTAGAACTGATAATTGGATTGGTTATGAAGTGTGCGGTCAGATTACTGCCAGAATACCCGGAGAAGACAGTCATAAATCATACAAAAAATATAATCATGATCAGATTCTTGAAAACACTTGGGATGTGCAAATGAGAATGATTGGTTAGTTCGCTTTTTCAAAGATTTGAATAATAATATGCATATATTTTTTTAGAACTCCATAAAGCTGATGAAGATGTTGAAAGAACAAACAAATCCGTCAGAGGACGATCAGGATTGAAATCCAAAAAACATACACCATCCAGAATATCAGTAACGACTTCAGAAGAGGAAGATGGAAATAGTCGAGCTAGGAAAAGAAACATTGAAGATGATGATTATTTGAGTGACGATTTCAGCAATAATAAATCCCCTCAAATCGACTCAAGAAAAAATAAATTGACTGTAAACGTGGCCAGGAGAGGAACTGGAAATCCTGCAAGAGGTCGACATGGGGTAAATGTGATAAGTGAAAGAGAAAAAGCTGAAGGAACTTATAGAGTAAAACAATCTAGAAGTGGACCTCCAGCTGTGAGCCCAGAAAATTATTATCCAACAACAACAACCACCAGATATTCTATAACCTACAAATATCCTACCACAACTCCTACGTTAACAACAACCACAACTACCGCCAAACCACAAGATAAATATCAAAACTCAATTGGAAATCTACAAAAAATCAACTCTAAAACAAGCACAAACTTTTTCCCACACCCATATGAATCACCGGACCAACGATCATCTGATGGATACCATACACGTATTAAAATTATTTTTGATGACTAAATTATTTTATTGCTTTTTCTAATGAATTTTCGGTCTTCAAAATTTCATACCATATTTGTATTTGATAGAGAACTGAACTAATGTACTTTTTCTTGATAAGCCAAATTTGATTATTAATATTATTATTTTAACATAGTTTTCCTGATAATACGAACAGTTTTGTTCGTTTTCGGCCGTTGAAGATGCGGTTAAAATTGTTGGTAGGTATTGGTCTAGTATTTATTCTAAACAGTTATAATTCCGTATGTGCCGAAGAATGTAAGTTTTTTCATATTATCTGTAGAAGATCCGTAAAATGTGTGTAGATAATTACAAATCACTTATAAAGCTTCTTTTCTTATGAATACATTCTTCCAATTTTTAATTTCCAACAACTAAATCCAACTGTATTTTTTTCCGGAACAATCATCATTCGGTTTACTACATTTTGTAAGCCTATTTGATTTTCTGTTTTATTGTACGTACTTATGTCAGTTTGTGAATGATGATAATTAATTTTCTGACCACTTTGACTACTGTTAATTATCATTAGAATTTGTAATCATTTTTGCATGAATAGATAAGAATTTTCAGTTGATGACATCACTTTCAATCATCCTAAAATTCTACCAGAACATCCAGATGATTTCAGAGCAGCTAAACGAGCTTCAAGGTTAACTTTTACGTTCTTGGTGCCCGTCAACTGTTTGTTATTTTCAGAGAAAAACAAGATTATATTACAAAACAACGATTACCAGCAAATTTGTACGCATTGAGTTATGATCTGTGGTTCAAAACATATTTCCCAGTACCTGGAGTACAGTACGATTCGGGTGAGTTATCAAATTGCTGATGTAACTTTTTTATTGCAAACATTAAAATAAATATTTTAGCGAAAAATTTCACTTTCGATGGAAGAGCGAGAATTGGAGTCGAAGCTGTCGTGAACTCTGATCGTTTTATCTTGAACGCATATAATTTTACTATCTCTGGCTACAAAGTCGTTGACTTTAATGGTATTGAAATTCCGATCAACTCAATTTGTGAGTATCAGTGATCAGAAAAAAATGAATAGAAAAATGTGGATTTTCAGCACAAGACAATGCACTTCAACAACTTTCCTTGATCAGCAATGCGAACTCAATAACTGCTGGAGATATTTACACAATCTACATTAATTATACCGGAATTATTAATCCATATCAAATTGGTGGAGTTTATTACACATCTTATACTGACACCCAAGGAGCAATTCAGTAAGATTCTGATGAAAAAGGAATAGCAAAACAAAATAAAATAATATTTCTAGTTATATGCTTGCCACTCACATGGAGCCTTTTAGTGCAAGACTTGTGTTCCCAGGATTAGACGAACCATCTTACAAAGCTGTGAGTGAAGAAAGAGGGAGAATGTTATAAGTAAACATTTTCAGCGTTTCACAATCTCTCTGGAATATCCAACAAGTCAAGTTGCCTTGTCAAACATGAAGGAAACTACACCGATTGATTATGGGTGAGAATAAGGGATTAATGGTTTTTAATTTGGGTTGGATGGTGAAAAACTTTTTAAAGGGGGTACGGGCTAATCAAAATTTCATGGAAAAAAATATACCATCAGAAAGAGGAGGTTTCGTTTAGTATGTTCCCAATTTTTTATAATTTTTTCACGTTTGAATACCATTTTTGCACGCGCAAACACGAAAAAGTTGCGCTCGACCTCAGAAAAATAGCATGCAGACACGAGAGACACAGCGTATTTAGGCCCCGCCCCCTTCCATGCGCTGTGTCTCTCGTGTCTGCATGCTATTTCTCTGAGGTCGAGCGCAACTTTTTCGTGTTTGCGCGTGGAAAAATGGTATTCAAACGTGAAAAAAATTATAAAAAAGTTGGGAACATACTAAACGGAACCTCCTCTTTCTGATGGTATATTTTTTTCCATGAAATTTTGATTAGCCCTTAACTCCTTTAATAAGAAAAATTTATATTTTACTTTTCAATTTCAAAATAGGATGTGCAACCAGTTTAGAATAGAAAGCTTGCCCTGACAGATGTTACAAAACTTTAAGTAAAAAAATACAGATTTTTCGAAGATTTTGCAAAAAAAAATGTTTTTGCACATTATTTTAAAAAAAATTCCAAATAACCCCCCCGCCCAGTAAGAACACGTACCTCTGATGATCTTATTCAGCAGTCCCTCTAACATCCACATAATCGATGTTACCTTTGGACTGTCGATTGTTTTCAAATGTACTTCTTTACCTCAACCCACACCGACTTTCAGTGCAATTTTCGAAAATCTGTAAAATCAAAAAATATACATTTCGAACACTCTAGTGTAACACTAACTTACCTAGAAATGACAAAAAGTATGCAGTCCCAGTTGAAAATATGGATTTTTCGACTTTTTTTCGGTTTCGGAAAATCCTGAAAATTGAAACATTGCGTTTTTTGAAAACTCACAGACCTGAAAAACTTTGGAAAACAACTTGAAACACACAAAAAAAAAAAATGAAAATTTCGGTTTTTTCAAAAACAAAAAAAACGGGGCGGCAGAAAAAAAAGTGCGATGGAGCGCGTTTCCTTCTCTGGCAAATGCGCACTACCCACCAACACTTTATTTGTTTTTTGTGAAAAAAAAAACATTTTATTGAAGTTTTTTTTTTCATTTTCGATTTCTATCAGATAATATTTTTCAGAAATGGATGGTCATTTATTCAATTCCCAGAAAGTCCCTTGATGTCATCATATTTGGTTGCTTTTGCAGTTGGACCATATGTGTATTCAAGTTATGTCAATCAACATAATACAACAGTTCGTGCCTGGGGTTGGCCTGGAACTGAACAATATCTTGAGTTTGCCGCTGTCAATTCAGGACAATGCCTTTATCAACTTGGAGAATATACTGGAATCAAATTTCCTCTTGAAAAATCAGATCAAATTGGAATGCCTGAATTTTTAGCTGGAGCTATGGAAAATTGGGGATTGATTATTTACAAATATCAATATATTGCCGTCAATGAACAGGTAAGGTATTCAAGAGCAAATCAACAGAAACCCGTTCTTCTCTCAGACAATGACACTTCGTGATAAAGAAGCTGCTGCAAAAGTAATGTGCCACGAACTTGCTCATCAATGGTTTGGTGACTTGGTAACGACGGCTTGGTGGGATGATTTATTTTTGAACGAAGGATTTGCTGATTATTTCATGACTTTCACTCAACAACTTGTTTATCCAATTCAAGCCACTTATTTTGATACTTTGCAAGTTTTGAATGAACTTCAAGTTGGTATGAATGCTGATGTTTCGCAGGATGCTCATCCTTTGGTTTATCCAGAAGGCCCAGCATTTGATTGTGAGTAAATTCTTTGGGAGGCTTATCATTTTTTGAACGTGAGTTTTTCAGCTATAACATATCAAAAGGGAGCATCGATGTTGAGAATGCTTTCCGATGTTCTTGGCCCAGCAGTTTTCCGAGAAGGTCTTCAAAAATACCTGAAAAGCAAAGAATATTCAAATGCTAAAGATATTGATCTTTTCACAATTTTGACACAGGTAGCGCAAGATTATGAAATTCTCGATTGGAATGGGAATTATTTGAATGTCACTGATTTTATGCAACCATATGTTCATCAAACAAATCACCCACTCATAAGAATTTACAATAATGAGATAAATCAACCAGCCACATTTACACAAGAACCATTTGCCACAAAATATCGTAAGAAAGTTTTTTTATTCAGCAAAATTAACAAAAGTCTTTTTTAGCGTTTGATCAACCTTCACCATACAATTGGAAATGGAACATTCCGATAAGAACAACATCTTACAAACAATCAAATGTTTCAAATTCCGCTATTCAATGGATCAGTGCTGGAGATGGATCAGAAAACGCCGTCAAAAATGAGAATAAAATCAAAAAACACGCAATTCAATGGGAAATTGGATCAGTGACATCTGCAACTTACGGAAGACTTATATATGATGATATTGGTTTTGATAAACTTATCAAATCAATTCAACAAAATGATGTAGCTGATAATGTGAAGTTACAGCTCCTTGCTGATGAATACTATTATTTACAGTTAGTTTTCTTTTTTTTTTCTGATTCACAAAATAAACAAATTTCAGACGACAAAAGTCATTGAACCAAGCACATTCATTCGATAGATTCTTAACTTTGGCGAACACTATTCTCACAACACAATCATTCAACACTTTGCCAAGTTACTCTGTTTTTGCTCAAGCTCAAATTGGTCTTGAGAACATCGCTAAATTATTCCGAGATAGTATGGATGCACCATTGATCAATAGAATGTATCAATTATTGTTCAGTGAAGTTTATAAAAATATTCAATGGGTCGATTCAGTTTTCTGGGATACAACGTAAACGAATTCTTCCTTTGCTAATCGAAAATACCAACTGAAAATTTCAGAACATTCTCCGAAGCTTTCCTTCCATTTGCAGTCCGATACAACATCGGAAATGTTCAAAACCAAACTCTTCAAATGTTCCAAAATGTGAAAGATGCTTGCGGTGATAGTACAAATGGAACTGCTTGGTGTAATCCATACTCAACAAACTTCAGAAAAGCAATTTATTGCGGAGCTGCTAAATATGCACCAACAACAAGTGATTATTTCTTCAGAATGTTGCAATATTATAACGCTGAAGTTATCACAAATCCATATTTCTATCAGGAATATATGGCGCTTTTAGAGGGCATGGCTTGCACAGAATCACCAAATTTATTGAAAGTGTGAGTTGATATTAATAATTAAAAAAAAAGTGACTGTTTTGTTTCCAGACTCATCCGCCAATTTGTGGCTTCACCACTCAATCAGTATACTCTTTTTGGATTTTTCAAGTATAATTCAGTTGCTTCGGATGCTTTGTACAATTATTTATACAATAACATTCAATTACTAAATTCCACACAATTCAATGTTGATGCATATCTTGATGCAATGACATATTCATGGGCAAGTTATAAACGAACTGATCAATTTGCTCAATTGACTTATTTGGCTGAAATAAGTAATGTGAACATGAATGGAGATCGAATCAATCTTTTCAATAATTATCAAGATCGAATTAGCACTAATTTGGGTTATGCAAAAACATACGGCTTATCCGCTATACGTTGGTTATATGATAATACAGTGGTTGTTGGAAAAACTCCTTGGGAAAAATCGTGAGTGATAATTGCAGGTTAGTATTATTAGAATAATTTATTTTTTGTTTTAGTCTCGATGGTTCAATTGTTCCATCTAATTATTATATTTATCTTCAACCATTCATCCCGGGAGCTGGAACATATATTGACTATCAAAATATGACATTCTTTGGATCTGCGGAAATAAAAATTGATGTTGTGAAGGAAACTAATACAGTCATAATAAATGCTCACCGATTGGTTTTCGAAATAGATAATATCAATATTCTAACTTTGCCTGAATTCACTTTGATTCCAATCGATAAATCAAATATTCGTAAAGATTATGACAAAGGTGTTTTATATATTCCAATCAATGGAACACTTTTGATAGGAAGTTATAACTTGTATTTCACCTACACTGGTTTCATCTTCCAAACTCCAAGCGAAGGAAACACTGTGAACAGTTATTACACAAATAATGGACGAAAAGGTTGGATTTACAGCACTGATTTTGAAGGTGGTCCTTCAGTTCGTAGTTTGCTTCCCAGTTTTGATGAACCAAGTTATAAAGCAACTTTCAATGTAACTGTAAAATATCCAAGTGATATGATTGCATTGTCAAATGGTTTAGAACAAACAAAAGAATTATCAAGTGATGGATGGACTACACTTACGTTTGATCAATCTCCATTAATGTCTTCATATTTACTCGCAATTTGTGTCGGACATTTTTCAAGTTTGTCAAAAGTTGTTGGTGCTGGAACACTTGTTCGACAATGGACTTGGAGTGGAATGGAACAATATGGAGAATTCGGATTGAATGTTACTGCAGGAACATTGGAATTTATGAATACCTATTTCCGTTTCAGTTACATTCTTCCAAAATTAGATGTTGTTGCGCTTCCAGAATATACCCAAAACGCAGGAGCTATGGAAAACTGGGGATTGATTATTGGTGAATATAATTTATATATGTTTGATCCGGATTATGCGACAACCAGAGATATTACCGAAGTAGCCGAGACAGCGGCACACGAAGTTATTCATCAGGTGAAAAAAACATTTTTAAAACAGAAAGTTATTTGATAACAAATAAACTGTTTTAGTGGTTCGGTGATTTGGTAACAATGGACTGGTGGGATGATATTTTCTTGAATGAAGGTTTTGCTCAATATTGGTTTGCCAATGGTATCAATTATACATATCCAGATCAAGAAGATTATGCAATCGTTAGTACTTTTTTCAATTTTTTTCGAAAGAAATTATAGAGAAAGCTTATTAAAGTATGATATTTTTAAGGAATATAACCGTTTTATGATAAATCGCATTGCACTGGAAATTGACTGCATCGATGGATATTCAAAACCTGTCATTAGCGACAAACCTCCAGTTTTTGGTGCCACGCCATATTACAAAGGAAGTGCTCTCCTCAACTTATTATCAAACGCCATAACACCAGATTTATTCAAATATGGATTGGAACAATATTTGTTCAAATACTACTACAAAAACACTTCCCCACAAAATTTGTGGGAATCATTGACTAATGAACTTCTTGATAACAATGTTCGTGATTGGAATGGCAATAATCTCAATGTTTCATCATTTATGGTACCTTTCACAACTTTGGTAAGTTGGTTTAAAGATGTTGTCCTTCTTCGTGAAGAATCAATTCCACAATTGTGCATCACTATTTTCAACTAATCACACTTCCAGATTTACAATTTTTTGAACGAAAAAAAAGTTGATCAAAAAAATAGTATTTTCTTTAGACAGTACTCAATAAATGCTCAACAATTAAATTCCAATCAATTTAAGCCTAAAATCTTGAAATTTGGCTCGATAATGATGAATTTGTAAAACTGGAAGAACTTCCAGATTTACAAATTTTTGAAGTAGAAAGACAACCCTTCCATAAAATGAGCTTTTTTAAGGGCACAATTTTATAATCAAATATATAAATTTCAGGTTTCGTATCCAATTTTGACGCTGGAAATTCACGGAACAAGCACAGTTGTGACAACACAAACTTCTTGTTTGGCTAATGGTAACCAATGGAACCTTCCATTGTTCTCTCAAGATCAAACATCAACAAGTAAGTACACGAAAAATACCTATTCAAAGTTTTGAGAAAATCATTTAGCTGGCAATAAATAATGCGGAATAATTGCAAAAAAATGTGCCGCTGCATTTAAGCCACGCCCACCAAATTTATTCGCATTTAACAAAATCAACAAAAATTTTATCTCTGATTTCCAGCCTTCAACTGGTTCACCAATACCACTGGTGGAAATGACACAATTTGGATGAGAAGTCTCGCATCAAACTTTAGAATTGATAATGCTGGCAGCTCTGTGGGTACCATATTTTCTTCTCATTCTTTTGAATTACCTCTTTCGAAAATATATACTTCCAGTCATTCACTCGTGTCCAATATGATGATAAATCATGGCTTCAAATTCGTCAACAACTTCTTACTGATATTTCAGTCGTCTCTTCTACTACTAGAGCTATGCTTTTGGATGATGCTTGGTTCTTCTATAGGTTTGCTTAAATTTAGAAGTGTTCTCCCCTTATCACATAATAAAATTGTAGATCCGGACGTTGGCAAGTTTCAAAATTCTTAGATCTCACTCTTTATTTACCAAAAGAAACTGCTTTGGCGCCTTGGGAAGTGGCTTTTGATTTCTTTGATGAGTTGTTGAGTGAATTCAGATATCAAGCCGAGTTTGGTGATATTCAAAATTACATTTATCAATCAACTAAGAATGCTTTCAATATTTATGGATTTAGCACAAATGATAAATGGACAAGGAAGTGAGTCAATTTTGTTTGAATATAAGAAAAAATAGTATTTCAGTCAACTTGCTAACTACATTACTCAATTGCACTGCGCTTCTGGAAACAGACAATGTAGATTAGTTGCAAAGTCACTGTTTGATAATTTCCTTTCAAAATGTGCCACATCACAATACGGAACAGGCAAATGTTCAGGGTAAGTGGAATATTTGGAAGAACTTATTTTATTTAATTTTTCTTTTTTTTTAATTTCAGAATCCATCCCGATCTTCGTAAATCAACATATTGTTATGGAATCTTGCAATCAAACATCACTGGCTATCAAACAGTTGACACTCTCTATCAATTGTCTACAGCTAACTCAAGATACTTCAAAAACGATCGGGATAATTTGCTCAACGCGATTGGTTGCATTCAAGACTTAACATATCTTGATGAGTTAGTTTGTTTGGTCATTGATATCTTATTTGTGTTGAAATATGATTGTCTGTTCTGAACAGAGTTTATTTGTAGTTTGAACTCGAGTAGGAATGTTTTTTTCAGAAAGATCAATGGAGTAATTCAAGGAATATATCCAACAAGTCTACTTCAATCAATTGCTCAAAATGATCAAACTGGTGGATTTATTCTTTATAACTATTTTGCAGTGAACACTCTGGCTGTTGTGCAAGCTCCATTTGACTTTGCTCTATATTTGAAATATATGACACTTGATTGGAACACAGACTTCCAATCTAATGTGGTATGTTTTCTCTGATTGGATATTGAGAAAAAATTTATATGATTTGTTTTCAGCTTCAAAATTTCCCGATCACTTCAAATTACCAATTTTTGACCGAATTACAAAAGAAACAATTATTTGAAACGACCGAGAATGTTATAAGAAATGTGCAAGCAATTGATAATGTGAAAGGACCATTGATCGCTTGGATTCAAGCCAACTTCGGAGCAGTTAATGCTGAACAATAGTTTCATTTTCTTTTAGAAATTTTCAGATTTTTTTATTCTATTCCACAATGTTCTATGAAAAAATACAAAGAAAAATGTTAAAGCTTACAACTTGACTGAAAAAATGTACATAAAAATAATGGGTGACCTATTAAAAGGCAAGAAAAAATAAAGCTCGTTAATGATATTAATGGAGAAGGGATTTTTTCAAAAAAAAAAATGAGTTATTTTAGTCGAGCTGCTCGATTGTTGCCATTCCCATTTCCAAACCACGGCCTTGGAATATAAGACCGCTTGGTTCCTATTCGGGAAACACTCTCGCTCCTAAAAAAAATAACAGGATTATCAGGAAAACTTTGTGAGATAAAATTGGTTACCTCCTCTTCAAATCATCATAGAATGGCATAATAATATCTACCACAAACTCCTCGGCAACATCTTCGAAAAACAAATCATCCATAGCAATTCTGAGATTTTTGATAATTGTATCCAATTTTTTGAGAGTTCTACCATATGCTTGACCAATTGCATCAACATAGTACGGATTGCTGGCAGCGATGCGCATTTGCGACGATTGAAGCCAACCATTTTCACTAAATTAATCTAATTTGATACGGACGGTTCTCGATGAAAGTGTAAAAATCAAAGAAGTGTCTGCGGGTCAGATCGTGCTTTGATTTTTCATTTTCATTCTCGGTGTCTCATTTTGAACGTTTTTGTTTTTTTTTTCGTTTTTCAGAAATCACACCGCTGGAAACGTTCAAAAGGATTCGATCCAGGATGGCATGGACAAAAAACTCCAGCAACATCAACAAAATTTTGACAGTATAGTGTATTTTGAAAGACTGTCCCACCTGGGAGTTAACAGTTTCTAATTGTCAATTGAAGAAGAAAACTAACCGATTATGTACCCAAGTCGAATTATCAAAAAAGTTTTTCAATTGGATGTAATCACGAATTGCATCTCTAACACGATAACCCGGGAATCGGCATCGATCAGAACCAGCTAATAATTGATCAAGGGTTGTTGTAATCGGACAATTCAATGTGCGCATTGCAAGATCAGCTGTTTCATCTGCAAATTAATCGTATTATGATCAATGTTTCTTCATTTCTCACCATCTACATGAAATTTTGACAAGACTATCAAATTCAATGCCAACGATGACATTGATGTTGGCCAAAGTTCACATAGAGAGGCGAAATGATCATATCTAAAAAAAATTTAGAAATTAGGAAAATCAATTACATAATTTCAAAAAAAATATACCTTTGCCAACCTGTCAGGATGATTGAATCAAATCTATCGAAAAGATGTTGATGTTTCTCATTTTGTAAATACCACGCTTTGTTATTCAGAATATATGGTTTCATTCGATTCCAATAAGCACTTGGACCATCTGCACCTTTAAACGCACTTCCACCCCAAACTTCTTTGAAAGAATATGACAAATTCCTCCACATTTGTTCTGGCAAATCCTTATCCAAATTAGCTGTATACTTCCACGCCACAGGTACAACCAATTCATTCAAATAATATTCTTGCACCAATTCTGGTGGAGCACTACGGAATTCGTCAAACCACATCAACACTTTTGTTCCCGGATATTCTCTTGTAACATTATTGGCAACTGTGCTTAAATGATCAAAAATCATTCGAAGTGTGTCATTGCCATATTTTATTGGCAACACTTCTTTGTCGGCATCACAGATGCCGATTTGGAACGCTTCATCAGCGCCGATATGAATATATTTCGAGGAAAATTTTGAATGCATTGATATGATTTGATTGACAGCGTCTAGGACTACTTTTAGTGATCTTTGATCTCCGATACATGCCACCTGAAAATTTTGAGATTTTTTGAGGTAGAATTGGTGGGAAAGAGAATTTCTAACAAAATGATAAGTTTTAATGGGTTTTGAAAAAAATTATATAAAAGTTCGAGCTTATGAAATGACCTTTTGAACTACAAAATGATGAGAGTGCTTTTTCTAAATATTTTCTCAAAACCAACCCAAGCCTAAATAGGCTAATCATTTTTATAACTAACCATGGGATATCTTTCATCTTCTCGTAAATCTGCATATTCTTCAGTTTTCAAAATCCATTCCATATGCGCCAAACTCTGAACCAGTGGAATAACTTCAAGTCCAAGAAGTTGGGCACTAAATTATGTTTGTTTTCATAAATTTCTAAACCCTCTATATTTTTATAAAAACCCTTACTGTTGTAAAATATCAATAACATTTTCCTCTGTATACGCATTCCCATTCACCACTCTTGCCAAATCGCCTTTGAATGGAAACATGTCCTGAAAAGGAGAGAAAAAGATATTTACTAAAGAAAGTAAAATGTATAAACATACCTCCCATTCTAACAATACACCAGTCGCTCCAAGATCTCCAATTGTTGTTAAAAGTTGTTTGAAATATGCGACTTTTGGTGGAGCGCCTTTTAAATCAAAATGAACGATTGCATTTCGATAACTACATAAAATCTGGAATAAAAAACATTTGAAGCGCTATAGAAAACAGCTGATATCTTCTCAAGATATCTCTCTGATCCCTGAACCAGAAAAAAACTCACCGTTGATATGAAACATAGAGAGATCACAAACAGTTTATGAAGTGACATAGAATATTTCTGAAATAAGAACAAGATTTAGTGAGTAATGTTATACCGAGTTGAGCAAATATGAGAAGAAGAAAAAAGGTCACTGGGCGGGTTACTTAATGTTAATAATATTTGTTTTGTTTGTGTATTGATAAAAAAAAACACAAAATAAGTTGGAAACGTGACTTTTTATAGAAGTCATTCTGGAAAAAAACCGGTATGAAAAATTAAAATTAAAGTTTTAGTTCCAATTTTCAGGAATTCAAGTACATATATTTAATATAATTAAAAAGTGAAGAAAAAAGTGAAAATTATTTGAAAGATGAAAAATCAAGTCTAAAAAATAGAAATGCGCGTGTGTGAGGTGATAAAGCTTGTTTCTTAAGAAAAAGGGCGAGAATTTGTAATAAATCGTGTCAATTCGCAACTTTACTCCACCCTTTTTGGATCAAAATTCTATTTTATTCTATTCTATTCTATATCAATTCTGTTCTGTTCTATCTGGGTCTCAAGTTTTTTACGAGTAGTTTACGAAAAAATCGAAAGTACCAGGTGATAACGCAAGAAAAGTGAGAAAAAAACGAATCTCGGAGATTTTAAATATAAACATTTTGTTTTTGTTTGTGTTGCACCTGTCACCGAGTAAAAAAAATAATAAACAACATCTAACAATAGATTTTTTGCCGAGGTCAACAAACTTTGTTTTTTAAAACATTTTTTACACTAGAAAAAAAAACATATTATGATAACTGTTGCTTAAAATAAACTGTTATTCTCCGAAAAAAATTCGATAAAAAAGAAAATAGGAAGAGGATTTGCCATTGACAATCAACAGCCACCCAATATGTTAGAGACCTTCGCAAAAAACACGAGAAATAAATCAAAATGTTGTAACCTTACCTTACAAATCAAAAAACTCGGTAATTAATAACTTTCAAAAAACGCAGTTCGTAAAACATGATAACTGTCAAGTTCTCTGACCTTTTTAAGGTAGTGGTCTAGTTTTAGGCGTGAGAATGGAAGATAATATCTGTCGTCAAAACTAGCTACTGTATTTATTACAACACATTTGAAAATAAAAAAAACCTAAATGGTTACGGGAACCGACAATGATTTACAACATGAATGAGGAACAAAGTGTTCTTGAAAAACGTCTACATCATAGAGCAAAAGGGCAATTTTTCAGAGAACTGAATGCTATTCTTCTTTTTATATGATTGTTTTGAACCTTATGATTGGCTCAACTATCTTACGGCTCAAAAAGAAACTGACCAGGCTCAATGAAAGATCAGAAATTGTTCATGGAAAAATGAAGAAGACATCTTTTTTCCCTTTTTTTTCTTGAAAACGATTTTGTTCTTTGAAGATAACAAAAATGGGAATCTTTCTTGGATTGAAGCATATAACAAAACATGCAAAAAAGCGCTAAACTTTACGAGTGTTACACTTTGAATGACCTCTAGGTGACAAGTGGATCAGAAATTAACAGCAGTTGATGAAAGACAAGAAATAATTAATTTGGAACATGGCCGTTGATTTTGCTTTCAAGAAGCAATAAGAATAGAAACAATAACATTAGCAGTTTGCATTGAACCTGTTGAATAGAGATTGTATTTTTGTGAGAAACAGTTTTTTGTCCTCATTAAAATTTATGTTCTTAGGTATGTACAAAGTTGGTCATTTTTTTGTTTCTAAAAAAATAACAATTCGATTACGAAAATGGTAATGAAAAACAAAAGAATTAATTGATAAAAATCAACGAATCAACGTTAAAAATACTTATTTTACAATTGTTTGATTGACATGAGCATTTTATCTGGAAAAATATTGACAGCAAAATCATTCGTCTTTGTGAAGTTGAAAAAAATAATAAGAGGATTATCGTGAAACTGTATATTTTGATAATGAATTTATTTTGCTCAATTTTTTTCCGGAATTGAGAAACTGACAAAATGTACCAAATTTTGGAATCGACAAAATTCAACAGAAACTAAAAGGTTATTTTTGATCTATCAAATAATAAATAAAAAAAATAGAACATAAATTTGGTTTCTAGGCTAAAATCAGTTCCTGATTCGTTGCAATTCTGAAACATATGCTATTTTCATCTCGAACTCTTGATTTTTTCCGAGTAAATCAACATGTGTTTAGTGATGTTCGAACTTTTTTAACAAAGACCTCATTTTCTTCAAGAGATAGTAGTAGTACAGATTAAAAAGATTAATTTCCAAGGTCAAAATGTGAAAAAAATAATATCAAAATCAAAAGAATAAAAATTGGAAAGCAAAATCAAATCTCGTTTTTTTGGCTGCATCGTTCATTTTCACTTTGAATACGGTGGGCGTTCCAATGAAGATAACCTATTAGGGTCACATGTTGTTGGAAAAGAAAAAAATATGGATGTAGTGATATTATTATACAAAATAGTGAGTATTTGCAAAAAAAAAAGTTTTGTGTAATAAAAAAATGTTTTATTTTATTTTATAGTTTTTTGTTGAAAAAAATGTTCGAGCAAAAAAAACGAAAAGAAATGTTTTTCTCGAAAAAACGAAAAACGAGAATGAAAGGTTTTCCAAAAATTTTAATAACAGTGTTGAACTTTCGTTTTCAGAAATAGAAACTTCCAGATTTGTTTCTTGTCTAAAACTGATGACGCAAAAATTGTGAGGTTAAAGAATGACATTTGATATTTACTCAAAACGGAGGAGATTAGTAGAACAAAAAATATGTTACTTCTCGGTACGAGTAAACAGATAAAATTCATATGTTAGAAATTTTCGGACTCACTGAAAAATGGCCTATTTATTTTTTGAAGGTGTGCTATGAATTTGTTTGGACATAAAATGTTTTTTTCTTGGTTTCAACAAGTATACATTGTTATATGCATAAAAGTAAATTATTCAAGAATTGTACAATTTCCTTTTTTTTCGAAAAAATTCAAACAGGAAATGGAAATAAAGATTTTTGTTTCATTTTTTTATTTTGAAAAAACAGATGTTTTTTGTAGAATGATTTTTGATTATTTTATATTCTGATTTTGAAGAAAACAATATTTTATGGCATAAAAAGATTTCAAAAAAAAGCATCGATGACCAAAACACTAGCTTTGTCAGAACACAAATATTTTGTCACAGTTTCAAACAAACTATGAGAACAATTTGTATTTTTTCAGAAAATGTTTCGATTCCACCCATTTCATCAGACATTCCAAATTTATTATCAAAGTAGTTTAATTGAGAATCATTAAATAATTTATTGGCATGATAAATGATATCTAAATAAATGTGTGTTCCGATCACAAACAATTCTTGAATGTAGAAAAAAAAACATAATCGACAAATACACAATTTTTCTTGATTCTTCAGACAATTTTTTAAGTTGTAATTTACACCACATAACCTTCACACTCGATAAATCTGATTATAAATGAAAACATTTTTTGGTTTAATCAAATAACTATTTCTCGATCAAATTCCGTGACCGCACATATACTTCATCAAGAATTATTTGATCCCATGGGTATTAAAGACCATCGAATCCGTCTTACGCAGCATTTTTTTTCGCCTCTATTTCAATTCCAATGTATTTTTATCCATTCTCTGACAAAATATATTTGAAATTGAAAGTATCTGTGTGAATATATCCTTAAATCAAATTATCTTCTTCAAAAGATAGATAGGTTGTTGTCCGAAACTTGGCACCAAAAGAAAAAAAATAAGATGAGCAAAAAGTGGGAGAAAAAGACGTGGAAATTCAGTTATTTTGCTTGAGGGCTCTTGGCTGCTCGTTTTTTTCACATACAATCACTAGATTATTATTGTTACCGTAGACACAAATTAATAGTCCATTATTTTTGTTGGGCTAATTTATGACGGTTTTTTCGAGTATTCTCGTTATTTCGAAAAACAAAAATAAATAAATATTTATTGTTTTCTTTCTTTTTACAACTCTTAGCTGATTTTTGCTGTATGTTCATTAAACGAACATGTTTCTTGTAAATTATTCATTTTTTCCGGATATTTTTTCGAAAGCATCATTTCTTTGTCTATTTTTGGACAATATTTTTGTACTTCTGAAAAATATATGTATACATATGTAAATAACAAAAAATAGACTTGTAAATATTTTCAGCAAAAAATGTTTTGATTTTATTTTTTATGTGAATATGACTCATAGAAATGTCAAATTTTTATCCTGAAACATTTTTTAGAAACATTTTTTCCGTCCTAAGTGTGCAATCCTCTCCTATACTTTTACCTCTCTGCAAACATGTTGTACTTATAAAAAATATATATCAATCATAACAAAAAATAAAATTTCACATTGTTTCGGAAGAAATATTTTTGATTGATTTTTCATGTGATATGACTATAACTAATATTATAAATGTTTATCCTTAAATATTTTCTTTGAAAAACTTCCTCCCTCAATCATCAAGACCTTTGATCATTTATAAATGACAGATGGCCGCTTTCGAAAAATATACAAAACAAAAAGTTCGTTTTTTTCACTTCAATTGAGACAATTTTGAATAGTTTTAGTCATGGTTCTGGTGTTAGAAACAATTTGAAATGCAAAAATGAATTTCAGGTTCGTTGAATCCAGTTGATTCTTTCAAGCGATAATTATATTATTTGTTGCTCTTCATTCGATTCAAGTGTATGTTTTTCATTTTTTTTCTTCGTTTATTTTTTTCTTTTCGCCCGTTTTTTCAGTTGTTGTGTTGTTGTGATGCACTTGTTCTCATGTGGAGGCACAAGAAGCAAAAAAAAAGAAATTTGTCGGGGGCAAAATATTGTATTTCATTTTCTTGAGATTTCGCCTCTTTAAGGATGAATAAAAAAAAGTTTTCCGGTTTGCCAATAGAAAAATTTTCACCGAAGATTGGAAAACAACAAGAAAAGTCATATAATTTTTTTCCACGCTGCTTACAAGTTCAATCTTCGACCCATTTTTTTGCATGGAGTTTTCCATTTTTTTCTGTTAAAAATTAGTATTCAAGATATATTTTCTCATCATCT